TTTTTTTTTTTTTTTTTTTTTTTTTTTTTTTTTTTTGGTTGGTATTGGGGAGGGATGTGTGTGAGATTGTCGTATGTATATTAATATAGAGGGAAGGGTAGTAGTATCGATAAGGCTGAGAGAAAATGTGGAGTTCTCTGGGTGACAATAAATACATACGTCTGTGTACTCTCCGTATCGCTCATTTTCTATGAAATCACTCAATCATGAATATTGTCCGTTCTGTCCGCCTGTCTGTATATGTATGTATGTATGTATGTAAAGAAGGGAAAAAAAAGAGATGAAGGATTCTACACCAGGTAGAATAAGAATAAGAATTAAGGTGAAAAAAGTAATATAAAAACGATCCCCTTCCAGGATCTCACTTCCTCTTATATTCTACTTTCATGTAGGGTTTAAATTCCCACCAAGACGCAAAAACTGGACCGTTCGTATTCGTATCCACCGTAAGACCGCGCCCGAGGCAGCATTTGATTTGCGCGAGTGGGAATTTCTGTCTGCCTAGTCTGGCCTAAACAGGGAAAGGAGGATTTTTCGAGCTTAAGTTATTTCGAGCCTTTTGTTGTCTTGGCGGGGGATCCACTGGGCTGACTTTGCGTCTGGCCGAGGAGTTTATACTCTTTTTGGCAGATTATGCGGATACGACGGTGTGATTGAAGTTCGAACACGACTACGAGGTGGTTTCTAGAACGGGAATTCAATATGTATGTGGGTATATCGCGATGGAGAATAGAGTTGCCTGTTTTTTTTCTATTTTATGCTGGTCTATATCATGTTTATATTGAGCGGGGGGTATCATTGGTTACTGATTATTCTATTGTACAGGGGGCGTTTGTTAGGTGGTACCCATGGGTCAACATAGCCACCGATCGTCGACTTGTCTCAGAATCTGGCACTCGTCTGACCATTCGTCGTAGAGACGTTCGATGACGATCCCGCGGTTTCGGACGGCTTCGTAGAGGGGCTCGCATGCTGCACGGGCTTCGTGGAGGGTGTGCTCGGGGATTGTTTTCAGTTTTTTGCTGCGACCAGAGTCATCACTTGGTTCGTAGTGAAGGTCTAAGACAAAGGAGAGTCGCTCGAGATTGGGGAGAAAATCGCGCTCAGCGAAGGCCTGGACCCAATTGTCCCATTCTGGGGATTTGGCCAGGGATGCTGGGCCTCGAAATCGGAGGGTCGATATGTTTGGTGGAAGCCATTGGTATAATGTAAGTAGACGGGACTCGTCGGTGAAGACCTCGCCGATGGATAGCTTTAGCGTCTCCAGTCCGGAAAGTTGTGGTAGAAGATGCTGGATCATGCTTTCGTGTAAAAATCGGAAGTCGAGGCAAAGCGTTGAGCGGAGATTTAGCGACGTCAGGTTCCCGATAAGATGAGGTAATGCGAGGGTCATTCGGCAGAGGGTATCGATAGCATCGTTTTCTAGAATCTCTAGCGTTCGCAGATTGATCGTTGGCGGTGGGCGGTTCTCTTCTTCTAACTGGTGCTCTGTCTTGCCCTTGTATTTGTTATTCATCCATTTACCGGCCAGCTCGGGGATCCATGTGATTTGGATCTGCCTTTCCTCAGGAGTGCCCTCTTCCACAGTGATGTAATCGGCCTTTGCTTCGCCCCGGGCAATCGCCTGGGAATGTGCTTTGCTCAACTCGCTCGACGTGGGTCCTTCGAAGCGGATACCGGAGGTAAGCAACAGGATGAGATGGCTCACGCGGCCTTGCCGTATATGCGGAGTTCGAGTGACTTCCCCGCAGGCACTGAGGAGTTTGCACCGCTTGAGGGGCCAATGCAGAGGCAATTCTTTGTCATTAAGATCCTCGTTATATCCGCTGTCTAATTCCAAGGACTGGATGTTGGTGAAATGTGAGCCGAGGATGGCCCATTCCTTGTTTGATGGGGTTTCCTCTTCGATCCGGAGCGCTGTGACATCGGAGGGAATGGCCTTTAGCTGGGCGATGAGATCTTCGCCATGGCTTTCGCTGCCTTCGCGGGCGCCTTCAATTTTGACTACGTGATGATGAGGGTTGAGGCTTAGCTGAGTGTCTGTTGAGGCCATTCTGCCTTTTAAATACGCATTGGAGCAGTGAAGTATTGATGGGAGGTATGTTCTGGGTGTGCTCAACGTCGTCGGTTGAGCCCAGATGCGGAACAGGGGCCGCTGTATAGGTTAGTATTTAAATTTCAAAGCATAGCACGCCTCCACGGGTGAACATTGAATATTAATGTTGGGGGTCAGAGTCACCATTGAGGTAGAGTGTTTACTCCTGGTCGAGCCAATTGCTCTTGTTTACAACCGTCTTTCGGATCACCGTATTCTAGCAGGTCGCGGAAAGGCCCGTAGAGTCGTCAGATTGGAGTTCAGGCGCAGCAATGTAGATTACTTCCTTAGTTTCCTTGCTGACAGGAAGATCGACACAAGTATCGCAGGGCTTAGTCGAAGGGCGTTGTCAGCCGCGTTTAAATCCTATGCGATTTGCACTGTTTGCTCCGTGTAACCCATTCCACATGACTCACTTGTTGCACGTGGTGGATGTTCACATCAGCTTCCGGCTTTAGTAAAAGATAGACATTCTTCGAGAGCGACGGTGTTTCATTCCGAATCGGTACCTGAATCGCTTGGTGCAGAGATTCAGCTGTATTAAAAGATCATGTGCTCTCTGCGCAAGGCTAACTCTCCAGTATGTACAATATCATCTCAGTACTGTCTGGGAAGGAAGAGTTAAAGATAGGTAGCATTGAAGTAATCGTTGATTTGAATTGATCATCAATTGATCTAGTGAAAGAAAAAGGGATGCAACCAACGCCAAGATTCCAACTGACACCAATTTCGCTTTCGTGCAGCACGAGTGCGAATTTCCCCAAGAAGCAGCACAAAGACAAAGCGAAGGCCCAAAATTAAATCATCTCCAGTGGCCAAGGAATAGCTGCAGTAAGAGCAATAAGACCTCCCACCAGCGGTAACAATCCCCGACCGGCATTCAGCTTCAGCCACCGGGACAACAACGACTCGACTTCCACGCTTGACTTCTCGTCTACCACCCGACCCGAGTTGGCTAGGTCCATCAACTTGTTGTTGGTACCCAGCATCATGCCAAGGGTGTAGGGTACGATACCCAAAGTCAAAGCCGCTGCAACACAATACAAAGAAGAGCTGTGAGTCGGAGCCAATGGGGCTAGCGTCGTGCCAGCGCGAACAGCCCAGGCACAATAAAGAAACGCTGCGGAGGTGGCAGCGGCGATAGGAGGAGCTTGGCTTTTGCCTTTGTTATACAAGTTGCGCCATAATTTGACAGCGGCATCAAGCGGTAATTTATCTTCTCGCGTCGATTGCATAAGTGCGGGCACGGTAATTGTGCTCAATGAGAGGATTTTGCCTTTGACAGTTATTAGAATGATTCTTCACTGGATTCGACTTGACGGTGCGTGGAAGACCTTACCAGAAAGCCAGGCGGCGCCAGTCAAGCCCACCATTTGGGCGGCGCAAAACGCAGTTGGATATGTGCTCATGATGTTAGTTTGTGGGTGAATAGACTTCAAATTGGGGTGGAGTTGTTCCGGAAGGGGCTGGGAGCGGCTTTATAGCTTCCAGTATGTTGGACAAGTGACTAACAGTGACAAATCATATGATTTCATTCAAGGTTCTCAGTTTTCGCTTCTCAATTATCCATGACGACATTGCTACGCACCAGCTAACCTTCATCAGGAACGTTTGTTGATCTCCGAGCGTCCCAAGGAACATCCACCGCAAACCTTACGCAATTTTGGCTTGATTCGGCAAGCCTAGATCCTTGGTGGGTCTCCCTCGGCTTTTGTCGGCTTTTGGAACGCTCAACGGGTTTTGCGCGTCTCGATGTCAATTAGAATGAGACTCAAGGGGCCAATTTCGATCTCTTAGTGGCAATCGCTTGTCAGCCGCTTCCTGAGGTAGCTAAGTGAGCACAACTAGGTAAGGATACGTAGGCAGGAAAAGTTAAGGCAAGTGGTAAATACTATTGAGACAGGATACTGATTCTTTACCTCCTACTACTACTAATACAGCATCAATTTATAATAAGTAAACGCCTTGATCCTCATCGTAGAATCAGATAGGCACCTAGGTTACTGATTCCTACTGGAAGGCCAACGAACATGGGATTCCACGTCCCCGTTCGGCGGCCGAGTTGTCTAGTATGCACCAGGGGCAGGGTATACTCTACAGCCATCCGGCTGGATCACTATCCGATCTATGACAGCGAAGATAGATTTATTGGCAATCTCCAATGTCTCTCTGTTCCAATTTCCATCCTCACATGTTCAGGTTGCACTAATACGGCTCAAATCAAGCCAGATCGAATATGCCTGTTAGGCGCTACCGGTCGCACCGGACGAGGTACACTCCGGATTCTTCTTATGGAGAACTATCGCAACTGGGCTCTGCATGTCTATGTCCGGTAGCGAGCAAAATCCTTATCGCTCTTCTAAGGCATAGAATATAACGCAGGTGAGAAAGTTTCTGAAGGATCCATCACGGACGTTGAACGCTGGAGACAATGCTTGTCACGGGCGGACGCCATCATTTCCGCTCTTGGCGAGAACGAGAATATCGCCGGATTATAGTTGCTACAAGATGCAGCGAACACCACGATATCCGCCCTGCAAGTATTGAGACAAGAGGATAGTTCCCACTGGCGTCAGCCTCGCCTAATTTCCTTTCGCCGGATACATTGAATCCTACAATCGCTGCCACCCATCCACGGCTGGTGCATTGGATGGTTAGGCACACCTTGGGTTATGCGTATGACGATCTTCACAAAACACAAGCTGTCTATGAAGCCCACCCACAGCTGCTACAGCTGGAATTGTACAGACCCCAACCCTGATTGAGGAGGGGTCATCTGGGCACATCATCAATACAGAAAAGGGCTCTTTCACCGTATCATATGCGGGCTTCGCGGAATTGCCATTTCTGTAGATGCAAAGTTCTAGTGCCATGATTGTTCCTCGTGCTTCTAAGGACAAGCTTCGATACCACCTGGGGCTTGTGGGAAGAATTGTACAGGGTACTCTAGCTCATTATACTCCCCGGTATCTTACTATTATGGGGAAGGTATGGGGGATGCTGTTTGGGGTATAATATTAGACCATGATGTGCACATACAATTAGTAGCGATGTTGAAGCACCAACCCTAGACTGGATACTACTGTACTGAACCCTGTGCTTAGCCACGGTAGTAACACCTAAATATCATTTGTAAGCGGGGTTCCTTGTCTACAACCATGGTCAGTGCAATCATATACTACCTGTGAAACGGAGAGTCGATCTTCCGATCAGGGATTAAAGTTAATAACCCCCCCATGTCGGAGCGAGCAGAGCTTCCAAACGCCGAAACACAAGGGGGTACGGTATAGAATAGTCGATATTATGTGGTTATCTCAGGTCTAACTCTATGGTTCCTACCATAGTCTACCCTAAACACAAAGCGCTTTCTGGCAGTCATGGCTTCAAACCAAGATCTTGCATTGTCTCTCGTCCCTTTATTTGATCTACAGTCTCTTCCACATGGGTGTTCCAAAGCCCTATATGCTCTTTCAGCGAAATCATCAGGATCATGCAGGTCTGCCGGAGCCAAAACTCATCTTCCATAACCATATGCCGCATGTAAGTCATCCTCGATGGTACTAAACCAGCTTAGCTCCAGGGTTGCATTAGTGAATGTAGGTCGAGTCACTCACTACTACCAGATCAACTGCGGCCCTAACGATCTGAGTAAGAACCATCAAACATGTGAATTTTGCACATAGTACACATTGCGGAGTACTAGTTATACTAATAGCCTCGGATATAAGACTCCGAAAGAGCCACGCGAGCGGCGATAAGATAAAACCTTATCGCCAGGAAGCATTCCCATTGGACATGGGAAGATATATTTATTAATGAAAAATTATTCAAGATGACTCAAAATGATTAATTGACACATAGCTAAAACCCCTCAATAACTCCTAGATACCTTCTCTATTCATCTACTTATACCAGCACTAGTGTACACTTCACTAGATACCAAATCTCAGTCACACAAACCCTATATATCCCATCATGACCACAACAACCATAACAACCGCCCCAGAGGAACCATGCACCCTCATCCCAATCAACCTCCACAACCCTACCGAATTCGCCGAACTAAAGCAACAACGCCGAAAATGCGGCTGGGACTACGACGACGCCAACCTCATCGCCTGGCGAGACAAACAAGACACGAACCTGAAATCCTTCTTCTGGGTCACCGTCCCCTCACAATCCACTGATGCCGACGCGCCTCACCGCATCCGCGCCGGTCACATCTCTCTCGACTCCTACGCCGATCCCCCCGACCCCGAACTCGCCACAGCCGATCGCGCAAATCTCACCATCCAGACCTTCTTCGTCGACCCCGCACACCGGGGTGGCCTCGGCCGCAAAGCAATGGATATTGTCGAAGCGATGGCGAGCGAGGAACCGTATGGTAGTCCGGAGTGTAAATATCTCACGCTGACCGCCCTCAGTAGGCGGTATTTCTACGAGCAGAATCCTTTCTGGGATAAATTGGACCGAGTCCGGCCTTCTGTTTGTGCGGTCGAGTGGTATGAGAGACGGGGGTATGTGTATTGGAAGTCCGAGCCAAGATATCACGAACCCTTGTTGGAAGGGGAGGATGCAATCATCTGGGTGGATTTTTTGAGAAAGCCCGTGCGGGGGTAGTTAGAAGTGGTTACGGAGTAATGTGATTGACTTTTCATCAGCCTGGTGATGTTTGAGTGTGGTAAGGGTTTTGTTGATGAATTTCCTGGAAAGGGGGGGCTGTATATATGGAGTTTGAAGTTGTACATATCTTTTTTTCCCTGCTACTCCGTATGTATACACGCATATGGCATATGCTGGGTTAGATACAATGAGCAACGCGTCCATGAACCATCTACTACCCTGAGATATACAGATTGACAATATGTGGATTGCCAGGGCCCAAGCGGTCGGTAGTTACGCAATCTAAAGATCAAAATAAACCTTCGACTGCAACACCATCCCCACAACTATTCGGTTCTATTTTCAATAGTAACTTACCGCATTATATCAGCTTCTGCCAATAAGGTGAACCGGAGGACCTTTTCCAAGATAACTAGATGGGGTCAATTACCTCGTTTTGGCGATGGTTGTCCGTCTACTTGGTGATCAGCACTGAAGGCAAGCTGAATGTTCAGTACGTAACTTAAGGAGATAGACCGATTGATGGCCACTGGGATGTAATGCAGCAAAACTAGACTTGGATTCTCTGGGCAGAGCGAAGAGTATAAAGTAGGCCTCGCCGACCGGTGGTCTTGTCCCTTGAAATCATCGCAATCCTATCAAAACTCCCAGCATCTAATTTCCTCCCTCATCCCCTTCTATCCTTCTATCAACCGTCACAATGAAGGCCGCTACCATCATCTCTCTTCTGAGCGTTACCGGACTCGTCGCTGCTGCTCCGGTTCACAATGGTTCGTATCCCAACTGAAGTGTAAGGAGAAGCCTTGACTGATGATTAATAGGTGCAGCTGGCGGAAATCTCGCCCGCGCCGATCCCTTTTATACTGGTGGAACAACACCAGGGTTAACTGGAACACTTAGTAACGACATAATAGGTGACGTGATGAACAGTGGCGAGACTTCTCAGAACCATGCTGGTGCTACTGGTAGTGATGCTGGTGTTGCTGGTGCTACTGGTGCTGCTGGTAGTGCTGATCGTTATGGTGGTGGTGGTGGTGGTGCTGATGGTGCTGATGGTTATGGTGGTCCTGGTGGTGCTGGTGGTGCTGATGATGGTGCCTAGGTTGGTGGCCCTTGGGCGTCGCAGAGACTTGAGAGACGGAGCATCCTACAAAGACCCTGTTGAAGTCCCTACTGAAGAACTTCCCCCCGTCAATCCTACTGGCAAACTCAACCGGCGACAAGGATCCTCTCGGTCTTCATCGTCGCGACAGTGATTCTCATATTGTTCAGGACCTTTTAGGTGGTCATGGAGCTCATCACGGGCACTCTGTCGACCACGATGAGCACAGTGGAAGGCATGATGGCCATGACGAGGGCAAAAAGCAAGGGCAAAGGCTTTACCGCATCAACATGAGGTTACCCAACATTCATCCTTGGAGGCCATTGGTAAATAGCAACAAAGAGGTGTGTTACTTTGTCGCGGTGTCCTTGTTTTTGCGATTGAAGCCAGCGATGATCCTGTATATACGGATGTTTTCGAATTGTACTGTTTGTCCACCTGTCGCAACTTCTAGTAGTAGTAGTAGTAGTAGTAGTCCAGCTTCGAATGGTTAGACACGGAATAACCCCCAATAGCATCATCTGCAGGTTTAATGTTGCAATGGACATGTTTTATCTCGGGCAGCCTAGAATCCTCTTTAAATTATGTACGAGTCTTGGGTTACACCGCTAGAAACTTTGCCACCAATGAAGCTGTAGCCTGTCCAACGGTTATCAGCGGTTTTTTTAATGAGGATCTTGGCAGCGTAGGAAAAGTTGGTGTTGGTGGTGGTGGTGATGGAGCTAATGCAGGACGTGGAAGTGATGACTGATAAGACGCGATTTCTGCGGGGAAACAAACAAGTCCAATTAATTTGTATTTAAACGGAGCCTCCAGCCATCCCTTGATTCCAGCTGAACTCGGGATTTTTTTTTGCCAACCATGAAGGTACGTGAGGAATTCCTATGATAAATTATCATTTTTAAAATATATTTGAAATGATTGAATCGGGCATCATTAACACTTCATAATCCAGTACTCCAAGCTTTTGCTACTCCTAGTCGGCGTGGCCCAGGCTCTGGATGTGCCTCGGAAACCACACGCGCCCACAGGAGAAGGCAGCAAGCGTCTCACCTTCAATGAGACCGTGATTAAGCAAGCAATTACGCCGACCTCACGGTCGGTGCAATGGCTCTCGGGCGCAGAAGATGGGTCCTACGTGTACGCGGCGGAAGACGGTAGTCTCACCATCGAGAACATCGTGACCAACGAGTCACGCACACTCATCCCTGCGGACAAGATTCCGACAGGGAAGGAAGCATTCGACTACTGGATTCATCCGGACTTGTCGTCGGTGCTGTGGGCGTCCAACCACACCAAGCAGTATCGGCATTCGTTCTTTGCCGATTACTACGTCCAGGATGTGGAGTCACTCAAGTCCGTGCCCCTGATGCCCGATCAGGAAGGTGATATTCAATATGCACAGTGGAGCCCGGCGGGCAATACCATCGCCTTTGTTCGCGAGAATGACCTGTATGTCTGGGATAATGGCACCGTTACTCGGATTACTGATGATGGTGGCCCCGACATGTTCCACGGCGTGCCGGACTGGATCTATGAAGAGGAGATCCTGGCCGATCGCTACGCGTTGTGGTTCTCGCCAGACGGTGAATACCTGGCGTATCTGAGCTTCAATGAGACTGGTGTCCCGACCTATACTGTTCAGTATTATATGGATAACCAAGCAATCGCTCCGGCGTATCCGTGGGAGCTGAAGATAAGGTATCCCAAGGTGTCGCAAACAAACCCGACCGTGACGTTGAGTCTTCTCAACATCGCTAGCAAGGAGGTGAAGCAGGCCCCAATCGACGCGTTTGAGTCGACTGACTTAATCATTGGCGAGGTTGCTTGGCTCACTGATACTCATACCACCGTTGCTGCCAAGGCGTTCAACCGAGTTCAGGACCAGCAGAAGGTCGTCGCGGTCGATACTGCCTCGAACAAGGCTACCGTCATCAGCGACCGAGATGGAACAGATGGATGGCTCGATAACCTGCTCTCGATGAAGTATATCGGTCCTATCAGGCCGTCCGACAAGGAGGCCTACTACATTGACATCTCCGACCATTCGGGATGGGCGCACCTGTATCTCTTCCCCGTTTCGGGCGGCGAACCTATCCCATTAACCAAAGGCGAATGGGAGGTCACGTCTATCCTGAGTATTGACCAGGAACGCCAGTTGGTGTACTACCTGTCGACTCAACACCACAGCACTGAGCGCCATCTGTATTCCGTCTCCTATTCCACGTTTGAGGCCACCCCGCTAGTCGACGACACCGTTGCCGCATATTGGTCTGCTTCCTTCTCTGCCAACTCGGGCTACTATATCCTCACGTACGGAGGCCCAGACGTCCCCTACCAGGAACTCTACACCACCAACAGTACCAAACCACTCCGCACAATCACCGACAACGCCAAGGTACTCGAGCAAATCAAGGACTACGCCTTGCCCAACATCACCTACTTCGAACTCCCCCTCCCCTCCGGAGACACCCTCAACGTCATGCAGCGCTTACCCCCCGGGTTCACCCCGGAGAAGAAGTACCCCATTCTCTTCACCCCATACGGCGGCCCAGGCGCCCAAGAAGTGACCAAGAGATGGCAAGCCCTGAACTTCAAGGCCTACGTTTCCTCCGACAGCGAGCTCGAATACGTAACCTGGACCGTTGACAACCGCGGCACAGGCTTCAAAGGGCGCAAGTTCCGCTCCGCCGTCACCCGCCAACTCGGCCTCCTCGAAGCCGACGACCAGATCTACGCCGCGCAGCAGGCGGCCAACATCCCCTGGATTGACGAGGACCACATCGGCATTTGGGGCTGGAGTTTCGGAGGCTACTTGACCAGCAAGGTCCTGGAGAAGGACAGCGATGCTTTCACATTAGGAGTCATCACTGCCCCGGTCTCCGACTGGCGCTTCTATGACTCCATGTACACGGAACGCTACATGAAGACCCTCTCGACCAACGAGAAAGGCTACAAGACCAGCGCTGTCCGCAAGACCGACGGGTTCAAGAACGTCGAGGGTGGATTCTTGATCCAACACGGCACGGGTGACGACAACGTCCACTTCCAAAACTCGGCCGCATTGGTGGATCTCCTGATGGGCGATGGCGTTTCTCCCGAGAAACTCCAATCCCAATGGTTCACAGACTCGGACCACGGAATCAGTTATAACGGCGGAGGCGTGTTTCTGTACAAGCAACTAGCCCGAAAGCTCTACCAGGAGAAGAACCGACAAACACAGGTGTTGATGCACCAATGGACTAAGAAGGACTTGGAGGAGTAGATAGATGTCGCAGGGGGCTATGCTTTCATATCAATTCATTCATTTTCAAGCGACTGGCTGCGACACATAGCATACATAGCATAGCAATTGACCTATCTTTGATATTTATAATTTAGTTCCCCAACCACCACTCACTCATTCGCGTAAAAGAACCACCCCCCGCCGATCCTATTAACTAGCGCCAAAAACAACAAACTAAGCCACGAGGCTGAGATCTTCCCAGACATCTACTTAAAGCTCGTATTTCACCCAATTCCCTTACCACCCAACATAAACTTCCATCCCAAGTCAATAAGAAGAAAAATGGCCGAAATATCCACCTCCACAATTCAAATCACTGACCTCCCCACCAAATCCGTAACTATCACTCCCCAACGAGCGACCATCGTTCGCGAAATCCACACTACAATCCAGGTACATACATATACATCCATACATCCATACATAACCATAACATAGCCACCACCCTCCATCTAACCCCTAACCCCATACATACCCCCAAACACATAAATTAATAAAACACAAAATTAACCCAAAAAAAACAAAAGAAGACAGGCCAACACACACTCACAATCACCGGTCTCGACCCGCGAGTCGACACGGACTCGATCCTAATCGAAGGAACAGGCACGGCGACAATAACCGACATCCAAACGTCGATAGTCCCCCGACGGGACAAATTCGAGGATGTCTATCCGGTCGAATCAGACTCAGAGGAAGACTCAGTAGAACCCGAGACAGCAGATTCAAACTCCGATAACTTCCTTGACAATGACGATCCCGAGTTAAAGGCTATTTCGAAGTCAATAGCGGAAGTGGAGGCGCGACTTGCGCAGGCGCAACATGAACAGGCGATGGCGGTTTCCGTTCGGGAGATTCTGGATGACTATGCAAAGAAAATGGACCCTGGGAGTGTGAACGCGAAGACATTAGAGGGGTTTTTGGGGCTTTATACACGGCAGCGCGTGGAGGGGCTTCAGAGGTATCATCAGGCTGGGGTGGAGGTTGGGGAGGGGGAGAAGGAGCTTGCGAGGCTGGTAAAGAGACAGGGGCAGGTTGAGGGACGATTGAAGAGGGCTAGGGAGGTTGCGTCGAAGAAGGAGCGGAGGGAGAAGGAGAAGAAGGCTATAGAGCGGGCGAGGAAGACTGAACAGCGGAAGATGGAGAGGGAGGAGAGGCTCAAGTTCTGGACGGTGCGGGTTGGGCAGGTGGTTGTGGATTTGGATAGTCAGGCCGGGTTCACGCCGGGGTCTAGTCGACGCGGTTCTGTTGTTGAACGGGTGTCGGGTGGTGAGATGTCGTCGTCGTCGGCGGCGGCGGTGGAGCCGGTTGATGTCAAGTTGTGTCTGAGTTATGTTGTGCCCGGGGTGAGCTGGAGTTCGCGCTATGAGCTGCGGATTAACACGCCTTCGTCGTCGGCGAGAATGGCTTATCGAGCTGAGTTTCGGAACTCGAGCTCTGAGACGTGGACGGATGCGCGGGTGACGCTCTCGACGTCGCAGGCTTCGTTTTCCGGGCTGGAACAGCGGATTCCGTCGTTGCATCCTTGGCATATTAAGTTGTTGGATGCGGTTCAGGAGAATCAGGAGCATCCCTCTTGGGAAAAGATTTTGTTGGGTGGTTATGCGAATCGGCCTGTAAGTGACTGATCCCATATAGCGTACGAATTTGGTGGAATGGGTAAATGACTGAATGGAAGGTACAGGCAGTGAAAACGAGTGGGCTATTTGGAGCTCGACCGTCTGGGTCTGGCCTATTTGGAAATACGGCGGCGCAACCTCAACAGAGTTCTGGATTTGGTGGATTCGAACAGAGCAAACCTACAGTGAGTGTTTTTGGAGGTGCACCGGCCCAGAATCAGAACTCGTCTAGGTCTCTCTTTGGTAATGCGCAACCATCTACAGCGAGTGCTTTTGGGTCGGCGTCAAATCAGAACCAACCTAGCTCGTCCGGAGGCCTTTTCGGAGGAATGAATCAAACTCCACTTGCATCAAATCAGGCGAGCAATACAGGGGAAGCACCGAGGCATGCCCAACAGGTGTCATCTGGAGGTCTTTTCGGATCTGGGAGAGCCTTATTTGGGCGAGCTCGGGCAGCAGAGCCAGCCCAGAACTCTCCCTCCCAAGAGCCAAGCTCCATTGAGTACACACACGAGGATGAGGATGAGAACGAGGAAGATAGAGAAGACGATCACGACAACGACGTCGACACCATAGCCTCAGCATCTATTGAACACCAAGAATCAGTCAAACAAGACTACGGCCTCACAACGACCTACGACCTTCCGGGCCAACGGACGCTTATTCCCTCGACCAACAATAGACGCCACAACCTAGCGGATCTGGACCTCAAGTCCGTCACACTCTCCCACATCATTGTCCCGAAACACAGCGCAGAGGCATTTTTCCGCGCACGGGTCAAAAACACCTCTTCGTTGAGAATTATTCGTGGAAGAGTGGGCTTGACTGTTGATGGAACGTTCCTCGGCACGGCCACGATCCCCAACTGTGCGCCGGGCGATTTCTTCAACGTCTCCTTGGGCGTTGATCCCTCGATCCTGGTGACCTATGGTAAGCCGACCGTGCGACGCTTGAATACCGGGTTCTTCACCGGACATGCCGGAGCTGTGTTCCGGCGTACGTGCTGGATCAAGAATACAAAGGGTGTGGCGGTGGATATCACTGTACTGGACCAGGTGCCTGTAAGCGAGGATAAGGAGCTCCAGGTAGAGATGTTAGAGCCAAAGGGGTTGCACGAGAAGGGTAATGAAGTGAAGCTGGACATGGAAGCGAGCCATGGAAGTGGAAAGGCTATTATGGAGAAGAAGGGAGAGGTTAAATGGGTGATACACTTAGAACCGGGGAAGGACGTGCGGGTGGCATTGGAGTACGGGACAAAGGCGCCGAGAGGGAGCGAGGTGGACACTGCATGAGTCTAGAGCTATGGTATTTAATTACTTTGCCATTGACCATGTGCCCATGTCCATGCACTCCGTATTCCATCCAGAAGACCATTAGACAATTACACTACAAATTGGCTTGATAATAACAACGCAACGCAAACTATACACCCATCCCCAAGCTACATCCGTAGAATCATGAATATGACCTAAACAGGAGAAGATGATACTTACAACTATCCCGAAATCAGTAAACAACAGCGAATATACCATCCACCCTCCCAACAACTCTTTTGCGAACTAGAAAGCATCCACAAAAGTCCGATCGACACTAGATACGGCTGTGAATTTAAAGCGTAGAAGGTTTGTTCCGGGTTAATTTCTCTAGGCAATATTGCGGAGTTTATGTGCCGCTTAGAGGGTTAGGATTGAGGTCTTGACATGGGGAATGTGGAGTTGAAGGCGAGGGCGCTTGAGGTTTATCAGTTGTATACTGGCAATGGGCCTCGGGGATGGAGGTGGCCGAATGGGCAGTTTGAATTGAGAACGGCTTCGCTGGAGGATTATTTAGGGGAATCGTGAAGTTTGGGGCTGTTTTGATATAGGGCTTTGTCTATGATAGGTGGTGTTTTGGTTGGATGGGAAATTGATACGCGTTAGAGTGAGATGAAAGGTTCATTCAAGGGCGAAATGGGTAGTCTCTCTTGCGCTTTATGACATACTGAATCCGTGATATAGTATAGTGCCAGTATACAAGCCATTGAGGAATACTTACAACAACTTCTCCCAGAATCATCCTCCATGTACATCTTGTTGACTATAAAGCGCGTCGGATCCCAATCAGGCCTAGTGTGGTGGATGGAACGGGAATGGTGGGTAAATCGAAACGGGTAATTTAAGTAGCGCTAAAGATAGCATCGCAAAAGTGGAAACTTACTCCGGGGTAAAAGCTTGCCCTTGTTCATCGTGAAGGGACCCAGTTCTTTTCATTTGCTTTAGATAATTGTATTGAATGTGATGAAGAATAAGTAGTTGCTATTCCATAAGATATGCTCAATGGAAGGTAGTGAGTCAATGCTGTACGGTATCATATACTGTACAAGAATCTGCCCTAGTTTAGGTCAAAGATATATATTCAACCTCCAGAGCTCCGGACATAATATCTACGACCACCACGAGGTGCTATTATCGCTTCAATTGTACCCCATACAACGACTACCACTATAGAGTGCACTTATCTCGGCAGTCCTACTTTAATTACCTCATATTCCTCTATCTATCATACCACTAGATATGAACGTAGATGTGATACCCTTGTCGTCCCCAAGCTATCTAACCGAGGCAAAACAAAACACGATGCCATTATGCCTCAGGCAGCGAAAACGGCACCAGCGGCTATCACGGGAATTGCAGGGCCCTGATATCACCACCTCGAAATATGTCTCCCACTCCCCAATACACTATAAAGAAAGCCTTAGGTAACCAGGTCTCTTTCACAATCTCTTGCTGACCATCAGATAATTAAATCCACGTAAAAAGTATTCCGTACCGCTACGTCCTATGTGTCATGTGTCATGTGTCATCGCCATCTCAAGCGTAAGCTGAGCAAGACCGAAAATCGGAGGAAACGCGGGAAATTTCGGCGAGTCACAGGAACCTCCCTGCAAACGTTAAGCGCAAGGTTAAGTTCGACCAAGATTCGACTGCAGGCTTCGAACCTGTTCATCTGCTGCGATCCCTGCTACATCCGGCATGCCAGATAGATTAATTCAGGGTTACGTAATGGTGCAGGGAGGCTGAGATCGTCAAGAATACACTTTGTTCTCTTTGTACTCAAGTAACTATGAGAGAAAAGGGATGGAATCTAGGGTTTCTGGGAGAAAAAGTATTTATAGGGGATGAGGACAGATCAATTGTCGAGATAGGGAACAGAGGGAAAAAAATAAAAAAAGAAATAATGGGGACCAAGGGGATGCAGTTATATGAGACCTGTCGCGTTTTCCGGTTTTATTTTTTATTTATTATTTTATTTGGTCTTCCATTCTTGGCTTTTGCAGCACCAAGGGTGAGATTTAATTTTTTATGAGTGATGACGAGCACAATAATTTCGGGTCATCCACCGACGGGTCATTTTCGTCCAAGTCGGGTTCTCCCAAGAAAGGATTTCTCTGATGTATCCAAACCTATATAACCTGGACACTACCCTCGGAAGGGAATGCGACGGCCTCAGTCCTCCATCCTGAGCAGAATGGGGGTTGGCTGGGGGTGCGTGGTTGCAAAAGGAGCCAGCGTCAGCATTCCATGTCTTGTGGCCCTGAACCGACCAAGGCGTGGCGGGTTCTCCTAAAACGGGAGAATGGATCCCAATAGGAGAGTCGGTGAGCTCATCTTATCCTCAGAGATTCCGGACTAGTGTTTCCCTAGCTCGGGAAGTTCAGTTTGCTCTCCGTGGAAAAAAGGACAGGGTGTGCCAGTGACCTGCTTTTATAACCACTTCGCTACCCGGGTGACAATTGACATCCATTGCAGAGACGAATTTCCTTCTACCCGAAGTTATTGGCTTTGTCTTCCCTCGGGTCAACCACCACCACCAAAATCTTGCTTTTTTCTTGAGACGCCTCACTTGTGATGATTTTATTTTTATTATTATTCATGTTTGGGAAACTCCGGTGCAGGTGGAGCCGCATGCCCGATTCGGCCCGGTTGATTCGAGTCCGAGAAAAAGACCAGAAATTAGCTTACCGGTTGCAGGTTGGGATTGGTTGATTGAGGTGCGCCATGTGGGTCCGAACCGGTCCATCGGACCCATCCGTGAATGCAGGGATCCACTGCAGGTGAAAATTCTCTTTCGGTTTGACCGCGCCCTTTTTTTTTTTGCCTTCTCTCCTGGTGAAGCATACCGTAGATTTTTTTTTTTTTTTTTTTTGTAGCCTGGCAACAGTTACTTGGGGGATGGGGATATAGGATACACCGTAGGGTATTTGTACTCGGTAGGATAGGATGGAAGTTCAAAAAATGGGTCAACGAAAGGAATTGCCATGGCAATTGGCGTAAGATACCAATGGGTCCGAATGGAGCTTCAAGTGGATGCCAGTTTCGCAAAATCGCAACGGAGACTCGTCGACAGCACATCCAACTCCATCCGCGGACCTGCGCGGCCACCCAGCAGCAGGAATTATTGGTTGTACCACAGGAATCCTCCCTTGGCCCCCTCCCGAACGAACCCGATCAGTCAGAGGCATCCCTGGGCAACAAAGGATGTGCGTGGAAAGATAGGGATATACACGCAGTAGGGCTTTTTCCCAACAGCGCACTAAGACCGACGGGGGGCCGGGTGTGTGGGAAAACGAGCGAAAATTTAGCGGGAGAGTATTTATGTCCCGGAAGGCCTCTGTTGTCAACTTCTCCAGCTTTTTTCCCTCCAAAAAAAGTTCTGTCTACCTCCCATTCTTTTTCATCTCCTCTCACCAGAGAAAATCATCCCCAAATAAACCATCACAATGGCCTCCTCTCGTGTCTTTGCCTCTCGCCTGGCCTCCCAGATGGCCGCAACCACCAAGGTTGCCCGCCCGGCCGCCCGTTTCGCTGCCCCCAAGCGTACCTTCACCACCCAGCGCAAGACCGCTATCCCCATGACCCCCTTCCAGACCGTCAAGCGCCAGCAGCCTTCCATGATCCAGGCCAACGCTCGCCAGGTCTTCGCCAACGTCCAGGCCCGCCGCCAGTACTCCTCTGAGATCGCCGACGCCATGGTCCAGGTCTCCCAGAACATGGGTATGGGTTCCGCCGCCATTGGTCTTGGTGGTGCCGGTATCGGTATCGGTCTCGTCTTCGGTGCCCTCCTCCTCGGTGTCTCCCGCAACCCTGCCCTCCGTGGTCAGCTCTTCTCCTACGCCATTCTGGGTTTCGCTTTCGTCGAAGCCATTGGTCTGTTCGACCTGATGGTTGCTATGATGTGCAAGTACGTTTAAACGGATTATTGAACAACAACCAATTATCCGAAAGGGCAATATGAGGCAAATGCAATTTCCTTGATTTCTCAAACTGGTCAAATTGAATGGAGAGTCTTTTTATCGGATTTCGCCGTTCAGTTAGGAGGTAATCTTGTGGTGGTCTTTTTATATATCATGTACTACTTTCCCGGCATCATCTATCATCCCAATACACTGTACATATAGAGTTTAAAATGGCCACTAAAACTCCCAACTTTCGAGCCACTTTTGATAAACTCGTCAACTTATCTTTTAATTTCGACCTTGTACATTAATATCGCGCGCGTTTTCTCTTTTCTGGCCACGAAGACACGTGTAATCTCTTGTTTACCCCGGACTCTTTTCGTCGGGGCGTGTGTCAACGAAAGCGGCAATTGGGGACCTAATTTGGGTCCCTTCCCACAAGCAGCCCTCGGTCCCGTGGCTTTTTTCTTCCTACGAACAAGCTATTTTTGAGCTAAGAAGCTACAAATCTGGAGAAAGCTTTACTGGTGAGCTCTCCAGCCGTAGAGGTCATTGAGCAACACTACACCGCTCGCAGATGCTATTTCCCGGTGGATAACGGGAAAGAAGCTTCCCCGGCCACGTTGGCCATAACTGGCGGTGGCAGGGGAAATTGCCCTTGACCCGTCAAGAACCTATCAGTCGAAAGAATGTAAGGCCACCAAAGGCAGGAGAAGAACGAAATCAAGAAAGAACTCAAAAAAAGGTAGAATAAGTATGAAACACACAGCCTCCGCCAGGGCGTAGTTCAAATGGTCAAACACCGTGCCCAACACCCAGTAAATACGTGACCTGACCTCACTGAAACATCAGCCTCAGAGATTGCAAAGGGTTGAACAACTGGTTGTGCCGTTGTGGATCTCGATCCGGATCGTGAACGTCACCGCTCAACCCTCAAAAGATAGTAATGAGGTGGACCGGAAAAGATGTTGGCCAAAGGTCCAAGTGTGGATGAAAAATTTTTTCTCCCAAGAGTCATAATAAAGTCACACGAAAAGCCACCTGCAGCACACCATTGCATTCATTCATGCATGAAGAAAATTTTTTTTCGTGTTACACTCAACGATGCTTTGGCCCTGACAGCTCAGACCACATCCGTGATAGCTCCAAGATCCTCGGTAGAAGCACAGGAGCTAATGACGGACTAGAGCTGCGCCAAGGGGGCCATGGTATTTGCCTATTGACGCAGGTCCACTCGTCATTTCTCTTCGATCCCTGTGATGATCGCTTTCCCATTTCTTCGAGGTTTGTATCTTGGAGAAAGAGAGACAATTGCGGTAAGGGGTATATTTGACTGGTGAATCGTGATGGCATCTAGAACCTCAATTAGCTTTTATTCTGATATTATCCCCCTTTTGATGTCGTCGTCCTTTTTGGGGGGTTTCAACTTCACCTATCACGTGATCGGTATCGGATGAGGAAGTCCTCATGTGACGCTCTCGGACTTCCTTGGACGACCAAGTCCGCAGTTTGAACCCTACTTCCATTTCTCCGTGTGGGAAAAGAAAAGAATAACGGGCCCATTGTCGACAATGACCCAGCGATGAGGAGATGACATATTCACCATCACAAAAGAACATCACAATACCCTTGTAGCAGTGCCAAAACTCCCCCCCGACACCTTACACAATCGGCATCCACGAAAATAAAGCGGGATATAATTCTTCCCTGCACGATAATCCTCGGCATGCACGCCTTTCCATCCAGTAGACATCTCGACATCTATAACCCACAAAACACCCTAGAAGAGTAAAAAAAAGCACACAAAAATATCCCAAAAGAAACCCCCAGATCTATCCCAGATCTATCCTTCACATCATGACAGCAACAACAACGACAACAACCCACCCTGCAACGCAGCAGCAAGACCCCCCCAAAACAAGCTTCACCGCCCACCTCATCGCCTCCTTCACATCCCCCATATCCTCTCTCCCCACGCCAACACCAGACCCCCTCTACAAGCCCGCAGAAGTGCCCCGGATCAAAAATGCAAAGAGATTGACGAGCACGCGCACAAAGCAGCTGATCCGCGCTGCGGATCGGGGGCATGATGATCCGCCACCGCCGCCGGGTCTGGGCGAGTGCTGTGGGAGTTCGTGTGATCCGTGCGTGAATGATCTGTGGAGAGAGGAATTGGCGTGTTGGCGGGAGCGTTGGGGGGAGGGTGCTGTGGAGAAGAAGAAAGAGGAGGAGGGCCGGAAGGATGGGGAGGGTGCAGGTGGGCTTAAGGGGAGAGGGGGGTGTATGCCTGGGAGTTTTGATTGGTGATTGCCTTTCTCTCTCTCTCTTTGTGTATGTATGTATGAATATAGATGGGTCTTTATGAGGTATGGCTTTTTGGATTTGTTCGGTGTGTTTCTCAGTTAGATGGTGTTTGTTGGAGTGTGTGCTGATGTTGCTTTAGTAGTATTTAGATTTTCATGATTGTCATATAACATCAGTTTTATGGTTGAGTGGCTGCATGTGTTCATATGTGTGGATTTATATGATTGAGGAATGCACGCATCAATTGCAGCTCAAAGTATTTGACACATTGGGATCAAGTTTACGTTGACCTGAAGCGTCTTACATACCGTGCCTTTGTCACAAACACAATCATCTAGTTCAATGAAGGATATTTTGCCCTCGATAGGCCCTTCATCCACCGACTGCCTAATCATCACTTGGTCAACCGTACCGCAAGCGATTGGAACTGGAACCGCTTTGAAATCTAAGGGAGTCTTTGTGAAGGACACGTCGGAGAACACTTCCGACAAATGGGCAATTACCTCGAGGACGAAGAGCTACTGGCCTGCAAAGATAGATGTAGTTGTTAGGGTAGTTCAGTTAGTGATAGTAAAGATGACTCATTTGACTGAGGTAAACTATGAATCATTGAATTGCTTAAAGTCATCGGGGGTCGAGCCGTCAAACAGGGGAATCGGAAAGTCCAACGTATTCAATCGGTTAACGCGGTCGTGTAAGAGTTGTCGCCTATATGGCTCTTTCAACATAGCTTCGTATGTCCTCCAATTAAGGGTTCGGGTGATATTCCCGACTTTGCTCAAAACTTGACAAGAGCAGTGGATAAGCAGGCTCGAAGCAAGTTATCCAATCTTGTGCTTTTTGCACATTGCCTTCTACATTGGTATCCTTCCAAAAGCCTTTGACATCATATGCAGTCTATTGACTATCAGTGCGCATGGATATGTTCAATGGAAAAACTGAGTTGGTATCGCGTGTATAAGCTGGATTACATGCCATAGAGTTGAGGAAAAAAAATTAACTTCCTCTGTTGTCAACTCGAACTGTCCATCCAAGGATGGCGTATGATCACTTAGCCAAGATGGATAGGAAACTAGGCGCAGCATCAGACTGAGTGACTTGATCAATCGCTTGCTCTTGTCCAATGGTCTCGATGCCAGTCTCAGAGCCGTTTTTCGGAAGATCACGAGAGCAAAGATAAATAAGTGGACGTAAGTAACGATGAATAATGAATATACAGATTGAAGAAGACGAAGAAGAAGACAAAGAAGAAGTTGAGGCGTGATATAAAATGGGAAGGTAAGTAAGAGTATGGATGTAAGTGAGAGTTGCTGGTTACTATATTCACCTCATTGCTCGTTCGTATTCCTCTACGAGTTCTTTGTAGCCATTTAATAGAGCATCACGGAGCATCTAGATATCTTCCTCGGGTCCGTATCCGACCCAGCAGACGAGATACCCAGGATGACCTCGAACGGTTCGTCGATCTATTAACTTGTCAACCTCCCACCGGTCATCATCATCAGGGAAACGATCATCAATCACACGAGGTGGTTGATGCGGTTCCCTGCCGAGCGGGTCAGCATCTGGCGTAGGCTCTAGTTGGGTGACAGACTGCATTCGCCAATTACTTAGCAATTCTATCCGGTACGTAAGTCGACCAATACGTTCAGTGCTTTTGAATGGTCCGGCTGCAGGACATGCTACTAGTTGTTGGCAGCGTTATGGTTCAAGTGGTGGGAAATAATTGATTCTGTAAGCTAATTGCTGAACGAGAGGTCCTGGAGCAAGCTTTGTGGTAACATTTCCCAGCTTAGGAGTGGAGAATAGATTGTGGGATTATCCCAAAGTGGCGGGGGTGCTTTGATCCATCGGATATCAAGTTTGATCCTTTTCTTTCAATCTCGGAAACGAACAAGTATCTCTAAACAATAGTCGAGTGTTGCTTTCAAGGTTGAGGAGAATGGCCGCTTTGACACTGACTTGCTTCTCGATCTTGGTCTTTGGGTGCCTGCTTGCTGGAAATACCAATCCCTCCACGTGTCTCAACAGTGGTATCGCTGGGATACTCATTCGTCTGGATATCCACCGCCGCCCGTCTCTAAGTTCATTTATTAAGTTCAGGTTTGCAACTATGTAGTACCCAGAATGGCCACGACGAGCGTAGTGATATCAAACGCCAATTGGGTGCTGGGTAAGGGCTCGGCAAGTATACCCAGAACAGTTGAGGACGTGGTTATTGAACGATCCCAATATGGACAATATAATATAGCAATCCGTATGTGGGCTCTATCTCGGCGGAGTGGTATATAGGTTGTCTACGGGCTCTGGAGAAAGGAACCTGTTCTGGTGGGTCGCCCTATCGACTTCGAATTGATAATATGCGTGCACGCTTGAAGTTGTGTACCGTATAGTGTTGGCGTCCAGATTTGAGGCGCAACGGATGGTCAGGCTGCCGTATTTGGGGAAGGAACTATAGCCTGTCAAAAGCTCCAGCTTTGCCTGACCGATGTGATGGTCGACTGCCACTCGTTTATCTACACCGGCAGCAGTTTCTTCAGTACCAGAATGAGCTGGAACCCGGGCACTGAACATATCTCATCGGGCTTGACGGCTCATAGGGATAGTGGAATGAATTGAGAAGATATCTATAGGAAAGCCATCACCCCTCCTCTGTATAGCTTTCAGGGCAATACTCCCCCGTGATGTACGAACACAAGCAGGAAGCATCATTCCAGGCAATACCGATCAATCTAGACAGTACCATAACAGCCAGAGCAGTGGTCTTCTCCGTCGTCTAATTTGTTCACGAGCTGGCGCAGATAATGGAAAACATTGGCCGCGGCCTTGTCGAAGTCTGTCACCGATGTATATCCTAATAGTTGTGCAGCCTTTGGTCATGAATGTAATGATCTAGTAGCTTCTCTGTCAGACGTAATTGCGCAAAGCCCAGGCTCTTCCTGGTTTTATTCGGTTGGTTCCTCCGTATTCTTCACGGTAGTCCTGACCTTGCTCAAAGCCTGAGAAGAGCAATCGTGAGGGGCAAAGAGAGAAAGAAAATGTGCTGGGGAAGAATATAGAACCACCACTGGTGACGATAATATTAGTGAAAGCAACAATGCCAAAGTTAATGAAAGAAACAAGTGACACCAAAGAGGAGAAGCCCTCCATGATCCACTCCCCATAAGTCTCGCAAAGAGCGTTGTCGCTTTGGCTAGTGAATATATGTGTAACTGCCTTGCCACTGGTTTGATTCTCTACGGTGGCGGCTCCCCCCGTCTTGCTAGACGCGTTGACAGTGACCTTAGCTGTATCGCCGACAGAGAAGGTTATACCTCTGAAGTCGTTGGCGTAGCCAGGGTACCGTTCCATACTAGGCGTCAAAGGATGGGCCACAACTATCAACACAGAAGTCTACGCCAGTCTGTTAGATGGCAGACCGTAAGTGTCTCCGCCAATACTAAACCAGGCTGAGGCACAGTACCGCTCGTCGCTGGAGCCGCCAGAAGAAGCGGATGGGGTTGGTACGGTGAAGGTCTCGGTCACAGACATGTAGTGTCAGACGAAAAATCATCCCATTCGACTACATAAAAATGTCGGGAACTATGGACGTCTCTATAGGGTAATTTATAGGTGAAATCTCAGGTTGACATGTAGCATATGGCTCGTGCGCTAGCCGTGAATAACGGCTGCATCCAGAACCGAGGGGCGTTTCCTCAAGTCCGCGATCAAGATCAAATGAACTACAATGCATAATTACAATACTCAAGACGCAAAGATAAGGTAAAGTCATAAATTGTTTCATCATGTAATCTAATCAAGCATCTAAGCTTTTATCCCACAAGTACATGGCTTAGCCGCTGTAGTCGATAGTAACAGCGATACGGACCGGGCCGTCACCAGAGAGGTTACCACCGATACCACCAATATCAGTCTCGGCCTTGGTATAAGCATTGTCCACCGATGCGGCACCGGTAGTGATAGTAGAGCAGGTACCACTGAGGACGTCGCACATCTTCATGCCCTGGACAGTGAGACCAGCGTTCTGGGCCATAATAGCGGAGACATCGAAGCCGGACCAGCCCGAGTTACCGTTGCTGCCGAAGTCGAATTCACCCCAGGTGCAGGCGTATCCACCGTCGGAATCAGTGGGGAGGCTACCGGGAGCAGCACCGAAGCCACCATTTGTGTCGTCATCGAAGGCAACGTACTTGGTCTCGCCAGCGTTGAGCGTGAAGGTTACGGCGGAGTTGCCGTACCAGCCGTCCATCTTGCCGTCGGGGCCATACTTGTTCCAGAAGACAACCGTCCACGGCTCAGTGTTCTGGCCCGAGATGGCGGCGACGTACTTGTAGTTCGAGGCGTCGCTCTCCGACACCTGAATGATATTGCTACCCCAGGGGTTGCCGACATTACCCTGGTAGGTAATATCAGAGCCGCTGTTGGCGGTGGAAGAGCCAAATCCAGCAGTCGAGTAGGATCCGCTAGCAGGGGTGGCGGTCCACGACCCACCGCTGGCAGAGCCAGAGGAGGAGGGAACAGCAGACACAGTGGCGGAGGAGGGTGACTGGCGTCTTGCGTGGCCGTGCACGCGGTGTGCAAGGGAGCCAGTGGTGAGGGCTGCCAGCAGCAGGAGGGACTTTGTGAACTGCATTTTATTGAAAGAATGGACTTCGCGTCAAGCGATTGCTAAGGAATGAAGAAGTCACGAAGTGAAAGGCGTTACAGTTGGTGTAACTGAGGCAGCTTTTATAATGAATGTGGATAGTTGGAAGAAAAAAATCCAGAAGAAGGTGATGGCACAACGATCAAGTTCAGGTCCTCGACATGGGAATTGTGCCCCTCTATATAGCCTTCTGGAATAAAACTTTCACCGCGGGGTCAGCTGGTCCCAACTTCTTGAGCAAGGTCTCGAACATCCATGGTGTTCGATGGATCTGCCAAAGGTTGACGACGGCAGATGGGGCAGGCAGAGTGCGTCAGCAGGATGCCTCTGATGAGTTTGCCATGGATCTGTCGCAAATGGATCTTGGGTTTCAAGGGACGAAAGAGAGCTGAATGGACAGAAAGGTGGGCGCACAAGAAGACAGCGCTTAGCCTCCTCCAAAAGTACCGCGATTGGCTGCTGAAGGATCCTGGAATGCCCACTGTGGCTTTTAAAATTTGCGGAACAGTATACTGTTCCTGAATGCTAAAGCGGGTCAACGCCATTGGCCACACTGTATTCAGTGTCAATGTTAGTTGCTCCGGTGGGACGCTTCCAGACAAGGCCAAGGATCGGCATTCTGGCATTGCAATCTCTTCACGAGAATACTTTCCCACTCTACGTGCAAAACCCGTAGGGCGCAGACAAAGATGCTCACATTGTCCCCGTCCAACAGCTGCGAAAATTAGTCTTTGGTGTAGCCATTAAATGACAGTAGACTGAAGCCTATTAAACCCATCTCCCAGCAAGATAGACAAAGCCAATTGCAACAGTAACGGACAAAGACTGGCAAAGGTTTGACAAATCTCGGCCAAGCCCGCAAAAGTGGATCGAGGACAGAAATTCAGACGGAGGTGTTGCTCGCCAGCTGAGACGCCAATGTGGAAATTCTTCTACACGGCCATTGATTACCATTCAATGCTGTCTTGTGTGTGGAGCCGCCTCCACACTTGGCGCTATCCTTCTGTTGATAGTCGAACTAGTTGTTGAGTCGTTGAGTCATTGAGTTGTAGAGTTCCGTATCAGAATTTATCGTTGCCCTACTGCATGTATGCTCTCCGTGTCGTGGAACCATCTGTACTGGAAGTTTCTCGTTGCCAATTCTCTGGCTTTATCTCGTCTTGTGCGTGGTTTGACAAAGGGATAAGTGAAGCCCCTTAAAGCAGGACCTAAATTTACTATCAACCTTGACCCATGGGAGACCAAGTCTGGGCCAGGGGCAGGACATCCGCTGGCCACTCATTTGGAATGACTAAGCTCGCTATAAGTCCGAAACAGCCAATGGGATTACAATCCATTGCAATACCAGCATTGGATGAGCACTCGTAACAAGCTAATGATCTCGGAACCATGGGTAATTCGGTTGTTTGCCCTGTAAATGGCAAGCCGGAGTGTTGTGTGTTACGTCTGTCTTAGGGTTTGTGGTCTACTTAGTTCGGGGCCACAACACAACACAACACAAAGAATATCTTGGCAAGAGGTACGTTACAGACAAGCCCAATTCTTATAGCTCCTGAAGATTCATTGGTCCTAATAAGAAATCGAAACATGACTCTTAATGCAGCCTTAGGGACCCAAAGTAGGGTTACCATCGCCAAGCGCTCGATTCATTGAGATACTGTTCTTTCACGTCGGTATCGCGCTAACTTCCAAGGCCGCTCTCCACATGATTCTAGACAGTCAGCAGCTAGGTCAAGACACAATTCATATCGAATCAGACTTCTATGCCTTCCAGAGTGGACCACTTAAGACTCGATGTCCCACTCATCTAGTTTTTCTGACACCGTCACCTCCGCACATACTTTTTCGGGCTTCTACGAACCTTCCGGCGAAGTTTCTTGGCCAAGGTTCACCCCGGGGAACCAACTCTGTGAAGATGGCGAGTTCACCGTAAAACTCAATTTTACTCTCCAGCCCATTGATATTTCAAGGTTAGTCGGAAAGCCGGAACCGAACAAGCCCTGCTTGTGACAGCCGCCCTATGAGCATTCCTACCACTGATTGTGGGAAGAAGATACTTCCGAGTATCTTGGATAGAAAATTGCCGTCTGCTCGCATGGCCACGGTGGAGCGACTGGTGGCATACCACGGATTTTATCGAGAGGGATTGGACTACCAGACACTGACCCTTGCCATCGATGACAAAAGCCTCTGTGGGAGGCAAATAGGTACTACTATTGTATTCTACATGTGCATAAACGCGTTGTCAGCATAGAATCGTCACCACTTTGAACCCTCTATCCCCAGCAGCTGTAGTAAGTCAGCCCCAATAGACCCCGTTTGACTTACTAGACCCCTGCCCATAGTGCGAACGTAGAGTTAGACAAAATCAAAGTCTTTAGGCGTTCTAGCCAGGCAGAGCGGATCCTACTAGTGGGTAGTTAGTAGTCTGCCATAGCCGCCACGTTCTTAACGACCCGCCTGGATTCCCTTAGCCTCCGATGCCGCGTATTTCGCGCGACTTCATGACATCACATATTCAACAATCTCTGTACGACACAATATCCACGACAGCGAGCAGCGCCGAGGTTAGTCTGCCTCGAGGGTCTTGAAAGCTGCCTCTGATATCCACAAGCTACTTCTATGATGGAGGCTAAACTCCTCGGCACATACTTGAAGGTCAAAACTCGGAGTGAATTCCCCGCTTGCCTCACTTTGCGAGGTACAGTATACTATCGTGGACATCATACAAGTCGCCACAAAAATCCAAAATGCATTACAGAAAGGCATTCCTACCATGAGAGAATACTGGTATGACTCGTCTTCAATTATCACCCCCCTAGTAGACGAAGCAATCACAGTGAGTTCAATCCAGCGCCAACCTTCGTATAGTTCGTTTTTGGGACATGTACATGCATCGGCTTTTCAAGTAATCGTCATTAATCGCGCATTGAAAGGTAAATGTCTCCGATAGTCTTCGTGACTGCATAGCATGTTGCCTATGTCTCGGCGAAATTGACCTGAGCGGTCCTTGCTCTACTTGCCACCGGCAAAATTGCTCATCTTCTTCACCGTAGTGGAGGCAATCTAGAATACCTAGGAAGAGACCGGCTCCACTCGGCTCGTACGTTGCCATCCAGAGATAACCGGGCGAGTTTTATACCTGCTTGGCTAGCTCTGATGGTTATATAGTATTTCCTCTTCCAAACACGATTTGCTGAAAGCTTCCAGAGGCAAATATATGCATGGCACTGAAATTATGCCATGACCATCTTTCGAGCATGATATCTAGACGGCATCAATGGAGGCAGCTACTCACGAGATATCTTGCTGATCTTATGTACCTCATAAGAACCTGGAGCAGACATAGCACATCTTCATCTTCAATCTTTGTTTTACCGATATTTTCGATGTACTGGACATTGATTCGGCGAACTAAATTAAACAAGCCAAACCAAATCAAACACGTATAATAACAGGTGGCAGTTCTAGCATTAAAGCAATGAACTCTCCTATGAACGCAAGTTTCGGCGGAAATGTAGATAGATAAACTTATACATTTATAGATCCATTACGAGATCGTTCCCGTGACTGAGCACAAGATACCACATTAGTCGTCCCTAGCAGGTGACAATAATAACCCTAAGAACTTGAATACTCTTTTGAATGAATGCAAGATACTATATTGGAGTGGAACAGCGCAGATCATAAACCCAATTCGCCGGTCGAATGCATTTATCTAATGCATAAATCAGTACAAATCTCTTGGCAAAAGAACAATAATTAAATGCCAATGACGACATAACCCCTCAACCCCTCATCCATAGAAAATCACAACGTCAACCACATCCCAAATTAGAACAATCAACACTCTAAATCAAGCATCAAAATCACAATGTCTCAATCGAATACCCCCTACCCCTTCACATTCGCCAATCCAACCCCAACCCAGTCGACAAATGGAACAACGCAAACTCTACCCCTCACCATCCCCAATGTCCGCGGCACGGTCCCCTCCCTCCAAACATCCCGTCTCCGGACAATGATGCTCGAAGCGCGTCGCGATCCCACCAGGATCCTGGCCTTCCCGTGTAGTTACGACGGGCTATCCTCTCGTCTTATCGAGGAGGCCGGGTTCCCAATGCTGTTTTTATCCGGTTTCGCAGTGTCCAGTTCATACGGGCTGCCTGATACGGGGTATATCGCTATGGAAGAGATGTGTTCGAAGGTGCAGGAGACGGTGAGGGTGACTAGTCTTCCTGTTATGGTCGATGGAGATACGGGGTATGGGAGTCCAATGAATGTTCGGCGGACGGTGGAGGCGTTTGCCGCGGCGGGGGCGGCGGGGGTGATGATTGAGGATCAGACTTGGCCTAAGCGTGAGTCTATCCTACTTTTCTTCAACAAATGGTTATATGTGAGGTAGTTACTGATTATGAGGGTCGCGCGTAGGATGCGGTCATACGAAGGGAAAATCAGTTGTTTCGCGCGGTGAAGCCTACGCTCGGATCCAAGCTGCCTGCGACGCTCGGAATGAAGGGCGGGACATTTTCATTCTTGCCAGAACTGATGCCTTGATACTTGGATGGGAGGAAGCGATGACGCGGGCGAAGGAGTTCAAGAAGCTAGGTGCCGATGCGGTGTTTGTTGAAGCCTTGCCGGACAGGGAGTCGATGCAGCGCTGCGTTCAAGAGTTGGATATGCCCATGCTGGCTAATATTATCGAAGGGGGCAAGACGGAGAATCTCTCTGCGAAGGAGCTCGCTCAATTGGGTTTCGCTGCCGTGGCTTATCCGTGGACACTGGTCGCGGCTAGATTGAAGAGTATTCGGGATGCGCTGGAAGGGCTGAAACAGAGCATGGTTGAGGGTACGGCACCACCTATGATTCTGGGTTACCCGGAGGTGTGTGAGGGAGTTGGGTTTAATCGATACTGGGTATGTTTGGACATTGATGATTGGTATACACATTACTGACATTCAACTAGGATCAAGAGACACGCTATGAATATGATCACAAAGGGTTTATTAATCCTTAGTTAGGATCTATTTGCCAGTAGTCGACTAATGTTTTTCGCTACGATTCCTAAACTGGTGATCCACGTTAAGCCCTTAATATGTTGGCCATCAAGCATATCTTGCTGAATATTTGCACAGCTAGGCAAGATTATGAATATATATAATATAGATGCTTACGAACAACGCCAACATATGGGAGAAAACCTGCCCTTTTACTCCAGAGATCGGATATAACACATACAATGCTAATTCACCCGTTCACTTTGAATCAAACGAGGCCAAGAGCAAGTTGATGAGAAGAACTGGGGCACAGGGAATCACCTGCGCGACGCGTGACTACCCGAACAAGTAATTCATCCCGGTGGAGTCCACATTCATCGGCTATAAATGGAAAACAACCCCACCGGATTATCACCGTCAATATAATGCGGCAAAATCCTTTGAAGTCTTCTAATTGCACACAGAGACAAACCGATAAACAAACGAGAAGAGAAAAGAATCGGGGAAAACGAATAGTGAACAAGATACTAGAGGATCACACCGAAAGGCCGCCACTCATTACATAAAGAATGTCTTCCGAAGCGACGTCAGCTAAAGATATCAATATCGTGGCCGAATACCTCGGTGATCAACAGATCCAAGACCTATCATCATCTCCCTCGGTGGACTGTATTGTCATCTGCGCGTCGGCAATTCTGTATCAAGCCGAACACCTGTTTCAGGTACTACAACAGCGACCGTCCTTAAGCAAATGTTTGGTTCTATGTGGTGGTGTGGGCCACTCCACCCATTTCATGTATGACGCTGTTGCGCAACACCCTCGCTTCTCACGGATCGCACAAGACATCCACGGCTTACCCGAAGCTCGTATCTTGGAGAGGATCCTGGACACTTTCTTTGACCGATCCGCCATCACAGAGGGAGGTTGTATGATCTTAGTCGAAGATCAATCCACCAACTGTGGCCTAAACGCCTCGCTGAGTCGGAAAGTGCTCGATGCAGCAGATTTCCAAGACCTCAAGACATGTATTATCATTCAAGATCCTACGATGATGCTGCGAACAAAAGCCTCACTCCAAAAGGCGTACGAGGACAAGCTGGCGCCTCCCTCTTTCATGAGCTGCCCAATAATCGTCCCGCATATGCAGAGATCAGAAGCTTTGGAGTTGACATACCAGGATCTACCGCTGGGAAACGCATGGTGGTCACTGGATCGATTTTTAGAGTTGATAATGGGGGAAATTCCCAGACTGAGGGATGATGAACGTGGGTATGGGCCAAGAGGAAAGGGGTTTATTCCTCATGTGGAAGTCCCAGAGCATGTTGAAGAAGCATGGTCACGACTACGGGTGGTTTCGAATACCCATCGGTGAATCTTTCGCTGTCGCATTACTGTGTAGAAGTAGAGATTTCATCCTGTCGAAAAGATAGTGCACGTGATAAATCGAGATCAAAACCAACCAAACAACTTGAAATCTTGTCCCATAACCTTCAACCACAAGAGGCGAAGAGTCTTGAATACACGAACATCAATCAATCCACCATGCTGCAAGTGATGTCAGATGGCACGGCCCAGCGACCGATTGGCGGGGTGGAGGGAGCGATCGTCGCCTTTCTTTTCCCAGCTGGTTGGATCTCTTGAAGCCGGCCTTGAAGCCGGCCACTTCAGCCACAATGTCTTCGCCAATAATTATCGTTAGCGACTCATCAGGCGCCACTTAGCTGGACGATCTGCAGGTATCTCGCAATTTGACTCTCGAACCTCCCTAAACGGGATAGTTAGTGAGCCTCTAACACGTCAGTTGCGTGCACGGTCCAAGCGTATTATTCCATGGGGTGTCTCACGTTCAAAAAGTAAAGAAATTGACCGCTGGAGTTGTGATCCAAAGGCACTCTCCGCTTCACCTCGAGGAGATTGACACCTGCAGCTTGAGCATCTGCCATTGGGCGAACAAGCAAACATGGTCACAACAGTCTTCGCAGACTCGTCGGGTTTTGTACCGCAAGGACTCGATCCCGCTACAAACAAGGAGCTGTTGGAAATATGGACCCGTGTTCAGAGTCGAGTGTTGGCGCTAGCCGATGGGGACCAGCGCAAGATTAGGCCGCTCGGTGTGAACGACGTGCTGTCGCACCTTGACGCGGCGCAGAAGAAAGACAAGGTGTCTTCTTGGAAGCTCCAGGCCATTAAAGACTCATTCAACAAAACTTTACTGTTCATCCAAACGGTGGGCAGTATAGCAGCGGGCGCTGCGTCCCAGGTATGGCTTTCTCCAGTGTGGCTAAGTAGATACGAGCTAACGGTCGGGAAGGCGTTTGGACCCTCAGAGCTATGTTTCAATGCACTCAATTTTGTGATCCAAGCATGGCAGGGTTACCAAGGCATTTTCGAAGAATTAGCCGGGCTGCTGGAGAAATGTACCGAATATCTAGGCCGCTTAGAGTACCACGTCCACGGCGGTATGGACGCGAAATTGAGTAAAGTCGCGTGCCAGCACTTGCTCCTCTTCGTGGAAATTTGCGATCAAACTGTTAAACTGCGCTCAAAGAGAAGAAAACTGCTTGCGGGGGCCAAAATATTGTTCCTACAGGATAATGGGGTCAATGATTTGCTAACCAGGATGGAGAGTCTCGTAGATAAAGAGAATCGCCTGGTGGTTGCGCAGACATTTGCGCTTGCCTCAGACGCTGCAACCAACTCGAAGGCGAATCTCTCTCTCATGCAGGGTCTTGTGGATTCGTTTGCAGAGGACAGAGCTGAACAGAAAAAGGAAAAAGATAAACAATACAGGGAGCAAGTTGTCCTGAAGGCGCTGGCGTTTGATGAGACCAAGATGAATCAAGAAAGCGGAGAGCCCGAAGCTTTCTGGCAGACGATCTATCGCAACTATCTCAGGCAGCGTGTAAGGGGCACCGGCGAATGGATTTTCAGCGAACACAAATATGTTGCATGGGAGAAAGGACAGTCCGGTCGACCTATCCTGGCTATTGCAGGTGGTGAAGGAACTGGAAAGAGCTTCCTCACGTCCACTATCATTAAGCGTCTTAATCAGAGGAAGACCACGGAGAGTTCCGACCGTAGAATCTCAACGGGCTATTATTTTCTGGAGGGGAATTCTCGGGATGAGCTGAAAAATGCAACCAACCTCGAGACTGTCGCAAAGTCACTCGTTTGGCAGTTCTGTCAGTCTGAGCGGATCTATCTCAAGTCCGTCGCCCAAATCTGTGAACGCTATAGAGAGATCGACCCGGCAGATATTTCAAAGCACTTGATCTTTGGTAATAGGGATCTGGCCAACATGAACATCACATTTTATATTGTCATTGATGGATTGGGTGACACGGTTGGAGAGGGCTTGGTCAGGTTTTTACAGAGAGCTTCCATACCCATGCCCGGTCGCGACATTCGCGTTCTCGTAACCGGGGATCTTAGATGCTTTGAACAGTTAAGCAAAACGGGGAATGTCTGCTTTGATTGCATATCTATAAGTACTGAAAATCGATCGGATGTTGAGAAGTTCATAGAGAACCGGATGGATAAGATGCCAGCGTTGACCGATCACGCCCGCATGGGAATATCAGAGCTGAGAGATAATATTCGAGACAGATTGTGTGCACAAACTAAAGGCGATTACTTCAAGATACAAAGGACCCTCGACCATATCAGCTCCCTGGAATATAAAACAGATATCAAACAGGCTCTGGACGATGCAAGCAAGGAACGTTCGCAGCAGATAACCGAGGAAATCGAAACAATGAACGAAAGCCGCTCAGAAAAAGAACTGTTGGAAATCAATGAAATTGTACGCTGGATTGTTTATGGCAAGGATCTCCTCACGCCAAAGCAGATGTCTGCAGCTCTATATGTACGAAGCGGGGAGCCGTCGTTGCTGCCCCTTGAGCAAAAGTTCAAGATCAAATATCCGCTTTTCGAGGTGGATAGGAACGGCAAGGTTGATTTCCGATCGTCTGAGATTGAGCGCTATATTCCTCTGAGAAAAGCTACCCATGAGTTGGAGGATTCGTATGGTAAAGAGGCGGCACAAGCCGCAGAAGTTGCCATGGTCAAGCACTACCTCCTCACGGTGTGTCCTTCGGAGGTTTATACCAAGTTGAAGTTTGAGGCCTACCTCGCGCAACTGATCAAGCCCAAGGGTATCCGTATCAATAAGGATGACCCACATACGGGCGAGACAAAGATGGCCTTGACTTGTTTAGACGTCCTGACAGAAGAGACTGATCGAAAACGAATGCGACTCCTTAATTATGCACGGAAATACCTCTTAGATCATTTGTCAGCTGTTGATTTAGCTCTGGCAGATACTGCTTGCAAGAGCGCAGTGGGTATACGCTTGGCGAAACTGTTTACCGAGGGCAGTTCAATCGATATCTTACTACATTGTGACAAGTCTGTTGATGACCCTACTCTTCGATTCAAGATACGACGTTATTGGCTTTACAGTAATGACAGTGTTAATACCATCCTCAGATGGTTTGGCGACTCTGCTGTTACCTCCGAGATTTCCGACACGGCGACGCGGGCTTGGGTCGCGAAGGTAGCCTCTGAGGCAGAGCCGGATGAGGATCTAATGAGACCTGCTGCAAAGAGAATGGCAGTGCATTTTCTACAAGAGGCGCATTCGGAATCATTTACAAAGGACGCGTTCCTCTTCATTGCTGGTTTCGTAAATAAGGTACGTAGAGCTCTCTCGAAGAATCTCGAAACGCTAACCAAGCCTTAGATTGAGCGTCGCAAGGGTGTTGTCACCCACGAAGTGAATGACCCTAGCTATGTTTATTCGGTCGAAGAAATAGAGAACGTTGAAAATTGGTGTCAAACGGTGTTGGATGTCAAGAAAAAGAATTATTTGTGGCACATTCAAATGGGCAACCTGTTGGAGGTGCTTGGGCTCCCCAGGCTCGCTGAGGCTAGAGCTCGTCAAGCCTTGATGCTTGATCCGCAAGACTGGCGAGCTTCATATTTGCTAGCAAAGCTAGTCGGGACCAAGGAGGGAATCGAGATTCTAGCTACTCCTATTGGGGAACGTCTTGCATCCGACACCCAGTGGCAACAAGATCCTGTCCAGCGCATCGGGTTTGCCAAGCTCCTATACATGTTTGGGCTACTTTACTGGGAAGACAGATGTCCGAGCAAAGCCATTGCATACTGCAAAATGGCAATGGAACTTGACCCTACAAACTATGAGCGGGTGACAATGGTTTTGAGTTCTCTCGCTACCGAGGGCCGGTGGGAAGACATCATAGTATCTCTGAAAGGAGTAAAAAATTCAGCACACGTCTCACAGGGATTGCCGGAGATGGTAATAGAGCTCTGGAACGCTGACCGGTTCCACCAGATTTTCCTGCAAGCAGCACTACGGACAAAGCACTTTAATCTCCTCGAAGAGACATACGAACTTGCAATCAATCTCCTTCTAGAGCGCCAGGAGCGTGCCATATTATGTTATGTCCGATATTATTATGCTACAGCAATATACTCACTGCGAGATCGAGAATCTAAGGCGATTTCTGAGTGGGAGAAAGTGTTGGTCGAAGTTCCCCAATCCCATTTGTATACCATTCTGCCGTTGTTGGTTAGCAAACTCGGTCCTCTCTATCTCCATAAGGCACGGACGTCGGGGGACGACACAGATGCTGCTTCTTCATACCTCCAGAAGCTTGAGACCTTAATTCCGGATGGAGCGCCTGGGGCCGACGCACTCCTCCCGCCGAAGCTTTATCTTGCGCGGTACTACCAGACACAGGGAGACGTACTACGAGCTAAACAAATCACTCGAGAGATTGTGAAGCAGGCTCTTGAAATACTGTCAGACGATGATGAAGACAATGACAAATACGCCTATTTTAATCTGTTGACTGTGTTTCTACCCCTGGAGGATAACAGGAATATGCTAGCAAGTTTGGCCATGATGTCACTCAACACTTCCGACACTGGAATCCTCTACTGTGATGGAGACTGTGGGAATTCCTGGTCATATTTGGGAGAGATGCTGTGGTGTAAGGATTGCATTGACTTCCAGATTGACAAGGAATGTCACCGGAAACTTTGCGATGGCGTCCTTCCCTTCACGGTCTGTCATAGAAGCCATGACTTTCTCCACATTCCCGGAAGGGAGTCAATCACCCAGGATATTCCGGTGGGCTGCGTGCCTTTCGGAGAAGCGGTCATAACTTTGGACGAATGGTTGGAGCTTATTAGAAGGAATTATGTTTATATTGAGCACTGATTCAGAGAAACCCATCGTACATACATACATTCATTTACTGGCATACTTTTTTTCCTGGTTCACTCGAAGCACAGAGACCCTGGTATACATGGTTTGTTTCCGTCGATATGTGGCATGAATCATTTAGTTTCGGACGACCAAGGTAATCCTGGCATGTACAACTATAATGATTGCCGAGGTACATATCTTGCACTCGCTATCAATTTGGCACCGTAGGTGGTCATGCTGACTCCTTTTCAACACCAGTCCCTGCTGCAGGATAGGGCTGGTGCACCACTGTCAGCGGACGACATATGAATTTATCTATTGGTGCCCTCAGTTCTAAAATGAACCGACACGTGTGTATATCTCGCATATAAAAAGACCCATCATTCCCTTCCACAGCCCACCTCCCTGCACCATCCCGCTCATTTGTACTTGCACTATTCCCACCATGTTCCTCTCGTTGCGTGCCCCCTGGCGCCTCCTACACGCCATATTTCTCACAATAGCCCTCGTAAAAGCCCAACAACCCTCAGAAGAAGACTTCTCTCCGGAGGACGTAATAACACGCGATGTGTGCATTCTCGGCGGAGGTGCAACAGGCACCTACGCAGCGATCCGTCTAAAAGACATGAACAAAAGCATCGCAGTCGTCGAGCGCAACGACCGCCTCGGCGGACATACAGAAACCCTCTACGTCGAGAACGGTGATCATGTCGATTACGGCGTGCAAGGCGTCTTCAACTACGATATCTCGAAGAATTTCTTCAATCGACTCGGCGTACAATGGAAACCGGTCACGCCGGGCTCCCTCATCAATAAATACGTCAACTTCAAAACCGGACACGAAGTCCCTCCTCCCTCCCCCGCCGCTGTAGACACCGTCGCAGCCCTCCTTGTATACCGTACTGCTATCCTCAAATTCGACTACCTCAAAGACGGCATCTATAACCTTCCCGACCCCGTCCCAGAAGAGCTCCTCTGGCCGTTTAGCAAGTTCGTCGAGAAATATAAGTTCGAAGCCGCCCTCAGGGTGATATACACCTTCGCCAATGCATTAGGCGATATGCTCGCCAGCCCAACGCTATACGTTATCCAAGTATTCGGTATCTCACACATAGACATTTTCCTCCAAGGAGGATACATCACGCCGAACAACGGGATGTCCGAACTCTACCGCAAAGCTAGCGAGGTCCTAGACACAGACGTTCTATATAGTGCCAAAGCCACGAAGACCATACGCTCAGACACCGAAATCAAAATACTCACCCAAGACACCTCTGGGAAGAAAAAGCTCATCAAAGCTAACAAACTTCTCATCACCTTCCCCCCCATCCCCGAGAATCTAAATGGCTTCGACCTCTCCCCGGAAGAAATATCCCTCTCCACCAAACTCCTCTGGAAAACCTACTACGTCGCCGTCCTCAAGAACACAGGAATCCCCAACGACATCAACGTCCAAAACGTCGACCCGGACCAGAAGCCAGGGAATCTCCCACTAGCCCCTTTCCAATGGGCTCTCCAGGACATGGGTCCCAATAACTACCTCGCGAGCAAGATCATTGGAGACATGAACTTCACGGACATGCAAGCCCGGGACCTCATTGTTGCTGATTTACACCGTATGGGAACGGCGGGCACCTTTGATATCCGGAAGGATTGGGAGATAGCGGCTTTTGGGAACCATAATCCGACGTCGTTGATGGTGGGGGTGGAGGATATTCGGGATGGGTTTTATCGGAGGGTGTATGACTTGCAGGGACGGAGGGGCACGTTTTGGACGGGGTTGACTCTTGTTTCGGATTATTCGGCTTTGTTGTGGCAGTATACGGAGTCTGTTGTTGGGGAGATGGTGAAGGGGGATTAAGGGTTGGTAGTCTTAGGTTTGATTTGTTGTAGTTGGCTATACCCGAATCTGGATTCAGTCTTACCTACTGTACCGCATGAGAACTTTCTCTGGTCGTAGAGACTGACCTTTACGTTGAATCAAGGAGTATCTGTATCGAAAGCAGGGAATGTGGAGTTGGACTTCGTGAAGGGCCATGCGTGACGTGGCCTGGTGGACGTAGTCCGCAGTCTGTCAAGCCACGACACATAATACTCTGTCGAGAGGGTTCATCCTTGTAGATTATCGTGTACGCACCATAGACCGAGATATTATCCGAGCATGAATAGATCACTTGACAAAATTTCATGATCAAAGTAGCTCTTTTAACGTGAATTATATACACTTCTCATGATTTCTTTATACAATATTTACAAACTCTACATCAAGTCATCTGTACTACATGCAGTCACCCAACCTTCCCAGCCTGATCCTCTTCAATGACCCATTTCTGTTCCCCAGCCGACGTAGTAGCCATCCGGAAAGCATATCTCTTGTCGAGTCCGACCAAGTAATCCCTGCGAGCAGCACTAGTCCAGTCATAGGTGCCGTAGAAACTAGGTAGAATAGGACTATCGAGAAGCCACACAAGCACCGAGCCAAGCGACTGCGGGACCCTGGGGCCCTTGAATTTTCCATATCGTGTGATGAAAACGAGGACGAGGGCAATAGCCATGGATGATACCATTATCAGGGCGACGATGAATGATGGAAGGGACCGGACTATACTCCATGTGGTGCGTATGATTTGGGCATCGTTGTCTGTTCTCGGCTTGGGGAGGGGGTTGAGGTACATGTCCTTTTGAAGGGTGAAGTATGCTGCGAAGAGCCATTGGTAGACTTGTTTTGTGGCATCGGTGAGACGGTCCGGGTCGATGGTTCTTAGTTCCGGGTTCATGGTTTGGTAGACGAGCTGGATTAGGGAACGGGGCCAGTCGGATGGGAATAATATGGGCTCATTTGCAATGGTGCCGTTTGCTGAGGCGGCTTGGATGGAGGCGAGAAAGTGTTGGTGGTAGTTTGCTAGGTTAGATGTCACGTTGTTCACTAGATTTCCGGTCGTAATTGCGCTGTCAATTGGGTAGTAATACTGCAGTATTCCACTGGGGTCGAAGCCGATTGTGAAATTCTGTATTCTAGGAATCGCCTGGCATTGCAGAACGAGTGTTGGATGTAAGCTTGAGTTGGAGCTCGCGGAATTGGTTGAAAGGACAGTCAGTGTGGCGTTATTAGTCACCCCACTCGGTGCCAGTAGTTGGATTGAATATGGTTCGCTTGTGTTGTTATTGACTGATGGTGTGCCCTCCATGTCCTCAGTACCTCTACCAGTGAGGTGGGGGTTGCTCGAATTCTCATGATACTCATCTTTCAAGAGCCCCTGAGTAAGTGGGACTTGATGACAATTCAAATCAGCCCCAATACCCAACGTCACAGCTTCGTACCTATGTTCCATATTATTCGTATGGACAGAGAATGGTACAAATGAATAGTCCGGCGAGGTCCAAGGAAGTAACGACACTGAATTCAACAGGGTCGATTCAATAGGGCCGTATTGGAAGAAGGTGGGGACGGCGCTGGAACTGAGAATGGTGGAATAATCGTAGCGTAACTCGACAGCCTGGGTAGGCCAGGCTGCTCCCGTGCGGCTTTGGGTAAATAGCGCGCCCAGAACAGCGGGAAGACCAGTGTTAACGATGCAGCACAGTGAGACCAGACTGAGCACGAAGGAGCGGGAGCGTATAGAGCGGAAAAACACGGTAATTGGGCTTTGGGAGGATAGATTTAGCAGCAAGGAATTTTTCGCATCAACTCCCCCTTTTTGGAGATGAAGCCATGGCTCGAGGATACTAAGGTTCACGTAGATGGAATTGAACAGAGCTCGCATCATCGACGCGATGAGAGACGGCAGGATGTTCAAAACAATAGACAATCGATCTGACTCAGAATCTGAAAGCCGTCGAAGTCGGTGATCTTTTGAACACAAAATGAACAATACGGCCATGAAACAAATAACCGCCAACAAGCCTAGAAGCTCGGCGACAAATATGGGCTTAGATAAGAAATGGAGCCTAGCATCTGGACGTGATGCTTTCCTACTCGCTGGTTTGTTGGCTAGCACTTTCTCACGTAGTGTTCTTGGCGGGGCTTCTCCGGGAAGAAAGCCCAGTTTTCGACCTGATGGCTCATGATACCAGTAGCATCGCCATGCACGCAGCTTGCGGTTGAGTTGTCGTGCGGTGGCTTGGTCAGTGTACTCGGCAAACGCCTGAACACTAGCTGGGTTAAATAGGTGCGCCACGATGCTGCACATGGCTGCGATCGACCCCGGGTCAGACTTGAGTATATTCTCGCGCGACCGGTAGAAAAGAGCAAGCAAGACACATGTGACTGCCCCAAGAAGAAGGATTACCTCCGATGCAATGGCAGGGAAGGTAATGACCAGGACAGCCACTTGGTCAGTTGCGCCAACGCCTGGAATAGGTGTATACGCAGCATTTGTGTTAAAGAGGCGGCTCAGCAGACGCGCAAACCCGAGCTTCATATCCGTACGAATTTTAGATATGAACTCGTCCCCGGAGAGGGGGGCCTGTGAGTACTGCGCAGAGGTCGAGCATGGGGGACTATGGCCTTCTATTCCAAAGCCACATCGGTCAAGAGACTGGTTTGTCAACGTTCCGTTGCCAGAGGGGCAAACATTACCCGTAGGGCAGATGCCTCTTTTGAGATATGCTTTGAATCCAGCTATATCCAATTGCGAACTATCAAGAGCAGACACGGAGCCTTTATGGACACCAATTGCGACTACCGAGCCATTGGCCTGCATGGAAACCTCCGCCTTGGCCATATAATACCGCATGTCACAAGAGAAGAACTGGGCCTTGGATGTTTGTCCAGCTAAGCGACCGGTACTTGTTGTGTCAATGTCGAGGAGGAATCCATATATATCAAGTGGGGCACACGGGATCGTATCAAGCTCCCAGCGTCGAGCCTGTAGTGGAGTAGCTGTCAGGTCGAAGATGCCGCTGTAGTTCGCATTTAAGGTGCAGTTCTGGGAAGAATCCGAAAGTGAGGTCAAGTGCAGGTCATGAAGCGCATAGGTTAAGGTAGAGTAATTGGAATAACCAGCAGGGGTCTCCCCGACGCTCACAGTGACATTCGCTGTGGGTGAGTTACTGATTGGCAAACCGGAGCATATAAGGTCCGTCCAGTACACTGTATGATTAAGTTTCCATAAAGCCGTGGTGAGCGTATCATCAGAGGGAAGCTCAACTGGCGGGATAGCGAAGTGTGAGAGACGCGACGGTGTCTCTCCAGGATCTCCCCTTGTCAGAGAATAAAGACTCATGTTCCGTTGCGCAGATATCCATTCAGCTTGCTCTCCGACCGCCACCAGCTCCGGCCAACTTCTCAAGGTCGCGGCAGAAGACATTGGAACGCTATCAAGATCCAGCAAGGCGCTCAGTGTAGCGGGCAGCATTAACTGTACTAGAATATTAATGATAGCTACGCCCAGCACCACCCAATGTTTTCTTCTCGCCGATGAGAAGGGCGTCGATATAAAAGGTCCAAAGATATAATTAGCGGAAAGTACGTCAGCAGGAAAGATCTGCTCTTGAGAGAGCTGAAAGTAGGGTTCCAAACGGAAGACATCGTAGACCGTAAAAGACCAAAGGGTCAGCAACGACAAACCGAGAATTGTTGGAACATAATTGTACGCAAACGTAACATGATTTGGTACATCGTCCGTGTCATCGTAGAATACGAGGCCACCTCTGGTGTCACTGTACTGTCGAAGCAGCTCGAGAGCCAGCAGCATCAGGCCCATGACCGAGGCCAGGAAAAGCAGGTACGTCGGGCGGAGCGTCCTTGGGCGCCATCCTGTCCCTGTCACCGACCTCTCCGGTTTAGCGTCATCTTGCCACCACCACCGCATCGCACACGGCGACCTTTCAGGTTCCGCAATCGAACTGTTGCCGGCGGTATCTAAGGGCACCTTCTCGTAGCTTTGTCCCCTGATTGTGGGGTGGTTCCGCTACTCCCGACGGAATGAAAAAGAACCAGAGGCATTGGATTAATTAGGAATCGCCATTTTAGGTGACATCGCATCCGACCCAGTTAGAAGCTGTAGGGACCATTACTTGATCTCCAATATTCATCCATGTCTCACAGTCAAGCCGAGGAATATCGTGTGGGGGACTTAATATCGGCCCGTCGAGAGGTTGGAAATGATTTTTAAGGTTTAACGAACAGACGGCAGATTCCCCGTGCCGATGGAGAACCACGTGATGAAGGACCCACGGGCGGCTACTCCTATACTTAGTACGGCATTATTAACGGGCGTCGTCCTCCGTACCTTGCGTCGTCATCATCTCCTCCACCGCCTTCAATTTTGTGCCAGGCACGTGGATGGGATCAATCATGGCACCTGAAACGAAGAATCATATATGTGGATAGGTCTTCATAACTATGGTATACTAGTCTATAGTACCTTCTGATTAACATCAAAATTTGTCTCACGCACAAGTGGTATCCAGCTACTCGAGCATTTCATTATCATATATATATATATATATATATACATGTCCGATCGCTCAACGCGACGAGCATCATTCCACAACAATCAATATCCAACACTTCGATTACTAGATGACTTGACTTACGGTGATCAACCTTACATCTTCCCGTCTTGAGGCCCGGTTCCATTTTGTATATGTATACTCCAATTTATTGGATGCCTCCGTAAAAGCTATTGGCATCCATTACTGAGCCGAAGTGATCTTGCATGTCAAGACTGTCTCTGTGCCAACAATGCCATATCCCACCGGTCGCACACAAAAATATGCTGACATGATGCGGTAACCACAGTCCAGTGCTGCTGGGTATCGCAATTTCGGTGGATTGGGTTGCTCTTCCCCATGTACTTTATGATTGCATATCGGCGCCCACGGGTCGCTAAGCTCCTCCCCGAAATCCAACCCGATGCGCTCGGGACCTTCCTCCCCGCGCTGGTTGCAGGGTATTCTGTCCCCTCAACTTTGGCAATTTCTTCCCGAAGACTATCGCCATGCGCCAATGCTTCCACGCCATCTGGTAAGTGATTCCCCATCACCCTGCAGGCTCCCCTCCGCCTTCTCGAGAAACGAGCGCATCCCCACCCACCAACAGTCTGCGCTACATTCGTGGCATGTATCTGTCGCTCACTCTGATCTCTGGATTGACCTTTGGTTCACACTCGGCGCTCGCTTTCGGAGGGGGTGTTCATGGCTAGTTCCTTTCCTGCTAGGGCTGTAGGAACACAACTTCCCGTGACGACCTTTGCTGACGGTGTTGCGACATTTCTCAATCACAACTTGACGATCGCGAAAGGCAAGCGGATTTGTTTGGCTGGCGATGAGAATTAGCGAATTAAAGAAACCGTCTCGTGGTGGAAGGTGATTGGGGTGATTTGCGGGGAACCACTGCGACTTTTGCCCTGGCTTGCGGATGGAGGAGAGAAATTTTGGCCAAGATTGCGAAGACTGAAGAGTCGCGTTCGAAGAAGAATTGATTCCAGCGTTGCTTCTGTATGTATACAAAAGTCGGTAGGGAAAAAAGTACCTTGCGATCCAACCTTGCGACAATTTCCAAGCAAATTAGTAGTCCGTCCTTCTCTTGACAATCTCGGACGCAATCACCTCAATAAAGCACACTTGAGATGGGATTTGTTCCACTCCGATTCACACGACCAATGCGACCCGCTTCTGACTTTTTATTTCCTTCATTTGATGAGATTCCCCGCATGGCGAGGGAAATTTTGTTGTCGCATCTCGTCGAGAATGATCTCATAACCCGCGGGGTAAATGGCCTTTTTAGGGCTGGCCCCATCGATGCGGGCCGGAGGTTAATTACCCCAGATAATTAAAAGAGAAGTTGTTCGCCGGTTACTTGCCGCGCCCACCTTAAATAGTAATCACGGGGACAGTTGCGGAGAAGAACTCGCCGCAGAATTACCCAATCCAGATGATCCCCTCATCTTTCCTCCCCAGACCAAAAACATCCATAATTGAGCTGGAAACTCCACCAACCTGCAATTATGGAGAACAAACATCCCACCATGAATGGTTATATACCCCGCCTCCAACGGAGGTCTAACAACATAAAGGGGCCCCGACGCCCTCCAACAGATCAAGAATCATCACTCAATCCTCCATCACAATCCCACAGACACAATGGCCCCTGCTACCCTCAAAGTTGCCATCGCTGGCCTCGGCCGCATGGGTGCTCGTCACGCTCACCACTTCTATGCCCTCACTCCTCGCGCCGAAGTCGTCGCCGCTTCTTCTCCCGTGCAACATGAGCTGGACTGGGCCAAGGACAACCTTGGTGGCGCTCGCACTTATCTCGACTACGACGAGATGCTTGAACAGGAGCAGGCGAACGGTCTGCAAGCAGTGGTGATTGCATCCGCTACCAGTGTACACGCCGAGCAGGCCATCAAGGCCATCCGTCGTGGATTGCACGTTTTGTGTGAGAAGCCACTCAGTATCAATGTTGACGAGGTATGTCTTCACTCCTGTCCCCTATCACCATACACAAAGGTGGGGAAAAGAACAAAAGTTAACTTGAATGATACAACAGTCGCAATCCGTCGTCGATGCCTACAATGAATCTATCCAGAAGTTCCCCAACCAAAAAGTCATGTGCGGTTTCTCCCGCCGCTTCGACGCTTCCTACCGGGATGCCTTCAATAAGATGAACGACGGCCTGGTCGGCACCCCCAGCGTCTTCCGCTCCCAGACCTGCGACAAGCTCGACCCCTCGGGCTTCTTCGTCGAATACGCTCAATTCTCCGGCGGTATCTTCGTCGACTGCTCCATCCACGATATTGACCTTGCACTGTGGTTCTACGGCACAGACTCGGTTGTCAAGTCCGTCACTGCTATCGGTATCACTGCCGTCTCCCCCGAATTGAGAAAGTACAATGACCGTGACAACGCACTCGGTATTGTCGAGTTCTACGGTGGAAAGATCGCACAGCTGTACTGTAGCCGCATGATGGCTGCTGGACAGGAAGACAGTACGTTACTTTTTGTTTTATTTTGTTCGATAGAGAATGAAAAGACAACTAACAAGCACGCAGGCACCGAGATCATCGGTACACAGGGCAAGCTGGCCGTCAACACCCAGCCCATCTCCAACCTGGTTAACATCTACGAGTCGACCGGGATCCGTCGCGAGATCCCCCCACACTACTATGGACGATTCCGGGAGGCCTTCATCACTGAGGCGAATGAGTTCACTGCGGCCTGTCTCGACAACACTGAATTACCTGTCAAGCTAGAGGGCGCTGTCGCTGCTGTCCGGATCGGAGCTGCTCTGCAGGAGAGTCTGATTTCGGGTAAGAAGATTGAGTTCGATGAGCAGGGCAACCGAATCTAAGCGGATGTGAGGAGATTGGGATTAAGCATTTTACGGGATTATCTATTCTGGCAATAGAGATTATGTTTGATAGAATTTAAAATAGACGACCTTATGCAATGCAAGTGATGCGCATTTTTGTTACTTTATTGGACGTCCACATTTGGGTCGAAAGGATGGGCATTTTCTGAAACTTGGTATCTGACGGGTGAGATGGCATTGGTAATAGTTTTCTGTTTGGGAATTCAATTCACATCATAGAAGACGAAAACCGGAAGATGGCAGGTAGCTTGCCGAGTAGATTGTACAGATAATGGTGACCTTAGGATCGAACTGACTGAGAAGCCTGGGGGCTCTTTTGTATTCTACATAAAAAGCCAAATACCTCGGTCTGAGAAGAATTTGAGAAGAAGAGACTGACGATGCAAAGTGTAGGGGTGATCGAGGCTCAGCACGAGGCAGGGCAGGAAACCCTAGCAGTTGGAGGAGGAAAACGTATCATGGGACTTCTTCGATACATGAGTTCTGAACTAAGGATCTAGAAAGGTTGCACTGATTTCGATAGAAATTATACAAGATTAATCGCCCCATTTCTAGGTACATTTCACTAATAACTCTTGCCAGACAACACTTACAATAACTGATCGATCTTGAGCTTTGTCCTATGGAACACATCCGTGCCCCTCCCTTAGGTAGGGGTTCATTGTAGGGCATGCGAAGGGGATAAGTGTTTAAGGCGACATATAGGTTCACCCCACTGCAGAAGCCTATGTGAAACGATACAGAATAAATATGGATGGGGTACGCTGTACGCAAACAATGAAGCACCGGGTACACACCGGCTATCTAGATCTACAAGCTATTTACACCCGAGAAGCAGATAATATGAGAGAGAAAAGGCAGTATATGCCAGAAGAAACTTCAATTTCAATCCCATCCCCACGCTTCCAGCAACATTTTCTCCACCTTCCCCGTCGGAAAGGCATGTTCCTGACGCATGGTTCTCAAAACGCCGAGCAGGGCTTCCTGCTCATTACGATCATCGAAGTACTCTCCGCACAAGGTGATACCCATTAAGGCTTCAATGAAAGCCGGTGGGGATTGGCGATTACACATCGCGATGCCACACAATCGGCGCACGATATCCTTAATGGTACTGGCCAGCTGCCGTTGGCTAGAGACAGACCCGGGTCCTATGTTAGGCCGACTTTGATCGAAAGCAACTAACAGGATGCGAGCGAGTTCCAGATGGGTGGTCCCTGTGACGTGGCAGCTCTCCAGATGCCAGATCTCTGGGAAGATCTGTCCGGAGTTGGTATCAGGTTCGCGGTAGCACATGGGCTCGAATGATTTCGGGAGGGCTAGGGTTAAATCCCGTTCGTAATTCCGTAGCTTGTGCCATTGGGAGGGGTCGTGACGGCGAAGGGAGGGTTGATCCGCATTGTGGTGGATGTAGCTGCTTCCGTAGCAGTATTCGAGAAGGTCGGCGCAGAAGATGACGAGTCTGTCTGCCCAGATGACGTCTTCGGCGGGGGATAGGTTGCGGAACGCATCGCAGTGGTTCATTGGGAAGTTGAGAGGGCGTTGTTTCATGAATGAGGTGAAGAGCTCTTGACGCAGGGCGACCCAGAATGCGGCTTGTCGAAGGCCATCTGGTCTGGGGACGTGAGGAATGGCATAGGGCCATAGGATGTTAGTCTGGGGAGTGGGGGAGGAGAGTGGGTGGGAGGGTGAATCCGGTGGTTGTGGTGCATGGACCAAGTGGACGCTTGGGCCATAGAGGTCTTCCTGTGATGGATAGACGGGAGGGGAGCTGTGCGGTAATGTTGCCACTAGGGGTACCTGTGCATTAATAAACATGTTTAGCATGCCTAGGAAAACTTCAGTATCCTCCTCGCCTTCATGGAGGGGAGCGTCCATTTCTTCGTCGGTGCGAAGAATGATTGCTGCTGCCAGAAGGGCTTCATTATGAATCTGTTCTGGATCCATGCTGAGCCGAAGGAGGTCTTTGATGCATTCATTGTGATAGTAGACGGCAGATTCCTCGCTCAAGTTTGGTAGTAGATGGCCCTGCCACTCCACGACCCCGGCAGAGTTGCGATACCTTTGTAAGCGAGTCAAATGGCGGGCTGAGGTAGTTAGGATGGCATTTAACAAAGTGGGCGAGGAACGGGCCCGTTGCGGCACCAGACGGCTGAAATGACGCTCGTTGTCACATAAATCAAACCGAGGGCCAATGACCTCAGCGAAATAGCGTAGGAGGATTGCTTGAAGGCGGATGTCAGTATCTCCAACGAAGACGACGGGTCTGTGCATCTCTCTATGGCTGTCAGTAGGCGCTCTGCTTGCACCTCCATGTCGCGCGGCCGTATTCGAGCTTCCCAGCGTAGTCATTGCCGACACGGTTGTTGCCTGCCCTGGAGTCCCACATTGAATAGCGTTTTTAGTAGGATTGTTTTGGCCCAGGGCATGAAATCGCGCAACTTCTGATTGAGTTCCTACGGCGGCCCCAGCCCGAAAGGAAACCTCCTCGCCGTCAATCCCTCCGTTTTCAGAATCACTCGCCGACTCGTAGCCCGAGATGACGTCTACAGTCTCGTCGATAAATCTCAGCCGGGCTACAATGACCTATCAGATTCTAATCGCTTTCTTTTCGTGCAGCTTGGCTGATAAAGAACTCACCCGATCTACGGCTCAGCTTTACCCAGACCTGGTCCGGAGCAAAGGCCTGGTCATACTTTGCACGGCTACCCGGACGAAATTGAATCGGATTCTTGCGAGGGTTGCGGCGGACGCATGTCCAGCTGTGTCGTTTACAGGGCTCACATTGGTCGGTCTCATACGTACCTAAGAAATTTAGCTTGGGTCTAGCCTTCCGCCTCGCAGACCAAATACTTACATCGAAGATGCTTGGATCGGCAATTGATACATGGAGTTTGAAGTGGCACTGGCCGACCCCGTGGGGAGACTGACGGTGGCAGTGGGGGCTCGGACGAGGCCATTCTTGTATTGGCTGTGGACAGGGGAGGATTTAGAAAATAGTTCGCGACTTGCCCCTTTTACTTTAGAGGGTAATTGGAATGGTAAAGAGTACCTGCAGTCGAATGATAGCAGAGAGAGGACACAGTCATCGGGGCAGAATTGCCTCACGGGAGGATATCGGGCAACTTGGCGCCGAGGAAAAAAGCCAATCATTCTCTCCAATTGGAGGTCCACCGATCATCACATCTTCTCCCCGCGTTTTCAAGGCCGCGGGAACACTCCTACAAGGTCTCAGCCAATCAGAATCCTGCTAATACGTTGAAGGAGACCCATATTGCGTTTGCAGGGCCTCGTCTAGATGTATACCAACAGAGATAGATGCTGGGCGACGTTATGATCAAGTTTATAAAAGGGTCGTGTCGGTCATGTAGCGATGACTCTTGTTCTATAACTGCAATTGCCTGTGGATTGATAACACAACCTCTCGTCTTCTTTGATTGAATTGCCCTAGGCTATAGCAGCTCACTATGGCCCCAGACGAGGATACAAAACCCCAATATCCAACAACCACAATGGACGACCCTAAAGGGGCGAACCTGCCAGAAAATGCACACATTGAAGTGGCCGCCGGTAGTCTAACCACGGAAACCGGCATCGACGACCTCCCAGTTACTATGTTCGTATGGCTTGTCGCCTTTACCGCTTCGATTGCTGGAATGTTGTTCGGTTATGATACTGGGATCATTAGTGCTGTTCTCGTCTACATCCATAATGGGTTAGACAACCGCATGCTCACTAGTAACGAGAAGGAATTGATCACATCCCTCTGCTCGGGAGGCGCGTTCTTCGGATCCATTGTGGCCGGACTGACGGCAGACAAGGTATGGATATACTACTGAGTGATGAGAACAATTAAGTAACTGTTTGTCTCGCGAAAAAATAGTTAGGACGCAAAGCGGCAATTTATTTCGGCTGCGCGTTGTTTACAATCGGAGCCGTCCTTCAAGGAGCCGCATACACAATTGCCCAAATGGCCGTGGGTCGGGTTGTAGTAGGCTTCGGTGTGGGGTCAGCTGCCATGGTGGTGCCTTTGTATATTGCTGAAGTAGCACCTGCAAAGGCGCGTGGACGACTTATTGGCCTGAATAACATGTCAATCACAGGTGGTCAGGTAATCTCCTATGCTATTGGAGCTGCCTTTGCCAATGTCAACCATGGCTGGCGGTACATGGTGGGGCTTGGGGCCTTACCAGCCCTAATCCTGGCGGCTCTTATGCCTTTCTGCCCGGAGTCCCCACGCCACCTGGTATACAACCACCGCCAAGAGGAGGCCCGGGACGTGCTCCGTAGAATCTACGGACATCCATCGGATGTTCAACTGGCTTCCGTTCTAGCCTCAATATCCGCCGCCTGTGATGAAGCTCGGGAGATCAACGAGGGTGCGACACGGTGGACCAAGATCAAGCAGCTTCATACTGTACCTAGCAATCTCCGGGCATTGGTCAGCGCATGTGGCTTGATGGTTATCTCGCAACTCTCGGGGTTCAATACGCTTATGTACTACTCATCCACCCTTTTTGCATTAGTAGGCTTCGATAATCCTACCGCGGTAGGGATCGTCGTTGCTGGAACTAACTTCATCATGACCTGGGTCAATATGATGGTTATCGACAAGATGGGTCGTCGCCGACTACTCTTATCCACCGCCTGGGGTATGTCCGTCGGTCTTATTGCGATAGCGGTAGCATTTTGCTTTATCCCAGTCGACTTAGATACCCTCGATCTGAAGAGCAGCAGCGTATCACCTCCGGCAATTGTCGTCTTGGTGTTCATTATATGGTTTGTAATCTTCTACGGTGTCTCAGTCGGTAATACAGCATGGATGAGTACAGACTTTTTCCCACTGGAGGTCCGCGCGATGGGCACTATGTGGATCACCTGCTCTAGCTGGGGCAGCAATGTCATCGTATCCAGCACGTTTCTGTCCATGATGAAGAGTATGACTCCGTCTGGAGCATTTGGGTTCTACGCTGGCATTTGCGGTGTTGGGTACATTTTGATATACTTCTTCTATCCGGAGGTGTCAGGTTTGTCGCTGGAAGAGATCAAGGAGGTATTCAAGCATGGGTTTGGGGTGAGATACGCTCGGAATCTGCGCAAAGAGCGCAAGGATAGTATCCAAGAGAGGTTGAGGGTACAAGGCAAGACGGTTGTTGTAGGGCATTGAGGTTATGTAAACTTAGATAACGGATCAAGTATAAAATCACCAGTCATCAGCGTGCAGTCAAAATCATATACTTCATTATGAATCTATTGAGGGCAGTGGTTTGTGATCGACGCAGATGTGCAGTAGCTCTACTGGCAACCATGGATGAGTGAAAAACTAGTCTCTACCTGATGAAGGTTGCGATAATCGAGCTACTTGCTCTCGAGAGAGGTCTCGGATATTTCCCCTTGATTCTCATATTTCCGCAATTTGCCTGAAATAAAAAGAAAAGAAAAGAGGGCGGGGATACCACAGGTCCTTTCAGCCAAAAGACATATTAGCAGGCACATGGCTCTCTCATGTCATTCGCAATGCCACCCACGAAGAGAATGTTGTCCAGCTTGTTTGCCTCGTTCGGATTTACCGGTCATTATGTCGAGTGCCAGTACTAGGCCGATACTCCCAGGTCCTTTACAGCCATCAACCCCGATAAAACAGGAATAAATCTATTCCTGTTCGTGTTGCTTGTTAACCAAGCTGTCATAGAGCCGGAGTAACTTTACAACGGGTGTGCACCATGCACCTGCATCGATACGTTCGTGAGTCGTACGGGATGAACATTTGTCATGCCTCTGTGAAGGGTTGGTGGATATAGGTCCATGTTCTCGACTCAATGGACAGGGCTTAAGGAGGCTTGGCTGCAGCCTATCCCTGATGAAGTAGGCTTTTCACATACCAGGCTGAAATGGAGATCGTAGATAAGCGACTGCGGCCTCAATCCCTTTGCATAACCTTGTCGGCCACCATTACAGCCGCCGAAGAATTTAGGTCACACCAACAAGGATCCCCGTTGGGTTTGGTTACTCCAAATAGGGACACCATAACAGCGAACGCAAATACCGAAGTATCGTCATATGCCATGATTTCAACACTCCTGAGTCACCGCCAGACTGGCTAAAGCATTGACCTGCCATGATCACTACATGCTGCGTGTGCCGAGTAACCTGGACAGTCTAGACTCCATAACCTGGTTGAACAGGTATGACAGTAGAACATCTGTCTACTCCATGTATATTGATATTACGACCAATGTGTCCTACTCATTTACCCGTCCAAGCTGAAATCACTTGTCGCGGAAACATACACCTGACTTATGCTTGCGCAATCTAGACCTGCATGTTTAATTCGGTTACAGTTGCACGGAGTATTTTCAAGGTTGACAAAGGGGTTGCAACGTGGTACTAACTGAAGACAAATAAACATTGCGTTCTCATATCGAAGTGGTACATGGCTATGCTTATGCTGCGGAACATTATATCCACCACCCACGTTGGCACTACCGGGTAACTTAATACTGCTTTAGCCGACTTTTGGGGCCGTCACAGTCGACCATCTTAGATCAACTATTTAGGACTCAAGAACTGGGAGCAGGTATACGGTTAATCATCTTAGAAATGCTGCAAAGATATCCTTTACCGCTTAGGTCAAAGTAAATTCTGTAGGTGTCTATATACGTACAAAGCAGTTTCTATAAAACCAGTCTACCAGGGGTCATTCAATATAAAGCAATCTCTTCATAGACCACCCTAGGGCACTCCAACGGAATCAAGTGCTTCACATCCTCAATAGCCCTCAACGACGTTTTGACACCATTCTCATCAAGAAATCGGTAGACCTCAGTCTCAACTCGCTCTCTTGGCTCGACAACATCCAATTCCCCAACAAGTACACTCGCCCGAATACCACGGTGGCCAATGTAAGCTAGAGCCCTCCTCACACCCCCGGAAACATCTTCCGCCATGCCATACGTAGGCCAGGCTTCTTTGGCAAGTTTATTCCCACTCAAGCTGTCATGAATCACCAACTCGATGTCGTCTTCACTTAGGTTCTTAGGGTTTGCGAGTACGTTCTCAACCGTCCACCTTACCGACTCCTTGGTCTCATAGGCAAGCTTTTGCTGTTCTTTCATCTCTGGAGGGAGGCTGAGAGCTGTCGGTGGTGCTGGTGCTACTAGAATCAGACCCTTTATTTCTTGGAGCAGATTCTCATGGAGGGCTGATAGCGTGGTCAGAGCTATTTTCGCTCCCATAGAGTGACCAACGAATATGAAGCCGTGGTTGAAAAGGTCCTTCGTTCCGACGTCTTGTTTCAACTTCTCTAGTGCGAGAGCAACATCGGAAGCCAATGCCGTAATTGAATATGTGTTTCCAGTTTCCTCAGACGGACCAGTAGACTTGCCCCAGCCCCGAAGGTCGACAGTAAGAATCGGATGAGTAGTACTCAGAGAAGTTGGTGAATCAGCCGATATGAGCTTATGCCATGTTGATGAAGATCCACCCCAGTAATGGAGGAAAACCAGAAGTGGCTTTCGACTGTCGGTTGAAGGTCGAGAGATACGCGCGTGGAGGGATATATCAGAGGAGAGGTTTAAAAAGATGGACTCCATTTTCGTGATGTGTTTAGGTTATTCTTGCTTGTAGCTTCGTATGAATGTCTTTCCGGTTTTCTTGATACAGTGCCTCTTACACTATGATTGACACTCCATATATATTGACATATGGTGATTGTTCATCTGTTCGAATTGATTCCTCATGACTCACACTCTTACAAATTAATTACAGTGTTGGGACGTTATTTGGAATTATATTTCCATCATTTATATAGTACCTATGTCAGCATATGCGGAATGATACCGCTGGGCACATAAGCATTCTAGAGTCGACTCTCGAATCTAAGTAACTGAAGTAAGCCCTAGGTGATCCTGTCAGCGGTTTGGTTGTTATTATTGGTGGCTAGGCTAGAGTGGGTCTTAAATGCTTGGTATTAACCTACTTTGCTCTGCTATGGAGGCGGTCAGGACTGAAGGTTAATGTAGAACAAATTAATACATTGGTTTGGGTGCTTCGTCGTGAATATATGTGGGTTTTATAAGAATATTACGTCTGGTGTGCTTCGCTGTGAGAGAAACGTGATATTTAATAGGTTCAATTAAGGGGTGGATCATCTGTGCAATATACAAAGGAATGTTGAGGTTAAGTTAATAGCGGTAAATTAGAAGACCTATGAGAATTCTTATATTATTTACTCTTGAGAAGGTATATACTACAAAGTACTAGTGATAATAGACAGTAACATAAGGCCCAGTAGCATCAGAGAAGGAGAAGGACACCCATGCTTGAAGGTCGGTGCACTCATTGACGTCCATATGTGGTCTAGAGCTTAAATCATTAGCTTATTTCAAAAGACTGGCATATATTCAGGGCTAGAAGAGGGACATACACATATGAAGCCAAATGGTCAGTGTATGATTGTGCATGCTCATGGAGCCCATGTTGTCTAAAGAACTCGACCATGACTTTTGCGACAGCCAGGTCGTTCATCCCAGTAGTAGGGAAGTATATCTTAGGCTGCGGATATGCCCTACCAGGGAATATCTCTAAATTGAACAACATTGGGATAATGTTGCAGGGATCACCCGGGTTTCTAGGTCGGTTCTTCTGTTCACGCAAACCATCTTGAATATCTAAAGAATTCCATAGATCGCGAACCATGGCAAGACCTGCCATCGTTTCGGGATCTGAGACCCGACCGCCAAGAGTCCAGAGGTCTACGGCACTCTCGATGCTTACTTGGAACTGTGCAATGTACAATTTGAATCGACTTTTGTGAGGCTCGACAAGGTCACAAGATATCCAGTACGGGGCCGTAGTGGCTGGGACTGAGGCAAAGTATTCCTCAATCATGTCCATAGACTCACTGAAAGCACCTATTGTATCCACATTGCGCACTGCATTGAACATCAGCTGCGCGCGAGGAATTCCGGTGGCTAGTGATTTCAGTTGAGGGTAGAAATATAACTTGACTGTCACGTCATCGTTATTGAAATCTAGTGCCAGAAGGCTCTGCGATTTCGCCGGCTCATCATCCAATATACCTCGTTCTCGAACTGTCGCTTCCTCTTGATCCGTTAATGAAACCTCATTCACTAGCTGGTGATACAATTGCAAATCCAGCTTCATGTCCAGCTGCTTGAGACGATTCAAGGCCTCACCAAGAGCACGTCGATTGCATACATCGCGACCGGTACTAGAAATGAAGGTTGTCGGCTCGAAGCCCATTCGAACAGTCTTCCCAATCTTTGTAAAGTTCTGGCTGAACTCCAGCGGCCCTAGGCCACTAAATACACTTTTGTAGAGCTTACGACGCTCAGTATCAGGCCATGGACCTAGAAAGGGTATGATGTGTAGGCCATAGAGGCATAAATATTGATACTGCTGGTGCACACTGTATTTGCACTGTGACAAGAGATTTCCTAGCATCGGTGCCGTGTTGTGCCACCACTGATGCTGGTCAAAGCTTGGGAAACTGAGATATTTGCTAAGAAGGTCATTTGGTTTTGATTCGTCGTTGTCAGTCGACGTTTGTCGCTTGCAATCGCCCTTCAAAAGTGCATAGGTGGTCATAGCTGGGCTGAGGCAAGGTGGTTGTAAAGTATAAGATGAAAGAAATACGAGCAAATTGCGGTCGAGTGAAGGCAGAGGTAGAGAGCGTGCTACTTCGGTCAATGAACCATGTGAAGCTGCACGTAAAGATCGGTTTCCTGGCCGGAAAAAGGCAACCAAGGCCTCACTGAAGGTAGTTGGAAGTTGGAAAGAGCCACAGGATCACTGAACACGAGGAATGGATATCTGACATACGGCTTGCGAGTTACATCCTAGCGACTAGTCATTGCAGGGCATGTGCTCTGTTGTGGAATCATTTCGTTACCGAGTAGTAACCCAACCTGTAACATATCTTTTATCAGACCCCTTCCAAATTTGCATAATACCCCAATTACAAGAGGCTCTTATGCAATATCACCAGTAAAGCTATATGTCATGCTCCCACAGTTCGTGATCTACGTAGTGGGGTGGCCGTCAAGTACACTTAGGAGATACATCACATGTTGACACAGCATGTATAACAAAAGGCTTACACAAGGACATTGATGGTGTAGAGCAGACTCAAACACACAGGTAGCATTGTTGATAATTTCGGCTACTCTAAGTATAGGCGACTTTTTCAGCACAGGAAAGGGAGCTATGGCCGTGATATTATTGTTCCACCGTACGACTTTCTAAACAATACGCCGACCTCTTGACACCGAAGTGTACTATAAAGCTGAATGGAAAGGTAACTTACAGATTGTAAGCTCAGCTCCTCGATATGATGTATATCATCTTCTTGGCAATTGCTTATTGCTGAGTTTGCCATCCGCTACCTAAGATAGTCGGCAAAAGAGAGCGAACCTTTATAGTAACTTAGATAGGCTAGTATACAAGAGGAGGCTAGTTCCCAATGGACATCATTGTAGCAACAGACGCTGCTTTCACGATCAAATGATTGTCAGGAAGATTTGCTTTACTTCAACAAAACGGGCTTTTATGACACAAATACATGAGTTGTACAATTAGCTGTTACATGAGAAGCGGGAGAAGAACATGATATTACCAAGAGTGGACTAGATGCGCCTATTAGAATCTATGTCTCTAGCCAGACACCGCTATGAAGCACTGTTTCACAGTCGGACATGGTGTACCAGCTCGGCGACTAAATTCTCCTGGCGGTCAGGTCTTCTCTGTTCCTACGCATGTTGGAGCCACGGTACTATTATCTAAAGACGACGGGAGACTGCATACTGAGAACATCACACAGGTCTCCCCTGAAACGATATGATAATCGTGACCTGGGTGAGACCTAGCTGCGGCAATATGGTTGTACACTAGAGCAGTCACTTTATTGCTGAGGGATAAGTCTAACGAGCAGCTGTGATGATGCCATATCTAGAGGTTCAGCGACCTGTTTATCACTTCTCAACATATTATGACAATAGGCAAGGATGCCTCCTGGTTCCCTCTCAGTGACGACTGCGTTTCACAGATATTCTAAAAGTAAAAAGCCGCTTCTCCCCAAAGGGACATACTACAGTACATGAGACTCTTAATGGTCTAATAGCGGTGGACTATCCTTGGATAAGAATGGGAACCGGCTGCTTGCTTGCATCATGTCGGTCTTGCATTGTGCCATTCCAGGATCAAGCGGCATTCACCCAGCTCAGGTACCGACAGAATGATGTGTAACCTTTTATGGTCTATTTTTACTCTTATCTGTACAATGTCGGTGCGTTCGATGCCATATCATCAACACACCTTCGTGCCAATGGATGTCATTTGGTCGCCGGGGAAGCCGAGGCCAGGTGGTGAAGGAATCAAATGATACACAGTGTCTATATCATATAGAGGCAGAGGGACATATTCGCCATGATACCTCATTTGCTAACCTCCCAATATCGAAATATTGGAACTATCCAGGCACAGTTCCTCAAATCCTTTGATGAGACCAAGAAATACTCGTTCACTTGTTAGGTCCATTCTATGTAGAGGCTACACTCGTTTTCTTGCCGTCGTGTTTGTTTAAAGCACATACAAGTCTAGGAATCTATTATATCATCACTAAAATGCTGAACTCAGAAGATGAAAGGGACGAAAATTCTTCATATCAATGTATATTTCCAATATTGGCTACCTGCGGAACCGCGAACAGAGATTCCGACTGTGCCATCTTTGAACAAAGTGAAAGAAGTGTCGTGCTCAAGATTGAACAGAATACAAGTTCTCTCTATCACACCTCACTTGTTGCCTGGTCTATCCTTCTAGCGCAATATACCGACTCCAATAACGTTTACTTTGGGGGTTTCCCATGTGAAGCTAGCAATGTCTCTAGTATACAACAATGGGAAGCGGTGGTAGACTCCCAGTTGCCAATTTCGGATGCCGTGACTCTCAGAAGCACCCAGAGATGGCTACTCGATGATTTCGCCCGCCGTGAAGTATTCAACACTTGTATCGTGCTTAGCCCCAACGACTCGCAGGATGGCTCCTGGTTCAAGTCAATGCGGAACATTGAAAAGGTGATGGATATCGTGGTCAGTCGTTATCATACGAGCTAATAAATGAAGAGTGATTCAGCTCAGTGACATTATACTATTTGTCGAACCTCTTTCGCCTACACCAAGGATATCGCTTCGATATATGTCCTCTGCTCTCAACAATGTTCATGCCGAAAACATTATTAGTACACTAGAACAGATAATACATTGTCTGATCCATAGGCCAGGTCGGCCACTCGCCGACTCGTGTCTAATAAGCAAGCACCACCAGGACCAAATAGCCAAATGGAATAGCGATGCTCCGGCTGTTCCGTTGGACAGTTGCATTCACACTATCTTTCGCGTACAATGCATTTTGCAACCAGGCGCCCAGGCGATTTGCGCCTGGGATGGAGATATAACATATCGTGAGCTGGATAGGCTGTCTTCAGCTGTACAAGAGCTACTGCAGCCATACAATCTTACTTCAGATTCAGTCGTACCGATTATCTTCAAGAAGTCTAAATGGGCTGTCGTCGCCATGCTTGGAGTGCTTAAAGTAGGCGCTGCCTTTGCAATGTTGGATCCAACTTACCCGACAAAACGGCTGGTGGATATATGTCAGGGTGTCGATGCAAATGTGATAGTTTGTTCAGAAGAGCTATGTGTAGGCGCTCCGGGAAGCACCCTTGTAATCGGGGACGATAACATGAAAAGGGTAGCATATTCTGCGGCACAGCCAGTGAAGACGACTTCGCATGATGCGGCATATGTGGTGTACACATCAGGCTCTACAGGTGCGCCGAAGGGCATCATCATAGAGCATGGCTCCTTTTGTACCAACAGCATTGCTAGTAGCCAGGCTCAGAACCTTGATCGATCATCTCGAGTTTTGCAGTTTGCGTCATATGCGTTCGATGTCAGTGTCCACGAGTGTTTGACTCCATTACTTCTTGGTGGATGTGTCTGTATTCCATCCGAGTCACAACGTGTCAATAGCTTGAAACAAGCTATCAGAAGCCTAAGAGTTAATTGGATGGAGCTAACACCATCGGTGGCTAGGCTCTACCAGCCGGAAGATATTCCAACGGTCAAAACCCTTGTGATGGGTGGTGAGCCTATGCTGCCCACTGATATCTCCCGATGGAAGGGCAAGGTTCGGCTAGTATGCGCGTACGGACCGGCAGAGTGCACTATTGTGTCAACCGTGCAGCCATGCGTTCAAGACTTGGGAAATATTGGGCTTTCGCCGGGTGGCACCTGCTGGATCGCATCAAAAGACAACCACCACCGGCTCATGCCAGTTGGTTGTATCGGAGAGCTCATCATAGGCGGCCCAATTGTAGGGCGAGGGTATTTGAAACAACCAAGTCTGACAGCAAATGCGTTCCTCACAAACCCAGAGTGGGCGTCATTGTTCCATCTTAATGAGACTCACCGATTCTACAAGACTGGTGACCTAGTCAGATATAACTTCGATGGAACAATCGCTTACATTGGACGGAAGGATACCCAAGTCAAGTTGAACGGACAAAGGGTTGAGCTCGGCGAAGTTGAACATCAGGCAAGACAATACTTCTGTGATGCTGTGATTGCTGCTGAAGTTGCTGCTCCAGCAGGACGTAAGCCTACATTGATTCTCTTTATTGCTCCAAGGCAAGAAGACTCCGTTCGTATGGATCGCACAATGCTTTTACGCCCGCCAAGCGCTGTAATTCGGAGACAGGCCCAAGCAGCCAAGGCTCATTTACAAAAGGTCCTCCCAAGGCATATGATACCCACAGCGTACATCGCACTACTAGCTATCCCTATTTCACGGACAGGGAAGGTCGACCGGAAGATTCTGCGGGAAGCTATCAAGTGTGTATCGGAGAACGATTTTAGAGCTTACTATTTAACACCGTACAATGATATGAGTAACTCACCAAGTACTCCCACCCGAGATCAACTACGGCGCCTATTTTCAGCGGCACTCGGCCTTCCAGAGGGCAAAATCGGACCCAATGATAGTTTCCTCCAGCTGGGCGGCGACTCAGTCAGCGCTATCAGACTTGTCGGGGATGCCCGAGACCAGGGACTGCAGATGACGGTAGAATCCTTGTTTAGACACCAAACTATTTCTAAATTGGAAGATTGCACTCACCAGGCTTCAGGGAGCGTTGATCCATTTATCCCAGCCTTTTCATTGCTTGATTCATTAAGCAAAGCCATATACATTGCTCAGGCAAGTGAGCAATGCTCCGTGTTTCCGGAACAGATTGAGGATATCTACCCGTGTACGCCTTTACAGGAAGCCTTAATGGCGTACACCTCGAAAATACCGGGAGCATTTCAGGCCCAATTTCGCTTTCATCTTCCCCAGAAACTTGATTTGCTTCGTCTAAAGGAAGCATGGAGGATAGTGATTGGCGCCAACCCAATCTTGCGAACTCGCATTATTCACTCTGATATTGGGGCTCTTCAAGTAGTCATGCACCTTGAGGAGCTTTTGCAGTGGGACTTGATCTGCGATAAAAATAAGTCTCCTAGGCCTTCGATGTCTTATGGTACACCGCTTCTTAATCTAGCAGTTGCGAATGATACAGAAGGGAAATTGCGCCGGATATTTTGTCTCACAATGCACCACGCTATATTCGATGGATGGTCGTATGCTTTGATTCTTGGCGCCGTTGAGGGTGCATATAAACACATGAATGCAGTTCAACGGCCTTTCACCCCGTTCATCAAGCACATATTGAGTTGGAATCACGAATCTACTAAGAACTTCTGGTGCTCCGAGTTCAAAGGCATGCAAGCAGTGCCATTCCCTTCTGCGCCCTTAACCCTCGCACATTTGGCCAATTCTATCACCACAACGCATCGCCATATTCACGTAGCCGAGTGGCTAGGTGGCTGTTACACGCCATCAACAATTATTCAGCTTGCATTTGCCATGCTAATTGCCTGGCGTACTGGGTCTATGGATGTTGTATTCGGCCTGACCGTTGCCGGGCGCAATGCTCCAGTAGCCGGAGTGCATAAAACGACTGGTCCGACTATTGCTGCATTCCCTCTTCGTACAATACTTCATGGGAGGCTAAATGTCGCTGATTCCCTAGTACTCATGCAAAATCACATTACAAGGCTCATCCCTTTTGAGCAGACAGGGTTACGACGGATAAAGTCACTGGGTTCTGAGGCAGCCAGCGCCTGTCAATTCCAAAGTCTGTTGGTGATACAGTCTGCCACAAATCGACAGCCACCAAAAATACTTATAGACTGCCCTACCAATGAGTACGAGCAGGTGAAGTTCAGCACATGTCCGTTAACTCTAGTGTGTGAACCTGGGGCGCAGAAGCTGTCAATGAAGGCCGTGTTTAACAATGCAGTCGTCATTACTGATGATATGGAGAGGATGTTGGACCAATTGGAGTATCTTGTGGACACGATGACCAAATTTCCATCCTTGAAAATCCAGAACATCATCCCACCTCCCTCTAACATCTACACTAATACTCTTTGCCAAAGCCAGTCATGGAATTCGTACATTGAGAAGAAGGCTTATGAGTATTTCAGTGGAAAGGCAGCTGTCGTTGTTGACGCCATAGTACCGAAAGGAGATTTTAATCGGATCACTGTTATGTTCATCTGCGAACCTAAACGGACGTGTGAGACGACAGGAATATTGGGCCTATTTATACGACCTACAGACCAATTCAGGCGGCAGCTTCAACAATTGATTTGTAGCCTACGACAATTGCTCCCCTGGTTTGTGGTTCCATCACTATGCCTTCCAATCAGCTTTATACCGTTAACCCCATCTGGACAACCGGATAGAGCCCATTTATGTGAGGTAGCTTCATCTGCGGACGTTTACATCTTACGCTCTTTAATGGATCCTGACAAAGAGCAAATTGGTTATCATATATTGCCGGGAGAGGAACGTCTTCGAACCATTGTTGCTCGTGTTCTTGGTATGGACCCACAGAATATAAGTCCTGGGGATGACTTCTTTACTCTTGGTGGGGATTCAATATCTGCAATGCAGGTTGTTTCCCTTTGCAGAAAGCACTACCTGTCACTGACAGCATCGGATATATTTGACGGGAAGACTGTCAAACTCATAGCATCAAAATCGAAGCCCCTCACCTTGTTCACCCCTCCATCGACTCCTGGAAGTGACCGCAGTTTGGAGACGCGTTTCTCCCTTCTTTCCTTGGGGTCTGATCATGACCTGGAAGGACTTGAATCCGCAGTTATGGCTATATATGGCATCCAAAGCATGGATTGTATTGAGGATGCGTATCCCTGCAGTGAAGCACATCAGGGGCTACTGCAAACGCAAATGCTGCAGCCATTTGATTATCAGTCCTATACCATATGGGAGGTCACCACTGGTAGCAAGGCCTCTGCTGTGTGCCCCATTAGACTGCGCAACGCTTGGTTTAACCTTGCGCGTCGTCACCCTGCGTTACGGACACATCTCATAAAGAGCCCATTGTGTGACGGTATCCACTCGAAGATACATGTTGTGCATAAAGAGTATTCTAGGGGTGTCCCCATAATTTCTTGTGCAGATGAACTTGTTTTTGCAGAGTTGAGGAAGTCGTTCCTGCAGACTAGCGCGAGCATATGTTATCCGCATGCATTTACGATTTGTCAGACGCTCTCTGGTCGCGTGTTCTGCAAGCTGGAGGGCGGGCATGCATTTCTTGATGCTACTTCCGTCTTGATCATTCTTCATGAGCTATCGCAGGCGTACGATGAACAGTTATCCCCTGATCCTGGGTCACTATATAGCACTGCGGTAGCTTGGCTTCAAAGTTTGTCAAATGCTGGTGATCGCATGGACTACTGGAGAAGGCAATTAGAAGGTGCTAGTCATTCTATCTTTCCAAGGCTGAATGATCAAAGTTCACCTAGCAAAGCCCTCGTTGTTACTGGGCATCTCGCTAGCATTGCTACATTGATACCATTCTGCACTATACATGGACTCACTGTGGGTAATGTGCTACAGGTTGCCTGGGGGTTAGTACTGCGGCAGTATACTGAATCCGATGACGTCTGCTTCGGTTCCCTCATATCCGGGAGAGATTCTCGAATTCCCGAGGTCGATAAGATTGTAGGACCCTTCTTTAATGTTTTAGTTTGTCAACTTCACTTTAGTGATGGTTCCTTCCTGGATATATTACAGAGGAATCAAATAGAAACCGGTAACCGATTGCTCAATCAGCATTGCTCCCTCATTGAGGTACTACGTTTCTCAAAATACTTCGGCCAACCTTTGTTCAATACTTGCATCTCAGTTGAGCAGCCGTTGTCTATGGGTAGCTCTGATTCGAGTCTATGTTTCAAGGACTTAGAAACACTAGAGCCGACAGAGGTAAGATTCGAACAATCCCACTGCCTTAACGACTAGCTGACCGCGCTGGACAGTATGGTCTTATAGCTACCGTTACGATTGGACCAACAGAAGTTGTGTTAGGGCTCACCTACAAATCTGACTTACTCACAGAAGACCAAGCATTGGACGTGGCCAACCGATTTAGGATGTCCATCATGGACATTGTGGGATCTTTGGACAAATGAATGAATCTTGGTTGGTAGATCCTGAAGTGTAAATCCACATATAATCTAGTTAATATTAATTTACCCACTACACTGATCAAGACTCTGCCAGTTTTGCCTCTTAGGCGGAAGGTACTAGAGAGTAATTATGTTGAATCCTTTCCTCTGTAGACCAAATATACAAACCAGGAATATATATAGAACAAACTCCATGAATTATGCGTATATTACAAGTGTCCAATACAAACAATCATAACAATAAGAAAGATTCACTTCAGCTGCAACTCACCCCTTTCAACCACAAGCCGTAAAACCTCCTTATTCAACCCCGACCAGTGTTTCCTACCATATATAAACCAATAAACAAAAGCTAATAAAGTCGAGGCAGCAAAGATCGGCAATGCATAGTTCATGTTCTGGCCTGTCACCGGCCGATAAGATGGGAACGTCAACCACACAGTGACATAGGCAGTATAAATCAAGGCAAAAATATTAACCGGCAGACCCCATCTACCCATATTCCAGTTTCCCATTGGTACCGGGTCTTTCCGGAAACGGTTGTGCAACATGCAGCTGATGGCGATGAAGTAGGATACGAAGAGACCTATGGATGAGAGAGCTATGAAGGCTCCGAAGGCGGCAGTGCTTGCGATGTTGAGGCATGCTAAGACCATGACTATAAATACGGGGAGCCATACGGCGCGGATGGGGACGTTATGTCTTCGGTCGATCTTTGGTCTGGATGTTAGTTGAGTCTTATATTGGAGGAGAAGGTGGATGGCGGACTGGATGTACATACGTATGAAAACCATTTCGGCAGCGCACCATCCCTAGCCCAGGCCCATGTCAAGCGGGAGGCGGATGCTATGCTGGCTAGGGTTACGGAAAGCCCAAGGACTAGAAGCCCGCAGACCATGGCGGTAGCTGCCTGGGTGGATCCCGTGGCATATTGACAGATCTCAATGATGGGGAAGCTGGCGCTCAGGGCGTCCTCGACAGAACCCATCGTGAATAACATGCATATAACAATGGCATACGCAAGAACGGCATTAGTGGCGACAGACCAGATCATCGATCGGGGTACTGCCTCTCGCGCGCGACGGACCTCTTCACTCATGTGGACTGCACCGTCGAAGCCTATGGCCATTAGTTGGTTTAATATACACTAGTTAGTGGTTGCATTTACTGACCGACGAACCCCCATGTCGGGGTTAAGAGTCCAATGTTCCATGAGACGAAGGTATTATTCCAGCCTGACTGGGCTTGGGTTGTTAGGAACACATATTCCGGAGCATGCCGTGGGGATAATGCAACAAAGACGACTAAGAAAATGATAAAAAGAATAATATGAAGGACCCCAGCCAAGAGCTCAATCCATGGGATCAGCTGGAAGGTATACATATTCATCAGGCCCTCGACGATGAGTATTGCAAAGATGATCAAAGTCAAATGCCATCGTTCCGATACGTAATCAGGGTAGTTTGTGATCGCTAGACCTTGGATTGTCGTCGCCGTGGTATTCGCTACACCTGCGAGGAGTGAGACCCAGGCAAACCAAGTAATCCAGCCTATGTCAGATTAGCTGTTAGTATAACCGCTCCTTGACGCTGATAAGGTGTGGTGAAGTACCCTGCATCCAGGTGATAAACCTCTTTTGACTATCCGGCGCCAGATAATGGGTCCAGTGATACTGTGCACCGGCAATGGGCTGCATAGATGCCATCTCGGCTAACGAAGCGCATTGTGCCAACGCTCCAAAGACGACAATCACAAGCCCCCAAGCTAGAGCTTCGGGGCCTCCGTTTGTGAGGACCGCGGTTTGATTTCTAGTGATTGCGCATCAGTAGCTACTCGATGCAGAAGGCACAAGTACGTACAAAGCTTGGGTCTCCCAGCTCGACATGAATGTGAGCGAGAAGAAGAACATTTGTGTGAAATTGAAAAGGCGCTGTTAATGTTATATGTCACCCAACCCTGTTTAACGGGTGTGAATTTGTGGAGCATCGCACCTTTATCTGAGCTTGACTGGATGTATCATCATGTTCTCGATTAGCACCTGAAGTCATTGGACTTAGAAACCTGTCTGCAGGGGTCTCCGTATTGGTTTCGGTGATCGTTTTCATCTCATGCTGTTCCATATTGAAACCGGGTCAACTTTGAGTTGTGTTTGCTTGGGAATAATATTGACGTCTAGTATATTGTGATAGGGACAGGTTCAAGGATGCAGAGAAAGATTAGAGTCAAAGAAATAGAGAAATTAGCGAAAATATATTGAGGGGAAGAGGAGAAACACCAGTAGGAAAGGATTAATTAACAGCCGGTTCAAACCCTAACTCCCTGCATGCAGTTCAACACGCTAATCACGAATATCCTTGCATAGTCTGCCTTGACAACACCTTTAGCAGCTCCCTAGTGCTGCAACCCTACAAGGGTATTTTATTAGCCAAGAGGCAACCCAGTCCGTACATCCGCGTCGTCCGTTGTGTCAGTTTAGGGGTAGAAAAATGGCTAATGTCATGTCACACATGTCTACGCCGTCGGAATCTGCAACGGTGCCCACCTTTTGAAAAGGCTTATAAGTGCGATGCCAGCAAATGGTACCGAGATCTTGCCACCGCTTCTCCCTGTTTCACCTGAGGACCATGGAGCGTGGGTGATTACCGTGAGTACTATATTGTTGATAGTCGTGGCTTTGGCGACTTCGGTGACGCTTATCTCGCGGGTGCGAATTCTTCGCTCGTTGACTTGGACTGACACTTTCCTCGTTGCGGCAACGGTAAGTATACCATGTTGTATGTTCTTTGCTGGAATATATTGACCATTCCTGGAAGATCCTTTTCATTCTTCAAACGACTTGCGTGAACTTTGCCAGTTCGAACGGTATCGGTAAGCACAGGGATGCGTTAAATGATGTGGCGTTTCAATCTTATAACAAAGTCAGCTCCTGGTTTGTTAGCAGGCGATTACTGAGAAACTGACTACGTGCAGTTTGTCTGCGCAAGCCAAATCCTCTCGGTTATCGTGTTGGCGTGCTCTAAGGCTGCAGTTGCACTTCTCTTGATTTCCATAAAACCGTTTAACACTGTCCTTGTCGCGTGTCAAGTGCTTCTAGGGCTGATTGGAGCATGGACCATCGCATTTGCTATCAGTCTAGCTGTCCAATTTGCACAGTCCCAGTTATGGAACTCCAACCCCAGCAGTTACATGAACCAGGAGGCACTTTGCACAGGTCTGGCGGTGTGCCACATAATGCTTGATATAGCTCTTGTCGCATTACCTGTTATCCTGATATGCAAGGTCCAGATGTCGCAGTGGAAATGCCTCCAAATTTGCGCTCTCTTTGGGTTACGTGTACTGTGAGTGGTTTTTACCTCCCTTCCCCGACGTCGTTGGCCCTGAGCTAACCCGCAGGTCAATGTTAGGGTTCCTGCCCTGACTATACAGTACATCGTGTCGCTTCGCCCTGTCTTCCACTCAATACCCCTCGACCAACCCTGGCATATTCTCATGCCAACACTATGGCTGCAATTGATACAAGGTGCATCTATTATCTGCACATGTATCCCGAACCTCAAACGGGCTCTCGCTGAGCTACAAACAGGGATGATGGCTGGCACTGTTTCTGAGTTGTTCGAACTTTCAGTTTCCGGGGCACATAGCGAGTTGACGGATGGTCCTACGTCAAAGCCAGGAAGACAGAGGGCGAATGCGACCGAGCACTACGGGCTCGACTCAGGTGGTCGCAGAAAGAAGCACATGGAAGGGCTGCGCCCCAGTAACCACAGGCGGATGATAGAACCGAGTGAGAGCATGCGAGATCTCAGAGGAAGTGCTATAATACAGACAGTCGGGTATGAGGTCCGTTGGGAGGGAGGTGAGTGTAGTAGATCTTCTTCTACTTCACGGGGTATACCGGGAAACCATGGCGATGGCTTGTCGGGTTGGTAGTTTCAATAGCTGGTCGATGCTTAAATGAGATCTGGCATTGTTCCTATACCATTTGATATATACTCAACGTCCAATCTAGAATATAAAGAGTCAATAGCTGAATAGTAATATCAAGATAGTTCACTCGGACGCCAAGGAACCAAACTCCCCAATAATCTCCCGAAGTCATGCATATTGAAAATAAGCACTACGGATGGACGGCATCGTGTGGGGACACAAGACACGCTAATTATAACGCCGTACAGCCAATTGCGGGCGACGCTTGCTATATCCCACAATACTAAGGAAGCCATGGCTGATCTATCACACCTCAACCTCCCTCCTCCAAGCTTACGTTCGATGTCAATGTTTTTCAACCTCCCAGGATACTTACCCACTACCCGTCTTCTTGCACCATGGCGAATAATGCATCCTCATCAGAAAAGTATCCAGAAACTGCTGGACCGGCAAATATCGTCCCATTGATCCCTCCCACCGACCCGAATTTGGTGACCTGGGACGGACCAGATGATCGTCAGAACCCTAAAAACTGGCCCGCTAGAAAGAAATGGATGGTGTTTGTTCCAATGTCACTGTATAACCTGTTGAGCTCTATGTCATCGGCTACAGTTGCTCCAGCCTTGAGCACTATTGGCGAAGATCTCGGGTTTCCTTCTAACACACTGCTTATCCTGAGTCTATCCATCTTCTTTCTTGGCAGTGCGATCGTGCCACTGTTTACGGCACCTGTCTCAGAGATGATCGGAAGAGTACCAGTTCTACTCACGATGAATGTAGTTTATATCGTGTTCAATACAGCATGCGGTGCTGCCAAATCGCCGACTCAGTTAATTCTCTTCCGCTTCCTTGCCGGCTTGGGCGCCGCCGGTCCATATGGCGTAAGTACCCCTACCACAGTGACTCCTATGTATCTCCACTACTTAACACTAGACAATAGATCGGAAGCGGCATGAACAGCGACCTCTTTGAGGCCCACGAACGTGGCAAAGCCATAGCAGTATTCACACTGGCACCTCTAATTGGAACAGCCATCGGCCCCATCACAGGCGGCTTTGTCGTCCAATACGTGTCATGGCGATGGTGCTTCTACGTGATCTCTATCGCCATAGCCGCCATCCAAATCGTCGGACTCATCCTCCTCCGCGAGACCTACGGCCCCGTCCTCCTGAAACGCAAAGCCGCCCGGTTGCGCAAATCCACTCAAAACCCCGATCTTCACACTGAGCACGATCGCGCCTCCACACACCTCACAACCAACCTCATCCGCCCGTTCCGTCTACTGACTACACAGCCCATCATCCAAGTCCTCAGTCTCTATCTCGCATACCTAAATGGAATCCTCTACCTCATGGTCGCTACCTTCCCGGACGTCTGGACAGGTATCTACCACGAGTCCGTATCCATCGGCTCCCTCAATTACCTCTCCATGACGGTAGGACTAACCATCGCAACACAATTTGGCGTCCGCTTCGCAGATAAAATCTACCAGCGTCTCCGAGCAAAGAATAATGGACAACCAAAACCCGAATTCCGTCTCCCAATGCTGTGCGCGGTGGCAGTCGTCGTCCCAATCGGTCTATTCTGGTATGGGTGGAGTGCGAGAACGAGTATTCATTGGATTATGCCGTACGTATCTTATTGTTGCCCGAAGATATCCAGCCGTCGAACAACTTATATCTAACTCAAAATGACTCTCCAGAAACATCGGCGCAGCAATCTACTCCGGCGCCACCGTCGTACAGCTCGTCTGCGTTCAGGGCTACCTGATCGATGCGTATCAGGTATACGCGGCAAGCGCAATGGCGAGTGTTATGGTACTCAGGAATTTACTGGGGTTTGGGTTGCCGCTTGTTGCACCTAGCTTGTGAGTTCCTATTTTTCTTCCTTTTCCTTTCTGTGACATCCTTTACATTATAATGATGCTGTCTTTGGATCCTGCTATCTGGACTCTCTGACATGAGTTGACTAATGACCTCTTGCAGATATGGCAATCTTGGCTTTGCATGGGGAAATACGCTTCTCGCGTGCGTTGCTGTTGTGATTGGGATTCCGGCGCCGTTGTTACTGTGGTATTATGGGGAGGAGCTGAGGGGGCTGAGTACTTATGCGAAGCGTTAAGGTTAGGTCGGGATTGTTGTGGATATAGTAGTCCTTTTTTTCGCATCAGGGAATATCGTGCTCGTTTGATAGATGTAGATGAGGGGGGTCATTTATGGTCTCGGGTGCTCTTCAGGTTCATCTGGGTTTATTCTGGATAGAAGGGATTTTTGGAGATATCAAGTGGTTGGCAACTGTCAATTGACTACTACAGTAGAGAGTGAGAGACTGACCATGGATAAACAGTAGTATCGATGACAGTTCCCAATCAACAGTCCAACCATAACCCAATTCCTCGCCACTACCTACAAGCCACACCTCCACAGTCCAATCCAATCCATTACATAAACCCACCACTCAGTAAACAGTAATAGCAGAAGACCCACTACTCTGATACCCCTCCGTAGCCACAATCTGATAATTGTGCGTTCCCAACGTCAACCCATACTTCGCCCACGCGTTAAAATGATTCCCTGTAGTGACGGTCCCACCCACACGCTTCGAGGTCCTCACAGACCAAAACTGCGTGAAAGTCGCCGTCCCGATGATAGATGGCGCATTGTAGCGGACAGAGGTATAGATATCATACGTGCCTCCGTCGGAGGTAACCTGACCCTTGTAGGTGCCGCCGCTGCCGGGGTTATATGTGCCATAGGATTCGACAATGTAATATTCGATTAGGGGATCGGTAGTCCAGCCGTAGACGGCTAGGTAGCCGTTTCCGCTGGGGTTGAAGGTTCCCGAATAGCTTATTGCCCTGCGTGCGTTGGTTGATTAGTTTTGGCTTTATTATATGTGTTTGACTATGGGGTAGGTAAGAGGTGGGAGGGGGATATGCTGAGGAGAAGGGGATTTGGTATACCTGGAGCTTCCGGGATTCCAGCCTTTTCCGCCGACGAAGTTACCGACGTTCGACCATTGCACTGCGTAGGAGCCGCCGTTGCCGTTTGTGTAGGTCACGTCGCCGCCGCCGTCGGTCCAGAAGGAGTAGTAATAGCCATTGTGGTAGCCTGTGCTGCTGGGCGTGGAGCGGGTGACAAGGTCATGAATTGAGGTTTCGTTGAAAGACTCGTCGGGCTTGTCTGCGAATGGCTCGATTGGAGTTGCTAGTGCACTGATTGCGGCGGAGCAGGCCAGCAGGATGGAGGAGAAGGACACCATGTTGTGTGGTTTGACTGGACTGCTTTGGCTGTGTTTGACTGCGTTGGTATGTAATGTTGGCTTCTCGTGGAATTGACCGGTATTTATACAAATTTCCCCGTCGGGTCTGGCATACATCCTCTGCTAGCTGTATTAACCACGGATGCCGGGTATGGAGAATCACCGGAAGGATGATTTCAGTTTAGGCATGTCGGTGATCATTTCCGTTGCTAGACTGACGAATATCCGACGAATATGCCGCGATTGCCTGCAGATTAACGGCAATTGCTGAAGCTGGTTCGGCTGAATCACGGTATATGCAACATGGTATAGACAGGCAATCTCGATCACGGTATTTCGTGTAGTTCAAGATACTCGTCAGGTATCTTTGCCAAGAGTGCTCGTCCGCGCTAAGACCTGCCTCCTTGCTAATAACCGTCTCATGTAGCATTTCACAGCTCACACATAGGCTAAATTGGCTCATTACAGCCATGAATAAGCTTCTTCGACCGGGTAATCCCCATGGCCTGAAGAAACCACACTCGGCTGCAACCTTAATTCAGTCCGTCCATTCCATGATGCGGGGAATATGGATCCTCGTGAGGTACTTCGGCTGTTGTCCGGCAAATGGGAATCTTGGCAAAGGCGTTAGTCAATTGCTGTTTAGCCTAAGCACTGTGCAGTTCCTCATTCCGAGTCTAGAACCTGCAGCTTTACCAGGTAATGTTGAAGGTCATTGCAAGTGCCTACTCTGACATGTAAGATTGACCAATGTGATAACGGACTTGGTTGCTTCCTGTATTATCGGGCTATGTAGTGTAAAGATGCAACAAATCTAACAAGTCTCCCAGACCTAACAGTTACTTCAACAGAACCAGCGGATCCATAACTATTACCCAAACTCCCATATCAAATACTGGACCGAAAGTGATACAGATAGCGTACTAGTTCTTGGTCGGTGGTTTCTCAGAACTTGGAGCCGCCATCGAGTACCGAGGAGGGAGTTCATCATACTCATCCGACGATGAACGCCGGGAAGCGGTGTCCGCTAGCTCGAAAACCCCGGTAATAGCAGTGCCTTGCTCCATAGGGGTCATTTGTACCGTGGGACTAACAACATCAGAGACGATAAAGAACTCGAGGTCATTCGCATGGAATTCGAAAGTCTTTCCCACACACTCAAAGGTAAATGACGCGCATAGCCGGTAAGACCGGGAGATGGTGAATGTGCTGAAAGATACGTCTGAATGTCTGAATATGAGCGGTCCGAATGTCTCGTTCAAATCGAGCTGGCCCAATACGGGCATGCCAAGTGACGTTTTCGATAAGATTTCCAATCGATCATCCACGTCGCCAGTTATTGAGCCCCTCAGCGACTGAGAAGCACGTGCAGAGGTTCGACTCATTACTGCGATGGACACAGATTGTAACGTGATGCCCGGGAAGGGCATGGACGAGCCGTCCGTACATGGGATAATATCCAACAAACATGCAACTGGTGCACCCTGCAGTACCCGGGTGGAATATATAAAAGACGCCTTGAAGTCAAACTGAGGGAGTTGCTTCTTTGACAGCCACGACTGGAACTTCTCTCCAACCTTGAGACTTCGTCCCCGATTTTCCGGCAGCAGGAGAAGACTGCGCACAGTGAACACCTCGTCTTTATGCTTTCGACTTAACTTATCCGCATGATCAGTGGGTTCCCACTGTGCTGCCAATGGCAGAAAGTTGACTCGCAGCGCTTCGGTATATAACGGCGCTTTCTTCGACAGAAAGTTCTTTTGTGGCTTGAACATTTGAACCTCGATGCGATATTCGATAACACAGTGAAGCTTCCGCTGCGAGTCACCCACGTCCACCGCAAACGATGGAGGCAGCGGGTGGTGTTCATCGCTACGGAAAGGGGCTTTTTCGGGCCATTTTGCGGGTGATTCCACTTGCGAGGGGAATGTAAACTCGAATGGCCATTCGTATGTATTCCGGGCCAGTTGACCGCCATTAGGGATGGCTAGAGTCTTTTCCTCCTGAAAGAGAATACATTTGCTTCGGTAGGTCGCAGCGGGCGCGGCGGCGCCCTTGACCTTCTGTACCTTTGCCTTGGCGCGGCCGTAAAAGCTCACCCGAATCTCTTGAATGTCGATCGGGTTGGGGCAATGATAGACGACGCAGCCGCGAAGATGTTCATGACCTGAATAGCAGGCTAATTGATTTTCCAGCTGAATTGTGAGCATCGTGGCCACGCAAGAAAAGTCACTACAACCTGGTGCGATGTGGACAATCTCACGAAAACAAAGACTGTTGACGAGAGCAAAAGGAGTGGAATGATCACGAGGTGCTCTATACCCTATACAGACTAGGGCTTACGAGGTATATTCCAACTCAGCCTTACTCTTGACTGTCTCGTCGATCCTTGCTTCTTAATCTCTTACGAGATGAACGTATAACCCCTGTGATAATTTCCCCCGCTCACAGCGGTCGTAAGATTACCGAATTCATCCAATTGCGCCAGAATCGCTGTCTGAGCGTCCCGGTGGGGCCCCTACCAAGATTCTTATCGTCGTCGTTAAGCATTGATGGACAGCGACTCTGCGGGTCTATAGTGATGCTCCACCATAATCCTCCGGTTCCTCCTCCACTGGTCTTATTTTGATTCGAATCAATATGTTACCTGACATCTCTCCCATCGAGGATTGTGCAAAGAGGTCCCAATTGCAGGCTTAGGGAAATTGGCGGGAGATGTCAATGCTCCTGGTGCCCCGTTAGTGCCATCTTAGACTCCGTTTCTCCAGTGGATCCTACGGCACGATATCCACTCAGATTTCGGACAAATCCGCTGCCCGCATTGCGAACAATGGTTGGCAGTTTCAGGTCCCGATCGGCAAGGCTGAGCCGCTACTTCGCCTCGAAAAAGACGCAACTCGTACGGCCACGTTCGATTTACCCTCGTGGGAGAACTGATTCTTATTCTCTTAGTTCACAAGCTGCCGGTAAATAATAAAACTCATGTGTATCACTGCTCAATAGCACGAAGATACGTCGCAACCTTTTGGCTAAAGATCCCATCCCCGACGAGTTGATCGGCAGACTCCACAATCCATGTCTGACAGCTCCTTTGGTTCACCTTCTGACCTTTTTGGCCTTCCGAAATGGTCTAAAAAATTGTCTATTAGTAGAATATCCCAGTTTCTAGATCAGACAATGATGTTATAGGTACTTACAGTCTGGGTAACAGTATTCAAAGACTTCTCTGGAGCCTTGACCTTGTATGCAGAAGCTTCAAAGCCACAGACAGGCATATTGTCCAACTTAAACACCCCATTATTCATCATTGCCCGTTCGTCAAAGTATTTCCCATCAATCCATTGTAGGGGGGTTCTAGTCGAGGGACATTCACTGTTCTCATCGTGGAAGTCATAGTTGCGTTTGATCTGGAACTCGAAGCCGTTCCTTACATCCCCGGTCGCATGAAGCTGCACACCGATATCAGGGTCGGAATGTGACCGGACCCAGTACGCCCAGTGATCTTTAAAAGGCCAGCCGTTGAAAATTAGTAACTCGACGAGGTAAGACCCGGCGGGTCCCTCGGATGCTACATTTGGGGGCTTGGGGGCTATTTTGCCGATCAATGGGGGCGGTGGCGGCGGGGGAGGAACATCAGTCTGGTCTGACTTCTGGGAAGTAAAGGAAGACATACTGATGTGACTGAGTGGTTCTGTCCCTATCAAAGTAAACAGTTGTTGGTGGTGGTCAGGAATTCTCATGAAACGCAAATGGGGAGATGATCAACATTGTAGCCTGTTTGGTATTCAGCACGGATTAAATACGGGCCAACCAATCAGTCCTCGAACGCCTTCTAAATTTAGTACAGTATCTACATTCCGTACAATTGAAGTCAAATTTGTAAGTAAACGGGTGTGGTTAAGACTATGTTGTCCTATCTCAACAGAAATAAGTGGTCAAGTAACTCAGCCGTCGTCATTCGCTTTCGAGCATTTTCCTGTAATATTCCCGAAAGGAACAAGCCAAGTCGCTCAATATTTTCGCCGCGAAAGTCAGCCGGCAATCTTTCCGTCAAGTACTTCCTAAAAGTATCACCTGTCTGGTTGTTCATATCAAGGACTTGTTCAATAAGCTAGAGGTGTTCCTTGTCATATTCCTAGAGGGAATAACGGCTCGTTCGTGGCCAGTGCAAAGATCTTTTCACAATATTATCACAATATTATTAGATAAAACTATGGTATCTTAGGAAGTAGGGGCCTTTCGCGTACCAAGAAACCTAAGGTCCAAATATCAATACTAGCGTCCCAGGCATTGCGGTGAATTAGCTCGGCTTCACGCAGAGAGCTGGGAGTAACCGGTCACTGATCGCATTGTTGGCGAAAGGCAGCTGAGAAATGTGAGTCGTATAATGTATTGTTCGACATAATAAGAAACAAAGCATACCTCCACCTAAGTCGCCCATTCTGACTATGAGCTTAGACGGCTCTATACCGTCTAGCTGCCCTCGACGTCTTTGTGAGGTCAACAAATATTCCGGTGCACTATTATCCGCTTTCACGCCTTCTAGCCAGCAAATAGGGCTAGGCTCAGGCGGCTCTAGAAATGTCTCGACGTCCACAGCCCCGCCAGACGAAAAGGTAATGTTTGCGGGTTGCAGGCCTGAAAAGCTTAGTAGGTTGTTCAATATAACACATCAAATTGACCTACCGCAATGAATGATACCAGGTCTATGAAGAAAGTCAAGACCCAGCAAGATCTGCCTAGAGACCTCTTGAATGTAGTCTACATAGTTCGGTCTCTCAGTTCGACAATGTTATATATTCTCTCAAAACGCCGCATTTTGGAGCACTAGGACAATGGTTCCAGAAATTGACTATCGAACCCGTTTTATATACGCCTATCAAGGAATTAATGGATTTTCAAGGGAAGGACGGGTTGAAGTGGAAAGCTGAATCATGCGTCAGGTGATTTGATAGGACTGATGAGTGACATTGGCAGGACATAAATGTGAATGAACTATGTAAAAGACGAAATCCATGGAATAGCTAGGTCACAAAGCGGGTTATATTCCTCATACTCTCATCGTTTAATGTCGTTAAGTTGTCTGTTGATTCTAGCCTTTCACCCGCTCTTGTTCCGTTTCCCTATTCCCAGCTATGAAGACCGACCATATATATTCGTCATGAATGAACTCGAGTAACTGGATGCTTGGACTCTACAGGAGCACTTTAGGCTTTATTTCCCTCATGCATGACATTCATTACGCCTAGTATAGCTTGCAAATATGGTTGTTCCGTCTTCCGGTATTGTTGACTTGTCTGTACCTGTTCCTGTGGCCCGTTGTATGGGGGAGAATATTTGCAGTTTTTGCCATAAAGAGTTCTTCAATGTTCTTAGAGATCATTATTTACATATAGACACTACTTTTTCTTTATGGTAGATTTACTATAGTGTCACGATACTTCGACGTTGGGTGTATATAAAGTAGGTTAGGAGACCAGTTCACCGAGTACATCTGACGTAGTATAACCAATATAGAAAGACATCTTGAATGGATTTCAGTAATATTAATATCATCAACATTATTATGGGAATATCTCCAGTAAGCTGCATCACAAAAGATGAATCAAAGCAGCCCGGTTGCAAATTTCAATATTAATCCTCCTCTTGCATATTTACCTCTCTATCCGATACATCATCTTCTACTTCTTCCATTATATCAACACCTGCAGCAGCAGCATCATCGTCGTCGTCATTATCGTAATACACCTCCATTTCATCACTCGCCTTGCAACTTGTGCTGTTGAATAGACGGCGATCGGCACCTTCTATCTCTTCTACCGCTTTGCTATCCAAGAAAAATGGATGATCTCTGCGAAGTCGGGTACCCTGGCAAACATATCCCATTGGAGTATGTGAAATTTCCTGCCCCTGTCGATGGAGAGTCAACCAGTCTTGCAGAAAGTTGAGCTGGCTTCTGACAAAGAAATTATCACTCGCCGCAGCACTACTAGGTGCAACCAACTCAACGTGGGCTATGGGCTTCTCCGGATCTACTCGCAGCTGCTGCAACAAAAACTTGTAGTCTGAGAATTTGAAATATAGGCGCCCTGCCAGAATTCCCAACTCGAAGGGAAGCCATGGTGGTGAAGACCACCCTTTAGGAAGGCTCGGGAGAGCATAGTATTTGAGAGTGTCAAAGTGGAGCATTCGCTTTGTGAACGGTGCCGCGTACAGAATCAAATGCACTGTCGAGCTTTGCATTGTACGTATTATAGGGATAAGGTCCTCGGCTTCCTCCGGAATGATCACTAGCCCGACGTTTGTCTGCGAATTCCAAAGCACCCAATTCACGGGACGCTACCCAATTGATGTATGTTAGTCAAACTGTACAGCTCATGCGTGAGAAGATAGGAAGATATTACCAGAAAGTTATCAATACTCTTGGTCTCTTCCTTTGCTTCTACCGTCCTTGTAAACTCAGTCGAAACATACAAGGAACGCAGTAACGTCGAAGCGTCAATGCCGTGTTTGCGCTCCAGATCTGTTGACTCCAGGACAGTGGCTGCCTCCATCCGCTTCAACTCTACAGTGAGGTGACCTTTGAGCGGTTGAACAACGGTTATCATATGCGGCTGTTCAAAGTTGCGGAAGGTTTCAGCCACTAATCCGAACAGAGTACTGTATGGGTCAACAAGAGAGGCATTTCGACGCTGTGCTCGGGGATTCCGGGTGCTTCTGCTCCAGTTGCTCTCTTTCCAGAGCCTTTCCTGTCGCCAAAGCTCTATATCTCCCGAATTTAGATCAATCCAGTGGAAGCAATTGTCGACTAGCTGACTTGGCAAATCAATTTCGGCACCCTTACCGAAGACCTGACGCGGAACTAACTCCAAAGTTTTGCCAGACTTCACAGAGCGAATAACGAGCTCCTCTCTTCGGTATCCCAGGTGTATCTGATGACCCTCCGGAGCAGTTGCGAGTACATAACTCATCCCAGACATGTTGAAGGATAAGCGACAAGTCTTTTGTTTCCAAACAGTTCTTTCAATACGTCCGAGTTTCTGATATCAGCCGGAAGCTTTCCCATTGTTTGTCCGTCTACTAGGAAGTGGCCCTCCAACAAATGGTAATGGACCACTTGTGGTATAGTAGTCTCTGTACCCTGAACGACGGACATGAGCCACCATTCATTCGGGCGAGATAGGAACTGCCATTGTGTGTACTGCCTCGAAGTGTGTTCGGCACCTGGCCAACAAGTATCAATAGCCGACACTAAGCTAGTCTGAAACACAGCAACAGCCTGGCGGAGCATAGGTCGTAATGCAGCAGCCATTTTGATATCGCGAACAAGTATATTGCGTGTAAACGTCATAAATGTAGATACGTCGATCACCGAGCTTTCTTGCATAGTAAAGGTTACTTCAATAAATTCCTTAAGGCTCTCTGCATCAAGTTCTTGGCCGCTGTAAGCTTGAAGTGCAAACGTCCTGCGGCATAAGAGGGCAGAAAAGAAGCAGTATGTCGCTGCGCTTTCTGCAGTATCTGTTTCCTGAGCACGGCGCATTTCACTCCTTAGAGCCGTAGCCCACGCGAGAGTAATACCTCGGATTTTCAACAGGAGGTCATGCGCTTGCCTGTGTAATTCTAAGCAAGAGATCTCACACAGTTGAACTGTTAATGTAAGTAGAGTCTCCATGTAATAGTACTCTCGCCAATTGGGAGATATGATTTCCGCGTGTTGTTGTTCGATCTGCTCGATGAGCCTGCGACAAAAGTTCACGTCTCTAAAAACACAATGAGCAGCCCGTAGGCTGTCATTCTTCAACTGGCGACCAGCTTGTAGCACTAGTAAACGGAAAAGAATAGCTGTATCTTGGAGACTGAAGTTGATGTTCGAAGATCCAAGCTCGCTCAAAATCGACAGCCATCGCCGATTCCTCCCGCCCATAACATTCTGTTGTGCCACATATTCATGCACACTTAGCCGTGGTGGGCATTCGGCGATACTTGCAATGGCATCATATGATGACGGGCCTGGTGCATCAGCTGCAAAGTCCGGTGCTGAGTACAGGGCTGCAAATGGCAGGCTTTTTGGAAGGCGCAGTGCGAAGTGATGTGCGCATGTCAGCCGCTTGGGAAAGTCCGCCAGCCACACGTTTCGTTCGCTGTCATAGTATGAAAACTGTAGTCCCAGTGGAAGCAGAACATTCTTCTCTTGTACCGGCAACCTCTTTGATTTATAATGTGTCCCCTGGAAGGATTTTGTGTGAGACGCCAGTGAAAGCTTGCGGTCTGCATTGCTCTTGTTATACAACATGAGCTGGGAATATTCTTTCAATAGCAACTCCGGCTTGTCTGAACGTGAACTGAAACGTTGCTGACAAAGGGAATAGACAATCCTCCAGGTAGTATCCCTATAGGATGCGAAACATTTGGGCACATCCAGCTCGAAGATTACCGCGCGTTTCTCAGCAAGGTTAACCTCCGATGGAAGAAAGTCTTCATGAACATTTATCTCGAGACGCCGGTGACGCCGACCGTAAAAACAATGCTTGCAATCTCGAATATCGTGCTTCCCATCAGGGAGCCTTCGCTGATCGCAGAATGTTGCTGCCAGTTTCTCAGTCAAGTCCTTGTGCTGTGCATTGACGTGCACTAGTTCTCTCTCTTTACCAGCTCGAGTGATATCTGATGCCGTTTCTATGTTCTGTTGAAGTTTCTGCAGATTTTCTGCTTCCTTGAGGCTGAGATAGTGGTAGGTGAAACCTCCTAGACACGGATCGGAGAAGATAGTCATATCCTGCACTTTTGCCTTCGTGCAACGCTCGTGAATGTAGACCTGGACTTTTTGGAGCCGTTCCATATGATACCTTCGAGACAGAAGCAGCACATCCAATAGTTCAGGCAAGAATCAGGGATGGTAATCAGCGAGTAATGGGTGTGCAACCATTGCGCACTTGTCCATCTGAATCCACAGCTCAAACACACTAAGAATACACACACTTATTTGTTCAGGGTCGTTCCCATACGCCTTTCCAACAGCACTCATGTAGTCTTCAATCTGGCGTGAGAGATCCATGCATAGCGCTTCACACTTCCCTTTCTCATCAGGAATATCAGGGGCTGCGGATTCTATCGTCCGTTCCACGTCTGCGAGTGATGTATACCGGGTTGTTATCGCGGAGAACTGCTCTGTTTTCCCTTTATTGCTGTTTCTATCAGGGGTAGTAGGATCTACCACCTTGCAAGCCCCTTGGGACTGTCGCGACCAATCGAGGACCGCTTTTAAGTAAGGCAAACTATTTCGCAGACTTAAATGCAGGTCTTTATCCTCAGCAGCCTGCGGGAGTCTATCAACCTTTCTCCTGATCGACCTCTTGAAATAGTCCCATCTGGCTTCGAAGACTGCCGTTACAGTATCAATGGACTTTTGACACTCCGGTCCAATGACTGCAAACAGCCAAGTGTAAGCGTCACGTATGACTGCCGAGGCGTTCTCTCTTTTGGCCTCCAGCTTTGCCAGACGACGACAAACCTTCGTCTTGAGGAAATTACACTGCTCGTGGTCGACCGTGTGAACTGAATCCTCCAATAAATGCGCCATCAGCGCACACATCAAGAACTTGTACTGCATCCGCCCAATCTCTACACCGAGGTGTAAGTATAGCATCCGCTGTATGCATACGCGAAGTGCCAGCCAGAACGGACTCCGCTCCAGGGCCGCTCGGCATTATCCCAGCATACATCATCCTTGACTCGCTTGCGAAGTATTGGTGGGTATGTCCGACTACCATTGGTCTCAACGAGGGTCATAAGAAACTGAGATATAATCGCCGGATCAACCGTATCGCGAGTTTCAGAGACCTTCACCCCAGCTTTATGAGTCTTCGGACAGAACTCATCCAACGCTTCGCGGCTTGCCCGCTCGAGAAATCCAGCTAGATTCTTTTGGAAAACCGGATTCTCAAATTTGCTCCGAGCCAAAGAAACTGCTGAGCCGGGAAAGTCCCATTCCAGTGCGCCTTTTGCTGCGAGGGTCGACTCAGCCGTGGGCGACGTCTCGAAAGTTTCAAATATGATGTTTTCATCTTCGTCACTACGCGTAGTCACTTTGTCAGTCCACTTATCATCAATGACATGAATTCTCAGGAAGGGTAATGCTCACGACGGATATCTGATAAGGATGCAAGCATTTTGCAACGCGACGTGCACAATTATAGCATTTCCAGGCTGCAGGTCTTTAAGTGCGCCCAGAAGCGATGCCTCGTTCACCCATCCCTCCGTTCTCACCTCCTTTAAAGTTCTCAACGTCTTCTCGATAGACTCCCAAACCACTACGGCTTTCGCATCACTGATCTCCTTAAGCTTCCCAGCCGCATCGAGTACCCGGGACAAAAGATCATTCTGAACCTCGATGACCTGAGCCTCAGTTTCCTGCTCCCCAGGAAGCTTGGGGGGCAACACGACGTGGTTGAAAGTCATTGCCAGAATCGTGTTATTGACAACCATGTTTTCTCATCTGATGCTCGTTTCGTTCAACAAAATCCCGAAAGATAGCTCTTGAGCTGAATTTTTAGTGTCTGTAGGGTTGTAAAGAACTTTTTTTATATCACAAGGCTGGAAGGCTCGGTGAGCACATCATGAGTACCAAACGGAAAGCTAATAAAGAACGCCACCCCCTGTACCATTGCTCTGCCTTGTCGCAAACGGCTGCCGTTTGTTAGGTAGTCTGGGCTTCTGCCTGTTGAAACGCGGGTTCGTGTTCCTCAGCAAAAATTCAGGACTGTTGATAGGTATTAGCTGGAAAGCCCAAGTCGTACAGACGATCAGAGTGAATACTCATGAGACGCGTAAACCTTGCCCTTTTTGCTTTCAGCAACCAATGAAGTAAAAGTGAGATAAGGCCCGTTTGAATGATGTGGATTGTGGAGATATTCAGTAAATAGAGCTCATCGTGACTCGTGGGTTCTGCCTAGCTGTCACAACGACAAGAAAAGGTCTAGATTGTCTATTCACTTCAGATCCATGTCAAGGGCTTAGTAGTCAATCAGCTGATCCAGCCGTGTCATAGTCGTATAGTATCTTGTAAAGAAGGATATCAACGCATGACTTTAGTAAAAGCTTAGTGGTAAGGTCTAGATGTATGTTGGTGTTAAGGGCAATGTTTGTATTGACTTAGGATACTTATAAAAGCAAACTACGCTCTTGGATAAACTGAATAGACCAGACTACCAGGTCTCAAGGCCATCATTGTGCATCAACAACCCCTATATGAAATAATAACACACGCCCAGTTATAAACAAGAGCCTATATCCAGACCGTGTAGGTACTGTGACTAACACACACCAGACCATATTCTGAGTACATAGAACTCCTACAATTCAAACTAACACACAACCAGATCTGATACAGAAAACCCAGATGATCAAAGGAAAGTGCGCAGACCAAATAAGTTATGGCCAAAATGCAAAGAGCAGCATCTGACAGCTCATCAGATAAGAAAGGTAGCCCGCCTGCTTCGCATAAAGCCATGAGAACCTAACGAGCAATAGAACGTCTTCGGACAAGAGTAACCACAAGTCCGTGGGTCGAAAAAGGTGCTTCATAGCCAGCACAGACATCGGATCGATGTAAATCCTGGGATCTATCAGTAAGTGGTCAACTATGTCGAAGTAATAGCGGCTTATTGTATAGTAGCTTATGGCAATAGACAGCGGTGTTTCATTTGACGCATTCAACCCATTGATATCGACGTCCTGACATCCAGTCAAAAAGTTGTACCATCCTCAGATCCCTCTTCACCGCGATATGGAGCGCTGTCTCCCCGCTCACATCAACAGCATTCGCAATCTCATTCAGCTCAATCAAGTATCCAGCAGCTGCTACACACCCGCGATCAACAGCGACATGAAGAGCGGTCCTACCATCGGACGCCCGCTCATGCAAAAGTTCCGGTGCGGCCTTTAAAACCAGAGCAGTCAGACCTTCGCTGTACCTGACTGCCTTATGCAGCACCGTCTCACCCCATCCGTCTTTCAACGCAAGAAACTCCGTCCCATTCATGATAGCAAGCTGAACAAGAGGCTCGGGATTCACAAGAACACGGCAAATAAACTTAAAGTGCTTGAGAGAGGTAATCTTCGCACCTGCACGTAGCACCAGATCGATCATGTTGGTTACTTCCCCTGTTCTTCTAGACGTAGCGACCGTCCCATAACCAGCGTACAGTAGAGACGTCTGTCCTCCACACAGACAAGGTAAGCATGGGTCAGCGCCATAACGTAGTAAGATCTTCGCAGATTCGATCTGTCCTTCACATGCGGCATGGGATAACATGGGCTTTCCAGATAGTGTGTAGGAGTTGGGATTCACACCTGCTTTGAGGTACATCTGGAGGATATCGAGTCGGCCCTGTTTGACAGCCCATGTCATGTTCTCTTCTGGGATAATCTCTTGTTTGTAGTTGAATTTACCGGATAAGGGCTTGTGAAGTATCCTGTCGTAGTATTGCTTAGGTGGAAGGGCGTCTCTCCGGGCCATCTCTCCATCTATGTGTTCCTTGAGGACTTGGTGGATCGATATGCATGTTCTTGAGAGTTTGCTGGCGGATGCGATATCTAGCTCGTTGGTAATCATATAAAGAAGTTCGTTGGGAAGGCTTGCGGGACATAAAGATACTGGATCAAATCATTATGGTACGACTGGTGTTTTCATGGATAACTGCAAGATGGTTTCCCAACAGGTTGGTGATGTCTGAAAGTGAAGATGCCGTTGTTGGCAACTAAGCCATATATACTAATGTTCGGCCTTGCATCAGCATTCGAGGGTGTTTGTTGATATTCGCTGTAACCCAAAAGAAGAATAGAGTGGATATTACCTTTTCTACATGGCTTGCACTTTCAGTCAGTTGAACCCGTACAAGACCTAGAAAGAACCTAGAGCTCAAAGTGCAATGCTTGATTAAAGCCAGACACGTTCCTTATTTATATGATAAAGAGGCCCTATCAGAAACACCATTAAACACGAGACCCTTTGTTTGTGAACTCATTATCGATCTTAGTTGCATTCTACAGAAGAAGACAGTCGGCTCATTCAACCCAACATACACTATCAGAAGCCGTTGAGCAACCCTGATATTGCTGGATTTGGCCCAGAAGAGGACCGTAGTGATCTTCCTGTACAAGCTTATTTCACGGCGGCACAACGACGGTCCAAGCAGATTTGGCGTTTTCTCTTGTCACTGCCTAAGCATTTCAGCATAACATACCTTGGCTGCTTTGCGCATGAGGACCGCACCACTCATCCAATTATTTTTGTTAGATCACTACATTCTAAAACTCATCATCCTACTTATGGTATTAATATTTTGCATACTATAATTTATTTTCAGCATTTGGCTTTCACAGGGGTGTTGACACACAGTTGCGACGAGAAATCGAAGCCCTAATCAACTCCAGTGCCTGTACATTACTAGACAAAACTTCTTCTATGAATCATACCTTTGGCAGAGAACTACCCAATAGTGAACTTCTTCAAGATATTCAGCAATACCGTTTCGATCATGTGCTTATATGGCTTCCATATGATCTTCTTTGCTTTGCCTGTTAGGACAAATACATACACTTCACATACAGACCTCCCCGCATACAGTCAACGATCGACACCCGGCAAGACGCCAATGAGTCAAATAACCATAGAGCATTCATACAACACAAGGCTGAACGCACCGACTCCCCGCTAAGCGGACAAATACGAGGGATCTCCGCCACACCAAAAGGGTCCTGGGGCACAGGACATTCTTGGCGCAGATACGAGAGAGAACGATGACTTGAATGTCCGAGGCCCGCTGTGCCGTTCTATGTTCATGCGGTTCTTTAATGGAGGAGATACTCCTGGAGGGGCGCAGCCCAGCGTTACTAGCAGTGCTTAATGTATATATAGGTGGGGAAAGAATCCACTCCACATGAACTCTGTCAGTATTTCATATCCGCTCTATAAAGGTTATATAAAAATTCTTAGATAGTCATGCAGTCCCTCCAAGCACCCGCGGCGTATGTCAATGCTAGCCTTGACACCCTTCTTTTCGCGGACAATACGCAATTTGCCTTCTCTGTCGGAAAAAGTCTCTTCTCTCGGGCAAAAGACTGTGATATTGGAGAAGGTATAGATCCTAGTTTACCACCACCACCACAACTATTCGAACCGTCCTCACATATTTAGAATCCTGTGGACGAGGATGTTGCTCCAACCTCGCTACCTGTGTATGCCCTATCTTACTATCATCTCTATGGCTTGAAGTCCATTTTTTGATATTGCAATTAGTGCGGAGATTCCTGCTGTCCCATGTCGAGTAAATGCGTCGATTCGTCTGACGGGACCTGTTGCCGGTCCGGAAATGCCAGATGCGGACGTTCTGCTTGCTACGATACGGATTCTGAAATCTGCTGCGGGGAGAGTGGCTACCATTGCCCCAAGGATACGCAATGCTGTGGGACCAAATGTTGTTTTAGTGACGCGCATTGTGAAGATGGGGAGTGTGTGAGTGGGAACAGTGGGAATACCCTGAGGGTCAAGGGTGGGATGACGAAGGTCTGGGCTGTTGCGATTAGTTTGATGATATTGTTTGCAGATTGATACATGACTGCATGCTTTGAGTTTCATGTTATGTAAATATTGTATGGTTGTTCTGTTCATGAGATAGTCTTTCCTTCATTCGATTGAGTCTTTGTGTGGGTGTAATGAGGTCAGACCTGATTCGGTGTATGGAGTACTGAGTATCTGCAGCGATGCTGGTCGACTGCGAGTTGAAACTAGTATTGTTCAGTCGATCGGGGAGGTTTTGTACAAGAACTCGCCCTGTTGATAAAAGGGCTAATATGAGCCCTGAAACCCAGCCAGAACCAGGCGTTCAGAAGACCCTCGTGGGCAAAGGGTGAGCATCACCGGGCGCAAGCAACAGGGAGCTAGTGGCAATCAGATCTTGCTGCGCAGGCTACCCGCGTGCAGCGAAATCCCTGGAAACAGCTGATCGCTGCTCAGCCGTAGGATATCTTGCGACGTCGTGAACCCCACAGGCTTGGGTCCCTCATATTAGCTGTTATGCGGGAACAGAAATATCAGGTCAATTGTTGGCCTCAGTCACTATCAGCTGCTCCGTCCTCGCTAGGAATCTGTGAACTGGACCCGACATCGCTTTGACGCTGCGTATTTGTGCTTCGTCTTCTGCCCTGCATCTGGCGTTCTGTCGAGGTGATTGCGCGCTCTCCAACGAACTTATCACCAGGCCATGGAGCCTGGCACACAGGGCACTGCTCCGCCTGTTGCACGCGGAAAAAGTTGCGAATACAATGGTCATGGAGACGGCCCGCACAGTCACGGTTACCACAACGTTGGCCCTGAGCAGTCAGCAGCTTTTTCCAACAAATACATAAGGTATTCATCACTCACCATCGTGATAATATCCCTGCAGGCAGCGCAGAATTTGATCTTGTCCATCCTCCGGCCATCCTCGTTCTCGTCATTGTACGTCGCCACCAACCATCCTCGTAGCTCCATCAACCCTCGGGGACTTAGACTGTAAAACCCCTTCCGACTCTTTTCAAGCCATCCCTCCTCCACGAGTTGCTTCAACACCGTCTCCGCTTGAGACATAGTTAGCGATTGTGCGGCACCGCCTTGACTCTGCGTCGCGTTACTCGAGTCGCGACGGCTTGCATCTCCGGACGAGGCTTTGGCCAACTGTATAGCCTGCATGCCGCTGACAGCCATCACCTCGGACCGTCTCGTATTATTCGTATCGAACATGGCATCCAGGATGCGCTTGATGAAGGAAATCTCATCCGCGCTGTACGTGGTCGCCAGCTGTGTCAAGGCGTCACTGGTGATATTGACAAGGGCATACACCCGTTCTGGTGTCTGATTTCCCGACCCTTCTGGATCTACCTGCGACTGGCGGAGTGTACTTCTGATTTCCAAATCGAATGGTGAGATGGTGGTATTCGCGGCGGCAATGTATGATGCGAGGTCGTCTTCGGTGACATCTTCGGCAGAGACCTGCTCCCCTTCTGTTCGCATCATTTTAGTTCAACGTCTCACCATGAATTGCTGGAAAGGCTCAATAATATACCATGCACAGAGAAAATAGCGGCCAGAACCGGCCTTGCCTCCGCAAAGGTCATGGTGGAGCGGGCCATAAAAGCCTGCAGAAATGCGCGGTTGCTATCGTCATAGTCACCCTCGTCACTACGGCTTGCCATGTTCGCTATGTACAGTCTTTCCGAATGAAGAGAATATCGTGGATGGCAGCGAGATCAGTAACGAGGGGGTTTGCGGAGAGAAAAGCAGTTGTAAAAGAGATGTTGAAACGCGGTCCACGCGCCTCCCGCGCCGGTTGCCAAGACCAACATTTACTTCCAGATGGGGTAATGCCGAGAAGCTCAAAACTGACCGTCGTTATTGTTTTAAGGTACTCTACAGGTATAAAAGCTTCAACCGAAGACAATTTGAATGCCATAAATCTCGCAACCAGGGCTTGATATCATAACAGTATAAGAAACATTACAGTTGACAGAGGTCAATTCCCCCAACGCCACATGCAGAACACAAAAAGCAAATCCACACCTAATATCTCCGCCTCGTCGGCTCCGGACTGGGGCTGCGACTGACACTGCGGGCGTCCCTGCCGCGCTCCTTCAGCCATTTCTTCGTGCTCAGGCGCAGTTCACGGTCGAGCTCATTGCTGGGGTCCTTTCGGTGGATGAAATTGCAGAATCCGCCACGCACACAACCTTCGCCACTATTTAATCGACAACAGGCTTCTCGGAAATCTGTGACCGGCGATAGTTCACAATATATCGGTCGCGCTGCATACCAGCGGGAATTCAACGCGTCGCAGGCCTTTTGCGCATCTTCTTCGTACTTGAATCGGGCGTAGACGTTGCCGATCAGGTCTAGGGTAAGAAAACGTTAGTAGCAGCTCCGTGCCTCGAGTATTGGGCGGGAAAGAGCTCCAACTTACGATCATTATTGTTGTCACACACTACCAGTTCCTCGATCTCTCCGTACTTGCACATCTCACACCATACATCTTCGTAGAAGGCATCGAAGTGGTTCTGGAGCTGGCTGGGGTTCATCTTGTTCTTTGGGTCGTATGCCGGGTTCTGGTACATGTTTGGCATCAGGATCGTCTGCGAGTATGAAGGCTTGACATGCTTCCGAGAACACCGGTCGCCGTGTCTGCATGCGCCAATCTTATAATAGAATGAGCAGTTGACCTTGTCCTGTTCCGTACCGAAGATGGAGGCGAGATAATTGGCCATTGTTTACGAGGTAATGCGCCGGGATCGAGCGTTTAAGATCTGTATTTGAGAATATATAAATTAACGGAAGACTTCCGGTTGGAATTGAAGGTAACTGTGAGAAAGGACCTGACTCGATTATGTCAGGGAAAGGTGAGCGGCGTACCGTGCGGAGATGTCTGGAGAGAGCTGTTCCTTGAAGATTCTGGATAGCTCGATCACGTGTCTATCTCTGGCTGACTAACGTTTCCGCCTCAGGTGGCAATCATGCTTAATCCTTTTATAGTACAGGCAGACTCAGTCTCGAACCGCTACAAGAATCGCACTTGACTTTGTGAAGCTCAATGAAGGCTTTTATCACAGTAGCATCAGAGGCTATAGCAAGAGTCAGCACCCCTCTACTAATTCCCTTTGGATCATCCATCTTTCTGCAGCCAAACTATACCCAACTACGGCTAGAAATATATATGTTGAATATGGAACCAAGAATATCCCCCTCGAAGCTAGACCTCATCAATGATACGATACTAAACCAGTCACTAATCCCCTTCAAATAACTAACATAGCTGAATGTGACAAGCTGACGATCAAAAATATCCTCTGGATCTCGAAGCAATTCAGCCTAGCTATTACACGTAGTATCCACACAGTTAGAGATAACCACGACTATATAATTCTTCATGTAGCCGCGAAAATTAACACCGCCGGAAATAGCCTACTACATTTATGGGAACCCCAGAGCCCACCTAACGATACCGTGTCAAGCGATCAATAGTGGATTCTAGTCATCATGGTACATCGAATATAACCAAGATAGCCTACTAGTCACGGAGTCCTTGGTGGGATACCCAGGTGTAACATAAAAGTATAGATTTAGATCACTGCCTCGGCATTTGCATTCCGATGTAGGAAAACCTAGACCTAGGGAAAACCTATATCAAGGCATGATGGAAACCTGTTCCCCTCCCGGCTTGCCATGCGTATGAGACACAGAAAAATCACAATCAGTTGCATTGGCAGAAATCGCTATTTTTTCCCCATTAGCAGTGTTACTCTAACGATCAGTACCCTGTATAGCATGTCGTGCTTAAGGGCGCTATGGACTTACCCCAACAGCATCCTTAAAGTCCTACAACCACGGTTCATTAGTATCCTTGATTTAATCTTGCGCAATGGGATTAAGAATAGGCAGCTCACCTGGTGCTTCTGCTTTCCCATATATAATCAGCCTCTTTTCACGGGTAATATTAGATATATTAAACCATAAGCCAGTACTTACACAGAAGTTTGTGGTGCAGAACCGTTACATGATGGTTAGTATCAAAATGAACATCAAGGACAGAGGAAGACTTACTACAACACCTGACTATTGGGAGTATATCCAGTCCACAGAAAACCTACATGTTATCGGATCTAACTGTAATGACTTACGCCATAGACTCCAGCGCTCTTATCCCTCATTAGCATCCAGCTCGGCATAATCCATAAAACAAAGGTGACTTACTGCTCCCTAGACCCAGCAAATGGAGCTACTAGACAAGCGGTACATACTCCAGATTTCGGACATGCCTCGGCTTAGGTATACTGGAATCTACCCTAGCCTATTTGGCTCTAGGGTAACTCTAGGGTCGGGCAACTTGAAGGATTCCTCATGCGCTTATAGAAGACCACCATTGGCTGGGGGCATGTTGTTCCAATCTTTACGAGTTTATGATTGAGGCTTAGATCTTAGAGCTTTCCTTGACAGGAAGAAACGAGAGAATAAATTCCCCTGGTGCTGTCACACCTTAACCCTAATAATTCCATAAATTCTGCATAACGTATCCACTTATAGCAGAATTCAACAATACACAAACTATCTCAGCCATGCTCCCCAACAAACGCAAAAGCAAAAGGCCCAGCGCCATAGTCTTTCGCATCCTTCTCTTCGCGACCCTAATCGCAACAATGGCCTATAGCGCCGTCACCCCACACCAAATGTACAAAGTCACAGCGGAATGTGTCCTGATCGGCATCGCGGGGCTATCCATGGTCGTGCAGGTTTATATCACCTGGGCCATTTTCGCCTGTTGTCTGCCGTACACACCCTGGCTAGGTGTTGTTCTTGACGGAGTTTGTGTATTGGGCTGGATAGCCGCGATCACGGTCCTCTCGTACTGGGATCGCGCGATTGTTTACATGCCGCAGGAAGGGGATCCGGGGGAGTGGTTGGTGTGTGCGAAGGCGCATACGTGGGATAAAGTCCTGGCGGACGATGGAGTGGGTCTTTGGATTAATATTCTTTGGTGTGAGGTTGAGGTTGATGGCCGCCAGAGGCTGGTTGGGAATGGGGCTGCGCGCCAGCAGTTACATGCGCTTATCGGGCTTGCTTCTGTTTCGCTTTTCTTTACGGGTTTGACTCTGTGGTGGACGATCAGGAGGCGCAATGACTATTTTTGACTCTGTGAAGCCGTCTGACTCTACGACTGAGCTTCGTGATATGGGAGGGAAGGGAGAAGGGGCTATTCTCCGGCCTTATATGGAAACTGTATAATCTAGTTAGGCATGAGACTGGTCCCACTTCTCTTGTCAGTTGAATTAGCTTCAATTCTGTGTCCACATTGCCAAACAGATATATCTACCGTAGTTTATATAGACACGACTAACTTCTTCGCACTGACACCTTCAGCCAGTAAATCAATAGCCTCCTGTGTACGCTCCAGCCCTTTCCCAACAACCTCTGGCTGCGGCCTATACTTTATCCAACCCTCTTCCATGGCTATAGTCAGCCCAGTAAATGTACATCAGCTGCACCAGTGTGGTGTAGACATCTGCGATGCGATCAGGGCATGCATGAAATCAATGAATCTCTTCATCCCAGCCACTTCGCAGTCAGGATTCTCATATGGGGGTGTGAAGAGAGGTTATTCACAGCCGAGTATGCACCTTTCACCGTCGCAAGGGCTCGCCTGCCCAAAGTAAAGATTACATGGGGAGTACGTCACCCTAGAGACACCTAGCCCGGTCAATAGGATAGGTGGACCTCTTAACGGCATGTCCAAGGTCGTTCGCAAACCGACTTTCGACGTCCATTCAACAATCAAGGCGGGGCTCCTTCACTTCCGGTCAATCTCCAGAAATTGAAGAGGTTGCCCTGGTTGATGCTGATCAGGGCTCTACAGTTCTCTCACAGGGATTCCACACGCTGTCCCAGATCCCCCCGGACAGTCGATGTTTTGCGGTGGTGCCGGGGCGAGGTAGTCTTGGCCATCTGGGCAGCTTTTTATCTTGGTTAGTTATATTTAGATTTACTTGCCTCTATACTAGTAGCTTACCGAAGGCCGAGTGATATCCTAGTGTATTGACCTCGGTGTGGTGACATTCTGCGGGGGAACTCCATATATGTCAGGGCGATCCACGATGTCTTGCAATATCGCAACGATATTGCTACGGTCAAACCTGTACGTCAGGCGAAGATCCAGTTGGGCATTCAGTCAGGGAATTGGTTGGTCAGCCATAGCAACTTACCTTTGACGATACTCTCTACTGATTCTATAAGGCTACAATACACAGCATATACAGTGAACGATTGGCATTGTTCTCACTTGTCAGACTTGGAAGGAGCGTCTGGATTGTAGAGAACGAACGGATCTTCTTCTTTTTATTCTTCTTCTTCCTCATCCATCCTCTGCTCCCCGGCCTCCATCCCAACTTCCCCCACCTGCTCAACTTTCTTATACTTCAAACCCCTATGTCCCTTTGTGGAAAGAACATCCAGAATCGCCGAGAAGGCCTTAGGCTTCGTGATATCAAAGATATGATCGATCATAAGATCCCCCAAGTGATAGTGAACCCCTGACGTGATTATAAACTACATTCCCGAGTTCCCATCATTAGAAGTTCGATATCTCGCAGTCCACGGCATTGGACAAAACGGGCCTCTCCGGAGCCAGGATAGAAAAACCTCCTAAGCATAGTAGGGTCGTTGGTCCATCCTTCTAGCATCTACTCAGCCGAGACCCTGATCAGACTTGACTTTATAGTGTCATGGTATTAGCTATAACTTACAGAGTTTTCCATGATGCACGGGTGCTAATAAGATCCCGAGGCTTTCCAGCCGAAACTGTTCTTGGTGGAGGTGCTGGGAGGTTATTAGTATCTGTTATCCAGATCGTGTAGATTGGTGTTTGTAGTACCGTAAGCTACCCTGTGGGCTATTAAACGAAGTTGTTGGAAAAGGGAAAAGGAGGAATGTTGAATGACTTTCGAGTCCATATTCACCTCCTTACTAGTATAATTTACTATAAAAAGGAGCATGGGCCCCCCGCATAAGAGTTGACGCTTCATCTACGTCAATCTCTTCGCTGGTGCCGGGCAATAAAAAGGCGGAAGTGATCATATATGTATATATTTTCTGTTACTGGAAAGCCTTCTCACCGCGCAAATTCACCACAAACATTCCTCTGCAGTCTTCCTCTTAGTAAAATTTCCCCAAATCCACAACCCCCCAGCCCTTCTATTCAACCATGTCGCCAATCCATGAGGTTATCAGCTCAGCAGCACAATTTTCCAGAGCTGCTGAGTTTCAGGCTCATGCCTCGCACTTGATAAACGAAACAGAATCATATCGGGAGCTTGTGTATACGGACGTCCCCAAGGATTGGGGGTGGGAGATTGTTGACCATCTTAACGACACCGTCGTGAGACCATGCCGGTAATAAGAATATATACTCGAATCTACACTCTCTCCGAGATCTATATTTATCTTATTATTTTAGGAAACACTACGATTCAGCCAAACGCGTCTTTTGGGTTCGTGTAATGCCAGAAGAGATTCACGACTGTCATCAAAAGTGGTGGCATGATCAGCTATGCAGCTGGATTTCAACCAGACAACTGGCCCCAAATGACCTGTTAGACCTTTGGCCCGGGGCAGGAACCAGTCAGTGCATTTTATCTAACTTGTGTGTACTAGTGCTGTTGCTGATATCTGCAGCCTTCAGCTGTTTTCAGGGCGAGTACGTGGGCTCCCGTCACGAGCCTGACTTTTTTTTGCGATGGGGCACCATCCGCATGCCAAAGTTCGTCATCGAGACTGGATGGAACGAATCCTGGAGTAGACTACAAGACGATATGAACCTCTGGCTTGTGGGCGGAGCTGGGGATGTTGGTGGGGTGCTGTTGTTGAAATGGCACAAGGTTGGTAACTCGAACAAGGTCCGAGGCAAAGCAGAGCTCTATGGCTTGGATCAAAATGGAATGCCGGTACGCAAGGAGTCCAAGGTACTGTACTCGAACCCCTTCACCAACCGGACTCCCTTCTATTGTATCTAACCAAGTATAGATCATATTTCCCGTACCCCCACAGCCCAACAATATCCTTGATCAGATCTCCCTCCCACGGCGCATTTTGTTTGGTCCAGGTAGCCAGGGAGTACTTGACTGGAACATGAATGACCTTCGACGGATCGCAACTACTGCCCTTGGCTTCATGAGTCTTGTACCAGCCTAAATTATATGTGCTAGTGGTAAGATACTTAGGGCTGCCTAAGCACACGTAATGAAGGTGATCCGGGTGATTTTGCCTGGTCTAGAAACACTCGTCGATTCGTAGCGATCTAAGGAATCAACTAGCAAGACTTGTAAGTAGAACTAGGTATTCGGTTCTATTTATCGTGGCTATGTGAGGTGTCTGTTGCTCTTCCTACCTGGAAATCTGAACAGTAAGTACTATGCTAGCTAGGATGATTGAAATTATGTAACATGCAGAGCATAACTAAAGTACAATATTTCTTTTAATGACTCAAGACATGCCTAGGTCGGAGGCAACCGTTTATGCAAAGAGTCGCTGCAAACTATATCCTTGCTTCATGAAGAAAGTACATTAACATATATTTCTTTTTGGGTATCATAATTCAGTGGTTTGCAATAGAGTATCCTTAAGCAAAAACTTTGGGCTGAGAAACGATGTTTCTGCAGACCGAGCCGTGTCACACCATATGTCATATATGGAAGTGAACAATCTCCGTAACCGCAACCATGCAGTTCGAATAAGTCGCGCAACATCTGTCTATCATAATCAGATTCTGCGGGGATGGATTGGATCGACGCGTGCCCGGTGAGACGATAGTGGCCAAGAACCCAAATTGCTGTTGGACGTTTGTGAAGGGGAAATATGAGCGATAAGTCGACTTCAGGACAATTTCGGGCGCTTGGGGTTCGGCATTCCAAATCCTCCACGCATGCGCTTCTTCTCCATTGCCTCCATTTCCTGCTTCATGATCCTCTCCTGCTCACTCATCTTCTTGGGAGCTTCCATCACGGGGCCCTTCTTCCCGGCAAGTGGGTTCTTCTTCGCCGCAGCAGCAAACACATTCTTCGGTTTCTTGTCACCCAATGACATCGACAGCTTGACTGCCGGCTTTGGCGCATCCTGGACAGGAGCAGGAGCAGGAACAGAAGCCGGGGCCGGAGCAGGGGCCGAGTCCGGAGATGCAGAAGTAGCGGCAGGTTCCGGCGTCGCCGAAGAAGCGGCGTTATCCTTTTCCTCGGGAGATTGTGGTTTCGGGGACTCGGTCTTCGACTCGTCATTCGCCTTCGAACTAAAGCCAATATTAAGCTTGACTTTCTCGCCCTCCTTCCGCTGCAGATTTCTCGCTTCAGGATCTATCTCCTCCTGCCTGTCCGCATTTTGCTTCGCGCGCTCAACCTGCTCCTGAATCTGCCGTTGCTCCCTCTCCTCATCACCACGATCCTGACGCTCTTTCTTCGAAAGCGCCTCTCTCCGCCTCATCGCCTCCGGACTCCGATCGATATACGCGATAAAAAGGCCCTTCTCCGTCTCCTCGACGCGACAAAGTCCTTCACGTCCCAGATAAGCCACAAATTGCGTCAGACTCTTCCATTTTGTTGCGTTCAAATGCACGTGCTATACGCATTCATTAGCCCCCATCCAACGCGAACCACGGATTCAAAAAGAAGAAAGGCAACTCACCGTCTTATCCGCAACTATAGTCTGGTAAAATATGTTGGCGTGTATAGCTTTTTCCTGGTGAGACGTCCTCAACTGAGTAAGGAAATTATTCAAAAAGTCCTTGCTGTACTCCTCGATATATTTCCTCGGATCCTCGCCAACCAAAAGCGCGTTTCTTACGTGGCTTTCGCTTTGAGTATGACTGTGTTTGAGGAATTGATAATTAGTATATTGAGGGCTATGCGGGAGGAGGCGATGTTTCACGTACCATTTGAATCCGTTCTCATCTCGGCATTGCTTCTCGCACATCTGACAGTACCATCGCAGTCGCTGAAGACCTTTCTGCATTTGATTAGTACATTGTCGTTCCTGAAGGCTTGCGGTGGGTTAGATGGGACGTACAGATTTGATCTTGTTGCTGATTGCTTTTGTGCTTCCTGCTTCTGCGCGCGGCATTTTGGGAGATAGTGTGTGGCGTAGGTCCCGTTAGTGGACTGCGAGGCTTGTTTGAAGTACGATGGGAGCTCTTCAGCTCAGGTGAAAAGCGTAGGTGTCAACTGTTCTTTCAGTCTTTCGTGATCATATAATTTGATATCGTAAGAAAGTCGCGACGGCGGAGACAGGCTGAGGCGGAAATAAGATAAGCATCCTTATCCTGGTCACGTGGTGTTCTAGAAAGCTCGCTACCCCCGATTGGGTTAGTTCACATGTATACCTCAGGCAGACGAAAGTACTAGACATCAACTACTAGTAGTTGTTTATACAATGGACCCCGTGGTGGAACGGTTCGATTACAACGAACTTAGAAATAAAGAATAGCCATATGTAGTACTATACCTAGGAATACCAACCAGACTCCACCTGTCCTACCGCATCCTGACAAAGGGTTGCTTTTCTAATCAAGGACGCCATCACGTAGAATACAATAACCATATGTGAGAAGACCAAGTGTCATGTTCAACAAAGCTCCAACGCATTAAACAGGCCTTTCATGAAGAAAAACATTTTCTTGTTGAATTCAACTCTGTTAGACATAAGACAAAGTGTCGAATTCGATATACTAATTCTATTAAGGACAATCACATGGAATATTCATGGATTGCAGAGGGACCATTCTCGTTATACTCCACACGGGTCATGAACCCCTTACTGAGACCTTGATCAATAACGAAAACAACCTTAGAAGCAACTTGGGCTCCTAGGAATACCGCTTCCTCCATGCCGTGACCGCCACTGGGCGCACCTGGGCCACCAGGCCCAGCGTTGGGGCCATTGTTTATTCCTGCAGACCCGCTGGTCCCAGGAGCGTTGGAGTTGCCGTGCTCCTTCCATTCGGGAAAGTACTCTGGGGGCTTCAGAGTCTTGACGGATGTTGGGGTCTGAGAATGGCCGGTAGACCGATAGTGGGAAGCCATAGAAGGATCCATTGATGGGGTTCCCGGCATGTTTCCAGCCGCCGGATTGTTCGAATGTGTTGCAGCAACAAGCAGGGGGTTGACTCCGTGGCCAGGGGTATTGTACGGTCCGGACTGACCGGGTGCGGGAGTGTTGGTTCCTCCCGTCGGCATGGGGGTGGAGAAATTGGAAGGGAGCTCAGAGGTGAAAATAGTGGCCGATGGCGAGAGAACGAACTTTTGTGTGATGATGTTAAGCAGGGCTTGGGTGAATCCTACATCCGTTGATTAGCGAGTCTGGCCATATTAGGTCCCAAAACATGGTACATACCCTTAATCTTACTGCCGTTACCAACAACGACCAAAGAATCCCAAAGCTCGCTGCGCTTGCTGGCATCGGGTACAGCAAGGATAGTATGGTGGATTTGTGTTGCAATATCTTCAAGGATATTGCTGGTTAAACGCTCCCCAGTTTGTTGCTTCGGCGTGGCAGACAGGAAACGCTCAACACCGACTTCAATCTCTCGTGTCTGCCGGATGTAACGTGGAGGAGCTTTAGGGGCATCCTTTTCCGGCTCCAATCGCGCGTACTCCTCGTATTGGAACGAGGCCTTCTCTTTCTTGGAATTGGGAAGACGAATAGGCTTCCCACTTTGGTCAACCGAGCCCTTTTTGGAACTCGACTTCTCGGCTTTCTCTTTTTCTCTGTTTGCTAAGAACTCGCTGGTATTGCCGCTGACAATAGCTGCAACATCCAACACGCCCTCATCTTCATCTTCTCCATTGGTGCCTTCCGGGCCAGTTTGAGTGCCTTCGCCAGGACCGCGGGGAACGGCATCATTGGGTCCTCCTTCTTGTCCTCCCGTAGAAGCTGAAGCGGCAGGGTTAGGGTTCTGTCGTGCGGTGGCAGCGGTGCCAGGCAAGGGCGTTCCAGCAGGTAGAATTTCGGTAATGTTACTCCTCTTTAGCTGCTCGCACATCTCTCTTGTGAAGCCCTTCGACCCCAACAGCTCTTGAAGTCTGTCCGTCATGTAATCTCCACCGCAACCTTTCAGGGCAATCCCTCGTCCGTGCTCGTTAACCAGGAAATCCGTGACGGCGGTAACATCCACTTTCCCTTTGCCAACATCGACAACTGCCGCAGTCGAGGTACCGTATCCATAGCAAATGGCGAGCGCGGAGTCCATCATGCAGAAGGCGGGCGTCTTGAACTTTTCAAACACAAATTGCGTGATTGCCTCTCGGTCGCGCGCTGACCAGGCCGGTTGGGAGATAAGCATAATCGGCGTGTGAAATGGGGGGCTGAGGGTATTGTGAACATGTGATAGGAGAGCAAAGAAACACGGCCAGTCGACAACGTGCCCGTTCTCGATGGGGTAAATAGCACCCTCATCCGATGTGACATCCTCCTCGTAGAAGATCTCCTGGGTCTCTTTTTTCGTCTCCCCGTTGGTTTCCTGGCCCTCGGCTGGCTCCTTTTTGCTCTCTTGCTCTCCATTTTCGGGCTTGAGGGCGGCCTCGTTGTTGCCTGTGCCTTCTGAAGCGGAGGGCTCCGCATCTTTCATCTCCACATCCTCCTTGGGCACGTCCGTCCCATTGCTAGGTTTCTCCTCCTGCCGCCGCTCGCGGATCTTGTATGGTTCGAATTCGCCTTTCTTTTCGGCAGGGAACATCCGGGTGGGAAAGCGAAAGCGAGCGGGTGTGAATGATTCGGGAAGGCCCAGTTGCGCCAGGGTCACCTGCGAGCCTGGCGCAATTATCTAGAGGGACGGGATTAGTACGGGGTGAGTCCGGATCCTGGGACCGCAGTGAATGGCGGGTGACGTACCAAAATGTGCTCATCTTTGAAAGGCGGCATGGTGGACGATGAAGCTTGGGGAATCGTCGCAATGCTTTTGCGGCCTCAGGGTGCTCCGCGGTGTTTGCAGCCGGCGACACTTTGCGCGCACGGGAGGTTGGGCGGCTTCCCGTTTGGGCTAAGCGCGCCCGTCACGTCTGTGCTTAAGAGACAACTCAATCTACTAGAACTACTCTGTACTCCTACTCCGTACTATAACACAAAAAGGTCGACAATGCATACTGGATGTGTCTATTGATACAGTAACTGCGTATCTTGAGCCTCAAAAGTATCATGCCTCACTATTCACAGATTTCTCAATCCACCGCGGATAGGAAAGGTATGTTGATATCGTAAAATTACAGTCCATACACTATTAGTTTTACATACGCCCAAGTATTTCGTGAACTGAACAGCAAAAAGTCAAGAAATCAATGCAACTACACTAATGGAAAAAAGGAAAAACGAAAAGAAAAGAAAATAATAATAATGAACAAAAGACCAGCCAACCCGTTCAGAAACCATGGTTTCAATCCCAGACAACCTAAACTCCGAGATTCTTCATCCGAAAGGCAAAACTCCGAACCCATTCCCTCTATGACCAGCAAGAGTCAAACGCATTTCATATTCATATATCCAACCCAGTCATTTATTCCGGGGCAGCGTGGTACTTCTCCGTAGCAGAGCGGAACAATTCCTGCTGCTGTCGTAACAGCTCCTCTTCCGATAGTCCACTCTGCTCCATCTTGCTTTGCTTCTTTTCTCGCGACTAGTATGCAATATACGCGTCAGCAAATCCGTCCTCTAGACACAGCACACAATGATTCCACTAACCTTCAGCTGCTCCTTGTGCTCCTCGGCCACAGCAAGCACGTCCGGGATATAATCGCCAAAGCCAAGATCACGCAGAGCCCGCTCTACATGCTCACAGGCGATTGTTTTCTTGGCCTCTTTCTCGCTGATGTCATTGGCTTCGGAGGAGATCAGGGTGATGAATTCGACGCAGCATTCCATGAGGAGATCGCGAGCGTCTTTGGAGAAGGCCTGACCAGAAGAAGGGGGTAGAATCTCGGTGATAATTTTTTGGACCGTCGCTAAATAATCGCGATCAGTTAGGATGGGGTGCGCTGGCAGTAGATACGTAGGGGCGTCGTGTCGCCATCTTCAAACGACAAAGTACGCGTAGTCGAGACATTTGGCGTAACGACACTCGGGCGAGGAGCTTGGGATGGATCAAAACTGAGTGACTCGGATGCATACCTTTAGGAAGCGACAGGTCATCATTCGCTGTGTAGTAAATCGGCCGTCAGCAATGTTCCGACAGTTTGCGCCAAGACTCAGGAACACAATACTTACAACTGAACTCGCGATCTGACATGATTTCCCTTGTTTAAGTGAAATGGTTGGAAAAGAAACACGCTCACACGCACAGAAAAGCTGTCGTCAAGGTGAAGAATCACTTTTTTTTCTCCCAATGCGCGGGGACTATACTTACATAAATAGTAGCGTCGATCGAATGCCAGACGCGGACTGCGTCGGCACGGAACAACCAGTGGGTACTGGCGGCAGAATCCTACCGCTTTGGGGACTACTTCTTAGCTCTGCAACTTTTTTTTTTCCTCTTCTCTTCCACACACGCTTTTTCCCACAACAATGGGAAGCGAGAATGTCCTTATGATGTTGAGGAATTCAGAACTTTTCAAACGGCAGCCGTGTGCAACACTAATATAAATGGTATGTTTATTTTTTTCCTACATTCCCTCTACTATAATGATGAACAATGTTGTCGCCCCTATCATACCTTTCATGGTGACGTACACTGTCCAAGCCAAACGGACTACTGAAAATTATTTCCACTCTTTTGCTGTGTCGTGAAGAAATTTTTGTGGCCTTCACTAACAGTCCTGAAGTAATCTAGAAATTTTGCTCGTGGCTTACGAGTCGGACCACATTGTTTTGAACCTGTTATGACAAGGTAAGCTTCGAGCTGTTTTCTTATATCTACAACTTTGTATGATGAACAAATACACATTCCATGCTAAGTATGAAGGTGCTCTGCATCTAATGCTTATGAAAATGTACCTGCTTTTCATCTTTCGGCTGATTACTACACCACTTTGCTGTTCTATATTTATGATATTCTCATATGGCGGTTTAGGCTAACTGTCTGTAAAGCTGATAGGTTGTAATTTACGCCTGGAAGGCATCCAGGGCCTTGTCGTTCCACCTGTTTGGGGTCAGCTTTGTCGTAGGATCAAGGGTCGTAGAAACTTACGATAGAAATTTGCCGGATAGTTCCTTGGGGCCATCAAGCACCAACTTAGCCATGACATGACCAGGCTGTTCGGGTTTGAGGAGTTTTCCCTCCTTGTGGACCGTAGTAAACTTGGAATGGACCTGGGGTTCCAGCGTCGTAGCGTGGTCTTCTCTCAGCTCGCGTTGCATCTCGGTGTCAACCATACCGGGCCGAATGGAGATTGTCGTAACGTCAGGCTCTTCCTCGCCCAAGCTAAGCGCAAGATGGTTCATCGCGGCCTTGGTTGCACCATACAGACCCCAACCTCTGTAAGCCGACACGGCAGCACCGGAAGAAGTGAAGACAAGCTTGCCCTTCGTCTCGCGAAGCGCCGGAAGACCAGCTTTGATCTGCCCAACCAATCAATGTCCATCCACCTTGACACCTTGTTAGGAAACTTATGGAACTCACAAAGGCAACAAAGCTGATGAAGTTCACGTCGAATCCGTGTTTCCACTGCTCAGGATCGGCTTGAGCAATCTTGCCCACTTGTCCCAGCACACCATGGTTCAATACCATTCCGTCCAAACGGCCGAATGACTTGAGAGCTAGGTCGACAGCCTTCTGGCCGATGGACAAATCGGCGAGATCGCCATTGAGCACCTCCACCTGCTTGGAATATTGCTCCTTAAGCTTCTGAAGGGGCTCGACACTACGAGCGATCACGACGACATTGTGCGATTGAGGGGAGGTGAGGAGGTACTTTGCGATTGCGAGACCGATACCTGCAGTAGATCTTTGTTAATAACGCCGGTATTGACGGCTCTGATGTAGTTTTCCTGACCTCTCGAGGCACCGGTGACAATAATTGTTTTGGCAGACATTTTCCGAGGCCGGGTTTATGGGAACAGGCTTTGGGATGAGTGAGGGGAGGCGTTGTTTGGTTTGGATTGGCTTGGAAGGTACGGGGGTAGAAGGAGTGGAAAAGTGATGAGCTCCCATTGGCGGTGATGTAATTTCTGCACCAGATGAGGGGCAGATACCTCAGGCATCGACCATCATGTGGGGTGCTGCATCGATAAGCAACTCTCTTCCTTTAGTGATACTTATATATCTATCTCAACCTCATTTATAATCAAACTCGCTGTCTTCCGATTATGGCATTTTACCACTAGCTCCACCTCATCGAAAGAAGGGATCAACCAAAGCTACTCTCAGGAGTCACATCAGAACTCATAATGCTCGAATTCCGGCCGAGCACAACAGCTTACTGCTCTAGCTTAGGTGTTGTACAAAATTGCACTCATTGAGTAGCCCACGCTTCTTCAATCGCGGATAAGAACTGATCAGCAATGAGAAAACCTTTCTGCTTCAGTTTACGAATAAAATCCACTATGCGACCCCGTTCAGATTTGTATCTCCTCGTCATGCTGACTGTATACAGAGTCGGGGCGTAGAAAATAGCCTCAAGGTACGAATTTTGAAGACCATTTTCGGCATGTTCCAGGGCATTCGTGGCTTGTTCATAACTCATCTGGTGTGCCATAACTGGAAGTTCACAATTCAGAGAGAGCCAGACCGAATCGCAAAACATCAGCGAAATATCGACGTTAGCGCAGTAGTAAAACGCTAACATGACGTTCGTAAGGTTCCTGCCATTCTCGCTAGTGTACCATAGCAGAGAGTCAATGATATCCCGCTGGAATCGGGACGCAATACAGGTCAATTCGATGCCCTTGTATTCGTGTTCAGATAACTTCCTTCGAGGGAATTTGCGATTTGCAGGATCCAGCTGCAGACCTAACTCATTGCTCTTGGTCTTCCAATCCGCCGTCCTGGAATTTGTTAATTTCACTCTCCTGCCTACCCGAAGAACAAAATACTGCTTACAACCACTGTAACTTAGCCCACATCTCAAGGTCTTCACAGAAGTAGTCCAGGAGCTGATCATCGGACAATGCGGATGTATCCGGCCCATGCGAAGGCAGATGGTCCACCCGTGAACCCAAATCGTGCGAACGAGAGGATGGCGCAAAGTCAAGGTCTTGCTCGAGACAAAGAGCCCTCAAGGCATTCATGATACGGGCTAGCCTGCACATCGACCGCAGGAGAGGTGTCAATGGGGCGGAAGATTTCCCATTTCGCCAAACAAAGGCATGCAAATGGCAAACCCACGCACACCATGATCTCCCTGAAATGTCATCCAGAATCTAGAGTTTGTAAGCCAAGAATCGTAAATTCTATACTATGGTGGCCAAATAGTCATTACCTGAACGAAACTTAGCAGGAGAGCACAGGCTAGAAGGACATCCGGTTTGCCATCACTGGCCACCTCTTTGATGCCAAGTGCAACCGATCTCTGCAGCTGGCTCCATTGACTGACTAGGCCTCTTTTCTCATTCTTCGAGAATGTCAGCAAATTCGGGTTACGAGAGGCGTAATAGCCGCCTAAGAGTGAGACTGTATCTTGGAGTATCTTGTTCTCCTGGATCATTGACGCCATTGCATTAATAGAAAACACGGTCAGGAGTGTTGGTGAGAACCCAAGAGCAAAGAAGAATGCATTGGTATAGTGCCCAGACCTGTCGGTGGATAGTGGCTTGCATGGCCGTGGGTCAAGGGAAGGATAACTTTGGACAATGGACAACGTGGTTCCCGATGCGCATGGCGAGGCACACTCCACTCCCTTTCGCTTGCAGGCAAGGCATGGCCGAGATCCGTCACACTAAGTGGATCAGCATGAATGAAAAGTCCAGGGGGTATGGATACAGCATACTTTGATATGATCTCTCCGGCAGCGTTCGCACCGGTGACCAAGACGGCGACTATCATGTGCACCACAGGGCATTCTGCCGAATTCGATAACTACCGACCGCCATCCAGTGACAAGTTTGCCTGTTATTAATGAGTCATTCGGAACGACAAGACAAAGACAAATGCGAAGTCGATACAGAATTTAACTGCCCGAGGTTCCTGTTCTAGGGTTTGTTTCCCCACTTTCGCGATATTGTTTCCCAAAGTGGAATAGTGGCATTTATCCGGGGTCGGGAAACGAAACCCTATCCTACAGGAAGGTGACGAATTCATATACGTTGGTCGTCGTTTGAGGTCTCTATAAAACATGAGAGTCGCCCTATCTTCTCGGCGAACTTCTGTTATATCTCGTTCTTCATAGCTCGTATCTAGTCCTCATATTTCCGTACGGTCAACCATGTTAGCATTGACTATACTTCTCGGCTTGACCATCCCATCTTTGACTGCTGCCACAGCTGCTGCAAACTTTAACCTATCTACTTCAACCCTCGAGACCTACGGATGCGATGCTACTTGCCAGGCAGTTTTCAACTATGCACAGGCCGAAGACCGGACACTGTTCGGGACTAATTTTGAATTCGGCTTTTATGCCACGGCAGCCAATTTCTCCCGGTCCCAGCCCGGTGATCTGTTGAAGTTTGAAGCCATTGACCCCGATGGCCTAGATGTTATCAATGGAATGTCTGCCTATCGCTTCCAGTATACTTCTCGAGACCTAAACGGGTCCCTCGTTCCGGCTACCGGGTTCATCGGAATACCCTATACATCGTTCCGAAAGGACAAAAAGTACCCGGTCATTGCCTACGCCCACGGTACCATCGGCGTCTTTGCTGGATGCCCACCCTCTACCACCCCAACTCTGTACGACTATACCAGCTGGAGTATTCTCATTGAGAAGGGCTACGCTATAGTCGCGCCTGACTACGCTGGCCTTGGAAACAACTACACGGAGCATAAATACCTTAGTTTCCCTGCGCATGCCAATGATCTCTATTATGGTATGGTTGCCGCTCGGAAAGCTTTCCCTGGACTTTTTACAGATGGATGGATGGGCGTCGGACATTCTCAAGGCGGCGGCTCTGTCTGGAAGCTTTCAGAGAGTCAGTTGCTTCAAACTGGAGCCGCTGGAAAGTATCTCGGCACTGTCGCATTAGCACCTGCCTCCAAGATTTATGACATGACTCTACTTGGTATCGAATCACTATCTCAGACCTCCAATTACGCATCATACGACATTCTCTATGAAACAATCTGGCTCCCGTTTGCCATTGAGCGTGTCTTCCCAAATATGAGCCGCGCGCCGTTTGCCGAAACACTCCAGAATCGAACCAAGATTGCCAACATGGCACAAGCATGCAATTACGGTATCATGTCCCTCGTGTATGAACTAAAGCCTTCGGACCTCTTTACTTCGGCAATTAAGGACAATACGGATTTTCAGAAGTGGCAAGATATGGTTGCTCCCGCCAATGGTGATAAGGCTGGAGAGCCTATGATGATCATCCAGGGTTTAAATGACACGGCCGTCTTGCCCCAGATCACTGTCAGCTCTTTCAAAGACACCTGTCGTTACGGGAACGAAGCTCACCTCAGGTTGTATCCGGGAATGGATCACTCTGACGTGCTGACTGCGAGTTCCCCTGAGTGGTTAGCCTTTATTGATGGGCGCTTCGCTGGTTGGAAGACTACAAGAAACTGCAGCACCATTACACATCAGCCTTTTGATGCTACTCACATGGTGACCGATCCGGAAGCTGCGCAAATCGCAAGCATCTAATATTTAGGGGGTGGGTACAGAGGCACGCACATATAGGAAGTCGTGTACATATCAGAACTAGACTGTGTCTTTCGCACACAACGCGTGGATACATTATCCATACAGTATTTGTCTCTCCTTAGCAATTGTTATACTCAGATGGAACAATCAACGTGGTCTCTCTTTTACAATGTTTACAAAATCCAACCATTTATATACCAAACAGTCTATTTGACTTCAATCTACCACCTGCATCACCCAACCCGCCCAAGAATCAATACATCGCGAAGCCCCCAGAAGTAGAAATCGCCTGTCCCGAAACCCACCGACTCTCCTCAGACGCAAGCCAAGCAACCACCTGCGCAACGTCATCAATAGTCCCAACCCGATGCTCAACCGGCGTAACAGACTTCTGCATCTCCACCAATTCCCTGGGAATATTCTCCAGTAAAGCCGTCTGCACCGGCCCCGGGTTAACAGCATTCACCGTATGCCCGGTATTCCCCAGCTCCGCAGCCCAGCAGCGCGTCAAGCCCTCCAAGGCAGCCTTGGACGAGCAATAAATCGACAGATTGGCGAATCCGGCCCGTGCACCGACGGAACTAATATTGATGATTCGACCGGGTGCGCGCAGATGTGGGAGAACAGCCTGGGTTAGAAAGATAGCGCCGCGGACGTTGAGGTCGTAAACGAGGTTGTAGTCTTCCACTGTAAGATCACAAAGGGGCTTTACCACCTCCACGCCGGCGTTGTTAACTAGTATATCGATGTTAGGGCCGAATGCTTGCATCGAGGCTTCGACGATCGTTTGTCCAGCGGATAGATCGCGCAGATCGGCGCGGACTTTGGCTGCTGTGGCGCCGTTGTTGAAACTTTCGATTCTCTCGATCATTTGGTCAGCGACGGATTCGCTGCTTGCTGATGTGTATGTTATCAGGACCTGATTGGGTTATTAGATATAGTAGGATGAATGGGGGTTCAGGTTATACTGGCTTTAGCTCCTCGACGGGCTAATTCTTCAGCCAGCCCAGCGCCGATTCCTCTCGTTGCGCCTGTCACAATGGCGACTTTGCCGGCTAATGTTTGTGGTCTGGTGTTTGCAACCATCTTGGGTTATAGAATGACGAATGTATGTAGTATATATGCCTTGATACCTTGTCGCGGGTCTCTACGTCTATCTAAATCCCCAGTTGGGGAGATCAAAAGTCACTTTCCCCGAAGATTCTCGGAATGCTTCGCCCGCCGCCTGAGAATCTAGGCATTGCTGATTGAAAATGACATCATTGGTGCCTGAGGAATGGACTCAAATTTATCCATCTCATACTCTATAGTTGATAAATCGCACTATCATTACCCTCATCCTCATCCCCCAGTAATTGCACAGAAACCACTACCACAAAATCCCAGATCTCCCCTGGAGATAAGGATAAGATCAAAGATCCACACCCCTCAAGCCCAATCTCCGCACTTCCCCAATTAAATACCCCGCGAGATAAAGACAACTAACCCAATGTAACCGTCCCTCATTGAGTACATGTCAGGTCCCGATCTACTTTAATCAAGATCAGGAACACAATCCCAATCCCAATCCCAGGCCAAAACATAAAATACCACAAACCCCCAAAATGCCAACTGTAATCCTCGGTGGAGGGATCATCGGTTCCGCAACAGCCTACTACCTATCTGAGACCCATCCAGCAGAAGAAATCCATATCATTGAATCCTCATCGGAACTATTCAGCTCTGCGTCTGGGTATGCGGCTGGATTCTTGGCCAAGGATTGGTTTGGGCCGGATGTTGCTTCTTTAGGGGAGCTTTCGTTTCGTTTACATGAGAGTCTGGCTGTTGAACATGGTGGGGTGGAGAAATGGGGATATATGAAAGGGACGGCATTAAGCTACGATGCAACCATCAAGAGGGGGAATCGTACTCACGATGATGACTGGATGGATAGGGGAGCTAGTCGAGCGGAGACAGCTTCTGGGTCGACTCGGGGGACTGGGATGGGGGTTCCGGCTTGGTTGACGGTTCGGTCGGGTGTCAAGGTGGAGAGGATTAGTGACGTTGATACTGCCCAGGTGTTGGTTATTGACCTTTTTTTTTTTTTCAAAGTGTTTGATGTTAGTAGGCTAATGATTATTCAGTGATCCGTTAAAATTATGTCGGTTTCTCATGGATACTGCTATATCTCGTGGCGTTACGCTTCATCATCCAGCTAGGGCTATTTCACTTGTCACAGACGAGGGTGGCACCATTACTGGGGTCAGAATCGTTGATCTCATCTCACGAGAAGAGTGTACGATTCCATGTACCCATCTTGTTATTTGTGCCGGAGCTTGGACGTCTCGTGTCTTCGAGGAGCTTTTTCCTTCCGCTCAGATCTCCATCCCCGTCTCGCAGTTGGCTGGATATTCTCTCGTCCTTCGTTCTCCGAGACATACCTTGGAACACGAGCAACAGATATACGGTGGCCGGTCTCATGCTATCTTTAGTGAAAACCCCTTCTCTTGTGGCTTCAGCCCGGAGATCTTCTCGCGACAGGGCGGCGAGATCTACATTGCTGGCCTGAATGATCCGGATCTGCCGCTGCCGGGTCGGGCAGAAGAGTCTCGTGATTTGATCGATCGGAATGAGATGAGGAGGCTAGAGTCAGTGTCGGCCCAGTTAATGGGTAGGATCATGGACGAGGGTGATGAGATGCGCAACATGAATGATCTGGAGGTTCTTCGTGAGGGATTGTGCTTCCGTCCTGTTTCCGACCGGGGAACGCCTGTGGTGTGCAAGGTAGATGATGATTTGCTGGGAAATGGAGTAAGGACTACTGGACACGGCGGTGTCTTTGTGGCTGCTGGACATGGTCCTTGGGGGATCTCGTTGTCGTTGGGGACTGGAAGGGTAGTAGCAGATATGGTGGAGGGTGTGCCGCCGAGAGCGGATGTGAGTGAGTTGGGACTATAGATGCAGTTCTCCTGGCTGGTATACTCGGTATCGGCGTATTGGGATTTAGTGTATATTTGAACCCTCATTGTATAGACGAGGAGTCCGGTGGGATACAGAATTATTCCGAGTTGGCCCATCGAGTAGCTAACCCTAAAATACAGGAATAATGATTATATATAAGTAGTAGCCCTACCATAGCAACAACCACTAACACGCAAAACCCCATAATATTCATCTACCCGTAATGTCAATAGTTTTACACTTCTTATAATACTTTAGTCACTTGATATACATCCGAGTCACCCACGAAATGCATGTCATTGCACAACCTACACCAGAAATGATTGATTCTAATACCTTGGATGTTCGGGTTTGAAATCTATTATTATTTAGCTTTATAGATTCAAAAAACAAGCACAGTTTTCCATAATTGCCCGGGTGGTCTAGTGGTATGATTCTCGCTTAGGGCGTTAACCCAAGCAACACTATTGTGCGAGAGGTCCCGCGTTCGATCCGCGGCTCGGGCCGATCATTGAATTCAAATGATTATTCGTTTTTTGTCAACATTTTTAATTGTTGAATCTCCCTCGCTCTCTTTTTATAGAGGGTCTCGCACATAGCCGACGCTCACACGTAAAGGTATGTCGTTGACCTAGACACATAAACCACAGGTTGTGTAATACCTTAGCCAGCTCAATAGACGATACTTGCGTGCTCCACCATCTTTTCCCAAGGCCCAACACCACATCAATGACCGCCCGGCGATGACGTCCGAAGATAACCATATCAATGACTCAAGTTCGGAACCTGCCCCCGACAGTTTAAGCACAACCAACATTCATCTTCCAAACCACAACAAACCAGCACCTCCAAGAACCAACCTCAACCTCAACCACAACCACCACAACTCCAAAACAGAACATAAATCCTCACAATGAAAATGACAACCCTCGGATTCATCGGCTGCGGTACGCCCTCAACCACACGGGACCTACACTAGATAGAACCCACTAACAAGAAACATCCAGGAAACATGGGCTCCGCAATCCTAGACGGCCTGCTAGAGGCCACTCGCTTGGAGCCCCAAAACTCCAAAATCACCAACTTCATAGCGGGTACCAAGAGCGCGGCCTCAGCCAACAAGCTGAACGACAAATATCGCGCAGATTCAGAACGGGTGGTAGTTTTGCGCGGGTCCAACGTCAAGGTTATGGAACAAGCAGACATCATCCTACTAGCGTGCAAGCCGTTCCTTGCCCCAAGTATTCTCTCGGAGCCGGGCGTAGCGGAAGCACTGGCCGGGAAATTCGTGATCAGCGTCATGGCAGGCAAGACGCCAGCCGAGATCATGAAGTACATATATGAGGGGGATCACTCAACCCAGGCCGCAAACCGACCGGTGATTGTAACGGCCATGCCGAATGTGGCGGCGCGATTGCGGCAGTCCATAACTATTATCGAAGAGAATCCGGCGCTCTCGAAGGACCGGGCGGAGATTCTGAAGTGGATCTTTGAGCAGATTGGCACGGTGAAGTTTGTGGCGCCGGATTTGGTGGATGTTGGGTCGATGGTTTCTGGGGCGGCGATGGCGCTGATGACTCTTGCTGTTGATGGGATTATGGATGGGGCTGTTATGGAGGGGTTTCGCCGGCCGGATGCGATGGAGGTGTCGGCGCAGGTGTTGGAGGGGTTGGCTGGCTTGTTGAGGGAGGGAGTCCATCCGGCGGTTTTGAGGGAGAGTATTTCTTCGCCTAGGGGGTGTACCATTCAGGGTCTGTATGCCCTCGAGAAGAATGGGGTTCGGGGGGCGTATGCTGAGGCGTTGGTTAGGGGGATTAAACATTTGAGGGGGGAGAACTAGATTCAAGGTGAAGTTAGGGTTAGGATTTGGTTGTCTGTATGGGGTTACCTATGTATGTGGAAGGTGCGGCATTACATGATTGGTTTAGACATGAATATGAACTTCCAAAGGAACCGAGCCATCCTCGTGTCGGTGTGTCTTCCCATCCTGGAAAAGGTTGTATACGTGGACGACGAAGCAAGGAGAAAAGCGCATGTAATCTCCGCGCGGAAACCCTAACCGAGCCCAAGATGCGGATGCCCCTCCGACAGCCATCTGTTCAGAGCTTATTCGGTCAACGACAACTACCACCCCCCAGATTAACGATGATCCTCGCCCAAAGACCAATCGGTCTTCAAGCCGCCTATCAATGACCCCGGAGGAAAAAGTGCGGATGGCAGGCATACCCCTCCCACGAGCGAGGAAACTCGTAAGATAAATAGTGTAGCATGAGATCACACCAGTCCCTGTCAGACACAACTCGATCAAAATGAAGCCGAAGGTATTCTGGCCCCGCAAGCCGGAAAGGTTCTACTCTTCGTCCAAGTCGCTGGCCGATGCGGCGGCGTCGCCGTCGTCGTCCGCTCACAATGCGGTCCTCCATCTATCGCCTGTGCAGAAGAAGGCGCCTCTCGCCGACTTGCCGACGAAGACGCTGCTTCGCTCTTTATTCCTGACGTCAGCAATGGCGTCGCCGCTTTTGAAACCATCCATCGCGGTGTTGAAATATGTGGTGGAGTCTAAGTCGCCGCTGCTGAGTCCCTCCAAGAACCCTATCATGAACTACATTCTCCGCGCAACCATCTACAACCACTTCTGCGCGGGCGTCAATGAGACGGAAGTCCGTAAAACGGTCCAGGACATGAAAACCCTTGGCTTCAAGGGCGTTATCCTCGGATATGCCCGGGAGTCCGTCGCAAAGATCGATGCAGCCGGTTCCCACGTGCAAGAATGGAAGAATGCACAGGCTATGGAAGACCGTGCCGTGGACGAATGGAAAGAGGGTAATTTACGGACACTGAGAATGGTCGGCAAAGGAGACTACATGAATATCAAGTATGGCCCGACCAAAATGGAATTGGTATACGCCAGATATACTGACAGAATTAGATTCACCGGCGCCGGCCCTGCAGCCGTTGAAGCTCTCGCTCGCGGTGATCCCGTCCCACCACCACGCATCAAGCAGGCCATTACGGAAATCTGTGAAGCAACTGCAGCCCAGGGTTCTCGGTTCTGGATCGACGCCGAGCAACAGATCTTCCAACCAGCCATTGATGCCTGGACGATCGATCTCATGAGACAATTCAACCGCGACGGCAGGGTGGTCGTGATCAACACCGTTCAGGCATATTTGAAATCGTCCGCCGAAAACATCCATCGCCATCTTACTCTCGCCGGAAAGGAAGGCTGGGCGCTGGGAATCAAGTTAGTCCGGGGCGCGTACATCCAACATGATATCCGGGAGAGGATTCACGATACCAAAGCTGACACAGATCGAAATTACAACCATATCGTGGAGAGTCTGCTCTCGCGGCAATCCCCGTTCCAAGAATTACAGGACACAAAGTTTCCGGATGCTAGGCTTTTCGTCGCAACACATAATGCAGAGAGCGTCCGGAGAGCATACTCCATTTCGAGACATCGGATTCTCAACGGCTTACCCACGATCCCCCTGGAGATGGGCCAATTGCAGGGTATGGCGGATGAGGTGAGCTGCGGATTATTGGCCGAGTATCGACCGGAGTCCGACGAGCCACTGAGCGGAAAAAGCCCCGTGGAGGCATCTGTGTTCCCTAAGGTCTTCAAGTGTCTGGCGTGGGGGACTACCGAGGAGTGTCTTCATTTCTTGTTGCGTCGGGCAGTTGAGAACCAGGGGGCTGTAGTGAGAACACAGGATACGGCAGCGGCGATGAGGAGGGAAGCATGGCGACGGATCGGATTAAGATGGTGAATGTCTTTCTAGCTGCATGGATGCAGTAGCTTCTTTTTTTCATTCTGGCGTGGCCTTTGATTCTATTTCAATCGCACGGATTATGCTGTAACGATCGACATGCTGATACTGATTAGCCCAACAAATCCAAAAAAAACCCAATAACATTGTATTGAGTAGCCAGCGAATCACTATGAATAAATTTATGAGATAGGTACCTGATCCCTGCTCGCTATCAATCACTACTATGGAAGTAGATCCTATAGCTGCAAGCAGGTCCAATCATATTAACAACGGTATTCCTGCAACACCCCTGATATAAAAAAGCTCTATTAGGGTTACAGTGTGACCATGACCAGCACTGCATAAGTGGAACCTTGTCAGTGTTCTATGATAGAATAAACATCATATATACGGTCACGGTCAGGAATGTCCATTCATTTGAGATGACAATAAGAACTAGTAAGCTCACATTTCATTCCCCGATACGAACAAGAAACACCCCCCCCCCTCTTTCATACCAAATCTCTACAGGATTTATCAATGCCCTCTGAAGAAATCAGCTGCATAAGCTTATTATCCTTGGCAAAGAGCAACATGTTAGAGCTTCCCTGCTTGAATTCTGGCCAAGCAAAGTAACTCTCATTGTTCGGATTACCAGAGACATCACCAATTGCCACGCGTGCCGGTCCACGCGTAGGATCCTCAGCGAAGGACAGCCAAAGAGCCTCCATCGCGTAGCTAACCTCCCACTCAAACTTAGTAGAGCGACCCCGGTATTCGTTGTGGGTACCGAAAAGCAACGGTAGTTCTGAACTGTGGTAGGCACCGAACCAAGACAAAGGAGAGATGTTCGAGAAATTTCCAGCATACTGGTAGCGGTATGTCGGGAGACCTCCAATGTTGCGATTTTTCACTTCTTGATTGACAGGGCAGGAGATGATTTTCGTGGCTGTCGCCAGCGCTTCGGCACCGGGTCCATCGGGGGTGAACGAGACAAAGCCAGCTCCTTCATTTGAGTTGCTTCCGATGATCAAGGGCTGGTCGAATTGTGGGGGTTAGTGTTATATTTGGAGAATATCGCGGATTGCACGAACCGTCTTTGAAATCTTGCCATCCAAAATACGCTGCGTGTAATTTGCAAAGACGGTCTTGTTGTCCACGATGGGCGTAAATGAGACGGATGGCTCGGTTCCATTGCTATCATAATATGACAGGGCATTCTCTAGCGTCTGGGCAGGGACTTTTCGCACACAGCTGAGCTCCTCGTCGGTACTGAGATTCCCACAGCCCACCAACCCAGCGATGAAAGTGAAGTTGGTATGCGCTGTGTCAGAATTGGTGACAATGCTTGGGCTTCCAGAGTCTGCAATGACACCGGCTATGAGAGGGTTTTCGGGGTATCCGTATGGGTAAACACTGGAGCTGGCTGCACCGGCTGACTGGCCCCAGAGTGTGATTCTCTCCGGATCACCCCCAAAGTTACCAACATTGGCGTGGACCCACTCGACGCTAAAATATCACTTAGTATGATCATGATAAAGTCAGGTACGATGGAGGGATATTTCCTACGCTAGTCTTTGATCCAAGAGTCCAAGGTTTTGGTCCTCGAGCCCTGCCGCGTTGGGAAAACCGAAAATATTGACACGGTAGCTGGTGAACTTTGGTGTCAGATCCATGAAGCAATATGAATACCTTGGTATTGAAGGTAGAGAGAGAGAGAGAGAGAGACTCACTTCATGACGATCACTATGTGTGATTGTGTTCGCTGGACCCATTGATCCGGAATTTTGTAGAGGGAATTTTGACCTCCACTGGTAAATCCACCACCGGGAATGTACAGGAGAACTGGCAGTGGGCGTTGCTGGGATTGAATATTCTCAATCCGAGGTGCCCAGATGGAAAGGTACAGACAATCTTCAGAGTTTCCACCATTGATCAAGAACTCCGTCTCATACTCCGTGTAAATGGTAGAGCTGTTACTAAATTGCTGCATACAGGAGTTCGGAAGCTTTTGTGCCTTCACCTTCCCTTTGGATTGGGCCTCCTGGGGACGCGCGAAGCGAAGGTCCCCCACAGGTGGCTCGGCGAAAGGAACACCAAGAAATTGACGGACATCGGGGGCCGAAGAGTTGAAAAATCCTTCGATTAACCCGCTAGTGGTTTCGACGAGAAGTCCGGTATTGGCTATCTTGGAGCTTGAAGTTGGGACAGCAAAGACTGGGACAGCGGAAAGAAGTGCCGCGAGGCAGACTCGGGCTAGCATGGTGATTTAATAAAATTAACTCGGAAAGATTCTCAAATTATCTGGGAGAAGAAAGAAAGGGCAGATTGAAAAGACGACTCCATTCTTTTATACCTCTTTCATGGCAGTTTAATGCCACCCCATTTGTGGGAAATTGCGGCAAAGCGATTTTGCGTGGGCATTTCGAAGCTCGCTCAGGCACTTAAATGACGATGAACAATTATGAATTCTACACACTAAGGGAAAAGCGATTTGCCGCACCTTTATAAACCCCAGACACTGCGGGGTGAAGGACACGGGCCCCCGGATTCTCAGAGCTAAGCTCCTAAAGCCAAGATGTGGGGAAGTGCATTGGACATATAAATCTACGTGGCCGGCTTCTCCGACCCATGTTACCATCGCCAATCTCCCCTGGTATTCGTGCACATGCTCCCTTTACACGCCATGAAATACTTAGTCCTTTGTTGGCCTTATCGAAAAAGCCATGAGTGTCGTTACAGAGGGTAATAGTACTGGAAGACGTACAGTAGTAGGTATATTTGTCGTGGGAAAAGCTATATAATTCTTTTATACATCTTTTATATATATTTTGCGTTTGATTTAGGTACCCAGGATCAGAATTCTGCCTTACTGGCGAGACGCCTACATGGCTAGACATTTAAATAGCTAGGCTTTAACAGGTTACTATAATTTTGATTGAGTGATCGGTTGATTGATATCTTGACCAAGGATGCTCTGGGTGTGGAAGGGTAAGTCTTGAAACCTTAGGGTTTTACTTTAAGAGCTGCCAGTTATCTTACTACCTAGAGTTGTGTCAACAGTATCGATATGTCTGCTACGTTAAAGTATCTGTTCATTGCTATCTAGGAGTCTTAAGGATTTGTGCTCTACGGGATAAATAACCTTACAATTATGATGGATGCTCATAGCGTACGCTATCAGAGAGCGTTATGCAACCATGTGGATTAAATGTTAAGGAACTTAGGACCGAAAGACCACTAACAATCAAGTACCCGTAAACTATGGGCTATTTCTAACAACACAGATATGAGCATCAAGATCCCTGATAGTCATTGCGCATGCGACCTAGTAATGAATAGATCCTGGCTTCCAAGCTGATATCGGACCCTAAACCCGAACTCGAGACTCAACCTCAGTAGGAAACAAACAACCCTCGTAGAAACACCACCACCACAACAATAAACATCGACTATCAAAGTGTCGGCCCCCGCTTCGATTTTAAAAACTTCATAACCTCCACATAATGCTCATCATCTGTATCCAACACCGCCTCCTGCTCACACGCTGCCAGAATCTCAAGCACATATTCTTGACAATCCCATTCAAGCGTTTCATTGTCGACGTGGGCGGCCTCTACCGCCTCTTGGACGGTGGGCACATCAGGATCCCCGATCTCGCTGACCAGCAGTGACATGATTAGGGAATCGGAATCGGAGGGCTTGCCGCGGGATGTCACCTTTCGGAAGGAGGGGTGTTCGCCGTCGACTTCGTAGATGAGGTCTTTGTTTGTGGTGTGTAGGTGGAGAGCCCAGTGCTGGTAGTTGCCATAGCGGGGGTAGTAGATTGCGACGTAGAGAGCGGGCATTGCTTTTGCTTTATGGAGAGGAGAGTTAAGGAGTTATGAGCGATGTGAGCGAGGAGTATTTTCAAACTATTCTGGATACTGAGTGCGGAGTAGGCCGATGAGGTATATCATACTAGTAAACATGGAGGAAAGATGCCACGTAGAGACCATCTTGACATCCAGACGTAGGACTAGTTCATATGGAATCTCTTTGTGAAACTGTGGTGAATGTTGCCTACTAGGCAGTGGAATGTACCCTATCAGGCATGCATTGTGCTGCCTGGCCCTGGGCTATTGGAGCTGACAATCGTAGACATGTCCTCAATTGGACACGCTAGTTTTATGCTATTTTAAAGTTGCATTAAGCTCCTCAGGCGATAATCGTATAGATAATAGATGAAGCACGAAGGATTAGATCATGCTACTACCCCTTGCTAGTACGACGACCCGCGATAGACTTTCGACCGTCGATCGTTCAATCAGAAATTAAATTTTCACCGATTCCTCGGATGTCCTGAGTACTTCTGATTAGATCGATATTTCATCTGTATCACTGGTTTCATAAATTATGGCATCTCATCTTGGTCTGCTGAGTCTCCAGGCATACTTGAGTTAGGGCAAGGGCACAGAAAGAATACCAACCAACGACTATCACGTAAAACAGAAGAACAAAGAAAGAAAAAGACATGAAAAATAGAAATGCTAAGCCACAATGATTCAAATAGCCTCAAATCCTTCCAACTCTAATACTATTAAATGTTAGTCACTATTAAGGCGAGAATGGTGCCATAGTTTGACCGGTACCCTGGATGATAAGATGGCCAAGACAAGACCAAGACCAAGATGATGTCAAGTCTCGCTTCCCCATGTAACCTTAACGGACAATTACCGGCCACACTAAAACCCAGTCTCAAGAGGCAATGATCGACTCGGGATGAAGTCCTGGTCGGCTCAACTTTCCACTCGGCCAATCCCGATCTTTTGGCAGAGAAAGATTCGGTATAGTCGGCTGTGGCTGATTCAACCCCGCAAATTGCTTTCTTTCACCAATTCACCTGCGCCTTGGCCAATACAACCCTTGGGTCACGGTGACAAGTCTGTGCGACAATCTTTTCTTGGGAAAAAATACCTCAAACGTGGATCCGAGTGCCGTTTAAGTACCTGTTTTGAGTAGTGGCTTTTCAAATCAAACGGCTGGTACGGCAGGTTAAACTCCGCACCGGTGCTCCAGGATCTGCGTCTATCTTCCCCGTCCGGGATACGAGTGTGGGGATTTAATCTACGACGGGGATAGACTCCTCAAGGCTTAAGCTTCTGGCTCTATTTAAGTGCCTTGGAAGTCCTTGATTTTGCTCGCAAGGAACCATTCAATCTAATTTTCTAGTGCTGCCTGAGAGGCACTGATAATGAAACTCAGGGTACGTAATTACCCATTCTACCGTCATTAGGGCTTCAAACAAAAGACCGCCCCCCTCCCAAAAAAAAAAAAAAAAAAAAAAAAGAAAAAAAAAAGACAAGAAAGGCAAAAAACTGACTGGACACTAGAACCTCGCGCCCTGGGCGCTGCTTTTAACAGCAGTTCATGGCCTTCCAAGCCAGGGGACTCAAAGCAAACATAACCCCCGTGTGGCTAAGATCTTAAAGCGGCACGAAGGCTCCAACCAGAAGGTCGCCAACTCAAGCAACGTGTATGAGACTAAATTCGACGGCGTAACGTGGGATGAGGAGAATTGGCTTCTCAAGACAACTATCTTGGACCAGGGCCATTATCAGTCGCGTGGTTCCGTAGCAAATGGTTATCTTGGTATCAATGTCGCCAGCGTGGGGCCCTTCTTTGAGCTCGACGAAGAAGTAGACGGCGATGTCATCAACGGCTGGCCGCTCTTTTCACGACGACAGTCATTCGCAACCATCGCGGGTTTCTTTGACTCCCAACCAACCACAAACGGTACTAACTTCCCTTGGCTATCCCAGTACGGATGGGACACGGCAATCAGTGGTGTTCCTCACTGGAGTGGACTGATCCTCGACTTGGGCGATGATGTCTATTTGGACTCCACTGTGGATGACAGCACTATTACCGATTTTCAATCCACCTACGATTTCAAGGCGGGTGTCTTATCATGGTCGTACACCTGGTCTCCTGAGGACAAAGGCTCTTTCCAGATCACCTATCGACTGTTCGCCAACAAGTTGAACATCACGCAAGCCGTGGTGGATATGGAGATCATTCCGTCCGTCGACGCCGATGCGACCGTGGCGAACGTGCTCGACGGGTACTCAGCAGTACGAACCGACTTTGTCGAATCTGGTCAAGACGATGGCGCGCTCTTTTCGGCTGTGCGGCCTTGGGGTATCTCCAACGTCACTGCATATATCTATGCAAACCTGACCGGATCGGCCAATGTCGACCTGTCATCCCGCACTCTCGTGACCGGAAAGCCCTACGTGAATACCAACGAGTCATCCGTCGCGCAGACTGTGAATGTTAGATTCACCACGAAGGAACCCGTCCGCATCACCAAGTTCGTCGGCGGAGCCTCGACCGATGCCTTCGCTGATCCCAAGCAGACAGCCAAGGAAGCTGCTTCTGCAGCACTGGCCGCGGGCTACACCAACTCTCTGCAGTCGCACGCCTCTGAGTGGGCTAATATTATGCACGAGAACTCGGTCGACCGCTTCACCGATCCGACCACCGGAAAGCTCCCTGAAGACCAACATGTCATTGATTCCGCTGTTATTGCCGTCACCAACATTTACTACTTGCTGCAGAACACCGTGGGCCAGAATGCCATCGCAGCCGTCTCTAACGCCACTGTCAATGAGACCAGCTTCTCCGTCGGCGGACTCACCTCCGATTCCTATGGGGGCCAAGTCTTCTGGGACGCTGACGTCTGGATGCAACCCGGTCTTGTGGCGTCGCATCCCGAAGCTGCGCAGGGGGTGACCAACTACCGAGTCGCCAAATACCAGCAGGCAAAGGAAAACGTCAAGATGGCGTTTACCAGCTCAAAGAACCAGACTCGGTTTGACCCCTCCGCAGCCATCTATCCTTGGACGAGCGGGCGCGCCGGAAACTGCACGGCGACTGGCGCCTGCTTTGACTACCAGTATCATCTCAACGGTGACATCGGACTCTCCATGATCTATCAATGGGTCGCTAGCGGCGATACAGACTACTTCCAGGAGAAGCATTTCCCGATCTACGATTCGGTGGCTACGCTGTATTCCAACCTTGTTGAGCGAAATGGGTCTAGCTGGACTTTGACGAACATGACCGACCCGGTAGCTACTGCCACCCCCAACCATCCCATCGCATGGCTAACAGCTTTTAGGACGAGTATGCAAACCACGTCGATGCGGGTGGCTTTACGATGCCCCTCATCGCTCAGACCCTGGAGAATGCCAACTCGTTCCGCGAGCAATTCAACCTCGAACCCAACGACACTTGGACCGAGATCTCAGAGAACGTCCTGCTGCTGCGCCAGAACAACGTAACCCTCGAGTACACCTCAATGAACGGTACGGCCGTGGTCAAACAGGCAGATGTCGTCCTAGTCACCTACCCACTGGCCTACGAGACCAACTACACGGCCGCGATGGGCCTTTCAGACCTCGACTATGTAAGTTCTCCACCCACCTAAAAGCCTACATCCTCACCGCGTACCAATACTGATAATCAAACAGTACGCAAACAAGCAATCCGCCGACGGCCCCGCAATGACCTGGGCCATTTTCTCCATCGTAGCGAGCGACGTCTCCCCATCCGGCTGCTCCGCCTGGACCTACCACCAATACTCCTACGACCCCTACACCAGAGGCCCCTTCTTCCAGCTCTCCGAACAAATGCTCGACAACGCCAGCATTAACGGCGGCACCCACCCAGCCTACCCATTCCTAACCGGCCACGGGGGCGCAAACCAAGTCGTGCTCTTCGGGTACCTCGGCCTCCGTCTCCTCCCCGACGAAGCAATCCACATCACCCCCAACCTGCCCCCGCAAATCCCCTACGTCAAATACCGAACCTTCTACTGGCGCGGCTGGCCTATCGCCGCCGAATCAAACTACACCCACACCACCATCCGCCGCGACACAAAGACCGCCCCCCTCTCCACAGCCGACGAACGTTTCCGAAACGCCACAATCCCCGTTCATGTCGGCAGCGACGGAGAAGAAACTTACACTCTCCAACCCACTGGGAGACCTCTGGTTGTTGAGAACCGCCAGATTGGCACAATCCCCACCATGCACGGAAACCAGATTCAATGCCAGCCTATCACGTCTCCGGATGAGTACAAGGCAGGCCAGTTCCCCATCTCTGCTAATGACGGGGCAACGTCCACGAAATGGCAGCCTGCTTCTTCGAATCTCTCTTCTATTACCGTTACGCTCTCAGATACGCAGTTGGCCAATGCTGTATCCGGATTCCATTTCGATTGGGCTTCTGCGCCGCCGGTCAATGCGTCGGTGATCTTCCATGAGGAGATTATTGAGAATCCTGCTTCTGTGTTTGCATTTAATACCCAAGACCAGGGTCAAGATGCGAAGTATAGAGTTGTTCTGAGTTTGACGGATATTGAGCCTTCCACGATTTATACAGCTGAGGAAGCGAACCAGGTTCGCATTCCGGTTGGGAATACAACTACTGCGGAGCTTAAGGAGACTGTGACGCCGTCCAAGTATGCTACTTTGTTGATTGCCGGGAACCAGGCTCTCAGCGGTGAGCAAGAGGACGCAGGTGCCACAGTGGCGGAGTGGGTGATTTTGAGCCAGGAAGGTGGACAGCCTCAGTTGGCTGCTGATGCGCAGCGGAGGGGTATGAATGTTCGGGATAGGGCTTTGTTGGAGAGACTGAGGAGGTAGTTAGTGTTGGTTGCTTTTAGTGTGTGAGATTGGCTGTATTACTACTAATAGGGAATGGATCTTCCTCTCCTATGTGAGATCCTGCTATAAACGGTCTTTTAAACGTCGTCTTTACTAGAGATATTGGCCTCAGCAGTAAGGCCAGGCCATTGGTACCTTTCCTCCTGGATATTAGTAACTATAACTACAGGGAGGATCCACCAAACGGGAGATGCCGACGGGCCGACTCGATAGCCTTAGTTCTTCCCAATGGGGCTAGGGTTAGGGACCGTGCTCGATGAAATCGGCCAAGTTGATGGCTGTCACTTCAATCAAATCACATCATCGATCATGGCCCCCAAAATGAATGATGACTTGGCGTCAGCAGTCTCCGGATTATTTTCGAGACGGTCTTGCCGGAGCGTTCCTGGATTAAATAAAAACCACTTTGCGACTCCCTCCACCTTCGACAAGGGTCTGCTTCATTCTAGTGTATTATTCCCCACTCCATCCTTCGACTACCCTTTCATATCACACCAGCAAGATGAGCGCTACGACAGCCGCGCCCGTTGGGACCAAATCTGAACCCCAGAAGCTGACCGGCTTGAACCTCTATTCGCGATTCGCTTTCGCCGGTGCCGTCTGCTGTTCCGTCACCCACGGAGGTCTCACTCCCGTCGATGTGTAAGTCGCGACCAATTCTAGCGAAGGATCGAAACCACATCAGTTCGATAAATAACGACAAGAAAAAGTCGCAACGAGGTAACTGACACATACATACCTCTTGAACAGTGTCAAGACCCGCATCCAGCTCGACCCGATCACCTACAACCGCGGCCTGATCGGTGGCTTCCGCCAGGTCATTCAGAATGAAGGCGCCGGTGCTCTTCTGACTGGTGCCGGTCCTACCTTCGCCGGATATTTCCTACAGGGCGCACTGAAGTTCGGCGGTTACGAATTCTTCAAACAGCAGTCCATCAACACTATCGGCTATGAAAATGCCAGAAACAACCGTATCGCTGTCTACTGTGTTTCGTCTGCGTTTGCTGAGTTCTTCGCCGATATTGCCCTCTGTCCGCTTGAGGCTACTCGTATCCGGTTGGTGTCGGAACCTACCTTTGCTAGCGGTCTTGTCTCGGGCTTTGGTAAGATTGCTCGGCAGGAGGGTCTTGCGGGTTTTTATTCTGGCTTTGGGCCTATTCTTTTCAAACAGTATGTAGATATAATACAACCGAGCTCGATGTTGTGGCTCTCATGACTCACACCTGGTAGGGTCCCATACACCATGTCCAAGTTTGTTGTCTACGAGAAGGTCGCCGAGTTCGCCTACGCCAACTTCTTCGATAAGGAGAAGACCAGCGATGGCATGCAGACTACCATCAACCTTGGTTCTGGGTTGATTGCCGGTTTCGCCGCTGCGATTGTTTCTCAACCCGCCGACACTATGCTTTCCAAGATCAACAAGACCAAGGGTCTCCCCGGTGAGGGCACAACCAGCAGATTGATCAAGATCGCTAAGGAGCTTGGTCTGCGTGGTTCTTTTAGCGGTATTGGTGCTCGTCTGGTCATGGTTGGTGCTTTGACTGCCGGACAGTTCGCTATCTACGGTAAGTATTGGATGGTTGAAACCACTTGGCCAGGATTGATCGATGATGGCTAATGTATGATTCTTCTCGGCAGGTGATCTCAAAAAGGCCATGGGCGCTGTAAGTTATTCTCTCTAAATTGCGAATAGAGGTTTACTGACCGTTTAAACTAGGTTGGAGGTGTCGAGATCACGAAATAGATAACCGTGACCCACGAGGTGTTTGTAGAATGATGTACATCAATAGAACATAGAGGTACTCGGGGTATCTTAATCTATTATAGACGCATGTACATAACCATACTTAAATTGTATCTATCTTACGAGAGCTTCGACTTTTGCGAAACGAAGGTGTTTCTGCTTACCAACGACTGGAGTTTGTCGTACGAAGATGGAATATGCTACATATTTGGACAGGATCGCGCACTTGACCCGCCCCACAATAATATAATTGCCCTGGTTCGGCGGATGGAAACGCTTTCTTGAAGGAGAGCAGATTCCAGAGCTACCTACTAACGCAAAGGGCGGTGCTTGAGGAAGATAATTGAATTATGAGACTATCGCAGAATCATACAGGGAATCGCTGTTTGAGGAAGGTGTTCCTCAAGGAATTTTCGTTGGTAGAGGCCGCCTGGTGGAATAGCAATAAATGCCCCAAGTTTTGTGTCCACTCCCATAAACTTTTCTTGGCTCCCTTGATATCCGAGTGATATATTTGACATTTGCGTTATTGAATATGCTATGGAGACAAACAAACCAGGAGATATAGTGATGGAAGGTGATATAGTGAACGAGTAGGAATCTTTCCGCTCTGGATTTGAAAGTTGCGATAGTCTTCGCATGACGGTGCTCGACTCTGGCGGAGAGACTGATGATTTAATCTTCTGTCTGTATTCCCATTCCTTTCGTATGAATGTGCTACCTCAGAGAACAATCCTGATGGATTTTCTGACAGGCTGCCTGATCATATGACAGACATTTTCCTCCTCCTTTGAGGAGATCTCTTAGTGTAAGTGCCTTCAAGGAACCACAGAACGCTATATTTACCAATTCCTTGTTTGGATCCTCATAACTGTTGATAGTCTAGGGGCGGACTAGTTATAATGGGTTTCAATGATAATGCTACTTGACTGGCCTATCGAGATTCCACGCTGGAGGGTATCAAGGTAGTTCCTTGGTGACTGAGGCGCAGGGGTGATAGTAGGTGAGTAATGCCTTTGGGGTAAGAAGTCCAGGTGCAGTTGGTATTTGACTAAGATACATGACTAGTCTCTCTGCCCAATGGGATCGAACATATCAATAGTGTCCCGATACTGCATCATCACTTGCCGGAGTTGAGGGGCTGACCTGTCCAGATACCCAGTCCCAGTTTTCGATGTCCTCGGCGCAGTGTTTTGCCCTGGATGTTATGATGTTGATGCGACCTGACGAGGTCAGGAAGCCCGGATATACGCTGTTGTTCGTGAGCATGACGATTACGATGTCCTCCTCGAATGCGTGGCTTCGTCTCCATTCCTGGGTATGTTTCTTCCCATTTCTGCGCGGCTAAAGCCACTTGCGCCTTGTACGGAGAGACGATCAGAGTATTTTGACAGTACTGCATGATGGGTCGATGACTCTCGCTAGGCGGGTGGCAATCTCTGCTCCTCCGTGGTTGACGATCGACTTGGACGCGTCGGAGGATGTCTGGCCCGCGTTGTGCACGAACCTTGCCATGTGTAATTGTCCCACCTCACAGTCACTGCGCTGTCAAACAGGCGCTTTACGCTCATGGGAGCAATATTCGATATCTAACATGACAGATGGGTAACCGGCGATATGAAGGCGTTCAAATGCCGAGACAGTCCACATCATCTGGCCCTCATCGGTGAAGACTGGAGGGCAGAGCTATTTGTAGTCCTCCAGCAGAAGGACCCTGTTCACGCTGGACAGAATCGAAAGCGCACGGAACAACTCCGGATCCCTGGATAAGCTCGCGTCGTCGAAGACCACGGCGTGGGGCTTGAATCCACGCTTTTCCAACTGTCGGATATTCATGCCCGTAATTCTGGGGTTGGAAAATGTAGTAACCAAGATCCCGATTCGGAAGTAGTGATCGTGCTGGAAACTGTAGCACCCATGACAATAAAACCAGACAAGTTGCGGTTCATTGCCTAAGCGAAAATGAGCGCTCGCAGGCATCGTGTTTCGATCTTCTCTCTCCACCATCTCTTTCAGTAACTCCTTCCGGTCGAAGTGGTAGCGGACCAGCAGGCTCCGGTCGAGGATTATACCAGACTCTATGAGCTCTCTAGTGCCTCGCCAGAAGTGGGCGACGTGCTGACTGGCTCACTCTCGGAAGAACCGCTCCATTTTCCTCTGGTCATCGTTGGGCAATGACTCGGGTTTTCCCAATACCAGGAGGGCCGATGACCATCGAAAACTTGTACTGCAACAATGGCTGCACTGCCATTTCCTGGTTATCGTTAAGCGACCATGAAGTGGAATTTAGGGCTTTCATGTCACTATTCTGGCAGTCGGGAAGCCATTCCTCGGTGCTGATGCGTGGATGGCCATATAGCCACAACCTGACAGAGAGAGGTGAGATGCGGGAAATGAGATGGGAAGAGGAAACAGGGGAGGATTGGCATGTCTTTTAAAAGAAACAGAAGGAAGGATGCAGTGAAGACACAAGAAGGGAAAGAGGAAGAAACAGAAGGGAATCATTGTCTTCTGTTAGTGAGTAACAGAAGGTGAAGAAAACCTTCTTCCCATAAGAAACCTGCCTGTGAAGTTTGCCCAGTAAAAAACAACATAAATAAAAAAAATAAACAGCTTCCAAAATAATTTTAGTCGACCAAATCGAGCTTGCGGACAATACATAGATTTTTGATCAATTTTACCGAAATCTCATTGTTTTATATTCAGCCACAGCTGCCACGTACTTCACAATCTAGTAAAGCCATAAAATATACTATTATATAGTATATTTATAATTCAAATTCAAGGTAATAGTGTAACTTGAGATATTATTGCTAATTTTTATTAAGTGAGTAATAGTAGTAGTAGATCTAGACTAGACCCTAACTTTAAGGGTAGTAGACCCTATACTTGGGGAGAGTAGTGAAGTGTCTAAACTTAGGGACCCTAGCCTCTAGAGATAAAAATTGTTTAAAAACAGCAAAGTATTATAGATTTTTAGGTCCAGACTAGTCGATATTCCAAATAAAAAGTCTACTATTATTAATAGATTCTACAGTGGAATTTAATAAATAGATCTAATTAACTAATATATTGTGTGTTGGTATTAGTAAAGTTGGTAATATTGTACATTGTCTGGAAGCTTGATTTACTCTGTAACCATGCACCATGTGGTTATTCTTGCCCTGGTCACTTGATCCATTTGTTCCTGCCTGTCACACACCATCCTGAGCAATAGACTGAAGCCACTTCACTATAACTCACTTATTCATCACTTATTTTTCATTTATTTCCCACTTAAACAGAAGAATTGTGCCAATTCACCACAGCAGCTGCAGAGAGACTTATCGAATATGTCCACCGACGGCGAGTCTGACGAATCTTGGCCGCTCTTGGCTGACGAAGGGAGGAAACGGATAGCGCGATATCAGCCCCAGAATCGAGCTTACGATGAGATGGTGAAACCTTCCTTGTGTGCTTTCATCGACTGGTTACCAGAAGGCGGCCGGGAATCTATTGCGAGGGATTGTATAAAAGCCACTACAGACGATGATCTGTACCAGGTCTTTAAAAATCTCTTCACAGGCCTTGCAATTCCGAGTAAGTCTAGAAAATACTGACCTGATAAGATATTACTAATGAATCCTTGGGAGCAGTGAAAACTCGGTCTAAACTACCATCTGTTACAGACTCCCCCGATCCAAACCGGCAGAATAACGTTGAAGTTATAGCCGGAATACTTGATCAGTTTAATACTCGTGGTCAGGACTTCCACCACGGTTGTCTCCGACGTGATAGTTATAAATGCGTTATCACTGGTGAAATGGATACGAAACACTGGGAGAGCCTTGGGTGTCCTGAGGGTATTGATTTCGCTCCTACAGAAGGAGCCCATATCATTCCCTTCACATACGCTTCTTGGGATACTTCAACAGTAATATATTCTCAGTGTATTTGATGTTTCTATACTAATCAATTCTAGGGCCGTGCTAAAGCTTGGGAAGTGCTCTATCGGTGCTTTCCCGGAGTTAGGCGCGCGGGTCTTTCTGTCGATAATATCAATGATATTTCAAATGGCTTGACACTCCGATAGTCTGTCCACGATCAATTTGGACCATTCAATATCGTTCTACAGCCTACTGTGAGTAGCTAACAACACAGTGTATATACCCTTATGCAGTTTTACTAACTGAGAGATACGCGACTAGAATTTGATGAACAAATATGAAGTAAAGTACTTCTACAAATACCCACCATCGGACAGAAGACTACTCCCGGAGACCATTGAGTTGAAGAAAGCGAAAGATACCGAACAGCTCGCCCTCCCTAACCGCGCACTCCTAGACTGCCATTACCGACTAGCAGAGATTCTCAATGCGTCAGGACTGGGGGAGATCATCGAGCGACATGCTGACAGATGGAAGAATCTTAAAGTCAGTACTTACAATGCGGTGATTAGAGAGGACGGGGGCACAAATATTGGAGAATTTCTAGACGCCGGCCTGTGGCAATATATTATTGCGCAGCGGAACGAAGCGTAGCAAGCAAATATACTCTATACGAGACTGCTCAATCGGATCTGGCCCACAGTTCTGGGTTCGAATTGGGTTCGAATTGATAAGTTACACCATTCCTGTTTTGTTCTTCTATAATCATTTCAAGCCTATTTAGATAATCTGGGCAGTGTACCTCCAGTAATCGAACCCAAGTTCTAGAGCTTTGAATTGCCTGCGTGGCCTAGGTCATGTGATTCCTAATGTTGACCCTAATGCCAGAAAGATATTGAGGGAGTTAAAAGACTGGAGCCAGTGCCATTGGCTATTCCACTGGTTCATAGATCCAACAAGCTAAAGACAGCCCACCGGTATGAATCCACCCCTACATATCATGTCCGTCCAAGAAACATAACACCAACCGGGAAGGCAAGTCAATCATACGGCCGCGAGTATTCCCACTCGTTCAGCCTCGCCTCATCTGCTGGTATGCAAGGCTGGATATTCAACTTTTGGTATACGCCCCGAATCCGATGCGCGAGTATGTCATCTTCGGTTACCCAATCGTCATCATAGTCCGTACATGTCGAGCCACCAAGAATGTAAATCACAAGGTCTGTCTCCAGCGTCCTGCCCGTCATTTCTTCTATACCAAGCCATCCAGGACATTCCGTGTTGCGCCACCAGATGGCAACCGGATTGTCAAGCCTAACCATGTCACGATGGAATAGAAAGACTTCGAAATATTCTTCCATCCGCAGACCATTCTCTCTTGTCTGTGCACTCGGGTCAACATCAGGAAAGTACTAGATGGCAAGTAGAAAGATAGATGTACCGATATTTCATGGAAAGTATAACTCTCACTCATAGCAAAACACGAAATGAGGATGCCAATTCTGAATATAGGAGGCTGCTGGACAAGCATCCGACGCCAGCTTGCTTCCGGTCGAATGTACGCTTCAAGCTTCTCAGGTCGCTGCAGCATATCCACACTGGCTAATAAAGTTGGGTTCGATTGGAAGAAGCTTGGAAACATTTTTGCCAGTAAGGGATTTTGCACTTTGGTACTCGCAGATGACGAGTCCGTTGGGATGAAAAAGAGTGCTTTTTGAATAGGGACTGATTCTTGAATTATCCGGGACCAGGCCTGGCATATTCGCTGGGCCGTGAGAAGGGTTTGAGTGTCTAGCTGTAGTAAGATCAACTCGAGAAGCTCGAATGTCGAGAGGGTAATATCTTGCGCGTTTTGGGTCGCCATCTCTTGCATTTGGATAGTCAAATGTTGTCTGAAGTGATTGTTTTGGCTCGCTGACATGCCATATGCATGCCAAGCCTTGTTTTAATTGGTTATTCAGTTTTCTTTTGACATTTCTTGGTCATGAATCGCTATATTTGCTCCCCAAGCTGAGCTGGAGCGGAAATTCAAACTCTTTCGTTGTTGTTTTTTGCATGGAGATGTTGTGAATCATTAGGCAGCGAGATCGGCGCCTATTTATCATGCCAAGAAAGTGGGGAATGGTATTTGGTACTTGAGATAAATAGACCAGAGACAAAGTTTGTCAACATCTTTCAACAACAATGTCGCGCAATAATTACAATGATATACTTAGTAGGCTCTGCCCTGGGGACTTGACAGCAGAGAGGCAAGAAACCTTGAGCCGTGAACGAGTAGGGAAGCTGGAAAACTGGTTTGTGGAAGACAGACTCACGCAAGAATGGATCAACGGCTCTGATCTACAGCTTCTCTGGGCTTACGGACCGGGTAAGTATGCTCCATCTCTGTCGGGCATGGAGATGCTAACAATCAATTAGCTGCAACGGGAAAGACATATATCAGCTCCCTCATTGTCGATCACATTCGCTCAAACGAGAGCCGGTCAGGAATTGCAGTATTCTATTTTGATGACAGCCGTCCCCAGTATAATGTTGCGGATTTCGGTGTTGCATTTCGTTCGATATCTAGACAGCTTGTGGCTCAGCACACTGACCCTTCTGCTGATATCATCAATCTAGCAGAGGGGTACGCTGCCTTTCACTCTCTAGATGGAGGTAAACCTGCTGGCCTATGGGACCGGATTACCGCGTCTTTTGACTCGGTCTTCGTGGTATTCGATGCTGTTAATGCCTCTGAAGCTGCACTGAAGGATATGTTCGTCTACCTCGGAGGCAACGATTTTCAGGATGCCCGTTTGCACATTCTTATAACCAGTCGCTATCCGCCACCACGCTCACTTCTACGAACCTACGAACTGCCAACCATAGTAACGAGGGCAAGCGACGATGATCTCATGACTTACATCATGCACGAGTTAGGACGTGTATCAGGCCAGGAACAGCTATGCTCAATGCCAGAAGACGTTCGTGAAACTATGTCAGATGTTATGGAGATGTTGGACGGGGTGTATGTGTTCTTTCCTCGTCTTTACCACCCGGCAGCTGATATCAATAAAGGTTTCCACCACTACCTCAACACAAAACTATTCCAAATGCATTGAATGATCTAGCACAACTTCTATATAATCAGCCATTTTCAACGAAGCCCAACGCCCTTAGCCAGCTCGCATTAGCTCATTTAGCAAAAGCAGAGCACGGACAAAATACCCTTCAAATGCTCCACCTAGTCTCGACACTAGAAGAAATGGGCTATACGCCAACGATATTCCAGGTTGTAGACTCCCTACCTTTTCTCGGCATACATACAAAAGAGAACATTCACTACACCTCTTCCGACGTGGCAAACATGTGTACTCCATTTGTCTCCTTTAGTACTCACACCGAAGCGATGCGAATCCGGTCCTCTCTTCTCCAGAACCATTTGCGCCAAGAAGCCTCCAAAAGCAATACCAAAAGGACAATGCTCCGTGCCGCCCTGTCTTACCTATCACAGGAGGAATTTCAGAGTGGAGCCTGTAATTCATCAGCGAGTTTAAAGAAGCGATTCCAAACCCATCCGTTCCTTCCATTCGCGGCACGGATAATCTCACTCTATACCTCTAGAGTACCTAACCGACAGGAAGCTCTTGACGGCTTCCTACGATTCGCATCTCACCACGGCTCAATTGACTCCTACCTCCAGGCAGCAGATGCCTGGCCATATCAGGATGATGACAGCTATGACGAGCTTGAAAGCGCTGAACAGCGCTGGGCGTATTTCCCACGTGGTTATACACCGCTCCATACTGCTGCTCATATTGTAGGTGGACGTGTACTTGTCAAGGCTCTACTTCAACAGGGGGAGGATATCGAGGCAAAATCAGGGAATTGGCAGACGGCGTTACATATTGCTGCTGGGATCGAGCATGAGTCTGAAACGGTGAGAACTCTTCTTGAATACGGAGCTAATGTATCAGCGGTTGATGATGATGGAGAGACACCGCTATCTATTGCTGTTGTCGAGGGGGCTCTGGAGACGGTAAAGCTACTTGTGGAGTTTGGTGCTGATGTTGGGAATCTTGATACGGCTATACTTGTGGAATGTGCTGAGGAGAGGAGGGATATTGTGGAGTATTTGACAGGGCTGGGGGTGGACTTTCCGGATGACGATCCAATGGAGGGGGATAGGGAGACCTGATACTTTCTGCACAAGTTATATATACAGAGTGTACTTTACCATTATATCCGAACTTAGTATGGTATGATAGAGTCATCTCCCGACGCTTCGGGCGAGCCGATGTGAAGCCCTAGCTTTCAAGGGGGCAAGCCTGGTAGTTCTTAATAAGCATATACCATTGTGTCTGAACACAGAAGAACCGCAGAACCTCCACAGTGTGGGAGGGGGGAGGAATGCTATACTATCTATTTGGCCATAATGTATCAGATTCCCTAATAAGTGTTGCCCCCCATCTTTAGCTGATACGTCTATGTATGGAGGAGCTCATACTATCTTCCATTTGCTCCTATTCGCTTCTCTTGATGCTACCAGTGATACCCTACGCTTCAATCATGTGAGACATTTAGTCCAGCCTTAGGTACGTGAAACGAACATTAGTACTTATGACCCAAGAACCAAGGAGCTGTATCAAGTAACATAGAAGAGGGGTAGTTGCATGAAGCATGAGAACTAGCTACATACAAGGTAACATCGTCCTTACTCTTTCTCCAATGATTATTCGACAACTATATGCAGCATGTCAGTGTTGGCAATTATCCAACTCCCTGTATAAACCTGTAGACTAACTCCAACCCCGCCTGTTAACGGCATTGTCGGGTTGATTCCATAATCGATGTCGACACATCAAGGCTCACCACATTGGACTGACGTGACTGTATACTGGAAAACAGGCTTATAAGGGTCATATCAAACTCAGTCATTGGTGGGGGGATTCAGATTGAGAGCTTAGTAGGAGATCAACGATCTATCTCGGCTTCCGGAAAATGTGACACGACAGGACAAGATATGCTTCTGCATGGGGAGAAAGAGTGCATCTGATTTCACATGGGGCCGTCCACACTTGTAGAATTATTGTTACAACCTCTGACTAGTAAGATCTGTCGATATTTCTGTCTTTGCTCTGGGATCCTTGACAGATTGAGGTGAGTGGGAGAGACTCCGTATGAATATTCATTCGACGAGCGCAAAACGGTAATCTAGACGACATATAGACGATATAAGCACAAATTCATTCAATGACCGATAAGCGTGCCTGTTTCTTATTATCGAATGTAAATCACAGTCACCGTTTATGTGGTTATGCCGGGCTGGCGCGGAAGGCAATGCTACGTCACTCCACCTGCCTCATAATCTGACTAAACCACTCATTGCATTCTTTGGTTCACCAACGTAATGGTTGGCTGAAAGGAAATATACAAGGAGCCCTACAGTGCAGGGTACTAGTATGCCGGGCCTGGTGGAAGCCTTTTGGTTTGCTTAAAAGCATGCAATTACGTATCTGCTGATTGTCGGATATTCGAGACCTGCCTCCAGCTAGACACGTCGCACACTCTGCCACTTCACCAAAGAACCACCTCTAACAGAGATCACAAGTCTAGGGGAACCGACTTCTTGACGGAATCTATGTTATAAAGACCGGCCAGCAACGTCTGATGTATCCCCAATAGTCCATTCATATCATCAAGCATTTGAATCGTATCTGGGTTTCATACATATCTACTCAGTTTCAGTAATATTTTGCTTGTAATCATGACTTCAAAATCCTATCCACCCAAGGACCCTACCGACATGACAAATGCCACGCGAGGACTAATTACCAGTCTAGAGCCATGTGTGGTCTACTCGGACACCGACCCATCCAAAGCCATCTGGGATAACGACTCCTTTGACTTTTTGGCAGAAGAGTACCCCCCTCATTTCGCAAACCCTTCGCTCTGGAGACAGTCTCAACTCTGCCAAAAGCAGGGCCTTTTCAGAGTTCGTCCTGGCATCTACCAGGTCCGCGGACTAGATCTCTCCAACATCACGTTCATCGAGTGTCCAAACACAAAGGGAGTGGCAGTTATTGACCCGCTCATCTCGGTTGAAACTGCTAGGAAGGCCCTTGAACTGTATCAAGGCCAGTTTCCAGATAGGACTATCAAAGCGTTGATCTACACCCATTCTCATGTGGACCATTTCGGCGGAGCGAAAGCCATTGCAGACGCTGCTGGCGAGGGTCTGAAAGTGTACGCGCCTAATGGATTCCTCGAACATGCCGTCAGCGAGAACGTCTACGCTGGAAACGCCATGGGCCGTCGAGCGGTGTACATGTATGGCGAGTCCTTGCCACGGCAGCGAGATGGCCAAATCGGCTGCGGGCTGGGTCTCACTGTTTCAACCGGCGTATCGGGATTGATCCCACCCACGACTAACATCACGCGTACGGGCGAGAAAATCATCGTAGACGATGATCTTGAAATTGAATGTCAGTTAACGCCAGGAACTGAGGCGCCGGCGGAAATGAACATGTATTTCCCTCAGTATAACGCTCTCTGCATGGCCGAAAACGCTACTCATACTCTTCACAACATTCAAACCTTGAGAGGTGCTTTGGTACGCGACGCTCGCGTTTGGGCTAAGTATCTTGATGAGGCTATCGTTCGCTATGGGAAGGACGCACATGTTGTATTCTCCAGTCATCACTGGCCTACATGGGATAACGAGAACGTCAATGAGTTCCTGAACAAGCAGCGCGATCTGTACGCCTATCTGCATAATGAAACTCTCCGTCTTCTCAACACGGGTCAAACAGGCATAGAAATTGCCGAGCATTTCCATCTTCCACCATCCTTGAACAATACCTGGAGTGCGCGCGGCTACTACGGGTCAATCAGCCACAATGTCAAGGCGATCTACAATCGCTACATGGGCTGGTTCGACGGAAACCCCGCTCACCTATGGGAACATCCACCCGTGGCAACTGCAAAGCGCTACGTGAAATGCATGGGCGGGATAGAGAAAGTGATCGACTTGGCCAAAGAGTTCATGGATGAGGGGGACCTTCGTTTCGCCGCAACACTCCTGAACCATGCCGTGTATGCCGACCAAAACAATGACCAGGCCAGAAACCAGCTCTCATCAGTCTATCGCCAACTGGGATACGGCGCCGAAAACGGTGTCTGGCGTAACTTTTACCTTACTGGTGCGCGCGAGCTGCATCCCCAGAACAAACCTCAGGGTTCCCAGCTAGTAATGTCGGCGGAGACATTGATGGCTCTTGATCTAGAGCAATTGTTCGATAGTATCTCTATCCGTGTGGACGGACCGAAAGCATGGGGTCGGTCATTCACGATTGACTTCATGATCACGGATATGAAAAGGGGATGGCATTTGAATTTGGGTAATGGTGCCTTGACTGGCCATGAAATCGAGTACCGGGAGCCGTCGGATACGGCAGATGCGTCTTTGGAAGTTTGGCTGACACATAAGGATCTGGCTGCTTTGATTGCTGGAGATCGGAAGGATCTTGACGGCCTCACCACGGCTGGCGACGTTAAATGTTGGGAGACGTTGGCGTCATTGCTCACTACACCTGACCCTGCTTTTGCGATTGTGACCCCCAGAGCGATAAATGATTCAACTTCCTAGAATGGGAAATATATCGTAAGCTGTCATACTTCACAGCGTTCACCTACCACTTCTGGGTTGTAATGCACGTTTGTCCTTAGCAACTGTTGGATTTGGTTCTATGAAACTCTGTTGCTCTTGACATTCCAATGGAATATCATCGATGCTTTAAATCTTGGAAAGATGTATTTATTAGGATTGAAAAAATGTGTATTGTGAAAATGACAATTAGTACAGAATAGTTTGCCCCGTGTAAATAGCAGGGTTATAACCGTATCCAGACAGAGCAGGAGACGATTGATGCTGATTATACCGAACACAGGACCACTCCCAAGAAGACTGTACAGTCCCCAGAGAGGCATACAAAAAGGAAGTTGTCCCAAGGTTCAGCCACCGTGTTATCTCAGTCTCCCCAACCATGTACGACATGCGTGCAAAGCTTTGCCCATGTCGTTTAGTCACAAAGGACAGACGCGGCGGTAATAAGCGACAAGTGGAAACCTTAGTTTCTCTCAGGTGATTCAGCTCAATCCTCAGATTCTGTTCCAGTACATCTGCCACAACAGCGGCGTTCAGAAACCCCTCGGAGTGCTCCCAAGATCGTAGAAGGTCTATTGCCCTCCAGCGAACGCCATAGTCGGGACAACGGAACGCTGCGAAAAATAATGCCGGGACGATAGTGCTATCCAGCATGATAGTTGGACGTGCTTGGAACTTGCTGGTGGCAGCTTCTGCCAATGAAAGCAGTGTGCGACTGCCCAGGACAAGGTCCTGTGGCAACGGACTACTCTTGCTGCAAAGACAGGTCTTGAGCGCATGGACGGCAGTAACGCATAGCAGGTTCGTCATGTCGACCTCCAATTGCTCTTTGTCATTTAGTGATCTGTACGATTCATCTGACAGGAGCTTGAGCAACCGAAGGAATCGGGTCAGGTAGGAAAGGAGTTGCAGCTGGGTTTGCTGCAACGTGCCATATTCAGCCATGATATCTGCATCTGACCGACGCATGCAGTATGACACGAAAGGAAAGGCGGTATGAAGGAGTGGGTTAGAGGCCAGTCGCGAATTTTCCAGACTTCGAAATATAAGCAGGTACTCCTCATATGATTGCTCATATACGAGGTCTCGATCGACAGTTAACGGCGCCCCGGTCCCGAAGAAGGCGGACTGCATTTGTAGATGCAAGAAGGTCTCGACCACACATTGTTCGACGGGGGATACGCAGACGCCTGAGATGCGTCTCCGAATGTTCAGCTCCTTTAGGATCTGCAATCCACCAAAGATGTGCGCACATGCATTATCATAGTGGCCGCGCAATAGCTCGCATGTGATATATAACAGGCAGCAGACCAATATCACTTCCTGTAGCTTTGGGTCCTGCGACATGCGGCGTTTATTTAGCAACGTAATTGAGCGGGCAGATTGCTCGAGGGCAAACTGATACCAGATATTCTGCCGAGGCTGCCCTGGACGTGGTATCCCGGTCTTCTCCTGGGCGTGGTTGATTGCACCCAGTGCAACTACGGCATGATACACGGCAGGCTCCGAGTAGCTCATTTGGAGAACCAGATGCTGCCAAAGTGGCGAGTCATAAAAGCCGACCAAGCCGGGAATGGACCGGTGCTGGAAAAAAGAAAGACATCGGCTTTCATCCGAGGTTACGACCCAACAGAGCCCGTGTGCAATCCGTGGGAGTATCGAGTACTCTATTGGGATTTTCTTGGATGCGCGCCCACGAGGCAGCCGATGTACCTCGTATCCCCCACATGTTCGACCAGTAGAAATGCAGTTTTGACACGCACCCGGCGATTCGTCACATTTGACATGGCGAGCGCTTCGCAGCGCATTAGTTGAGATTTGGGATTTGGGTGAAGCCTTTCTGACAACTCACCGACAAGTGCGACACCCCGTTCTTGATCTCTTCGCATATGCTTTACGTCGTGTACTTAGCATGATCTACGGCCACTGCAGTTGGTATTAGGGATTTTCGTCATGAGGAAACAGGTTTAAACTCTTTAAATAGACCGACCACTTATAAATCAGGCTGACAACCTAGCATTCAGCCCCCAAGCTGCCTCGTCCTATCGTAACTGAGGGGATGGACGCTCATTCTTATTGGGGCGAGCTACTAGTAGGGCCAGACCCACGATCTAGGGCTGGATATTCCGTGCTCCTGATTGGTTCAATATGTCTATAGACGAGCTAGCCAATCATAATCAATATCAGGAAGCCCAAGCCCCACTGACCTAATCAATCACAACCTTAGCCAAGTTGGACAGCAAAGTGTAGCGACCTCATTCAAGACCACCTTCGGCTCTTAGTACATACACAAGATAAAGGGGAGCCCCAGTCTATGACGCGACGATAATATGACAATCTAACGACTGAGAGGATCTACCATGTAATCCAGGGTGTATCCAGGCCGCGGGAGTCTCAAAGTAGACTATGGAAACCATGTATAGCCATGATTGTCCATTTGAAATTCTAAATATTCATAGCCTAGAAACATCCTCAAAAGTTCACATCTGATCCTGCTCAGCCCTACCAGTCATTTACAAACTAGGTGTCATATTGGCAATTTAGTCCAGCGCATGAACTATGGAAAGTCAAGCTATCTCGGGCTTTCCGTTCAATCGGTAGCAGGCTGAAAGTAACCGTATCTGCATGGCAGAGCTGGGGTATAGAGCCACTCATGTTAGTGACAGCATGGAATGGGGAACTTTAAATCACTAAATTATCTCGGATAGTAGTTAGCTTCAACCTATAGATCTGGGATATCAAACCTTAGCTTCCATTTACTGAATTGACTGAATCCCTGAAGTAATTATATATTATTGAATCAGGGCATTACTGCCTTTTGCACTAGTTATCTACCAATCCGAAATATTACTATCTCCTAGATAGAAATCGCAAGAAGCATGGTTGTATGGGTAGTACGACGAGGTAATAGAAGTATATGGATTGGGAGAAGACTCTAATGTCTAGATACAACCTAGTCCTCCTCCTTTCGCCCTTCCAACACCCTTTCATAATCCTCAAAGCAAACCTGGACCAAGCAAGCATCCTTCGCCCTTACCCCAAGTTGACCTCCTGTAGAAAAGACACTCCAGCTTATCTAGCAAGAGCACTTGCAGATATTCCAGCCAATAACACAGTGGGACGATTCAATGCCAGAGCTGATATCGCCCTTCTTGCATCCATGAGACCTCACACCCTCACCGATACATTGTGCGTTGCAGCGACCAGCCCAGTCTGTCTTGCAACCACCTTCCGCAGTCCAGGACTTTCTGGCTTGAACGTTCGCAGTATCTCTGGCTTCAGCTTCCGCGGGAGCCGCTGCGGCGAAGGCCATCAGGCCTGTGAGGACGACGAAGAGGGACTTGATTTGCATGTTGCTGTTGTATTGACTCTGTTATGAATGAATGGTTAGATTTTGCTAATTTTCAATTGAGCTGACGGGATAGGAAGGCTGCATATACTGTGGGATGATATTTAGGGCCTCGAAAGAACCAGGCTTGGTGTGGTAGAGAAGATGGAGTCGGATTCTGACAATTGAACGATCAGATGAGTTTGTGGTTGATGGTATCCTGTCAAGAGCCGGGAGTATTGACCCCTATTTATACCTTTGAGTGCCACAAGTCTTTCACAGAATTACTCAGTTGTAAGAGTACCATCACTGAACTATACGAACAACAAGTCCTACAGGAATGTATAGAATCCAGTATAAACAATATTATTCGCGGAAAGTATGACACGAACAGACCCACATCACTAAGAACGATTAAGAATCAATCTGCGAGTGGGTTACATTTCACCCTTCGAGTCGCGGGGATAAACTATGATCGACATACTTTTCTGCATGTCTATAAATATGTCCACCCAATGTAATGGACACTTTACCAATGTGGATCTCGTCAGGGACATATACGAGGAGCCTCATCACCGCCAGGTATCTTCACTGGTGTCATATCAATTCCTGAACGGGAATGCATGACTCTTCGTATTTGTGATCGACAGCTCATCCCGTTTCTTGGCCCTCAAGGAAGGCTCGACACGTATATAGATTTGCCCGCTCGTATTCGCTTCTTCCCCTTTGCATGCCATTCTGGTCTTCGCTTGGAGTCGTTTTACGAAGTGATTTTCACGCTCATCGTATCTGCGCTTCAAGGAGCGGTGTGACGATCTTGATATTTCTGGGGTGTGAGCTCAGCTAAGAATCTGAAGTGCAAGTATTTCTCCACTATATTGAATACACACACCACGCCTTCTACTATTCGCTTGAATTAGAAACCTTTCAGTCTCCTATAAGCCACGATCGGCATGCTCGAGACTCCTGCGTCAGTGCCAAGAACACGTTTGGGCTCGGGAGGTATGTCGGGTGTCCATGGCTTGAGACCTAAATGCCAAAGGGTCAGGAAACTATTAGGAGGACAGAGATTTGAGGGTGAGGATAAATGAACAAACCTAGGTGATATGCGTTGGGATTTAAGCCTGGGGATACAGATGGAGATAATTGAACGATATACGAAGCCCGAGAGCCAATTCACAAGGATAATCATATTTCCCACATCATCTATATATTACTGTACAACCCAATGGTGCTGGCCTATCTATTCTTGGGTTTCGATCAACCATCAGTGAAAGTATAAAGCTGCGTTGACGGACTTTCAAACACAGCATCTCAATGCTTAGTAACCGTCTCACATAACCCAGTCTTCGTCTTCCACGATTCAAACGCATGCTCCAAGGTACATGTAACAGTTTTAGTCTCTTCCCAAATAGCTCGTTCTGCGTCAAACCCAAGCCGTTTCAGTGTCTCCTCATTGGACGTATACGCTCGACCAGGGTGACTATTCTTGTCTTGTGTCTTTTCACTAAATAAGTCCTCACTAGCATTGAACTTTGGGCTATATGCATGCACCCAGTAGCCACGAGGCACTTTAGCGACAGACTCATCTCGCATTCGCCATCGTCCCCGGCGTGTTAGTGCATAGTCCTCTATTGGATCCGCGTGCAGCATGGCAGCCCCTAACACACTCCCATCAGGTGCAGGATGGCCTAAGTCCACTACCTTTTCACTGACAGTATGGAACTTCTCGCCAAGGGCACATGCAGCTAGCACGAATGTATCTTTAACACCCTCTCCTGGGGTGCCTTGCAAGATCATCGTATAAAAATCAAGACGCATGATAGTTGTACTGGGCGGAGAGCAAAAGAGGTTCTTTTTTGAGAGGAGAAACATGGCGGCCTTGTGGACTGTCGGGTTGTCGTGGGGATTATGGCTTGACGAGAGATGTTGTAGTACGTGGGCGATACTGTGTAAGACCAAAAGTCAGGCCAGGTAACAAGACCTGCAGATGTGAATGGCTTGGAGGTCAATAGATTGGTAGGATCATAACGGAAAAAGCAGTCTGAATCCATCCAGATGGCATCCTGAAACGAAAAAAATAGTATCGAAAATGCTTTCAGTTGAAAATGTTCAAGGTCGGGTTTCGCCCCATTCCGGCCTGTGAACACTTCGGAAAGGACCATGCATTTCCCATTTTGCGAAGATAGAACTGCCTCACATATGTACGGTTCGTACTCAATCCAGTTTTTCATGAAGAGCGCTACCGGCAGTCTTGCACCGGTTCGTCGTAGGAAGCACAGAAAGGTGATGAACGTAGGAAGATACTTCTCCCCCGCTGACGATACAATGGCTTTGGTTCCACTTTTATAAGCTCGTTGGATCTGAGTGCTTCGAAAAACTTGGACAAAGCCATCAGGATCAACGAGATAGTTCTTCTGTGGTGTACCGATGATCGGATTGCATCTATGCAGCCCTGCGCTGTCATGCAACGTAGGTGGAGAACATTGAGGCCTGTGTTCTTCGAGTAAAGAATAAAGATCAAGCGAAAGCTGAGTTTAAGCATCCCCATCGAGTCATAGTGCAGACATACCTTTCCAGAAGATGGATGTGCTTAGAATGACGGCAGCTACCAGATATCTTACTCTGATATTCTTCCTATTACTATATTTCATATTATTTCACATAATTGCAGCTATGACCTGGGGCGTGTCAGACATCCAACAGAACAACAATAGCAAGAGAAACAACACAAGGACCTAGCCAGCCTTTCACACGTTGAGGCTCATTCAATCGACACTGGTAACCAAGCTTTCAAAGAGAACAATCAGGGCCATAAGGGGCAGTGGCCAAGGATCCGCATCCATCGTCTCACTTTCTTTAGTGTGGCTACGTAGGACTCGGCTTCGCCACATGAGTATATCAACAAGTTCGCTGTTAATGAGCAGGCTCAGATGGTCTATAGTAATGTTTTCCAAATAAAATGCACTTCACTTCTAACTGCCACTCCGCTAGTATGTCTAAAAAAAAAGAAAATAAACAACCATTGGCCGTATATCCGACTGCCACAGCGAAAAACATAAAGCCAATGAGAACTTGGGCATAAGCGCCCTGGCCCTAACACGGAGGACCGGAAGAGATGTCGCCCCACAAGTGCTGAGCGGTTGCATTTATCGGTGGAGACTTAGACGACCCTTGCTGTGGAGGCGTAGCGCTAGAGCCAACAAGGCTGAAATGGAAATAATTGTCTTGTTAGCGAAAAGACCCTGGTCAGGAAAAGAGGGGAAATATATTAGCTCGAGAGCTAGAGAATCACGAACTAGGGGTTCATCTCACTAGAAGTTGTAAGTGTTCCGGTTCATGCCGAAGCTCAATTTCTCTTTAGAAATATCGTTAAGACATTATTAAACTAAAACCCTTTTGCTGCCCTAGATACAATATGAAAACAATAAAATAAAATCAAAAATAAAAAACTCATTCCGGCCGCATGGGACGCTCACTATCAATCTCGAATACCGTAGGTCGTTGATTCAGAGGAAGCTCCACCGGATTCTTAGGCACAAAAGGCCCATACTGTTGAACGTATGGGTAAGCGCTCGATCGTAGCGCCTTCATCTCTTGTACTTTCTTCCGATATGCGCGTCTCTGGAAAACAAGCAGGCATATAGTCGCTACAAGACATGCGCCTAACCCAGCTCCCACGCCAGCACCAACTGCAACTGTAGTGGACGTTGCATGACAGTCACCATTACAAGCAAGTGATTCGTTGCCGGTACCAGCCGTGACTGTCGCAGTACTTGTCACTGTCACGATCGCGGATGCAGAAGCTGAGCTGCTTGAATTCGTTGAGTTCGAGGAAAGTATCAATGTACCCATATCTAATTCAAATGCACTGTCGCAACAATCAGAGCCACTCAGGCTGCAACACCAGTGCTTGAGACTCTTATCTGGACAGGGGAGGATGTGGATGCCGTAGTCTGGTTTCATTGCTGCATGTAGAAGATTTATGGTTAGTAGTCGTCTTAGCATATCTCAGATCATCGCAGGGGAAGCTAATGCCTTACAGCCAGGACAAATGCTAAGGCAGTCAGAGCTTTTCCAGCTCGAATCCGTGCACCCATTTTGTAGAACGAGGCCGGTATACGGCTCGACCTGCGCAACGCAAAGCCCCGTTGTAGTGCAAACATCGCTCGGGTCACCGTTCTGTTTATTGGTCGCACAGCAGGGACTATTTGCTTTATCGGGAAAACAGGGCTGTTGCTCATCCAGTGTACTGGCGCCGTTTGGCCAGTAGCATTGTCGAGCAATCGTGTGCGGTAGAACGGCTGCTTGGATGAAGAGCCACAACAGAGCTTTCTGTGAGGTATTGAGATTGAGCAACATTCTGTCAATTTAGTAAAAGCACGGGGAGGGTTGTTATGATGTGATATAATTAAGTGGGCGCTTACAGTCCCTGATGGGGAATTATCTCTGACTAAAAGGCTGTGAGTCGCCGCTGGCGCCGTTCTACTTTAGGGCTTTTAGCGCTGCAGGGAAAGCCGCTTATGCATAGACTACAAGGGTTCGAAACACCGACGCCAAAACAGACTCGGTCTGCCTTGTGTCTATGGTGAGTTATTTTGCCCATCGTCCATGCAATGCACATCCACAGTGGTTATGGGCGCTAATGACCGACACTAATTTTATACCACCCTAGAACCCACTTTCATTGAAGTCACACTCATCAATTCATAACTGTCCTTCTCTAAGCACTCGATATCACTATCAGGGGCCTGTCATTTTTAATATGGGTGGGAGGCAAGCATGAGGTGAGGGAGAATCACGGAAATCACTTCATCACGAATAGCAAACCACTGATATTAAGCCGGTCATACTCCAGCTACTCGTTCTAATTTACCAGCCCTACCCCATGTTGATAATTTCTACCCAACGTAGAAACGATCTACAGGTGCGATAACCGAACCCCTGCTGCACCTGCACCTGCACTGCGCCGCTGCCATAAACGACACAACGTCAAAATTGCTCAAGTCATACCCACTCACGGCGCTGCCTTGGCTAATGCCAAAGAGGCTGCTCCTCTTCCGGGGTACCGAGCGAGTCTGCCCTGCTGGGTCGAAGTGCAAATTAAAAGGGAAAAAGAAAAAGTGGTACTTTCATGCTTGAAGACGGATCAAGGTAGGTGAGACTTGCTATAAATCGGGTTTCGTTCTCTTCTTTCCTCGAGCTCTTTCTTTGACCCACCTCGCCGGTCAATTTCGCAATACCCTAAATTTATGTGCACAATATGGAATCTCACCTTCTGTCAAAGAGGCTCTTCAAAGCCTCCACATTCCTGTGTTTCTGCCCTCTTCTCGTCTATGGAAAAGGAGGGAATGGAAACTCAAACTTTGATGTTTTCGATTACATCGATCCGTTTATTGGCACATCGGACGGAGGTATAAAACCTCAAGCCTTTTCTGGAATTAAACGGATCAACAATTAACTGCATTCTAGGGCATTCATTCCCTGGTGCAACATTGCCATTCGGTGAGTTGACCCGGCCCATTGGATAATGTTATATATCGTCTAACTGAGATTCCAGGCATGGTCAAAGCCGTAGCAGATACAGACGGTGCGAACCAAGGAGGCTTCGCGTCCGACGCATCGTATGTAACTGGCTTTTCGCATACACATGACTCTGGAACAGGGGGTGTAAGTGTAACCATCGTCCTCTGTTCATTGACCACTGCTTTGCTAAATATGATCTGTAGCCCGGGTCAATGGGGAACTTCCCTATTTTTATCCACCCCGGCTGCCCGGACGATAACCTGACAAGATGCAGTTGGCAGGAATCAGATAGAGCTGTTGGGTGGGATCGAGAATCCACTAAAGCCAAACCAGGGTTTTTTAGCATCTCTTTGAACAACGGAGTCCATGCGGAAATGACCGTGACAAATCATTCTGCTCTATATAGATTCAGCTTTCCAGATGCTGCTCCCGAATCTCTCAGTCCGGTTGTCCTAGTGGATATGGCTGACCTTCAGCATTCACGACATAACGGTACAGCTTCGGTAGACCCACAGACTGGTCGATTTACCGGGAGTGCGACCTTCGAACCAAGCTACGGCATTGGGACATACAGAGCTCACTTTTGCGCGGACTTTAGTGGTCCTAGTATTCGGGATACTGGAATTTGGCTGGATGAGGAGGTCAGGCTGGGTAAGAGTATAGTGTCACTCAACGCTAGTGGTTCAGGAGGAGTATTCGCTAGATTTACTCCACCCAAGGCGAATGACACTATTGATGTACGTGTTGGAATCAGTTTTATGAGTGCCGAGCAGGCCTGTTCCAACGCGGAAAAGGAGCAACCCAACTTTGACTTTGAAGATACCGTGGCGACAGCACAAGCCAGGTGGAAGGAGAAGATGAATGTCGTCAGTCTTGACACTTCTGGTGTGTCTACTGAGCTCCAAACCATTTTTTGGAGTGGTATATATCGCACAATGATCAGTCCGCAGGACTATACCGGGGAAAACCCATTATGGAAGAGTGACGAGCCTTATTATGATAGCTTTTACTGGTAAGTGAGGACGTTCCCTGCACCTTTGGCTAAAATAAACTTACAACTTGGCGTAGTATCTGGGATTCATTCCGCGGTATCCATCAATTGATTACACTGGTAGATCCCCTTTCACAGTCTCGAATGCTTCGTAGCCTTGTGGATATCTATCGTCATGAAGGATATCTACCGGACTGCCGTATGTCTTTCTGTAAAGGTCTGACACAGGGCGGATCCAATGCCGATGTTCTCATTGCCGAGGCCTACCTCAAGGGCATTCCCGACGTGGACTGGAACACTTCCTACAAGGCTGTAGTGAAGGATGCTGAAGTTGAGCCCGAGAATTTCAATGTGGAAGGTCGTGGCAGCCTTCAGAGCTGGAAGACACTTGGTTATATCCCAATCCATGATTCTAGCACCACTGCCAAGGGACTTCGCACTCGGAGTATATCAAGAACCGTTGAATATGCATATGATGATTTCTGCATTGCACAGATGGCAAAGTCCATGGGCCATGATGGCGACTATCAAAAGTATATGAAGCGTGCCGCCAACTGGGAAAAGCTTTTCAAGCCGAACCAGACCTCGTCTTGGAGTGGCTCTAATTACACTGGATTTCTCCAGCCTCGGAATGCAGATGGGGCTTGGGCATATCAAGATCCCATGTTCTGCGGCCCATACCTACAACCCGACTCATGCCTCATGGATGAGAACGCGAAAGAGACTTACGAGGGTAGCTCTTGGCTTTACACATTGTACATACGTACCCTTCCCCAGCTTGTATTGGATCCCAGTGGCTAACCTCACCCGATAACAGCTATGTCCCCCAGGATATGGCTAAGTTGATTACGGCTCTCGGTGGGAGGTCTAGATTCATCGATCGTCTGTCATTTTTCCACGATTCCGGTCTCCTCAATATGGGAAATGAGCAAGCTTTCTTACCCGTTTTTCAATTCCACTACGCCGGCCGACCCGCCCTATCCACTGAGCGCGCACACTCATATATCCCACGTCTCTTTAATACCAGTGTGGGGGGCCTTCCCGGAAATGACGACAGCGGAGCAATGGGCGCCTTTGCCGTCTTCAGCATGCTAGGTCTGTATCCTGTACACGGCCAGGACGTCTATCTTATTTCTGCGCCTTTCTTTAAGGAAGTCAGTATCCGAAACAAGATCACTGGTAACGTTGCCACGATTCGGAACATCAATTTTGATCCAAAGTACAAATCAATCTTTATACAAAATGTAACCCGCGACGGCAAACCGTGGACAAGGAACTGGATTGGCCATGACTTTTTCACCGAGGGCGGAACTCTTGAGATTACATTGGGCGAGAAGGAGAGCAAATGGGGAACAAGGATCGAGGACCTGCCCCCTAGTATGAGCGATTATCGTTGGTGATCTGCATTGGGCATCGTTTTGGTGGACTCTCCCTCTGTAGGACTAAGCTCTGGCAGTGCAGTGGTTCCCAGGAGATATAGCCCAATAGACAGTGGCGTAATGAAAAGTCATGATGGTTATGAATACTCATAAGGTTAAGACCTGCATTCATAGGGATTGATGCTTAGCAAATGTTGGTACGTTTCTATAGTAATGTTGTGGATGTTGCAGATATCGTGATCAGCTTTCTTTGAAAGGACCAAGAAGCCGGCCGTTCTATATGCGCTGTGAGCGTGGGGTCCGGATAAAAACCCTGGAGACGAGTCCTGTTTACCTTGGTCTCATGGCAGAGGTTGAGATGTCGCTGCTAATCCGAGGCATCGAGAAGCCTTTCTTCCACAGAACAGTTAGGTTAATATGACTCAGATAATTAGGTCACACTACGTGGCATATTTCCTGTGCCAGGGCTAAGGCTACTGATCCGGCCCTGAATGCTCAGGGCTTTCAAACGACCGAGAAATTGAACACTAACACCAGAAAGCAATAGACATAAGCAATAACCCAAACCGTGGAAGTCACGCTTCAATACCACTAAATTACTTATAAAATGTTCTACTTTATTCTTTGCTTACTAGTAATCTTATTCTCTTGCAGCTACTACAGCAGGAGTTTCGGTAACTTTAAATTATATTTACAACTTTCTTATAATATTTAGAGAGCCCCTTTACAGGTATAACTCCTGATATAATAGAACCATAACACCCCTTGTGATTGCAGTATGCGATCCAAGGAGGGACAAGAGACTGGAGTTATATATCCTTCAAAGAAATATAACCAAATCATATCTGTAGCTCAATCATTTGATTCAAAGAAATTAGCCAGATATCTCGATCCAAGGCAGATAAAGTCAAGAAGGCTGTCACAGTAAGACCAAATTAGCCTGATGGAGGCCTGCCCTGAATACTTTATATCTATTTACACGTCTCTGTACCTTTTATACAAAACTTGACCGAGCCAGTTAATTAAACCCATAATAAACATACGGAGGCACCAGTAAGTGTAGCTCTCACTCTCCCCCGATCTCTCATAGCCAAATACAAGGCCTTCGAGCGCCATGGCAATAAACATCGACACCACAGAAACCACAAATTCCTCATTGGCTCTCCGCGTCCAAATTTTACGGGAAGTATTAGGGTGGTCTGGCTGTTCACTCTTCATGTTGCTACATGTAATGATGCAACGCCAGGAACTGTACTATTCGATTGCCGGATATTAATTCACCGAATATTGACTTCCATTGGGATATCAGGCGTAACTTACAGTATTGAATGCAGTTTCAGCGGTGGATGGAGTCAAGACGAGTAGATTGAAGCGTCAGGGTTCTAAGAGATTGGTACGGTCTAGGAGTAGGGTTAGGAGGTTATGGGGCAAGTGGGTTGCGGTCGGAATATATGTTTAGTCTAACCGTCCTCTAGTTTGACCAAATGTCTCAGTTGAGGTCAATCATTACTACATCTATGACCACGGTGGCCTCGGGTGCCCCGGCGCTTATTTCAAGGCTATGGCTGGCTAATTAACTATGCAGCCATGTTTTCCTCCCGCAGTGTCGATCACGCCCCATAAATATTATAACTAAGCTCGCCCCCACGCATACACTAGGTACTACCTATGTAGGGCCCGATTACAACTATTACATATAGAATTCTATATTTCTAGCCTTTTAGATAGCCTGAAGCCAAAGCTAAATTTACAGAGAGATACAATACAGCCTACCTCTCCCTATTGCTCTATTTTCTGAGAGCTACTAGTTTCTATCTCTATCATTTTACTAGTTTTCTTAAAAGAATAAGATATATGTTTATATATCTCTATATCTATTATACAATTCTTGGGCTAGTCAATTAGAGAAACTTATCAATATAAGACAGGGAAATAAAAATAATCTAGCTCTCACTCTCACACTGTTCTCTTAGTTAACTGAACCTAACATTGAATATCGTGTCGTTGTCGCCGTCTTGCGTTTGATATAGTCTGGGAATAACTAAGTATAGTGGAAGGTGATATTGGGAGTAAGTCAACCAGAAGGATGCTTCTTTCACAGGGAGATAATTCATATATATACACCGGTACTGTAGATGTTGTAGTTCGTATAAGCATAGGTCAGGATAATGGAATTTGAGCTGCGTAAATAACAAAATATTATACAACGTTGTCACTGGCTTTCGCCCTCTTCGTCGCCCTCGTCCTTTTCCTCGTCATTTTCCTCTTCATCCCCCTCTTCCTCTTCTTCGGGTAACAACCAAAGTTCGATCTCCTCCACATCAAATTCAATTTGCCAGTCTCCCCGCCATATATTAGCAGCATACATTGGTTCAAATTGATCACACACATTGTGGGATACAATTGCCCTCTTCGAATCCTGCCGTAACATCAGTGCAGCACCATTTCCTCTTTGTCCGATAATAAGCTCGCCTCCATCCAACTCATGGCCTGGTCGGGGGCCATTTCCACGAAAACTATCCGAAGTATTGCTAAGTTGGAATAGGAACGGTGCGCCTCTGAGTTCAAGAAGAGGTATGTAGTAGCCAAAAATGGTTTTCTTTCCTGTTTGTGCGTCCTTCCCAGAAAGAAGGAGGATAATCTCAGCCTTAGGAAAGGCATCTAGGTCATCTGCTATGGTAGAGGCCGTGACAGATGTAGTCCTCAAGTCGTAGTACTTGTATTCTTGAAGGTCTTGACTGATTCCGAATATACCAAGCGACCCCATCTGTGAAAAGATGGGTAAGGTGGCTACTCTTCCTGGTCGTGGAATGTTCAAAGGGTAGTCTTTATCCTCGGGATCTTTGTAGAGCGGGGCCAAGAGGCACGTTAGACTATCCACAAGCATCGGCTAAACTAATCAGTCTCACTCACAACTGAGTCGAAATTTCAGAGGACTTACCATCCCACCACGAGCCGCCCGGTCATACATATCCCAGGTAATTCCAATATCAGGTCTTTGAATAGCAGGGTGGACCATACAATCGACAACATGGTCCAGGCCAACCAGCTCCTCAATTGGCACAGTTGGTTCTCGAATGGATGCCGCCACTAGCAACTTTACAACCGCTCGAAACTGGTTTTGGGGGATGCTTAGATCATGAAGGCGTTCATCTCCGGCCAGCCTCCTCGCTGTCGCCCGGAAACAATCTCGAGCAGGTGGCAGCAGCCAAATGATTTGGGGCTGAATATTGAACAACGCATCAAGGATGTCGTGGAACATCTCATCTCCGTGCTCATCATAGTTAGTCTTAGGGTATTTACAGGTATCCCGGTCATGACTAGCACAGTCAAAGTCAAAAGCTCTTCGCTGTGCCTGGGCCTTGGCGTATTCCACATCAAACGGAATAGACTTGCCATCTCGGGCTGTTGCAAAGCTCTGGAAAAGCTGTCTTCTGGTATCTGCCGGTGATCGGGTCCGACTCCATTTGCTTCCTTCGTGGACCGGCCTGGTCCGCCAGGCCATGGTCCATCCTAGCGCACGAATAAGCCCCATGTAGGTGAGGGAAACGGGAACTGGTTGATGAAATGGATATTGGGACAGGTATAGAAGACTGCGATAAACGAGAGCACCTGCGTCCCTCATGGATGGAGGAAGAAAGCCAGTGGTCTCCAGGAAGGAGAGGAATGCAGACTGAGTGAGTGTCCTGGTGCCATTTCCCTCCGTCGCCAGAGAATCAAAGGTCCTGCGGAGGTGTGGCAACTCTGTTTCTGAATCGATCACGCCAAACTTGCAGATTCTCCGGGTCAGCTTGTATAATACAGCATCGCGATCCAGGAGGCCTTGAGCTGCCAGCTCATCGATCTTCTTGTAGTCATTAGGATTATCAAGGTCAATGGAGTCGTCCATGTTGAGTGGTGGGAGAAAAGGGGGAAGAAAGGAGGCTGACAAGAAAGGTCGATGTTTCCTTTATGTAGGTACAGCGATTGATCGCGACCCGAGCCGCGCTGGGGGGTCAAAAAGCCCTAACTCCAACCCCCACTTTATCCCGAGTCCTCGTCTATATCAGTCCACTCTATAGGGCAAGGTGATGAAGGCCACTTTGATGACCCAAGGGTGCTCGGTAAGCTTACAACGACCCCTTGTGCTGATTCTACAGAGTTTGAGGAGTGGTATCCTAGTTGGTATCATTATTCGCCTTTACGTATACTACAATCTTCACCATATAACTGTTGTTATATAGCTTTTGACCCCCACCTAGAAGGATGGAGTCCCTGGCGATCATTGTTCATCCGGTAAAGCTTTTCCTCGGGACCGAACGTCTTCCTGAGTCTCTGAGTGCTGTCATGTTTCGGCCTTCCAATCGGAACAAGAGTAGGCTATGAAATTGTTCTAAGAAAACGTCCAATTATGGATGCTCTGTAAGATTCTGCGTCCTTCCCCCTCATTGAGTGTCAACGAAATAGCGTCAGCTTGAAACATCACCGTGAGCATCGGGAAGACAACACTCGGCCGGACAGACTCAATCCATGTCAACCGTTGGTGGCCAAGCCTTGCAAGGGAGGAACTTGGATAGACGGCTCGGATAGTTAGATGGAGGACGAAAAGAGATAAATAGAGGTGTAGTGGCACCGAAGTTAATATATCATCCACTGCAACATCATTCCTCTCTTCCATACTGCCTTGCTCACCTTTCTCATGACAACGCCACATCTGTGAAGCACCACAATCTTCAACAATCAAGATGAAGTTCCCCAAGATCCTCTCCGTCGTTCTGGCCACCCTCTACATGGGTGTCAGTGCCCACCCCACTACCCTCTCTAACGACATCCAGCACGTCCGTGCGGAAATCAGGGACGACCCGCTTGAACTTCCTGCCGACATCGAAAAACGCGCAGGTCACCAGGAGACTGAGCGCTTCAAAGATACCCAGAAGTATTTGGGGAAGCAAAAACTTCAGCTAGGCAAATCCTATTCCTTCCAGGTCACCTGGACCCAGGGCGCGGCTGGCTCAGAGACTGGAACCACGTCACCGATCGAGAGAGAAATGAAGAAAACCCAACAGGATTATGGGTTCGACCATACTGCCATTGTTGTCGGCGAGGTCGTGAAGATCCCGGTATCAGCAAACATTCATAAGTTGGACTTTAAGGGCGACCTTTACCACTTGCGTGCCAAGCTGCAGGGTAGCGGCCAAAAGGCATGGTACAAAACCTGGGTGGATGGACCAATTGCATGGGATCCCAAGCCTACCGAGAAGACAGTGAAGCTTCTGCACCTCAGGGAGGTCAGCGGAAAGTGGGAAGAAAAGGCCAAGGGCGCTAACGGGGCTGGTAGGTTGTCCGGAGCTATTTCATTTCTGAGGTAAAAGGAGGAGATTGAAAGCTAACAGTCCCTTTCAGCTAGCAAGATTAGTGAGAATAACGGCAACAAATGGCAAGGTAAACGGAACGACTGCGAAGAATATGTCAAGGCTTTTGAGAAAGCGTTATAGGAGTACAGGAAGAGTTGAACTGCGAATTGAATAGAGTATCTCTCTGGAGTTGCATTCTGCAGGATATCTGCCTAGAGAATTGTCTTGCACGTGATATTAAATATGCCGGCGCAGCTGAGGCGCCATAGGTGGCCGACTTAATGATACTTCTTTGTTAGATAATTGTCCGTGAATAAGATGAACCACGACAGCCGTTGTTCTTCCTTGATGTCTGTGAGATTCGTTAGTCAGTTCGAAAAAATATAGAGATATCCTGTCTTGGGCTTGAGGTTTCAATAGTATGTTACATAGCACCAACGTAGGCTTTTCCATATCTAACGCACACAGGACGAATGGGCTTTTTTTTCTTTTTTTTCTTTTGTTGGGGAGTGTCGCATTTACTCTCTCGTTGAGACGAGGAATAGAAGATAGGCTTTTCTCTCGGCTAGTCACAAAAGAGCGTGGCTGCAGGACCTCCAAACTTTGCGCTTATTCTTTCCTTTCTCTCTTGCACTCCGGAATACTGCCCTAATTTTCTACATCTCAGTGCTTCGGCTACAGAATACACGGTGTAGAGACAAGGGCAGCATTCCAAACCGTATCATACAACAGTACAGATTATAGTTTGACTACTATACATACAAAGTTCAAACGACAGCCCAAACCTCTATTATATTTGAGATGATCTCCGAATATGACGAGGTCAAGACCCAAGCTGCCTCAACTCATATGACCCAGGATGTGCTGTGCACTTTGCAAGCCGAAATCTTACTCAACGCAGTGGATACTCTAAAACGTATATTGACTAGTTCTTCATACTAACGGTCCTGTAAGTTGCATGTCCGTGCTGTTTTACTTCCGCTGCCTTGGGTACAGTACGCGCACCGCCGATCAGAGTATGTGTCACTTTGATATCGGTTAGCCGAGCCAGAGTGGATCGTAAACTTCAATAGCCAGCTAGTGGTCCCTGCGCTTGGGCTGCAGAAACTCCAAGAAACTTTATCTTGGGGGTTTGTTGCTGATCCTCGTCGCTTACCTGGACTAGGGCTAGATGTTCAACCTCAAAGGCTCACACCGCTCAATGCTTCAAAACTGGATTTCCAGCCAAGTATGAATTTAATTCGGGTCGAAGATCTACACTCATGCAGATCTTCAGCACGTTCCAATAACTCGATCACATTGGCTGTCTATCTTTCACGATTTGACTAGTCTAACTTAATGATATCCACCAACAAACCTAATCATAATTACTGGGAATTCCTGGGGCTGTCGATTCAGTATTGCTCTCTATCTATCTAACCTCACGACCGATCATTTCTTGCTGATCTCCAACATGTTCAAAATCTTCTCGATTTGTGATCCACGCTGTGTGCCAGTATCTGGTATAGTTCTTATCTGTTCCCTGGCCTCCTGCAGTAATGAGGCGATTTTCCATGCACAGTAGTCAAAGCTTCCGGTAGAATCGATATACTCGACCGCATACTTTCTCACCGTAATATCCTCACTACGCTGCTTCAATATGCTCAGCAGGCGAGTATCCCCCGGTCGAGACCGAATGCTGTGAATAATTGGGTATGAGAACTTCCCCTCTCCAATATCCTCACAGAATCCCTTGTTTGTGGAATACGCGTCGCTCTGCAGATTCTGGTAATCGTCCCGGATTTGGAAGAGAAGTCCCAATGTCTCCACCAGCGGGACGTAGTCACTACCAGTAGTGCTTTCAGCCTGCATCAGCCGGATTGCGAGCCGGAAGAGCCCTCCAGTCTTGTCCAAGGCCATCTGAATGTATTCCTCCTCGGACGGACACTGGAGCGTATCGCGCCAATGCAGCTCCATGCCCTGGCCACGGTGTAAGCAGATTAGCTCTTCAGTGTAGATGTTGAATGAAAGCGGGTTCGTAAGACACGTCAGTTCGCGTTGTGCCAGAAAGTAGGCGTAGTTGGCCGAATTGATCGTTTGTGGGATTCCGAAGATACTATGGGCGACTGGGACACCGCGCCGCAGCGTTGATGAATCTTGGATATCGTCAATACTAGAGACTGTCAGCGACATCCTGACTGAGAAATTTGTGATTTGAGATATCCATGCGCTTAGACTTACAGCAAGGAAGCATTGTGTAGGAGATCGATGATCCGCTTGATCACGTCTAGTTTGTCCTCTGGGACCTTGAGAAATTCATTAAATGCATCAATGAGCTTGCCACGAATGTCCTTGCCGGGGTTTTCTCGTAGGTAGTCCAGCGGGCCAGTGAGGATCTAGTACAATTCTATAGTATCAGCATCAACGGGAGCCCGTCACGCAAGGTTTGTGAAGTGCCACCTTTTCACGTTCATCATCCGTCTGGTTTGTCGACGGGATATCTACTTCCAAGCGAGCAAAGGACGAAGGCTCATCCTTTTGCGCCCGTTTGCTAAAGAAGCGAGGCATCAGGGTCTTAACCTTTTGTCGAACACCTGCCCAGGATTATGATGATGGTTCAGTGGAGTGAATCTGAGAACGTACCTTGCATTCCGAAATGGTATAATCAGTGGTTACCTGTGACAAGGGCCGTTGAGATTTGTCTCTTTGCCAGCCATATGAGTACAAGACAGTCTTATATGGACAGGGCCATGTGGAGTCGTGCTGCTGTGCCAAGACAATTAAGCCATATAGAGCCATAAAGTTCACGACGTGTCATCAGGCAGTATGCAAATGCTATTCTCCGAGATCCCTCCAATAGTTTGCAAGTAACACGTATCCTAACGTTTATGATCTAATGGAGATACACGTCTAAACACTTACACTTTCACATGACCTAAACCAGCGTAAAGCCTCAATAGCCATACACCAACAGGCTGCCCACGCCAATTATAACTCAGGGTTTACGCTCTACATCGGCACGCTATGCTCGATTATAAGAAAGAAAAAGTCTATCATTTGTAAAAACATAATTTACAAGGACTCGCGGACCTTCAATCATATCATCATTCATAAATTCGCAAAACGTTCAAAATATTACTTTCTCAAATGCCTCTTGCAACCCTCTATCCCGCAGCCATGCTTCTAATGCCTGCATATCACCCCTATTAGCTCTCTGCCCACTTCGCTCCCCGAGAGAATCCGTAATTTCCTGCATCCCCGAGAACACCCTCTGAACACCTTCCGTCTCCCGAAATCTCTCGCTAACCTTTTTCTGATGACTGGGGATATCTCCCCACGAGTGTGTCTTAATAAACTTCATATAGGCATCGATATCCGCCGGCCCACCCTCCAGACACAGCACACCCGGTTTACCCGCCAACACAAAACCAGTAAGAGAATAACCAGGTGCATGGTTAACCAGATCATCCCTCTTTTCTCGAGTCGACAGAGACGGAAAATAGAACCAGACTCTCACTATCGGTTCAGAGTTACCCGCGACAGCCTCAGAGGTGGCAGTCTGTCTTGTTTCAAGGAAACGGAGAGCTTCGTCTCGAATGTATTCAAATGCCTCGAGCACATCATCTTGAGGCATTGCGGCGGACAGTCCCGCAACCTCGGCTTTGGACATCCAGTCCGGTTGTCGAAGCGTATAACTCGGTGATGGTGGCTGTTCAATCTCTGGGCCCTCGCCTTGCAGGGGAATTGAGATGTTGACTTGGATTGTTTTCTCTCCTTCTACAATGGGTAGATGGACGGCGAGTAGTAAGCTTGAAGGTATCCCAGATGGTTCAATTGACGGGTCCTCGCACCAGTCCCGGAGCTTGTCGACACATTGGGCTGTGGATGCGGGGATTTCAACTTCCCCTGGTGAGGGGAACATGGCTGTGAGGAGGTCTATCATGGACAATTGTGATTCCATGATGTCTGGTGGTAGAAGGGTTGGCTGTCTTTGTGCCATTTTGATTATGAAGACCTTCCGATACTGGCTTTTGATAATTTGTCTGCCGGATAAATGCAACGGATTTTTCTAGCGCCAAGAGAGAACTCATATAAAGAGAATTAAAAACCCGTTAAGTGTCACTTAAGTTGTATGAACCAGGAGCTAAACTAGGTGTGCAAGATCTTTAGTTAGCTTAGAGGAAATCCCTGACTCTCGCTGGTATTAATGAATATTTTGTGATATAAAAATGCAAGGTCAATATAGCATCGGGAATGGTCGAATCAACGTATGCCGACGTCGGCGCCCACGGGTTTATCCGGTCCGGAACATCTATCCTCCGCCATACGACCAACATATATATATTTGTTGCTGCTAGTTTAGAAATCCTCAAGCGGTAGAGTCATACTTACATAGCTAACATACATACGGTGTACATTAGAAAATTCTGTCAAGGTATTGCCCAAGAAAAGTTGGTGGCATGTCGACCATTTTATCGCGTCAAATGCGCTTTCAGGTTACCACGTGAACGGTAGAATATCGATCAAGCAATAACAGAGTATTTTATAGAATCTAATCCGTATAGTAGGGAGGGTATAAACGAGCAACAGCCTGGGCTCGTGTTACTGTGGGACCCAAGCCCTAAAAGATAAGGTTAATACTCCCGCAACCTAATCTTAAAATCATATACGAGACTTGCGAAGTGAGGAACTTGAATATAAATACTGCTTGGGATTCATTCCTTGTAAAATATCGCCCTTTGAGTAGTCACTACAAACCCTTTTGGAGAAATCATGAAATAGTACTGTGGTATCATATCGTAGGCCTTAAATTACTGTTCAATATGCAAGATCCCGTGTATTCAAAACAAGTGGAAGCAAGACAGGGATTTGAACATATCTTTCAACTTACGCAATAAAAGCAAAACCCACTAGTTCGCGGCAGACTTTCGTCAAGTAGATAGTGATGCCTTACCGTAATGCGTTGATAGTGGTAGGAGCTAAAGTGTCATAAGTGAAACAGAGGCAAAGATGGTGCCACCTTAGATTCCATTTATGATCACAGTTCCGAGGTCGATTAAGCTATTGCAACTATTTTGGACATTGTCCAAGTAATAAACCTCTTAGCTAGTATAGCTAGCTAGTTGATCTTGAAAGTACAGAGCGTACCTAGTGTGGGTGTGGCCTCATCGGCTGCCATCCTTCCAAAGCGGACATAGACACTGGTCTTATTTAGAAACCCGCCATGTCGTGGCACCCAGTGGTGTACTCCGTACACATGTTGGGTCTTTGGATCATGATATATTGCATACTAAGGAATTATCCCAAGTGATACCAATGCATAAACACCAGAGGCTCTGTCCGATATCTTCCCGACCTCTCCTCTCAGCTAATTTTATAAGTAGTGTCTATTGGATGTTCACACAGGTTTAAGTGCTGGCTCTGATAGAATTGAGAACATACCTATGCTCATAAGTCCAAAGCGTTCTCCTAGCTACATGTCTCTTGAACTTGTTCGAGCTAAAAGAACAAACTTGATTTTTGGTAACGCATTTATCATCATCACGAAGAATGCGGTTAACTTGAGTATAGACACCTGGCCAATGCCATACCCGTTTTGTACTCAGGGGCTTTTACGCTTTTCCTGCGGGCATTCGAGGCCTGCACAATTTGTGAGGTGTGCAAAGCACACCGGTAGTGGAGACCTGAGTGCTCTAGCGGCAAGATACAATATGTAGATGTTCTGATATCAACACACAAATGCAGGGAATGTCTGAGAAGCGATTGAGAGACTAAAAACAGATGGGTACTTCTTTAGCTGTATGGATCGCGATGAATGATTAGAATAGGGCTCAGTGTCTGCCAATGCCCGATTCATCTTCCAACCTAACCGCAAGTCCTTTCAGTTCTTCCTACTACGTTCCCTTCACCCGTGGTTCAAGAAACTGTCCCGGAGTAAAGTATGATCCTCCTCGCCTTTATCACAACAAACGAATAACTGACGCAAGGGACATAGTCTGGCCATGGCCGAGATCTCTCTTATCTTGACCGTTCTCCACCAACCCAATGGACTGAATCTGGAACTCTACGAGACGGATGAAACGGATGTGATTATGCTGCATGGTTTTATGATACCTTTACCAAAGTTCACTTCGAAGGGTGTGAGGGTCCTGATATGGTGATTCTATGTGACTGATATTAGCTGGATTTCTTTTTACAACGTATATGCATGAACTCCTGTTGCATTGGTCGTGGTAATATGAGGGAGCTTTGAGAGCGCGAGAGAGTACAATATTTGTTTCTGCTTCACATAACTTCTACCCGCTGCTGTCCAGTAGTATGTATATCCTCTCTTTCCTCTCTCCCTCTCTGTGTGTCTATCTGTCAGTCTATCTCTCTTATCAAGTATCGAGTAAGATGCAAAATCCAAAACACCATATATGCATACCATCTCCAACAACCAACCCCAAAAAATTACAACCCCCACACCATAATCCTCCACCACCCAAACCCCCAACAAGTAAAAATAAAGTATCACTCTAATAAACCCACCGAAAACAATCTCGGTCCGATCCAAATATCAAGGTTAAAAGGATTCGCACAGCGAACAGCTGTAATAATACAAGCATACTAAATTTGCCAGTCGGAAGAGGTTAAGATTAACTACTCCGTACTGCTCCATACGTGTACCCGCTATGCTTACTATTGTTAGAGAGATATTAATATAAGGGATATTATGGTATGTTAATATACTTAACACATACTTATTTATATTAATCAAATCTTTGTTTCTAGAATCTTCTTTCTGGTATGGTCATTAGTGGTGATGATGGATCTTGTTCTATCTAGTAAATTTTATCAGATGTACCTATTCTTAAGCTAAAATTGAACATTCAGGTATGGAAACTACTGACTACCAGGGAGGATGTGGATGGATTATAACTATGAATTGAGTAGAATATAATTTGGCAAGTTATTAAAATTGAGCCTATTGGAGCTGGTTTGTTAAATGTAGAGACGTGGAAATCAGCGTAGTTGTCTACCAGCTCACACAGGCATTGATTATGATAATCTGCGAGATGTCGATTGAATATGTTACGAGTCAAATATACATAGAAGAAGTAGTGGCCTCGCCACGAAACAAATCACAGATCGGGTGATGTTGCGTCAAGGATGCCCCGAGAGTCATAAATCCTCCGCTGGCAAATAGTCGTACACGCTGGCTTAATGATCCAGCTTAAAACGGTCAAGGAACTTGAAAGTGCGAAGACCTTCCTTGATACCATCAACGAATCCGCTGGTCACCGACCGGTCGACGTACACACCGTCGCGAGAAGTCTGAATACCGGCGTTCCTGAGCGCAGTAGCGGCGTTGCCGAGGGCACCAACAGGCTTTCCGAAACGGAACCCATCGATGACGATCTGCAGGGGTCGTCCGGCCGGGAACAGGGTGGATGAGGAGGTGGCATTGCTAGGTGCAGTGAAGGAGAAGGTAGAGAAGAGACCCTCGGCACCTGGCGCGACGACTACAGCATCGAACTGGATGGCATCCGATCCGGAGTAGGTCTGGTCAACGCCGTCGGAGAGACGCTCCGCAACGACAACGACATCAACGCCGTCCTCAGAAAGCTGCTTGCTGAGCTGTGAGGCTGCCTCGATGGAGGCAGGGGTCTCAACCGAAGCCAGGAAACCAACCTTCAGTCCGTCCAATTTCTTCAGCTTCTGTCCGAAGGTGCCAACATCGGTGGTCTTGTTGTTGTGGTAGTAGGTCGGGTCGGCCTCAGGCTCCTCAACGCCAATAGCGCGAGCGACGCGGCGGGCCAGGTCGTTGGACACACGGTTCAGCTGGATGATGACATTATTGCGTACAACCGAGCTCTTGACATTGGAGTTCTCAAAACGCATAGCATCGACGACGAACTGCTGTTCGGCGGGAGTCAGCGAGTTGTAGAACAAACGAGGCTGTGACCAGACGTCCTGGAAGGACGGGCTGACGGCGCGGGTGAAGCGGCCAGTGGACTCGCGTCCGGGGGCCGTGAAGAAACCCTTGCCAACGGTCTGGTTAGCTTGCTTAGGAGACCCCTTGTTGAGGGTGTTGGGAGTGTAGGCGTTGGGGTTCAGGGGGATGAACATCTGGCCTAAATGGTCTTAGCATCCTACACTGAGATACACAGAAAGCGGAGAGGTCTTACCGGCTCCATCGCGGTTGTTGTTGTGCACAGGCACGCGAGGCTGGTTGATAGGCAGCTGCTCAAAGTTGGGTCCGCCGTGACGGTTCAACTGGGTGTCAAGGTACGAAAAGAGACGGCCCTGGAGAAGAGGATCCTCGGTGAAATCAACACCGCGGACGATGTGGCCAGGTTGGAACTACAAACATTCATAAGTAACTGGCCAAAGAACCACAATCACAACTTATTCAGGGCTCCATACCATGACCTGCTCAGTCTCGGCGAAGTAGTTGCGAGGGTTGCGGTTGAGAGTCATCTTGCCCAGCTTGGTGATTGGCACGTATTCCTCTGGGACGATCTTGGTGGGATCAAACAGGTCAAAACCAAACCTCAGCTGGTCTTCCTCGTCCATGATTTGAACACCGAGCTACGAAATTAGCATGCTGATGGAAAGAAGGGCCGAAAATACTCACCTCCCACTCAGGGTATCTGCCCGCCTCGATCGCTTCGAAGAGATCCTGGCGCATGAAGTCGGGGTTCTTGCCAGATACCTGCTGCGCTTCTTCCCAAACCATGCTCGCCTTGCCCTGCAGGGATTTCCAGTGGAACTTGACGAGCTTGGAGTCTCCCTTGTCAGTGACGAAGCGGAAGGTGTGAATACCAAAGCCATCGACGTGGCGAAGGGAACGCGGGATACCATGGCCAGACATGGCCCAGAGCAGGGTGTGCAGGGAACTGGGTTGCTGGCTGAAGAAGTCCCACGCAGAGTCATGGGCAGTGGCAGCTTGAGGGATCTCATTGTCACCACGAGGCTTGACAGCGTGGATGAGATCGGGGAAAAGAATAGCATCCTGGATGAAGAAGACAGGAATGTTATTGCCAACAAGATCTGCGAATCGAATTAGTCAGACAAAAAAATACGTGCAAAGGAAACGATGGTTCTGTGATAGACATACCGAAGTTACCCTCATCAGTGTAGAAGCGGGTCGCAAAGCCGTGAACATCGCGAGCCAAGTCCGAACTACCACGGCTACCTGCGACTGTTGAGAATCGGACAAAAACAGGCGTCTCCTTGCCTTCAGCGCCAAGGAACGAGGCAGCGGTGATGTTGGAGTAGTCACCGTACGAGGTGAAGACACCGTGGGCACCAACACCGCGAGCGTGGACTGCACGTTCAGGAACCTGTCACCAGATGATCAGCCAAACCCAATTCACATTCCATATAGGATTCCCATACACGTTCGTGGTCAAAGCGCTGGATCTTCTGTCGGAAAATAAAGTCCTCCAGCAAAGTTGGGCCGCGATCTCCGACCTGAAGGCTGTTCTGATCCTCAATAGGGCCGCCCACGTCGGAGGTCAGGAACGTGTCATTGTCGGCCATGTAGTACTGGGACAAAAACTCCTCTGTAGCGGCGGTCGCATCATCGGTTCCTGTGCCGAGCTCACCGGTCATGTACGGACAGGCCGCATTGGCAATGCCAATGAGGCTTGCAAGGGAGAGGGCGCGCATCGTGTTGCAAACTGTCAAGCGTCAACACAAATAAGCAGCAGCCAAAGGGAGTTTTGATTTTCTGGTGAGAGGGATGAAGGGTAGGAAGGGGATGGGAAACAGCAAGGAACTTATAGAACTCACCAATTCACAGCACTCGAATGATCAGCACTCAGAAAGAGAACTTCCTGGCAGGCAGGTCCTCTTGCCAAATACTTATATGCATGTGCAGATCTTTTAATTAAGCAGCCAAGGAATCCATTCACATCCCAAGACAGGAAGGTACGTAAGGTATCTACTCCTAGGCCCCCGTCCGAGCCCCAATCGGAAAAGGCACATCTTGCTTACTCTAACATGAAAGCCTAGAAAAAGCGATGTGATACGTGTGGAGCTGTCTTAGGCTACTGGGTCTTCTCTCTAGTATGGCAATGGAAAAGGGACTTGTTGTTGACAAAACAGCCACAGTGATGCAGTCTCAAACGCCCATTCGTCGGGAGGATTGGCAGATCCATTCTTGGCGAATCGAGTAAAGGAGATAAATACATAATTGGCATAATCGGACATGGTAGGGTGGATACGCGCGCAAGCCAGAATCCTGAAAACCCAATAATTGGTATGAGGAAAGCTGTATCCAGAGTGATATCACAAATCCCTAGCCTCCCACTGGATTGGGTGTCATGATCGCGAAGCTCGCAGCAGTGCAACCATACACCAAACCATAGTGGCCTGACATATACACAAGGTCTCGGCTCGCGATGCTTGGTAATAGAATGTCACTAGTCGGATGGCTTCAGATGCTCCACCGATTAATAAGATGAGAATGTTGAGTGGTTTCTTGGCAGCATCACCCCGGCAAGTCGCTCGACGATCAATGCCTCTGTGCATTTTCGCTCGGTTGCAATCACCACCTTATTCAGAATTTTGGCCTAGAACAAGGGAGATTTTTCCTGTTTGATCGCCCCTTGCGTGGGCCGGCAATGAGAGGGCCACCACTCCGATCTGATGCCAGAGACGTTTCGAGAAGAGTGGTTGGATCCTTTCTCCTGAATTTAATCTATCAAATGCAAACATCCGTGTCAATCAAGGTCCTGTAATGCGACCTTCAATCTTCGAGATACTATCCTGTGGATGGTGGAGGTGTGATCCTCTCGCATATGCAGTCAGTCCCGTGCAAGGAGAGCCCTAATAAAAGTTCTCCCTCCTGTTCGTCTTTCAACCACTGTGGAGTCTGACAGATAGTTAACTCCCACGTCCTCCCCTGCTATCGTTTTGTTTTTTATTCATTAAAATACATCCATAATTCTATATATAAACAGAACTACTGCAGTAAAGCTGCATTATCACACCGTTACCATCGTGTCGTTCACCTCTCCATCATCCGTTCATGCCCTAGATGATCCCTGTACATACATGCAAGGATACGATAATAACTCAATTATTCCTTCTAAAATTAATCCATCTTATGGAGCAGTCCTTGTCCCGGCCGAGTTCAACGGCCTATGACGACAGCACAAAGCGTGAGATCCTGGTCTGATAGTCAGCCAAGGCGGCGGCTATTTTCCCAGCTATGAATGTGGGACGTGGGACGACGTGCTCTACTTTGCATACAGGTCTTTTGACGGCGTCCTTCGCCTTGTCATTTCAATTCAAATTTGTACTTTATCCCGTCCTTGAGCATTTCAGAGCCGAGTCTCCTTCTCGTTGCCAAGCGACCCCCGCTCCTTGGCAGCTGGTGAAGTAGTCAATGACTCGATGTGCATTCAGACGTCCATGCTAATTATACACTACTACTGAGCACTAAAAGCTTCCCCACGCCCTCTGGCAGGGATAGCTGGGGGGAATCAGAATCATTAGACTCTGAACGGGCGCGTTTCCACCCAATGCGACCGGTGGCTTTTCCTCGGCTAGACAATCCAAAAATTCAATCATAAAATAATATCAGGACTATATACACTACAGTACATCGTTTTCACACCAATCATAGATCGCTAATTGGTACTCCATAACTGTCGATCAATAACGTGGAAAAGTCGGATATCCCCAATCCTTCCCCTCGCCAATCAATTGCTGGTTAAGTCCATCCTGACCAGCATTGACGGACAACACCTTCGCATATGATCCTTGCGTCCAATAGCTATACGACACCGTCGCAGGCACGAAGGCCACATCACCCATCTCTAGCTGAGCAACAGGGTAGTCGCCGATCTGAATTTGAACGGATCCTTCCAGGACCTCGAACGCTGTGGCGCCGGTTGTGGACCACGTCGGTGCCGAACCCGACGCCCGCTGCCGGCTCAGAATAATGGTCGACATGGTGAAGTTCGTATCCTGCGCCTGGCTATTGGTAACCAGCGGCTGGATAATCTGGTACGCTCCGTGCTTGGAGTTGAGGTACTTCGGGCCATAGTTGTTGGCGATGAAGTAGGGCTTGCCCGGCTCGCCGAGGGCTGCGTCCTCTGTGTGCCAGCCCTCATCCGATGGCGCAGAGCCGTTGGCGAAATCTCGACGCGGCTCGAAAGACAGCTGAGCATAGACGTCGAATGATTCGAGACCGGAAATCCCGCCAGCATCCGGTCCGGCAGCCGAAGAATCATTGGTCGCCTGTGGTACATACGGTGTGTTGGTGGCGGAGGTATAGTTTGTGCCGAGGTTGTAGAAGAGGTCCCTACAAATATACTGGTCAGCCCATTCTCTTTGTCATCCGTTTTCTCCCATCGAAGGCTTCTAGACTCACTCAAACCCGCCCGGAGAGATCACTCCGACCATTTCGGTGTCCGGGTCTAAGATCTGGAAGGTGTGCGTGGTATTCCTCGGCACCGATCCATAATCGCCCTGTGTCAACAAGCGTCCCTGTTGTTCCTCCTCACCATACTGCGCCCACAGCTGGAAGCGACCCTTGAAGTTGAAGAAGTTCTCGTAGTGCTTGCGGTGGATATGCGGGAGCACACCGAGACTGCCGCTGTAGGGGGCATTGGTGCTCATCAGTGTAAACGCATAGTCTGAGGATGGTCCGGTGACCGGGAAACGGTAGAGTTGACTGCCAATCGTGACTGCATGGGAGTTGGCGTAATGAGGGATGATATATGGCCGAGGTGAGGACGGGGCGTTCTCGAGGTAGAGATCCGACAGAGATTGGGAAGCCGCCAGGGGCAACAAGCCGGCTAGGAGAAGGAGGTTCATTGTGTGGTCGGCAGTGTTTAGATTGGCTTTGGCGTCAATATACGCTTCGAGTCCATTCTCTAGGATCCGTGAGGGCATTCGACAATTCTACTTATACTCTCACATCGCAGGAGCAGACATATTCGGAAATTCCGCTATCCATAGTCGGTTACCAAAACGGATCGCAATGTACTCCATAGACCTCCTCCTGGTCCTCTTATTCTCCCTTCAACGGCGAGAATATCAATCATTCTCGGGTTTTCCGAATCATTCGGGGATCGGCATCTCCACTGTCTAAACTGTCTAAGGATCCTGACGAATTTTGCGTCATTGCTTCATTAAATTTAATAACCTAAATTGCCTGTCAGTAAGAATCCCCAGGTTTCCCCCCATCCGGTCAGTATATTGAAAATATGATATTCCCAGAACACCACGTTAATGATATTGAGCTGTGTTACAACCCATTCCAGTATGCCACCTCATAATCAGTTGGAGAGCACACGGATGTCCCTAAACATTTATCCCACGAATGTCGATCACTGCCGATCCCCAGACTAGTGTCTTGGGCCGTTTCGCCGGTGTCCCATCGGCACTTGCGTCATATTCAATTCTTCACTGTGGTAGCGAGTAAATTAAATCCCCTCAGTCTGAAGCACTCCGCGTACTCTCTTATGCTAGCCAGCCGGCCTTCGGGACAAAGTAGGCCGACAGTTCGATTGTTACGGTAGGGTTCTAGAAAAAAGGGTCCCTCTCCTCCGTATATGTAAAACAAACTAGACGACGCGTCTGCATAATCCGTGTGAGTACATCGTTGCTCACTAGTGGGTCGTTGCGGTTTGGACTAGCTTTTGAAAGAATAGTGTTGCCTGTCCATCATAATCTCTACTCAATCTTTCGGTCAGATCCTGCATAAACCGCGAATACGCAGCATATTTACATAGTAGGCTGTGGTTGATTTCAGCTCGGATAGGTCCGACTCTCCCTAAAATATTTCTCCGGCATGCGACGATCGATATATAAGCGGAAGAAGGAAGGTTGACGGATTCCCCGCGTTCCCACATTTCATGCAAGCGACTTGCCAAAACCACGATGTGTCTATTATCTAAGCGGAAGTCAAGACGAGAGCTATTGCCATTAGCCAGGTTCTACTCCTTTAGCCTTACCTTTCTTGGTGGTTCTCGAAAAATCTGGTGGGTCAGTGTTGGGAGCTATTGAAGTTGAGCCCTAAGAAAAACACCGACTCCCTACTCCGGTAGCAGAGGACGGGCAATGAGTGCCAGACGTTAGGTGTTATTTCCTTCTATGGAGAAGTGTTCATTTAACCTAGTTAGTTCCAATTATATCAATGACCTCAACGAATTCTGCCGGTCCGACCATCCGAGCCCCGAGATTGTTGACTTCGGACTTTCCGATACAACTGGCGATGCTGCCGTCAACTAACCCTCAGTGGCCTTTCTGAAATTATCTAGGAGTCAGAAGAAGTTAGGCACGGCACATGAGAGGGCACATGTACGGGATATGTATGCAAGATCAGAATTCAATTTCTCATTTGATATTGTAAGCCGCTCATACTCCATCCTGACCGGCACTGGAACCATGGTTTTGTAGAAATTAGATAGATTGGGGTTTATGCGATTCGCCCCGCAAAGATTTTGCAAGCATATCAGTACTACGAACTACTAGTTGGGCTACTAGTAGTAGTGATGAAGATCCGGGGGCAGCAGTAGATGCATCAATCGCAAATCAGCAACCACGATGTTGGGAGCTCCTTCCCTCCTCCAAGGCGAGTTAACTCTTAATAGCCCAACGAGCTTTGAGACAAAAATGGGGTGAGTGACCCGGTAGGCCGGAGAAAATGCTGCAGGGATTAGGATCCGTGCCGGTGGCTCAATAAAAGGGGAGTATGGAATCAAAGTATTACTTTAGTAGCATATTTTTTGTGTCCGGGAGTAACATGACATAGCGTAGGGGGTCCATCATGTCATACATACCTAAGGACTCTTAGTCGAAGGCACCACTGGCTCATTCAATACATTCGTTTGAGTTATGACTTGTGCAAAGGGTGAAAAATTCGTTTACAATGCTGTCCCTTATACTATATATAATATACACCAGAACACGATAGATCGTCATCTATCGTGTTGATCCCTTGTACGATTGGATAGCCTAATACGTAGGATCCCAATAGGGATGGTCTAAACTTTTATCTTAACTGGGGGCTCTGATCATCATGATAAGATTGCATCTTAGGCAAAAATGCCAGTAGTTGCCCTGCGTTGTCGTTGATCAGTAAGCCTACTCTTCGTTGTATGGTACCGCCTCTGTATCAGTGTCCTTCCGAATACCTTTCTAGTACGTCTCAGAGTCTACATCCTCATTGCATCACAGAGGGCCATCATAAAGGACGTGGCTCCCTGCTGGGAAGACCACAGGAACAGAATCCATTGAGAAGGCGGAGTATATTGACGAAATACACGTCGAAACTTCTTAATTGAAGTTCTCTTTCTTCCTTCCTTTCCTAGAACCTTTCCCCCTCGACACAGCGTCTGCCAGCCGCCTCCTCCTCCTCCTCCTCCTCCTCCTCCTCCTTCTTCTTCTTTTTCTTCCTCAACAAACATCAAACAACACACTCCCATTGATGCAACAAGTAAATATAACCAATCTACTAGGTGTGTGTCTCATACTTTTCATACAGGTAACTAACGCGGGCTTCAGGATAACATCGGCTTGGCCAAATAGGCGTCGCTTGACCTAACACCACCTTGGGTAGAGGTGGGTGGGCATTCGACAACACAACACGAAGCAACTTCAGTGAGCACAACAAATGTCAACATCATCGATGACACCCTGGCCTTGGGCGGATGGATGGGACGGGCCAGGGAAAGGCACGCTGCCTTCACACAAACAGGTAAGTATAACCCCATCAACCCAGGCCTCGGCTGGGCAGGATGGGAAGGGTCTGGGCTGTTACTACTAACATAGATACAACTACACCAACTAAACCTGCCTTTGGTGGGTGGTAGGGATGGGCCTGGGACAAATACAACGTCTTTAACCCATCAGGTATGTACTCCTCCCATCAACTCAGGCCTTGGATGGGTGGTTGGGGTGGGCCTGGGTTATTACTACTAACATAGATACAACTACCCAACTATCGACTTCGACTATCGACTTCGACTTGTAGTTCGTATGTATGGTCCAGGGAATCGTCAATCAACTGACGCTGGCCATCTGTCTGACGCCTCATCGAGCGAGGTAAGCCTATACCCCAGTCCAACGAATGAAGGACCTAGGGATAAACTCAACAACTTGTCTCTACTATGGCATTTCACTGCAATTGACCCAATGAAGCGAGGTATGGGATGTTTTCTTTTCACGTTTATCGTTTGCCTCACAATATCTCTCCATCGGCTATACCGAACAGTCAATGATTGTTGACTATCACCTGGACATGGTTCGAGATAATTGTCTATCACCTGGATACTCTCTCTCCTCCTCCTCCAAGGTGATAGATAGTTATCTGGATCCACCCGAGGATAATTGACGATCATCTGGATACTCCACTCCTCTCAGGTGATCGATCATTATCTGGACCCCCTTGAAGATAATTGACTATCATCTGGATATCCTCTCTCCTCCAACATATCCCAGATGATAGATCATTGTCGGGGTCCACTCGGGGATAACAGTTGATGATCACTTGGCTACTACACTCCTCCAAGATGATAGATTGTTATCTGGATCCACGATATAGCCGATGAGATGTTGATAAGGCAAGCATCGAACTTGTCGAGAGATGACGTCCCACGCCTCGCTTAATTGGTGAAGCCACAGTTGAAATTGTCAAGTTAGGAACAGGTGCTAGAGCTTGTCCCTAGTGTCCTTCTACTCAGTTGGCTGGGGTGTATTCTTGCCTATGCGAAATGAGGCGTTGAGCGAATGGTGGCCATTTGTTGATTACACTCTGGACTTTATATCCTCGTAGGATCAGGTAAGTATCCCCCTTCCTACTCACTTGAGTTACTAACTATCACCTTGGCCTCGGATGGGTGGTTGGGATGGGCCAGGGACAGCGAAATCTACAACTTCAACACAAATTAGGTACGTATATCCCTATAACCTAGGCCTCGGTTGGAAAGAAATGGAACGGCCTGGACTATTACTACTAACTACAGCTAGTTCAATCCCGGCCTTGGATGGGTGGTTGGGACGGGCCTGGGACAAACACAGCTTCTTCTACATATTAGGTAAGTCTCTCCTCCCAAACTGCCTAGGTCTCGGATGGGTGGTCGGGATGGGCCTGGGCTATACTGCTAACATGGCTCTCTTATATCGACTAAACCAAGCCCATGGAAGGGAGGTTGGGACGGGCTTGGGATACGACAAACACTAGTTCAACAAAATGATCATTCGCTACTTTGGGTGCTTCCCACAAACCACCACATCACCAACCTGAGACGGGCCCAAGCCAAAGGATGCAGATTACTTTGACGATAAGACACAGATGCAGGTTTGCATACGGTCTTCACTAACACACACCAGTCTCTTCCGACAATAAACATTTTACATACTCTGACGACCGACCCGGCCTACGGATGGGTGGCTGGGACGGGCCTGGGTCCACGACAACAACTCACACAAATATCAGGTAAGTATCTCCCCAAACAGCCTAGGCCTCGGCTGGGCAGGTTGGGAAGGGCCTGGGCTATCCTACTAACATTAGATACTAATCTCGACTGCACCCTTGGCTGGATAGTACGGACGACAGAGCCTTGGTTGGGCGGATGGGATGGGCCAGGGAATCGACACTCGGTTAAATCGATCCTCTCATCTCGATCATCACTGTCGACTATCGACTAGCAGCAACCTGGCCTTGGTTGGGTGGTAGGGATGGGCCAGGGACAACAACATCTCCAACTTTCTCAAATGAGGTACGTATATCCCCATATCTCAGGCCTCGGCTGGGTAGGTTGGGAAGGGCCTGGGCTATCACTATTAACCAAGCTACCAACTAACAACAATCACAAATCCCGGCCTTGGAAGGGTGGTAGGGACGGGCCTGGGATATATACGATTATTTATTCTTATTGTTGGTAAGTGGCATTCTAGCTTATGGTGGATGTCTCAAATAGATCACTGACAATAGATATTCTTGAGATCAAATCAATAATTACTACGCTGGGGGATATTTATGGGTTAGGTTGGTGTGATCAAGTTGTACTACTGAATGGAGAAGAATCAACATGAGTTACCGATCTCCAATCTTCCAAGGGAACAATAACCAGAGTACTAAGCCAGTTCTTGCAATGATTGACATACATAAAGGGGATCACAAGTATACACATGAAAATGGTAAGACACCCCATCCCCCAACCAAGCAAGACACCAGCTAAAACACCCTATCAACCACCCAACAAAAGATCCGGATCTAAAACCCAACAGAAACTTCAAATCCACCCTCAACCTCCTGCACATCAAACCCAGCACGACCCTCACAATCCCCGTACTCATACGGTCTTCCCACAGTAGCCGTAACACCAGACTCAGAGGAGGTAGGGTTCAAGAAGGTAGCATTAGTATAAGGCAACGAGTCACAGGTATGTTCAGGAACAGCATTCCAAGGATAATACTCGACGAATCCAACCTGGGATTCCTTGATGCCACCCGTTCCAGAGGGAAGTGTATACTCTCCGATATGGGTTTCGTCGTTATTGACGGTGTCCACTAGCGTTCCGGTCCAAGTTGTTCCTTCGGTGTTTTTGATGACGAGGTGGTACATGGGCGCATAGGATGCCGGGATCTCGACGGCACAGCTGACACCGGCACCACCGTCGGCGCCATCACTGCAGTTCTCGTCGGTGCTGGTGCTGCCGGGGACGAAGCTGGAGAAGACGGCGTGGATGATGCTTGCGCCGTTGGCGTCCGGACGAGGCTGGAGGCCTGTGTAACCGACGTCGGAGACACCGTTGAAGCTGAATTGCTGGGCAAAGTAGAAGCCTTCTTCGCGCGGGGCGTTGGCGATGGAGATGGGGAATGTGATGTCCTTCAAGCCTGTCGAGGGGATGTTGGTGGCGCTCCAATCGAGACCGACAAGGGCTTCTGTCACGGGGAGGATAGGAATGATGGCTGCCAGAGCGGAGATGGACTTCATGGTGACGGTGTTAATGGTGGATTATTGGGGTTGAATACTGGCAATAATTAGGGCAAAGCTGTCAGTATGCTTCCTTCGTCTCTGCGATCACGACCTCGTCCAGGAGTAACAGGAGACACACAGCTATAATGAATGTACAATCGACCAGCGATTAGGGATAATTTGACAATGGAAACAGAATAAAATCGGGGAGGTGTGAATACTCGATTGGCTCTGCTCTACTAACACTCCTCTTCAACGACAGGCCCGTCCAACAATCCCTATTTATACGTCCAAATCCCCAACCCCATCGTTACAATCACCAAAATCATGCAAGATACTGTACCATCGTCTACACCACCCCCAACAGATTATGATTGATAATACCGATCAAATGCCATTGCAACCCTAGTATTATCTTGTTCCTGTCGGTAATCAAGCTGAAACAAGCAATTCCCTCGGGTTCCAGATTAGCGTCGCTATGATTTGGCCGAAGTGCCGATCAACTCGGCTACAGCGTCAGGGGCCGTTGGGAATCTCCACCACGAGAACTCCCTTAATGTTACATCGAACTAGTTCTCACACCCTCCATGGACGCTAGTGTTCCAAGGGTCTTCGCTTAGATCTTGCTGTGAAACTAGAGTGCCGTTTGCGGAGTTGGCCTATGGGTTGTTGCTTCTGGGCTGAATGACAGGTGAGTTCTACAAGGGTTTACATTCGAATTGGGCTAATTGTCATATGTAGTGTCTGACAGAAAAATGCTTTCCTTTTTTGCAATAAGTATACCTATGCATAACAGTTGACTGATGTCATATGCTTCCGACTATGCTGGCGTGAAGCTATTATCCACACCTCGTAAAACATAGCATACCACGCAATCGGCATTAGAAGAAACCCGATGCATAAAACAACCTAAACAAGATCCGACTAAGAAACCCCTTCGCGGCGAACTGCTCCGCAACGAGCCGGATCTGGTTTTCCCTCGCTGCAAGGTCCACTCCCTTCCTGGACCCTGATGTGAACAACTGCAGTTCCGAACTTTCCTTCTCACTCAAGCTCTTCCTCAGTGAAACTGTCTTCGCTTCGGAGAATCTATACGAAGCCGCATATATGACATACACGCGAGCAATCGGGTGCAGCAACCTTGACCGCCAATCCACATCCAACCACTTCTTCCATAGAGGCCAAGGAAACCTCCGCAGTGCCATCGCCTGCGCCCAGAAATCTTGGAATATGTATCGCGCTCTTGTGCCAGCCACTGCATGAACAGGTCCCGTTGTTCCCTTCGCAAGGTGAACCAGCAGTCTATCCACCACGACATCAACGGGGACCTCGTCGATCGTTGATTCTGTGTCCGGGTCGGTAGCCCGACTTGCCACACGGGCGACTAAGACCGGAGTGAGAATAAAACCCGCCGCGAACACCGTCGTTGGGGTTGATTTCGGTACGCTGAACCCCTGGTATGGGAAGGTTTGGGCGGGCGCTATCACCGACGGCCGGAGAATGAGAAGCTTCTCTGCTTTACCGGCGGCGCTGAATTTGTTGAGAACAAGTCGCTCGGTCAGATGTTTGGCGTAGCCGTAGGGCCAGGGGAAATTGTGCGCGTTGTATTCCAGCGAGTCGCCTTCTCGCTGTACTTGCTTCCACTCGTCCCATACGTTTGATATCCATCCGCGACCCAGAGGGTAAATTGTCTCCTCCACGTCGGGGTCATTATCATCCGATTCCTGGTAAAGGAAGGCGTTTACATATGCCGTTGAAACGTATACGAAGCGATCGAGCTGATGGCAGCGTAAGGCAAAGTGGGCGACATTCTCGCTCCCGTGAATGACTGGTTTTGCTAATTTCTCCAGAGAACTCATGAGGTTAATTGGTGAAGCTGTATGAATGACGATGTTGACGCGTTCTTGTAAAGCTTGAAGATGATCCTCGTCGATACCAAGGTTAGGTTCGAGGCAATCGCCTTTGATAACAGTGACGAACTCGGTATCACAGAGGCACTCGATATACTTGGAGGGTAGGTATTGACGCCATACTTCTTTAAGACGCCTAGTTGAGTGTAAGCTTGCGGTCAATACTTATAGATTTGCAATCGTACATACGGCAAACCACCCCTGCAGAGCAAATATATATGAGCCACAGGCGCTTGCGAGATGATGCGGTAGAGCAGGGCCGTTCCCAGAAAGCCCGAGGCACCTGTGATGAACAAAATCTTTCCTGAGTAGTACTCCCACATGATGGTAGCATGCAAGAAGTATGTAACCCATGCTGACAGAGGAGCATAGCCTACTTATATAGAGTTACCGATGCGCTCAAGGCGCCGTGAGGTTGGCATTCACGTCAAGCAAGGGCCGCCATTAGCTATCGTTCACCTCTGTGGTTTTGTCACTATCTCCACTGTGGCCAATATTTGAGCTTTCGTGGGGTTCAAACGATAGACTGACAGGTTTTCATCTTGGTAGAAAGCATCTACAGCCAAACAGCGAACCGTTCCTGTACCTGAAACTTGGTACAGTCGCCACGACAACAAGGCGAGACGAAGCTAATTGTGATACTTACCATGCGCCGCAGAACTTTGTACGTTTCCTGTTGTACTCGCCCATACTTTTGGTAGATTCGCTTATTCTGCAAGATCTGGACATTACCCCGAACTATACGGAGATGAAAGAACGGCCAATATCAACCAACCAAACCAACGAAGTTCTAGTATAAATAGGAAGGTCGTGTCAATAGTCACTGACTGTGCCATGGAAAGTAGACCAATATTGGAGTGTCAATATCGTGTCATCTTGAGAAAGCGAACTGGCCCAAAACCACCCATTGTTATTAACACTTGTCCTAACACTCATGCAGACTGGACATGCCTATGAAAGAAATCGACATAATCAAACAGGCTCCGCTTATACGTTCTCGTAAACTTCCCATCCGTCCGGTTGACAGTTTGCAACCCATACTGCTCTTCATAGCTCCCAAACTCATTGTTATCAGCTATACTCCACGCCAAAGCTCCTATAACATTAACATTATCCTCGTGGATGGCCTTCAAAGTCTCCGTAAGGAAATCCTGATAGTACAGCGTCCGCTCCAGATCATATCGCTGCGCATCGTGGGTTCTATTCGACTCTAGGAACGGGTTGAACCCGTATTCCGCGATCAGAATCCCCGACGGGCGGAACGTATTCCAGATATAGCCCAGTTGCTGGCGGACATACTGCGGCGCAAGGTATGCGTAAGCATTTGACGCTTGCCCCATCAGCCACCCATTGGCTTGGACGTTGCTTAGTGTGACGCAGGTGGGCCAGAGGGGGTCGGAGGAGTTGGAGGCACAGGCTTCCGTGCCTTGTGGCAGGGGAGATGCGTATTGGGCTGTGTAGGGATCGAAGGACCAGAAGTCGATCTTGCCATGGATGTGCTCGATTTGGTCATCTGTGAGCGGTTCCATCATATCCACTGTGTTTATGGCTGCATCTGGGTACTGTTTTCCGAGGAAAAGTGGGTTCGACATTATCCCCAACAGGATGTCTTGGTATCGGGATGCTGCGGCAATGTGCGAGGAGTTCTGTGTGTCCAGGGGCACGGCTAGATTGTTGGCGAATTTCATCGTGATCTTGCCTTTTCCGCCTAGTGTGTTCTTGTACCAGTCGTAAACGTCTGCATGGGCGATAAGTACATTTGTCAGGTCTTGGTACTTTTGAAACAAAGTGCCCACGCCGATGTTTGGTTCATTGAACGTCACCCAATACGGGACTCGGTCCGCGTATCTGGTCATGACTATTTTGGCGTAGTAGAGGAAATGCTCGGGCAGGGAGTCCAGGTCTGCCTGGACGGCGGTAGGTGCGTCGACATGGTTCAAAGTGACGATCGGTGTGACACCATACTTCAGACAGGCGTTGATGAGATCGTCATAATGGTCCAGGCCCTGGGTGTTGATGGGTGAGCCAGCCACACCAAAGGGTACTATGCGCGGCCAAGACAGCGAGAACGAGTAGTATGGTATTCCCGCTGCCGCCAGTCTGGCAATGTCTTGCTCGTACATGAAGTAGTGCATGTTCGCTACGTTGGCGTCGCTCCTATCAGCGGTCTCCGGGGCCAACGCATTGCCGATACTATCTAGCACACTGGGACCGCGACCTTCCAGTTGGAGACCGCCCTCTATCTGCCAAGAACTGCTGGAGACCCCCCAGATAAAATCGGCTGGCAGTTTCAAGCCTGTATCCGAAGGCGCATTGTACAGCGCAGGGGGTAGCACCAGCTCGGGTTGGGCAACCGGGGTGGCAGACACTGTAGTGGTAAATGGCGGGGAGCTCACGAACGAATAGTTCTGCCAGAGATTGACGTACGCACTCTGACCATACTGGCCGTCCGACGTGATCGTTGCTGAAGGGTCGTATGAGTACGTAGTATAGCTAAGGTCGCTAGGCAGCAGGGTAGATGCCTTGCTGAATGGTGGCGCAATTGGTGTGGGAAAAGATACAGATGTCGATAGCGGCGTGGCATAGGCATCTGAGGTCACTTGGGTATATGTGAATGAAGAGTACACCGGTTGAGAAGACACAGGGACATGAGGGCTAGCATAGCCTGCGCTGACCCAATGAAGGGCAATGAGTCCCGTTACCCGCCAATTCCTAGGTGTGATCATGATGCTGAGCGTGCCAGTTTTCCACTGTGGAGTGCCGATGCATTGCTCTGACACCTCACGACTTAAATATGTGCAGATCACTGAGGGACTTTCAGACTAGACGTAATAACATTGTCGGATAAGCCGGGTTTCCTCCACACTCGGATTGCGGGGTGACAGTCATCTAGGGCTCAAACTACCGGGGACGCTTTCCGTGTAATGTATATGTCCCAATCCATCTTCACGGTTATATAGGGATCTTCATGTCTGAAGGCCAGGGAAAGGAAATACTCTAGGAGGCCATGCCGTTACGCAGTGAGTCTTCCCTACGAGGGTGAAACACCAACATTTTCTCTTCCAGCCATAGTGCCCTGTATGTTAGGGGCTCTCGTAATTCAAGTTCTACAGTCTATGGTGCATTCAACAGGTTTCATTCCCATATGGTCCCATGAGATACGGCTCAGTCGGTTAAATCAACGGTCACGAAATGAGGTCACACCCTTCCTTCTCGGCAGTGGTAGAACCGAAAACGAGTACGGAGAAGGTTGATCTGAAGCTCGAGATTGAGGAAGACAAGCATGCGGGGTGGACGAATGTGGAGGAGATCTGCAAGGTGCATCCACCAATTTGGATGGAAAAGACCTCAATGGTCGAAAGCGAGCCCTAATTTGACCAGAAGGTCGTATTTTTGCCGAAGTAAAGCCGGCGAAATGCGGGGAGACACGGCATCCATTCCCACAATCTCCTACCACCACAAGTCATTGCAAGTGGCAAGGAACAAACCATGTCATACTACCTCTCCATGGTAATAAGCGGCGAAGGCAAAGACCCCAAGCATCGATCTCACTGGGCATTCGCAATCCACCAGCCGGCACAAGTCATCGGTGATCTTCTACACGTGCGGCCCATTGATTTAGGCCGCTTGTGGTACGAATTCGAACATCGCTCGGACTCGGACCTCATTCTGGTGGATGCTATAGGATTAGCGAAGATCGCAGATTTGGATGGCTCACAGCGCCTGCAAGCGATCAGTGTGATCAGAGATGAGATGGCCCCCAAGGATGGCGTGAGAAGGTGCCAGGATTGGGTCTTCAGTGCTTTGATTGCGCTTGAGGTGGAGGAACTGGTTCCGGCTGGGACGTCTGAGTTGTGGAAGGGGCTAATGGGGAGAACTGCAACGGAGGTAGAGAAGGTTGTTGGACCCGAATGGACGAGTTTTCGTGGATGTCAGAGCTCGCTGAGATAGTGTTCTGGGAGGTAGGTTCTTAATATCCCATTAAACTCTGGAAAGTAGGGCAATCAAGTACTAAGTACCCATACCGTGTAGGCGTCGAGGAGTTATGAATTGATAGTGATGGGGCTAAAGCATTATACCATACGTTACGTGTACTGAATGGACTCATGCGCTACGAACTCAGGAAAGGCTTCGCCATCACAGCTCCTTACTCCACTGCCTCCCACTCCACAGCTTCTCAGTTGTCCACAACCAGTAATCTCGTCCCTTCATTAACCATACCAGGAAACTCGGCAATCGATACCCCATAGCTGCCCCGACACCTTTGCTCTTGCCAATTGGGACTAACTGGGTCTCGCGGGTATCTTCCTTGAACAAGCGATCCTCACCCGCAGAGCCCTCATCCTCACCAGCGGCATGAAGTAAGTCGCGCTTCATATTCGCGCAGAGAACCGGGATAGCTTCGACGATGAAGTGAACAGTCGGTCGTGCCCATGATGAAACATCACCGATCGCGTAAACACGGGGTCCGGCTTTATCAACCCGTAAAGTCGAGGGATTGGTGTCAACACGGCCATCAGGTGTCAGGAGAGATCGGTCAATAAATCCAGCATTCGCCCGTGTGCCAGTGGCGGGAATGTACAGGTCGGCTCCAAGAGCTTGCCCATCCTCAAGGGTCACTGTCGTCTTAGCAGTCAAGGCATCTTTGCTGTCGGCAGTAGGTGCCACATTTTGGACTCGCGCACTCTTGATGACGGTCACCCCTACTTGGGCAAGGTACTGCTCTGCCAGGCTGGCGAGGCTAGGACGCAAGAGTGGGAGGATCTGTGGCCCAGAAGTGACGACCGTGATCGGTACCTTAGGGTTTGCCAACTGGGAGTGAAACCACCAAGCGCGGCCATTCAAATACTCGCCAAGTTCACCCGCTGTCTCTACTCCGGCCGGACCGCCGCCAGAGATGAGGATACTCTTGGCAGTTGACAGGGCTTTCCGGAACGCAATCCAATTTTCCCGTAGGTCCCCGACATCATGATTCAGACCAAGAAGGGGAGAAGGCGTTGATGCACCAGTTGCAATCACAAGCGCGTGAAAATCGATCGTGTCCGTAGTGTCGTTCGCGGGAAAACTCACAGTAACGTTCCGGCCGGTATGGTCTAGCTGGGTTACAGTGCCGTGGAGGAAGCGAAAGTTGCGAGACCGGTCGTCTTGATACTGCTCAAACACTTTAGAGATACTGACGAGCAGCTTCTCCTGGTCAAAGAACTCGTCTGAGATCAGTGCACGGGGGCAAGCAGATCTGCACAAGGCGTGCGAGGACGCGCTAATCAAAATGACCTGATATCCTTCTGGATCTGGTAACTTGGGTACCACATGTTTGAGAAGGTAGTGAGCAGCAGACACGCCTGCATAGGAGCCACCGAGAACGACAATGTTCTGACGCTCTGCTATTGCCATGTTTTCTGCGATTTCGTTCTCACGTTGCAAATCAATAATTGTATGGGCAAGAGTGGGATCTGAGAATCAGATCCTAAGGCAAGATTCAACAGCAGCACAGTATTTTGGAAGTGCCAAAAAAGTATCACATTTTCTCCCGACGGTGACAGTCAGGCTTTATGAGGCACTTTTGCGAGTTGGTCGTCATGGACGTGCCTGATGTTATTCGGGCTTCGGCGTTTCAACCTTCCGAAGGATAGTATAGGCAGCTCAACTTACGCATCACCCTCGTAAGCGCTAACATGTTCAAGCGTACTTTTTTTGGAAACTCGAGACTGACTAGCACTATTACCGACCGTATGTCGCTATCAAAGCCCGGAATCTCGGGGATTTAATATAACCTTTTCGCAGCCAATGTGTTAATCCCGAAAATCTAATCAGCATGTGTTCACTTCTATAGTAGTTTATCCTCAAAGTCAACATCAGCCCCTCAGGTACCGAAGGACAAGATTGGGATGCAGGCCGGAAAAGTCAGTCACTATGACCAGGACCCGGACGGTCGGGTTCCGCTCTGTACAAAGCCTGCGGCATATATTTTTTTTGACCAATCTATTGAACCATGGGTGAAAGTAAAACCTAGCATATCATCACAGTCGTACGTCTATAAAGGGAAGAAGGCAACGTCGCTATAAGTGACCTTCCATTCCTTATTCGCTATCACTTGCGCTGTCATGAACAGAACCATTGTCCGGGGCATCTCTGAGACCCTCTGCAAGAACGTATTCGGTCTGCTGAAGAATCGACTTAATCTCTGAGTTGTTGTAAACAAGGTCCACGGGCTTTTGACCATGCTTATTCTTGACTCGTGGGTCACAGCCAGCTTCGCACATCATCTCGATCATCTCCAGTCCGAGTTCACGATCCTTCTCGTTGGCGTAGCGTACAGCGGTGTGTAGGGGGGTATCTTTGTCGAGGCGGGTCAGAGGGTCGCATTCAAAGTATTGGATATCAAAGAGACAGTCCATCGTGTAACCTGTCGTAGGGTGCGGTTAGAATGAATTCCTTGGTTGCTGATTTCCAAGACCCACGAGTGGCACTTGGGGGCTGTCCGTCATGCGACCGACTTACCGCTGCCATATGTAGCACAAATATGAAGGGCGTGGTTCCCCAATGAGTCTGTAACGCCGTTGAAGAACTCGGCCACTTCTTCGTTCGATTTCCCTTCCATACCCTTTAGGACTTGTTCAATCAGATGAGGCTGGTCTCGACGACAAGCCTCAACGACCAGTTCACGAGGAGATGCACCCTAATCAATCAATGATAAGCGGCCGAATTGAACGTTGCATGGTCAACCAAAAAAAACATACTTCGTCCTCCATGATTGATTGAATTGGGGATATTCCTAGGAAAACAAAGAGATTTGTCGCTGCTTCAACTTGTGGCTCGAAGAACAGGGGATGTGATGGAGGCAGCAGCTAAGAATGCTCTGGCAATGATGCGCTAGGTCGACAGCGGAGATAGTCAGGAAGCGGTGTATGCTAACGCGGAGATTCCGGAAACTATGAGCTAGAAAGTTATAGTTAGCATACGGGGAAACAACAATCAGGGGATCCTATGTATACGCTCGAACTCACTAAATAGCCATCGGAGGCTACTTACCAGGAGGTCTTTGGCTTGATTCGTATATCAATTCTCGTGACAGATTCCCCGCCGCGCTACGGGGTAAATGCATGTCTCCCGCTGCGATAGCCGCTCGGATTATTGATGTGCCGGTCCGCCATACTCAATCTGCCCCGCGTCCAATTGGCGCGTACCTCAGGCTATCTACTAATTTCTGCAACAGAGCCGCAAACCAAACCATAAGAGGGTCAAAGGCGGTGAGATTATTTTCTCTCCGCCAACGACGAGCTTGTCCGATAAGGGTCTACAATGTGCATGAGCCCTTGCTGCGGAACTGTGGCAGTAGTGACAGCTTATTCAAAGTGTCGTGATTGAAGGCTACGTAATAGAGCAGATCTGCCACGTCTTGATTGACTGAAAACATCTCTCTTCCGACTATTGACATTTGAGTATCCAGCGAGAGAGCTATTCAAGATGCCCTTGACTTGTTAGTTTATCCCTCCTTCTCCCTCAGACTATTATGTCCATTACAGCCCATAGCTAACCCTGGGATGCTCTTTTCGCAGTCTGTCCCAACTGCAGTAATGCACTAACGATCTCGCGCGCGGACCCGACTCCAAGACACCCTCTGGGGGTCAATCGATTTGAGTGCCGGACCTGCCCATATCAATATGTTCTGGAACAGAGCTATTTCGAGAAAACAGAAATGAAGCAGAAAGAAGTGGAGGATGTCTTTGGCGGCAAAGAAGAGTTTGCGAATGCCGATAGCATGGCTAGTAAGTGATGTCAGTTCTCATGAGTGACGTGGTTGAGGCTCACATATGCTTTCTCCTTGTCACCTACAGCCCAGTGCCCCGCAGAGAACTGTAATGGCGACCGTGCATACTTCTTCCAGCTGCAGATTCGAAGTGCAGATGAACCTATGACTACATTCTTGAAGGTGGGCGGCTTTCCTAGTTCATGCGGACGACTTGCATATAGCTCGCATACTGACTCGGTGGGCAACAGTGTACCAGCTGCGGTGCCCGATGGAGAGAAAACTAAAGTTGCAGTTTCCGCTGTTCCAGAAAGAGAAAATATCACATTCCAGAATTCTTCTGGGAAAAGTGTTTTAGATTTGGTGGGAAAAGAAAGAAAGTGGTGTTATCATTTATTTTTGGTTCCAACTCTAGATGGTGGTTGTGAATGTTTTCCAGGAGTATGGTGGTTTACTAGCTCAGCGATACCCCTCAACGATTACTATAATGACTATGCTATCAATGATTACTACTATATGCGGATACGTAGCTAGTATGGCAGATCAACAGACAAATTTTTCTCTTAGCGGCGGCAGGTAATCGCCTGTTTGGGATTGGAGGGGCGCCTTCATCCATGGTAAGCTTGTGCGTTGTTACCAAACACGGGACCAGCTCCAAAAGAAATTTTTAGCTGGTATATATGATGAGTTTTGTGTGATTCGATAATTTTTTTAACTTTTCTATTTTAGGTCGTTGTCCATATGAAAAAATTTTCATCTACAAACTAGATTGTCACCGCTCAGGAGGGGCAACAACAGATCTTTACCTAAGTAAACTAGTAAAGTCTGAGCCAGTAAGGGATTGATCTAAAGGAGGGGCACACACAGTAGCGATCATATGTGAGAGGAAACTAAAAAGAAAAAATTTTCCTAGGCTAAATTTGCCTCCTACGCTGGCTGTAAGAAGATATCCTAAGATGTGAGAGAAAAAGATTTCACAGTGGATCAGACAGGCGCCACTCGGCCGGGCCACAGCTGCTTGGGTGTTGACCAGGAGCGGCCCAATTAAGGACTCGGACGACCGCGGGGTTCAAATGCAAATATGTCAAACACGCAGCAAACGAGGGAGCCCACCTACTAGTAGAACTGCGTTGATGCCCAGTTTGTCTGTCCAAAACCCACCGGAAAGGTGGGAACACCACAATCAGAGTGTGAAAATTTTTTATCATCGAGGCAGGAGAGTGACCGGTGGTGGGGTCATGGTCGGGTCTCCGAGCGAAAGAGAACCAAGGAAACAAGATCAACGAGGTTGGTGTACCCAAAAGGCCGCAGCAACAAGAGTCATCGCCCAAAAAGTCGACAGTCTGGAAGAGACTCCGCCGTGCAGATTCTGCGTCGGTCCCGCACATGCGTGGTGGGGCATTACCCCTCCATGTCCAATGATAAGGGCGGCGGTCGAGGGCTTAAGCCCGCCCACTAATTCGCCTTCTCGCTTGCCCCTCCATATAAGGATTCCCCCTCCTTCCCCTCCCACAACTTTTTTCCTCTTTCTCTCTTCGTCCGCATCAGTACGTATATCCTTCCCCCCTTACCTCGTTTTCAGTCTTTTCTTCCTTTCCATCAACTCTTGCCTGACTGACATCTGTTTTGCTCAGTACCTCTACGCGATCAGCCGTAGGATCTGAGCAAGCTTTTTTTTACAGAATCTTTCTAGTATCTTACAAAGAACTACAAAGTTCTCAAAACCTTCAAAATGGGGTAGGTTAATCCTTGACGACTGGGTTCGGTTGCATCTCCGATCATGGCTGACTGATTTCCTCTCGCTTGCAGTAAGGAAGAGAAGTCCCACATCAACATCGTCGTTATCGGCCACGTCGATTCCGGCAAGTCCACCACCACTGGTCACCTGATCTACAAGTGTGGTGGTATCGACCAGCGTACCATCGAGAAGTTCGAGAAGGAAGCCGCTGAGCTCGGTAAGGGTTCCTTCAAGTACGCCTGGGTTCTTGACAAGCTCAAGTCCGAGCGTGAGCGTGGTATCACCATCGATATTGCCCTCTGGAAGTTCCAGACCTCCAAGTATGAGGTCACCGTTATTGGTAAGCATTCTTTTGAGTTCCAACCTCACCAGCTACAGTTCTCTAACAAAGATCAATAGATGCCCCCGGTCACCGTGACTTCATCAAGAACATGATCACTGGTACTTCCCAGGCTGACTGCGCTATCCTCATCATTGCCTCCGGTACTGGTGAATTCGAGGCTGGTATCTCCAAGGATGGTCAGACCCGTGAGCACGCTCTGCTCGCTTTCACCCTCGGTGTCCGTCAGCTCATTGTTGCCCTCAACAAGATGGACACCAACCAGTGGTCCGAGGCCCGTTACAATGAAATCGTTAAGGAGACCTCCAACTTCATCAAGAAGGTCGGCTTCAACCCCAAGTCCGTTCCTTTCGTCCCCATCTCCGGTTTCAACGGTGACAACATGCTGGAGAAGTCCGAGAAGTGCCCCTGGTACAAGGGTTGGAACAAGGAGACCAAGGCTGGCAAGTCCACCGGTTTCACCCTGCTCGAGGCTATTGATGCCATCGAGCCCCCCGTCCGTCCTACCGACAAGCCCCTCCGTCTTCCCCTCCAGGATGTCTACAAGATCGGTGGTATCGGCACAGTGCCCGTCGGCCGTGTCGAGACTGGTGTCATCAAGCCCGGTATGGTCGTCACTTTCGCTCCTGCCAACGTGACCACTGAAGTCAAGTCCGTTGAAATGCACCACCAGCAGCTCGCTGCCGGTAACCCCGGTGACAACGTTGGTTTCAACGTCAAGAACGTCTCCGTCAAGGACATCCGCCGTGGTAACGTTGCCGGTGACTCCAAGCAAGACCCCCCCATGGGCTGCGCTTCCTTCAACGCCCAGGTTATCGTCCTCAACCACCCCGGTCAGGTCGGCAACGGTTACGCTCCCGTCCTGGACTGCCACACCGCTCACATTGCTTGCAAGTTCGAGAAGCTCCTTGAGAAGATTGACCGCCGTACCGGTAAATCTGTTGAGGATGAGCCCAAGTTCATCAAGTCTGGTGATGCTGCCATCGTCAGAATGGTTCCCTCCAAGCCCATGTGTGTCGAGTCCTTCACCGACTACCCCCCTCTCGGTCGTTTCGCTGTCCGTGACATGCGCCAGACCGTCGCTGTCGGTGTCATTAAGAGCGTTGAGAAGTCTGCTGGCGGTGCTGGTAAGGTCACCAAGGCCGCCCAGAAGGCCGGTAAGAAATAAGCTGGTTAATATGTGCGGGGATGCAATTATGAACCTTTTATGAGCACACAAAAATATGGAATTCTCATGAAATTAGACTTCAATTATGTAGTTGATCCTACAGAACTTGAATCATGATTTTGTTCAATCTATTGCGTACTACATGTAGACTTTTACACTGTTGGTAGTAACTGAATTGCTCTATTGTGATGTGAAACCTGCGAGGTCAATCGCATTCACCGATGCCCCTCGAGGGCAGAACCCTATGGAAGGCTTTGGTGTACCCCTCCTAGTCATTACATAACTGTCATTTTAATGCATGCGATTCGTCAATCATCGAACCATTCTTGTAGGGGCCTCTCCCTGATAAGTTGGTGCAAATCTCCCCCAGCTGCTATCTCTTTGTTTGCCATCAACAACCAATGCAAGTAATATCATTAATCCCTCCATAGTTGGCGTCATAAGTATATGGATATTATAAACGATGTACTATAGTTCATACTAACATACTGTCTCTATATTAAGAAACCCTTGATGGAGCTATTCGGTCGTGAATATATCCCTTCGTGGTGGAGTGAGCAATTACTAGTAATTGTATAGAATATATTTTACAGCCTACCACTACCACCGAGTGGCATCTTTATGCCAAATGGCTCCCACCTAACCGTACACGCTCGTCCCAGGTCAAAAAGACGTCTTGCGGATGTGAACATTTGTTCCATCTACAAGTTATTCTTAGTTCTACTACTTGGTATGTTGTATATATCCTGATCACCACTTTTCGATTCAAATTTTCTTACAACCTTCCGAGAAAGCTACGGAAGCGTTAGCGGGGCTTTAGACAATGTCTAAAGAGTTGAACCCTGGTGATGAAATACATTGCCACTATTTATGCTGTTGTGGTGCTGCTGCTTAAATGGTTAGTATTGATCCAGGGATTCTGCGGATCATGAAGTCCAGGTACATGACCTTAATTGGATGAATTCAACTAACGGGCTGGCTGTGCCTGCTTATTACTAGAAATATATAAGATGGAAACAGATGGGTATGAAGGAACATCAATGGCCATTAGCAAAAAAAACATGGCCCCGTGGTATTTCTACAAGGGGCTGACGAGTTGTATATATACTCGGTTGAGAACTACCATTCTATATAGAATCCTGAGGCCTGAATCGAGCTTTTCAGATCAATTAATTGATTATACGTTGGCCGTCCATGCTCTCCGCTGATATTATAACTCCAATTGAAATCATATGACAAGTAAAAAGCTACACTTCGGTTGAAGGAACAATATATGTGACTGAGCAAGTAACAAGTAAATAAATAAAAACAAAAAAAGTTTGATCTATTTTTATACCAGCATGAACTAACCCAACCGAGAATCCGGAGAATTACTTTTCCCTCCGACAATCTTACATAATGAGATCGACAGTATCTGATAACACTGGCCAATGACAACCCCGCATTGACCACACCCACGCTAACACTCAAGCAGGAAAATCAAAACAAACAAAGTGGAGTTGTATCTATGGAGGAGAAATGAATGTATGTCCATTTGACTATCTCAAGTGTAGTAGTATTTGACCAACAACCTCAACCATTGCTGTCATATAATCGTAACTATCAGACGAGAAATTAAACCATTCCTCTCTATTTAACTAATATCCAATAGAGTGGCCCGGGAAAATGAACCGTGATGTTCCAGCCAAATATTTACGTGCGGGTAACAGATTCAGGGTGGAACTCTAGATGCCATTCCACTGGAATGTTGAAAAGCCAAACGTAAATAAATTGGCAGACATGAAGTATGAAGTATGAAGCTTATAATCAAGAAACCAGAAGACACCTTAAACCCAACTATGTTGTCAGTAACGCAAGGCTGCGATGGGTTGTACATTGAATACGAGTCAGTGCCCATACCTATAGATAGTTTCTATGATAAACAAACCAAGCTCAATCGCAATAGCAACACCTGTCATTCCCGATTACTCTATAGATACTTCGTAGAAGAATAGCAAAGGCAACTCATGTTACACAACATAACTGCTTCTTCTGAGCGTCAATCGACTTGCCGTTCGGGGTAACGGGTTGTCTGCAAGGTTCAGCGGACGGCGACTGTGCCGCTCATTTAACACGGATCAATCATCACACCCTCTCGGCTTTCCCTTTGCCGCTTGTTTTGTTTTCACTTCCATCCCGCTTCTCACTTCGCTGCCTTTACCTGGGAGTATAATTTAATCAGTCTCACTTTTGCTTCTTGTGTATTTTCTTTCTGTTCTTCTTTACTTTTGAAATATTGAGATTAGGTATGGTTCCGGAAATACCGTTCATTCACTCCACTCCAATCACTCACGCCAGATCTCCTCCAGGCCAGCGCTGAGAGCCGGTGCCTCAGCGCCGATTTAATGTCATCTTGAAAATATGCTCTATATATCGCAGTCCACGCGCCAGACACTATCAATATATCTATAGCCCATTACGAAATCAGCAGGGAAAATTCCCCGATAGCCCGCAGACGACAATCCCAGACAACCAGTCCGTTTTCAAACTGACCGAATCAACCTCGCAATGGACGGTCCACCCCCTCCTCCCCCTCACGGCGAGAAACCGAACACCACCGGTGGCCAAGAATACCGGAAGGCGTCGGACCTGCCCGAAGGGAACTACGATATCTTCATTATTCCGCCACATTCGTCCGGGTCGGGCTTCCTCTATCTCCCTTCGCTGCAATGTCAGCGGAATAGTTTCGTCGCTGGCTCGGTCTGCACCTTGTTCGTTGTCCTTGTGTGGTCTTTTATATCGCCCATTTTCAAGACATGGTATATAGCTGCTGCCACCAGTGGCGGCGGCGGCGGAGGCGGAGGGATGGGTGTGGGACTCTTAGGGATTGGGGTTGGGATTGCAGGATGGGGGTTCGGCGTGTATCAAGCTGGGTTTGGAAAAAAAGGGCCGGGAAGTGCCAGAGCCAATACTGGCCAGGCCGGTGCTGGAGGAGAATATGCGAGAGGGTCGGGTAATGCTGGTGGACAGCAAGGGAACTATGGTGGGAATTATGGATCTCCGCCAGGGAGCCAGTACTCTGGAAATCAGTATGGTGCCGGCACTCCGCCTCAGACGCCTCCCCCTAACGCTGGCCCAGGACCAAATAAACCCGAGTCGGCCAAGGCCGAAGAGAAGGCCCGAGCGGAAGAAAAGGCCCGCGAGGAGAAGGCCAGGGAAGAGAGGGCCCGGGAGGAAAAGGCCCGGGAGGAAAGGGCGCGAGAGGAGAGAGCTCGGGAGGCAAGGGCGCGAGAGGAGAAAGCTCGGGAAGAGAGAGCCCGCGAGAGGGCTCGAGAAGAAAGGGCCCGGGAGCAAAAGGCCCGGGAGGAAAGAGCTCGGGAGGAAAGGGCTCGAGAAGAGAGAGCTCGGGAGGAAAAGGCTCGTGAAGAGAAGGCGCGTGCAGAAAGAGAACGGGAAGAAAAGGCACGCGAAGAGGCAAGACGGAAGGAGGAGCTTCGACGGAAAATGGAAGAGTTCAAGCGGAAGAGGGAGGCCGAGAAGCAAGAAAAACAAAGACAGCAGGAACGCGAGGCGATGGAGAAAGAAATGCGTGAGCGAAGGGAGCAGTTCGAGAAAGAGATGGCCGCTGCCAGAGAAGCAGCGGCAAAGGAGGCACGGGAGCGCGCCGAGAAGGAAGCAGCCGAAGCTCGGGCAAAGGCCGAACGCGATGCTGCGGAGGCCCGAGCAAAGGCTGAAAGGGAGGCCGCTGAAGCAAAAGCTAAGGCGGAGAAAGAAGCGGCCGAGAAGGAAGCGGCTGCAAAAGCGGCTGCAAAGAAGGAGGCGGATGCCAAGTTTGCAGCCCTCAAGGAGGCGGCAGCAAAAAAGTATGCCGAGAAGAAGGCCAAAGATGCCCAAGAGGCAGCGGCCAAGGAGGCAGCAGCAGCGAAAGACGCCGCGGCGAAGGCTGCCAAGGAGAAATCAGGGAGCGCATCAGTCCCTCCCCGAAGTCCATCACCGAAGAAGCCTCCTCCATCTGGAGCACGAACTACAATGTCTGCCGACCAAGACGATGCATATTCCTTTCGACCGTACGACAGACCTCGACGGCCATATGGGGGCACGTCAAGTTCGTCAGCATACTCTGAATCATCTTACGCTCCCTCACAATCGACAGCTCGAACATCACCTCCACCGTCAAATAGGGGACGGTATGAAACTAAGGACCCTGATAAGATTGTTATCAAGGGTGTTTTTCAGTTCAACAATGCATTTATTAAAAGCCCAGCGGCTCAGCTGGTCTCTGGACAGGGAATGGTAACGGACGGACTCGTTCTGCGCATCACTACCGAAGGTCTGTTCATTGACGACGATATCCGGGGAGTGGGTCAGCGAGAATGGGATGTCAAGGCGTGGACAATGAAGTTGGTTGAGGTGTGGTGCCCCCAATATGCCTCCCAGAAGCATAACCCTCCGAAGCAGAGTTCGTTCTTTGGTCGACGGGACGAAGGACCTTCATCGGCGGAGTCCGATGCATACCTGCTCAATCTACTGAAAGTGTGCAAGAATACATGTCGTCTTGCGTCGCCAGGGTCTCAGTCCGAGGTACAGGGACTCCATGTATTGCGAGCCAGCGTTCGCGACCAGGAGGGTCGAAAATATCTTTTCGTCTTGGAAGAGACAGAAGGCTGGAAGGTGGGCATCGGGCTTCAGCGACTTCGAAAGGGGGCGCTAGTACGATCTCTGGGAGTGACAAACATGTCGGTCAATGAGGGCCGCTCGATCCTCGGGAACCTTGGATACATCTGATTAGCTTAAGTGTGTTTTCCAACGGTCCAACTTTGGTGCCTACACGGTATATATTATTCACCTCAGCGCTCATAGCGAGACGTTGTTTCAAGATCCAGCCTTGCATAGTGTCATTATGGCTAGACCTTCATTTGTACAGAGATTCCCCCTGTTGTTGATTGCTTATGATGTTGACGATTTATTGTGGTTCACGTATTTCTAGTTGTACATAATGCAGCACAGACGTTCATACATTAACAATTATACACAACGCTGCCTTTGTCTATACGACATTTAGCATGATGGTTGCCCACTAACAAAGAATCAGATCAAAGGTTGGTTATCAATCAAGGTGCTGACAACCCTATCACGTGTCAATGTGCCATTTATACTTCTTTCCATACTCTTGTGGTCCCAACTTCTATCTCACATATTCAACCATTTGTATCGTAATATATCGTTACATCTAGCATGTCTGTCAGGTTCACCGTGCTTCTTGACTTTCTAGTCTAGTTTTCAGCCAAATTCATCTGGCGCCCACTAATATCTGTGAACTGTCAATATATCTGATGGTACCTGACTAGAAGACGACGGGAAACCATTGAAATCCACTGAACACAGTGTTTGGTAACCCAAAAACAGTCTTCATTTGGAAAGGCGGTTGTTCGCGCTGTGGTTTACAAGAAACGTTGCAGCATGGAGTCTTTCAAAGGGATAGCAGCATAAAGCTACCAGCTCATCTCGATGGAGAGGGCAGGCCAGAGCCGAAGAGGAAGACCAACCGGAGAAAATGGCAGCGTGGAAGAAAAGGTGCCTCAACCTGTATCAGCATATTATGGAGAGGCGGCGCCGAAGGAGCCAGGAACCTGAGGGAAGGGAGAAGGAGAGAGCCTATTCTGAAATGTACAGAATACAGAACGCGGAGATCATCCGGGCTCGTAAGGCGGTGCTGACGGAGGAAAAAAAGGCCGCTTTTAGTGCTCATAAAGCCGCTCAGATGAGAGGATACAGAGCCGCAAAGAAAGCCAATCGTGAAGACAAAGTGCCCCATGATATGCCGGCCAAGAACGCCCGTCGAAATGCATCTCTCAAGGCACAACGGGCTGGTGACGTGCTTCAAAAAGAGAAGGCCAGCTACTGGTGATATTCAGAAAACTAAGGCAATGTTGGCGTTGAATATTGCAGGGATGGAGCGGTGGGAATTCGGGTCCAAAACAGGCTTTATATGATGTTAAATAGAAATTTTATCTTCTATTGAGGCAGTTCTCAAGAACTGCCGCGCTTCTATATCTTGGCCCTAATATTGTCTATAAATAATAAGATAATAGAGAATTAGGGCTCAATGCTCTTAATTATAGTGATCTATTTATTGGTATATTAGATAGAAATATAAAACTAGAAGTTAATTCTGAAAGGCACGTTTATGACCAACTTAGCGGCCAAATACATACTGGCAACTCTTTTTCGCACAGGGCCTGTGCATCGGGACCGAACAGGGTCTGATGTGGTTGCCCAGTGTGATTGTGCTTTCCACCTATTTCGCTAAGAGTCAGTATTCGTTATGACAACTGCAGCTACGGGTACACAGCACGGTGGAAAGGTCCGAAGAGTAAGCATTTGACCCCAAAGATAGGTTGGATCCTTTCTTCCGAATGTGGGCATGCTGTGTTGACATTGTATCTTAGGGTTTCCGTGGGCTGTCCGCTGCATGAGATTTGTTGTCCTCTACATGGTCATTATGATCAACCTGCTTTTGTGCACTCGGCTTCCACCTCCCTCTTACAGAGCCGTTAATAGCCAAGACATTGATTGGGAACGCCGTAGGAAATTATTTGCCGGCGCAGACCTGGGCAGACACGTCATTGTTGGTCGGGACAGCTGCCTTGATCGCTGCCAGGGTTTTGGCCCGGGGATGACAGTTCTGTGTGAAGATGTGACTTGTTGGAATGGATGGTCGGATGACCAAAAAGTATATGACTACTTTTGGTGGTATTTGACGGAATGCCTTGCTTTGAACCTCAGGATGTCGAATTTAATAAATTGGCCCGGACTTGCTTATGGCCCCATTTCAGACGTGCTTCTGAGGAAATATTGAAATAAACTACATGCCTACCCAGAGGCAGCATGATCTATACATACTCCAGCGAGCATCGCGGACGTTATCTAGCGTCCTAATGCCGTTCGCTGGCTGATTATTATGCCGACACGGTTTCCATGGCCGAAGCGTCGGCATTCCCAGGGTTCTCGTGACCCGAGGTCATGCATTGTTCCTGATGATCCGGGGGAAAGAATCACGATAATCCTGTAGACTCTCGACGAGTTGTAATCGGAATAAGAACAATGGATACTGCGACAAGAAAGTTTCTCTCAATCATAACATAGAAGAGATATATGAAGAGAGACGTCCAGAATCTGTAACATGGGGAAAGAAAACCTGGAGATCCTGCACGGCTGAGTCAGCGCTCGGGGAAATGCCCGTGACTGAATGCCAACCAACCAAAGCCAAGTTCGTTCTCAAACTACGAAGTCAAACTGCTGGTCAGTCGGAGCTCTTCCTTCTTCCTCTCCCAGTTCCAGTTAAACGCTGTGTTGGTTCCAATCTGGAAGAACTTCATTCTCTGTCCACCTGTCTCCTTTCCCGCCAACTCACCTCTGTCCTCCTTTCACCGGAGTCCAATCAGGTACCGCTTTGCCCCCAAATCACCACCGCCTCCTCCTATCTCCCTCCCCGCCGCCAACTGTCCTCTGTATAAGTCGCCCTTCTTGACTTCCGACTCCGGACCTTTCCTCCTCTCTGATCGTTTCCTCTATGCTGCGACGATAGTTATCCTACGACCGGCAATTTAATCTCGCCCCTCGAGGGCTTCCCCAGTCACCATGTCCTATCATTCGAACCCCCAATCCTATCAGAGCCATGCGGCCTCTCATAGGCCGATTCCGTCGTATAATCCGTTGGCCGCGGTGAACGCCCCGGCAGGCACTTTCTTACCAGGAACCAAAGTCCAGGTCGGCAGTCATCGCGTGGTCGTCGAGAAGTACCTCTCCGAAGGTGGATTTGCCCATGTGTACGTCGTGCGTCTTCCACAACCCGTCGAGGGTTCAGATAGGGCGGTGCTGAAGCGGGTCGCGGTGCCGGACAAAGCGGCGCTCGCGAACATGCGGACCGAGGTCGAGACAATGAAGAAATTGAAGGGACACCGACACATTGTGAAGTATATCGATTCCCATGCGTCGCAGCTCCGTGGGGGCGGCTACGAAGTGTTCCTGCTCATGGAGTTCTGTTCGGGCGGAGGCCTGATCGACTTCATGAACACGCGCTTGCAGCACCGGTTGACAGAACCGGAGATTATCCAGATCTTCTCGGACGTGGCCGAGGGCGTGGCCTGCATGCACTATCTGAAACCCCCTTTGCTGCACCGCGATTTGAAGGTGGAGAATGTTCTCATATCTCGACACGGGACCTCGAGTGTCTATAAGTTATGCGATTTCGGTTCTGCGGCGCCCCCTCGTCCAGCGGCGACGTCGGCTGCAGAGGGCCGCCTGATCGAGGACGATGTACAGAGGCACACGACGCTGCAGTACCGGAGTCCGGAGATGATCGATGTCTATCGCAAGCAACCTATCGATGAGAAGAGCGACATTTGGGCGCTAGGTGTACTTCTATACAAGCTATGCTACTATACAACTCCGTTCGAAGAAGTGGGCCAAATGGCCATCCTGAATGCGACCTACAAATTCCCGTCTTACCCTGTTTTCTCGGACCGCCTCAGGATGCTCATCAGTAAGTTCAGTTGAATGTTGGTCGTGCGGGGGGTACTAACTTCGACTTTAGCATGGATGTTGAAGGAGCACCCGCAAAAGCGCCCAAATATCTATGAGGTCGTGCAAGAGGTCTGCCGCATGCAAGGAAAAGAAGTTCCAATCCGAGATGTGAGTTACCCAATGACTGGATTCGTTCTTAGTTTCTTATGTCTGTAGATCTACGCGAATCGCTCTACGTCGGAAGCCCGCCGTTATCAGGAACTTCCGCCATCCCCGACGGAGACACCGCAAGTCGGTGCAGTGTTCTCTCCACCGATCCAGGAGACCCAGATTATCCCAGAGATTGCTCCCATGCGGCGCGGGCGGCCGACAAAACCGGCCAGTTCTCAGCACACTTCTGCAAAGCCAAGCCCCTCCCCGTTCCGTGGTGGCTCCACAGACCCCTTCGCCGTCTTGGATGGCGGCCAGAAATCGCGGGACTCTACGGACGAGTTCACGAATCGGTTCCCCTCGTTGGATCAGTTTGATATCCTGCACGAGAAGGGTGGCAAGTTCGACTTTGAGCCAGCGTTCGCCGAGACGAAACAAGAGGATGACAATCTTGCGCAAAGGCTCACAAACGCCTTGGCCGATGAGGCCTTCGCGAAACGTCCTTCTCCCTCGGTGAATGAGCAAGCTCCCCAACCACCGGTACAGAAGCAACCCCAACCGTCACACGTCAAGAGTCGCCCCTCCGAGTCTTTCAACTACCGCGAGGAGCCCCAGCAGTCGCAGGTGCCTCTGTACCAACCGGTGCCGCAGAAACCAACCATGGTCTCCACAGGCACGATGACATCGCCACCCCAGACGCCGTCGGTGCCGGAGCTGAAGCCCCCTAGCCGCCCCATCTATCGATTTCCTTCGTCCGACCATCAACGCCGGCCCTCCAGCCAACCGTGGCCCGCGGACGGCGACAAGAAAGCTTCCCGCCCCCTCAACCCTCCGTCCCCTACGAAGCCCTCCGCGGACCCAAGAACTTCTGCGGATCGCATCTCCGAGCTGTCGACCTCTTCGTCGCGGCCTTCCTTGGAAGGCATGCGACCATCGAACTTGGAGTTGGAAGAGCTCACGAGTCGATCCAAATCGGCCAACAGCAAATCTCGCCCATTGTCCGTCCAGGCCGCTCCCAGGTATGACTTTGGCCGAGGCTCTGAGAGTGCACGTTCCTCACTCGATATCCCCAGGCCCTCGTACGACATGGGGGCGCCGCTGCAACATGCGCGAACCGAGGCAGACCGGGCCAACATCTCGTCCGACATCGACTATCTCCGGGCGAGGGAAGAAGAGAGCAGCCGGAAGAAAGAGAAGCGGTACAGTGGCAGCGCCAAACACACCAAGCGGTCGAGTCTTTCTACGTTATCGCTGTCGGGGACCAAGACATTGTTTGCTGGTCGGTTTGGCGATGCATTCCGGCGCTTCGAGCAGAGCAACCCAGAATCCAAAGCCCAGTCTCCCGCGACCGAAGAGCCGAAGCAGGTCATGATCACTTCGTCCGAATTGGTGGAGGTGCCCGCCGAAATGAGTGACGCCGAGAACGACGACATCTCTCCGGAGATGCGTCGGGAGCTGGAACGGCGACGTCTCTCCCAGGAGGAGAAGCGTGTCGCCAACGCTGCTGCCGAGTATCGCCGACAGGTGGCGGAACGAGGGGAAGGGGGCTTCCGGCCCGGGCCCGATACACGGTCGTCGATCCAGAACCGGGTGCAGTCATTCTTAGAGGAAAGTAACAAGTCAGCGCCTCCCCCGAAGACGGCAACGGGCTATGGCCGGTTCACAGAGGAGATGAGCCCTGCTTTGCCGGCAAAGCAGAACGACCCTCTTCCCGAGCCGCGGATCAACACCCGCGCGGCGGGGCACCTATACGGATCGCAGGGACAAGCGTCGCCTGTCAAGGACCGGTGGGAGACGCCAGGTATACCCAGTCAAGAGACTGCAAGTAGTGGCTATGCGCAATCGCAGCGCACGGGGTCGTCTCGGCCCGCAGCACCTCCCAAGCCCAAGAGCCTGCGCGTGAAGGGATCGGAGGTGATCAACGAGCGGAGCCAGGCCACACCTACTACGCCGAGCGAGGATTGGGAGGCCAACTTCAGCCGACGGTTCCCCAGCCTGTCGGGACTAGAGATGGAGACGGAGATCGAGATACCCAATATCCCTCTCCGGACAAAGGAAGTGTAATTATTATTGATTTCAGTGTGGGTGGGGGTGTATGGATCTATAGACAGTGGACTAATCTTGTTCTATACGTATATATTGTCAATACTAGACATGCATTGCAAGCATTTGCTATAATCCAGCATGGTTCCATATGACACAGTCGACCTAATGAATACTATCGTAGATAAAAATAATAAAATAAATGAATACATGGTATCCATCGTGAGATCATAATCAATTACCCAAACAGGTTTAGTTCACCCCAGAGTTCCCCACTGCGGCTCAAGCAGTCTAGATTCATTAAATCCATTTAATCCCACTCTCATTTATCTTCCCAGTTCCAGTAATCAATCAATCAATCAATCAATTAAACCTCACCTCAACAAATCCCCAAAATGGCTCCCATAACCCTCAGCCAAGTCGACAGTAAGCCTTCCATCCCAAACCCAACCACTCCAACCCCCAAACACAATCAATCCAACTAACCCATTAAAAAAAAACAACACAGACGACCTAAAAGAAGCAATCCAACACCTCTTCGAAATCCAATCCGCAGTCCACGGCTACCTCGGCCCGGAAACTCAACAAGAACTCGTTCGAAAAATGTACCCAAGTCCTCCTCCATCACCACTCCCAGAAACACCAACGAGAAACACTACCCCCCCCCCCGAAAAAAAAGAAACCAATGAACCAACCAACTAACGAATGAAATTAAAAACCAACAACAGAAAATCCCTCACCCAAACCCTCGCCACCCTTCAAAAAAACACCGCCAGCCTCCCCGACCCAAATGACCCCAACCAGACCACAAACCCGGAAATCTCGATCGGGAATCCCAAAGACCCTAATTTGGCTTCTGTTCAACTTCCCCCGGAGATCATCGACTATGTGGACGCGGCGCGTAATCCGGATATCTATACGAGAGAGTTTGTGGAGCTTGTGCAGAGAGGGAATCAGGATTTGAAGGGGAAGAGAGAGGCGTTTGCGGATTTTAGGGATGTGTTGGCTAGGGAGGTGAGGAGTGCAGTTCCGGGGTGTAGGGGGGAGGTTGATCGGGTTATGGAGTCTCTTGGGGTTGGGGATCAGAGGAGGGAAGGGAGGGAGGGAGGTGATAATAGTGGGAGTGGTGGGAGGTGATGTTCTATGGGTTGTGTGGGTTGATTGGGAGAGGTGTTTTTTGGTGTTTGTCGTTTTAGGGGGGATTTCTTCTTTTTTTCTTTTCTTTATTTCTTTGCTTTTCTCTTGGTTTTTCTTTGTTTATGCTGCTGGATGGCAATTGGGTGTTTGAAAGGTGGTGTGGTGTTTATATAGTTTACTTAGTGGTTGTTTTTCCTGGGGTACTATCTGTTTAGAATGTTTTTGCACGTTTACTATTTTAGACTTTGTCTATCTATTTATCTATCTACTCATGCTAACAAGTATGTACAATACAGTATCTCGAATATACATAACAAGTCTAAATTACCCACTTGCAAAGACCTTGTTCTTTTCAAGTTGCCACTCTTTAAAATAAGAAATAAAAAAGAAGAAGGAAGGAAGAAAAAGAAGCCAATGACAACTGCTTGAATTGGGCTTGGTTCTTCGTGTTAGAATTGGTTTGTATGCCAGGGTGAGTGGCCAAAGATAATCGTTGTGTTAGCTACAATGTATATATCCGCACACACATATATATATTATCTACTAGTGTCGTTCTAACAGAATTTATAGATGAATGCAAAGGAGGCTAGATATCACATCGGCCGGTATAGCGGGCTCTAAAGTCCTGCATTAAGCGCCAATTGATTTTCTTCCGCCTGGTTATAAGCTATAATTGACGATGATAGCTATAAAAAAAATGAATGCTATGGTATACAAAAAGATAAGGACAAGATAAGGGACAAAAACAAAAAAGGCAAAAAAGTAATGACCAGACTGGGGCTCGATCCCAGGACCTTATCGGTGTTAACGATACGTGATAACCAACTACACCATCCGGCCAATTGATGGTTTATGTTGGTATAATTTAACTACACAAGCCAAGAGTATTCTAGCAGTGGTTGCACTACTTCTCTAGTATACCATATACGGTACTACAAGATCGCAATAACCTCCTCCAAAACCTTGACCAAACCAGTCATCTCTTCCTCTGTAGTGTCCTATTAGCCTTCAACCTATCATGGCGTACGCAAGCAGAAGCACTCACCGGTGTTATAGTGCAACATACTGATCCGCACCACCCCATCCTCGACGTCTTCCAAACCAATGATGTCTTTGATCAATCTATGACTGTACATATGGCCACTTCGGAACCCATACGCAGATCGCTTTTCAACCTCCTCTACTAATTTTTGGCTTTTCGTACCCCGCACGGTGAAACTAATCACGGGGACCCGGAGGTTTCTATCCGCAGAGCGCTCTCCGTAGACAGTGACCCGATCGTTACCGTTGAGGAAGTCCAAGATGATCTGCTGCAACCTTTCCTCTTGAGCGGCGATCTTTTCCCACGATGTAGACACATCAGGCTCGAAGTATTCGACGACTCGTGGAATGCTCTGAACATGCTCATAATTGGCGGATGCCAGGTTAAGCTTCAAGTCGAGGGTTTCGGTGCCTTTGAAGAAATGTCCCAGGGGGTCGATCTGATCGTGGATGCGTGATGAGGCATACAACTGTGCGATGTGGGGCCCGTAGACCTTGTACCATGAGAAGGCCTGTTTGGAATCATCAGCCTCTGTGACCTTGCCGAGATAAGCAATATATACGCACGTAGAAGTCGACATCAAGATCCTTGACATCGACTTGGCGATGAGGCGCAAGGGCAACGCCGTCCACGCAGAGCAGGGCCTTAAAGGATTAAAGTAAGCATTACATCAGTTTCAGGTTGGCAGGTGTCGTACCCGAGGAGATTGATGCACGATCTTCGCAATTTCCTTGACATCCACAATAGATCCGAGGATATTCGATGCATGCGGGCAAGCTACTAGTCTCGTCTTCTCCGAGATTAACCGCTTCAAGTCGTTCGGATCACAGACAGGATTCTGAGGGTTGGAAGCGGACCACCATTTCACCTCTAAGCCTAGTCGTTCTGCAATTCTGACCCAGGCGGCGGAATTGGCCTCGTGGTTCAATTTGGAAAGAATGAGCTCATCACCTGGCTGAAACTTCAATGCCGTGGAGAGATTGTGTAGTAGTTGCGTGGTTGACACACCAAGACAGATCTATCGGGACTGTTAGCGGAGTTCTACTTTCACTTTAAAGAATGAAAGGAGGATCCATTTACTTCTTCGGGCTTTGCATTGATGAACTTCGCCGCTGCTTCGTATCCATTTGCAAACCCAGCGGTGGATAGCTTGGAGGTCTTGTATGTTGCCCCCAGTTGAACATTGGTGTTTGTGAGGTAAGATGTAATACTAGATGGAGGCTATGTCAGCCACAGTCCGATCTTATATCAGGGGAGACGTACGACTCAATCACCGTGTCCAGGACTTGACTACCCCCTTCTCAGCTGATTAGCAAAGCTCTGGATACTGGAGAAGCCACAAATGCTTCGATTTCAGCTTGACACACCTGCATTGTCCAAGAAGACCTGCTCCTGCTTCAAGGCAGGAAAGCGAGATCGGACCTGTGCAAGATCGAGAGTCATTCTGAGAGCTATGAGGAATATGTTACGATGAACTCAGGAGAGGCTGATATATCGGAACCTCATGAAGAATACAGATCTGCTTTATAGCCCTCTTCAAGTAGGTGGGCGTACCAATAGATGTAGATTGCGTTTGCTCTGACGATAAGGCGTGAGAGGGGTAAAGCAGCTCCACACAATGCGCCCTAAGGCACCACATCCCCCACATTCCCACGACTTCTTCTAGACCAAGGCAAGCCACATGGTGTTGCATAGAGAAATCTAAATCTATATTCATGGTTGCCACAAGTTGGTCGTGTTGACCACATGCGAACTGCTCTGCTATAAATCCAAAACTACACGCCCGCTCAACAAACCGGTAAACAAACAACATGCGAACAAACGAAGCTCTCTGCTTCCAACCGGGTATATTCCATGCAAACCAAGATAGGTCCAAATAAGAGCACATTAAAATAGCACAGTAGAAAAGAAGTCCAAAGAAGTGAAAGCAAATCGAACACAAACATCATTCATTACCTCGAGCGCAAACCTGCACTCGTGTTTCCCGCAGGGTGCGCCGCATCATGTACCACACAGAGCAGATACTTCTTATCCGGAACAACGACAATCTCATGCTTTTTAGTCCTCAGCCGGAGGAGCTTGACCTCATCGTCGTCCTCTCTCTCCGATGCCTCTCCGTCTCCATCGTCCCGCGATGTTCCATTGCCCAACCCTTCTTGCAAGCCGCTCGAATCGGTTTTGGAGCCGTGGGCGTTTTCATTCAGGGGTCGCGAGAGCGACAAAGTTAGATCCGAAGCGCTGGAAACAAAAGCAAAGATGCGAGCTGCTAGCGCTTCCCCCTGGGACGGTTGATAGGAGGTTTGACGGTTAGGAGTTGTTGCGCTAGACGGTGTTGGAGGGGTGGAGGGTTCTGCGGGCGTCATAGTAGCTTCCGACTCTTCCTCGACAGTTGAATCGGTCTGCGAGACATTTGGACTGCTGTTGCCCGCGGGTTTCGTCGCTAGCAGTCCCGTGCTCTGAATTATGGACCCATCTTTGCGGGACAGGATGAAGGTGGACTGGACTCCGGGGCGCGATGTTAGATGCGAAAGGAGAGAGGTGACATGTTGCGGAATCTGTGAAGACTGATTTCTTTAGTAAATCTCCGGCTGTGGTTTCTATTGTATAGCAGAGGGAAAAAAAGGAGCGCCTACTGCTGTTGTATGCGCCATGTTGGAGAGGGACAGGATAGTTCGAAGTGAATTCCAAGAGGCGTAAGATATATGACCGCTTTAAATATTCAATCTTTCCTCATAATAGGACCTTGAGGCTTATGTCTTTTGCTCCACGGCCGTTTTCTAGCTTGCACACGCGAATGTCTATGGATTGTGAAAGATCAATGCTGTTTGGTATTCTGTTGACGATCTTCCATTAAACTCCGACCGAGTCGCGGCCTGGATGACTAAGCGATAACATGCCCTTAGTTATTCAGGCATCAGGTCTACCTCCTCCCTTGTTAATAGTATAAGTATATAAACTTCTATATGATCTAATAAAAGTCTTAACAACCTTGGATGGTATCTCATTCAACAGCAAATAGTTACACAAAACACACAAAACAAAATGGTATCACCGAAGACAGAATAGGAGATGCGAGAGTCATGCAAATCGAAAGAAGTCCAGTGTTAAAGAACGACTACGGAGCCCTAAGGGGATTGGGCTCATACTGGGAAAGACAAAGGGTTGGGGAGGGGGGACATAAGAAAAGAGAGCGACCACGCAGGAACACCACAATTAAAGGAAATATCATAGGAAAGTACTGCAAGCTCTCATCTCGAGCTGTTGTGTGCTCTTTGGGAACTCGGTTGATCCGACTCCCAGCCAAAATCGAAGTCCTCAATCATATTTTCCAACTCCCGGATGTCAGCACTTGCTTCTGAGCTGTAGCTACTGCGTCGGCTGGAGCCAGGGCTGGCAATCCAGGTTTCTGGATGGTATGCGGCTTGGCGTCTGTGCGTACGCCGCTCATTCCTCATGATATGGGAATCCAGGCTGGATGGAGAGTCCGTCATAGATGAGAAAGATCTACTAGTAGGGGGAGTAGAGAGGGAGGTGGATGATCCACCGAGAAGACCTTCTACGTTCTGTTTACCTCCCACACCGAGAGCCCCAAGAAGAGCAGCTTGAAGTGTTCTGTTTTGGTGCTCGAGATGTGCAATGCGCTTTTCGAGCTCTCGAACGTAAGAAGGCCGATGATGACTGCCTCGTGTTTCCCGATAGTAGTAACTACCTTGCAAACGTGGTGATTGCGAGGAAGATTTCTCCAGGCCCTGCCTTCTGTGGTTTCGGGGAGTTCTGGGCCTAGAGTGGTCGTGTGACGACGACTTTTTCATATGACGCGTCTTGCGTGTGGCAGACTCGTCAGCATCAATGGGTGCCAACTTAGGTCGCCGTCGCCTACTAGGCAGAGGATGTGCCTGTTGCTTGCGCATGCCAATATCCATACCTTCATCTTCCGAAGACGGGAGAGGGGTCTCAGAGCGCTCGTGAAGATCCAGATCATTAGCTACCCTTCTACTGAGGACGCTTGTGCTTCGTGTACCACCGCCTGGATAGACCCGAGAACTTCTTTTTGAAGCAGGCAGGGACGACGGTTCATGGATGTTCAATGATGTAGCGTTAAGATAAGCGAGTTGGCTACCATCCTGCGTGCTAATAGCATGAGCTTCAGTGGATTGCCCAGGAAATCTCGAGCCAGAAGAGGAAAGAGTAGACAACTGGGTATCTGTAGATTCCCTTTCATATTGACTCCCAACTCCCTCGTCGGTGCCGCGTGAAGCAGCTGTCGTCTCATCATATTTTTCGGATGAGGTCGTATGAGAGAGCCTGGAAAGAGACTGCCGACCTTCTTCCAGAGGACGATAATCTGAGTCTTGCAAGTAGCTTCGGCTCGCTGACATATCTTTCTTCTTCAGCGCACGAACCCTATCCGCTCGGCTTGGACTGGCTCTCATGGACGTGACAGACTTAGAATTCGATGCACCTGCCCTAGCAGATTTGTTTCCTCTGTCCGTTGCTGTCTCAGGTTTGCTAGCGCTTGGTGTAGCTTGACCAGTTATTGACCCAGGATTATCTCTCCTCGCAGCACTGCCCATGGATCCTTCTGTTGTAGGACGTGATGGTAACTGAAGGACCTGCTGTTGTTGGTTGACCCGAAGGCCTCTTTTGGTGGCGGTAGTGTCTTGTCCGTAAGTAGGACGAATGCCTGGAACTGCTTCCGGTAACGCAGGCAGAGGTCTCATAGGTGCTGGTAGAGGGAATGCATCAATTGCGCCCATGGGCAAGGATGCCGGACGGCGGCCATTTCTAACCAGCGGCATTTTTTCAGGTCCTTGGTTTGCCACACTGTTTCTGCTTGGATCTGTCGGTTGCGCTGAAGGCATTTGACCCACACACCCCAGGCTTCCAGGGCCGGCGTCACGATTTTGGGTGCTAGATGAAGGCTTAGTGTTCTTGTCATTCGGTTGAGCACTAACGGCCGAAGAGTCTTGTTGCGCTGACGTGGTTGGTAAGGATCTAACGGAAGGGGGTGGGCAACCGTTCGATATGCGCCAGGCTCCTTTATTAGGCATCCGTGGAGGCATAGGGTCAGGGAAAAGCTTCAGTGTTTGTGCTCCCGGGTTCGAATGGTTCTGCATGGTGTTTGGTGTACTAGACGACGATGATTTGCTGTCCGCTGCTTCAGGGCCGTCTTTGGGCCCTGCTGGCTTGGCTTCTGCCGGTTGCTCGTGACCCGACTGTTGGAAGTCAGTATCACGTATAGTATCTATATATGCTAAATGATACCAGCCTACCTGTTGCTTGTTGTCTAACGTGCTGGTCGACATCCTGGTGTGATGACTGCTCGTTCGATCTGGTATTTCCGGAACCTTCGGCAAGGCTTCTATCTCATCCAGTGGCTCACTAGTCGTAGAATTTGCAGTATGGCAAGTTGAGGGATGGGAAGAGTTTCCTTGCGTATCATGATTGCTTGACTGGGCTGAAGCCTGATAAGGTGGAGGGGTCACGTCCTCAAATTGAGGAGGTCGAGGCAACGCAGCACCGACCAGGGACGTGATATCCCGTAGATCTAGCGAAGACAAACGGCCTCCTTTCATTTCACGGGTATCAAACTTTTCCAGCGAACCTTCCAGCCATGGCTGTCCAATGCTTTCTACGTCTCTCCTGGAACTCGATTGGAAGCTGAGATTGGAAGCAGATCTGGTCGAGGATACTGTGGAGTCAATACTTCGCTTAGGGGCAGATTTCTTGGGCTTGGGGGGAGTTAGAGTCACAGGCAGAAATCCCTCCTGTTGAAGCACTAGTAGCTGGCGAGACGTTTCTTCGGCTTTGGTCTGAGGGTCTGTTCCCCTTTTGGGACGCTGAGCTAGCTGCCGCAGGCGTCGCTGGCCCGCTTTTAAGATATCGCGAGCGCTACCGGATTGCGAAGATGTGGTCGACAAGGCATCCTGTGCCTGGAAGAACTGTACAAGATCGGGGACATGTTCACTTCGGTTCTGCATATTTAACAATCCTGGAGGTTGAATATCTCCTCCTGGGATGTTAGACATGCTGGTGCGACCTCGTTTAGACAGCTGAGGACTGAGGCGGCAGGTTGGGATTACTGGACTCGGTGCGACTGAGCTCTCTTGTAGGTTGATTTGGTGTAACATAAGGAGATTGACTAGACCTCAGCCATCTATATGACTTCAAAACCGATCAGGAGACATGAAATGTCAACGCGAGTCGACAAGGAAAGACGCTTCGTGGTGTGTTGCATGTACAGACGTGCGTAGCGTGATTCTAAAGGTACTATTGCCTTATCCACCTTGATCGAGAGAGGTCAGGACCTCCAGAGAGACTATGAAAGGAATGACGTAGGTAGAGAGAAGAACTCGCACTGGGGGTATCAAACAAAGAGAAGGAGGGCAGAAGAGAAAGAATGAGGTGGGATGGTCAAAGCCTAATCAGTATATGCGTATGAAGGTATGTATGTACAGGAAATGAATGGAGAATTGAGACATATGGGAAAAAAGAAATTGAGAGATCAACCTACGTCCAGGGACGATGCAGCGCAGGGAGAGGGTCCTTTCTTAAAAGAGAGTTCTATGGACATCTGGACCTGTCACGACCCTACATAGCCGGGAGCATCCTGTCTAGTTCTTGAATGCGACGCCTTGGACCTGGTCGAATGAAGAGCCGACCTCGTTCCCGATAGATTGAGAGATAGAGTTGAATCTAAGTAGTGCCATTCCACCATGCCAGGATTCCACATAGCCCCAAGGGCCGAGGGAGGCGAGACACCCCCAGTTGGGCATCCGGCAAGCAAGGCTAGTGGAGTCATTTCTAACCAAAACGGAAAAGGGAAACCGCAGGGGAGACAGAAAAATACAAAATATAAAAACGTTGATGGACGATCCGTCCGTGCTAGTAGTTCGATCGGGCCCTCAGGTGGCGCACATGACAGACCGATGCCCCAGAGAGCGAGAAGAGTAGCGAAAAGCTATTTTGCTCGCAGGATGATCCTGTCACAGTGACAATCATTGGCGATTTCCGTCACCCAAATTGATGGGTCAGCACTATTGATCCGACGTAGTTTGTTCTCTCTGTCGAACTACTTATAGTCAACAAAGAATTTCGTTTGCGACTATATCGTGAGAAACCACGGTACGAGCTCAACATTGGCGCCATTCTCGTGTGTGACATCTTTGCAGGCCTCCTTTTCTGAAAAGAACTCAGAAGAGGGGGGAACAAAAAAATAAAAACCCCGATGAGAAAGTGTGCAAGAGCCGTTACAAGCAAGGGATGCCCTGACTCTCAACTCCTGGAGGGGTTGATTGAGGTCATAACGGAACTGAAACGAGCCCCTTTTGAGAACGCAGGATACACCTTGATAACGATGTGGACGACGTCAATCATCTTTCGGGGATGATCAGATTAGGAAAAACAACCACGAAAAATCCAAAAATCGAAATTGGGCACGTAAGGATCGAAGAAAGAGAGGGAGTGAGACGGGGAATTGAAAGCCACCAAGCCAGTAGTGGCTATTGGGGAGAGACGCAGATCAGAAATAGACTATACCAATGTGACAGATGCACAGCGATCTCAACCAAGTGGATTTGTTTGTGCGATGGACGGGGACTTTCTAACTTGACAGGTCACAAACCTATTTATACTGACTATTAAGATTTGAGAGAGATTACGAAAATAGTCGCGGCCGGGCCCTTGCCGACTTTCCTAAACGAACCAGTCCAGAGATACGCCCTTACGAGTCCCAGAACTTAGACGACTGTCGCTATGTACAGAGTATATCGATCGATATTGATTTCTGTGTTTTGAAGGAATCAAAAGTACCGGCTCGAAATAGAGAGCTTTCTCATTTGGTGTTCCTACTATAATCCTAGCCCTAAGTATTATGTACAGTGCAGTGATATACATATGCTGTATAACCCACCAGAGCCTTGAAGAACTACTAGTCGTGCCCTGGTAGCAAACTTGCCTATGATTACTTCCTTCAGCCGACCTGCAAGAGTCGCACTGCGTCAACTCGTGTCCATTTTATCATGTTGCACAATCACCGACAGGGGAGAGAAATTTTTTTAAAAAAAAAATTGTACCAAGGGGGGCTCTGAACATATTGGCGTCATATCCAAAAACTTTGGTAGCGAGATTGCAGAAAGAAAAGATTACCAAAAAAAAAAAAAAAAAAGAAAGAAAGAAAGAAAGACAGAGGACCAAAACTGACAGGGCGAGATCTCAGCCATCGAACCCCCTCCCTTGCATAACAAAGTATCATGCAGGTCTGGAGAGCATCACAAGCATCAGGATAGGTGGAAAGTCATCCAAGTATGCGGGAGTGAATATATCCATGTAAAATGCGCCACCTTCATACTTTACGACTGAGCCTATATTCTCCGATCGTACGAAAGGAAGAACTTCCGAACTTCGCTTACCAGTTAATCTTGGCTGGAACTCAGCAGAGTTGATTCATCCAATCGTGGATTCTGTTTGTTTGCCCGAGTCCGCAGGTCGTATTCCTTTGAGGTCTATGCAGAGCTAGTGCACGCTATGAGATACTATATCGTGCGTGACATAGCACCCTTGATCAATCCGATATGTTATTTATTTTCTTTTCTTTTCCTTTCCAATACCTTTCTTCCCAGGGAAATGATATGTCCCGGAGCTTTGCCACCTGGACAATACTTAGCATGAGATGCATGAACCAAAGGGTACCGAATGAGATTATCCGTTGATTTAAATACATCATTAGGAAAAGAGCCTCCCGGTATTGAGACTATTCACAATGATAATTTATTCTAATTACAATACTCAGTTTTCAACCTATGCACCTGGAACCAAAATAATCATGCAGTATTGGAATCAACCCTCCCAGCTCACCTGTATCTAAGGGTATACTCACCGAATGAAGATTCTCCAAGCCTCTGTAGTCCATATCCTGTCTCAGTGCAAAATTTTAAATAAAAATACAACCCAACGCCACGCAATGCTTTTCAGGATATATTAGAGAACCCCAAGCCTGAAATCCCGACAAAGATATCTTATTCTCAGCGTAACTCTTTGTCGCCCGGTGACCAACAAGACGGAAAAATAAAAAGGTGACAACACAAGGCTTGGGTATGAATCAAGAGAGAGTAGAAGCGAAAATACTATAAGAACAAAAGGGGGGAAGATGGAGACGCTCATATGCATGTCAGAGAAGTAGGACCGTGTTGTCTTGTAGATCTGTAGATCAATGTGATATCTTCGCATATCACATGTCTTCTGTAGAACGATAACAATAAAGCATGGCAGCCGGGTGATATGAGATGCACCGGAATATATGCTACATCCATTCCACAGCCTATCTCCGTTTCGGTCGGATGAACGGATCGACTGTTTTCTTCTTCCGCATCGGCGGAGGGGGCCTGGCCCCATTCCCTGGCCGCTGGGGAGGCCGCTGTGGATGCTATATAAGAGTGAAGTTAGCAAGCAGTTGCCAAGCTATCCATAGTAGAGATAAAACACATACATTTGCTGGACCTGCATCCGCCCGTGGGCCGCTGGGAGGCTTATTCTGGCTGATAGGCGCATAAGCCGGTCCATCTCGTGACGGTTTCACTAGATCCTGCGAGACTAATCAGCAGAGTTCATTATGAAGTTGGAAGGAATGGCCAACCTCCGTGTTCAGCGGAACATTAGCATCGATTTTTCGTCGTGGGTTCTTAGGGGCTGTTGGTGGCACGTTTTGATCTGATTTTCGCTTTGGAGGCTTCGCGGCGTCAGAAGAGGGGGAATTTGTGCGTTTGCGCTTAGCTGCGCCTTTGCTGCTATCTGTTTTGGGTTGCTCGGACTTTTTATCGTTGGGACCAGACGTAACCTGGATAACAGGTACTTTGGGGTCGTGCCCTCCAAGTTGCCTGGCCCGTTGGCGGTCTGCTCTCTGCTTTTGCATTTGCGTATGATGATATTCCTCTCGCGAAATTCTTTGTTTCTCTTGCTTTGATAAAATTCTCGTGGACTTGCAGTCACGAGCAACGTGTCCAGCCTCGCCGCACTCCAGACAACGCTCTGATGTACAAACTGCACGCGTATGTCCGGGCTGCCCACACCTGTAGCAGTTGCCTCGAGCTGCTTCCTTCGCATCGATGTTGTCGCAATTATGAGTCATGTGAGAGAAATTGCCACAATAACCACACATGCGGTTATCATCCAAGCCGCTGGCACCCCCTGACGGTCCCTCAGGTGGGGAGACATAAGGGTCATTCTTGTTGGACGCACCCGTAGGATCTGTTGGGAGATTGTCACGAGAGGATGAGGACGACCGAGAAGCAGGATCGGTTGGTGTGCCGGGAGAAGGCTTTGTTGACTCTGCTGCATCAGCATCCAGCATGTCAACATTCCTGTAGCCAGTAAACTGGGGCCGCTGAAGGATTTTCAGAACATCACCATCAGTGTAGACACTCCGACGGCGAGCGTCTTTTATAAGGCTATTCCAGAACTCGCCCTGCACCAGGGACTGCGAATTCCCTAGAACCCAAAGTGAGGACTTGGCACGCGTCAAACCGACGTTCATACGGCGAATGTCGGACAAGAAACCAATTCCTTTGTTGGAGGCTCTAACGCACGAAAATATGATAACCTCACTCTCCCTTCCTTGGAAGGCATCTGTAGTGTTGAAATCAATCATGCTAAAGATTGCATTTCCATATTTCGCGGCAAAATGAGTTTTCAACTCTCTTAGTTGGCCTTTATACGGGGTAATGATGCCGATTTTACCAGAGAAGTCAAAGCCTTGGAAATCCGAGACCAACCGCTCATATAATTGCATGGCTACTCGAAGTTCCGCCATATTGACCAATGAGTGACCCCTTGCAGCACTTTGGTGAAGACCCTGTACATCAAAGAACCGATATGGGCTAAGAAGCTCGCTCTGATGCCAGGGACGAGCGCGAAGCCGTGCCATGTCAGGACCGTCTTGCAGCTTACCATCATAGAAGGCATTGCGCGGGTATGCACTGATTTCCGGATGCATACGGTATTGGATATCCAGCAGGTGGACATCCCTAGGGTGATTGGACTGCATCCGGACGAACAGACTCTGCTCATATTGGAATTTCGAAGCGACTTTGGACAGGACAGTGGGCGGTAATTGTTTTGGATCTCCGACAAGGATACATTTGGAACATCCATATTTTAGCGGGATTAGAGCACTCAGTTCAATCGATTGCGCAGCTTCGTCAATGACAACTGTTTCGAACTCAATGCTTAGGTTCTGGAACATCTCGTGACCACTACCACTGAGAGTGGCACAGATAACATGAGCCCCATCAATGATCTCCTGCTGTATTTTCCGCCGGGTTAAGTCAGCATCACGGGCCGCTGAATGGTTTTTGTCGCGGGCATTATCGATCTCTTGACTCAATGCAGTCTTCTTCTTCTTAAGCAGCTCAAACTCGCGTTCTAGTTCTGCAGGAACAGGTAAGCCCTGGGCTCTGCATTGGTCCAACTTGGAACGAGTTTCTTTGAAAGCAGTGTCAGCTGCTTTGTGCTCCATATAAATCTTCTGTAGATCCCTTTCGCCCGAGTCTTTGCGTGATGTTTGGCTCAATCTTGCATTCACTAGTTCGTCTAGGGTCACATCAAGGACATTGGTATTTATGGCATCGCTCCTTCCAAGTCGAATGACGGATAGCTTTTCATGGCGACCCTGAATTGTCTTGACACCTGTTTTGAATCTCATGACCAATTCATCAACGGCGGCATTGCTAGGGGCGCACACAAGCAGCTTCTTTGAAGTAGTTGTCCTTGGGGGAGGTTTGATGTTCCCGACACCTGTTGGCCGCGAGATGGTGACACCCTGGTTGCCAAGTACGCCACTCAGGAGAGCTCCCACAAGAGCAACAATTGTCTTTGTTTTTCCAGATCCCGGAGGACCTTGAATGAGGGTGAAAGCATCATTGTCCAGAGCGGACTTGATAGCCTTTGCCTGGGCGGGGTTGACGTTGTAATTCTCAGCAATTGGGCCCAAGGTTGCTTCCGAATAATTCAGGATTGGGGACGGCTTGGCTTTCACGACCTCCTCGCAAAGATCATAATATTGCAAGGCCATAAGAGCACCATATTCACGCTCGAGAGGGGTTAAGGATGTAACCTTGGCACCCCAGATCTCTGATCCTGGTGCAAGGGCGTTGATAAATGAGTTACCAGGGTTAACTCTATAGGCAATCTCTACGGTTCCCTTCTTTTTATTTATTCCCGCAATACGAGCAAGACAATGCGGAGCAGACGGATTATTAGTCGGTGAGTTTGCCTTTGAAAGCAAGACAATGTCTGCTTCGCCAAGCCCATAGTCCTTGACCTCAAGCGCTGGCATAACCGTGCTAACTTCCACGAAAGAGTCCACCGACAGTCGTGTCGCGACCTTAACCTCGAATGGTTTGAAATTTCCCTCTTCTTTCGAGGACTGGAAACCTTGCCATGCTTCCAGTATCAAAAGAGGCTCGAAAGTTTTCTGGTAATCAATAGGGTCTCTGAATGTGTTGGATATCAAACTGTAATCAGTACGGCCCGAGTTCGGCGGAAGATCGCCGTTAGCAAAAAAGTCCCAAGACAATATGGTCCGATGTAGTGAAGAGAGGTCTGGAGCCAATCGTGCGCGCATATCCTTTGCAGAACGCACTTGCTTGATCTTCTTGACAGGACCCTGCTGTTTGAGTGACAGTCTCTTGCTTTCTTCATAGGCCCTAACGGCGTCAGGTTTAGATCCACCTTTCGGGCCGAAAAGCTCTCTGTCGAGTTCATCCTCACTCTCCGATTCAGACTCTGACCCCGATGACACCATCATACTATCAGCAGGCCTATGATCCTTGCCTTTAACTCCAATTCCAGTCAGCCCAGAGCCTTGTTCAGCGGTTTGTTCAGCAACTCCAGTCGCCGGAAGACTCTTCTTCAAACGTGCAAGCTCGGCCATATCACGCTTCTTTTTAGCCTCTCGCTCTCTTTCTCGTTTCTCACGGAAAGCCTGGACGGTTACATTAGACTTCAAAGGCGCCGGGGCGGGCCTGGGAATCGCTGGAAGAGCCTTTGCTGCTTTCTCAGCCCTCTTCTTCGCTTCGGCAGCGACTCTTTCCTTGTTTAGTTCAACAGACCGAGATAATTGCAAGAGGACATCATCTGGAACATTGTCGTCGAACTCGTCCGGTGTTCTTGATGGGCTGGGAGTAGCTGAAAGCTCGGCCGGTCTAGCAAATGCTGTGATCGAGCTCTGTTTCTTTAGACTAGCAGTCGAAGCAGTAACAACAGGCTTCTTGTAATAAGCTTCCAAAGCTCTAACAAGTTCTGCCTTCTCCCGTAACGTCAGCATAGTCTTGACGGTAGACTTGACTGCGACACCCTCAATATAATCTAGAGCATCCTCTTTCACGGTGGTAACGCTGAGCTCCCCAAGACGGCGAAGGAGCTTGGCAACAAGTCCAACTAGAGTAGTAGCCAAATACTCATCCTTCAGTCGTAGCCATTTGACCATTGTACTCATAGTCGCCGTTGGAGACTTGAGGAAATTCTCGCGGGCAGAGGTCTCTTGACTGGGGTCCGCGTCGACAACGGCACTCAGAAAGACACCGTACTGATCGAAGAGAAGATCGGCGAACTGGATACTATCGCGACAGAATTCTAGCATCACCATCCTGTCATTGCCTCTGAGATGCCACGATTCAGTTTCGTCAAATATCGTGGTCAAGGCTTGCCACAGGTATTCCCACAGCTTCTGAAGAGAAAGAATCTCTCGGCGATCTGCGAGTTTGCGAGTTCTGAGCATACCAGCCTGGCTGTCGCAAAGGATATCCACAATGTCCGTTCCTGTATGAATCATCCTCGGGGCAGAAGCAAATGTTTTCATGTTCGATATACGTCGAAAAGACCAGCTGAGCCCGTACATAGTCGTAGTAAAGAAAGACTGTAAAAGATGGGAAATGGCATCCCTTCGAGCAGACTGTCCACTGACATTTTTTATGAGATCCACTGCGGCTTGATAGGTGTTCAGATCAGCTGCAAAAAGTGCGGAGATCAGAGCACTACTAGTATCTTGACTTTTAAAGAGCTCGTCAAGGTGCTCCGGATTGAAATCTGCAAGACGCTCAATTATTAAGCATGACAGATGAGTAAGATGGCCGTAGATCATGTTGAAGTGAGTCTTCTCCTGACTGGCTCCTCCCTTTGTGGGGAATTTCTCCAAACCGACCAGCGGTAATATACCGAGAAGAGCAGATGTTGAAAGGGCCAGATTGTCTTCATGAAGGTGTTTTACAACAGCGTCCCAAATTGGAGCTGAATACGTGCTTACACCATGCTGAAGGGTATTATACCGTAAGATGACCTCATAATCGCTCTTGAGAGATTGACACTCCAGAGCGAGTGTATTACGAATGACATCCATGCACAGCGCTGATATTTCGCGCTGACGTCCCTGTTCAACCTCAAACTTGGGAGGTTCAAGAATTCTAGCGATGTTTGCACTCACAACTTCCATGGTCTCAGA